TAAAGGAAAGTATGAAATACTTGTTTATAAATAAAATGTTTTATCTTATTTTAATAAAAAAATTCAAAATATTTACGGGTAATACTTCGAAACAAAGCAAACCACCGTATATATTCCAAACGTTGCCTCAAATTTATTTTATTTTATTTTTTAATAAAAAAAAAAAGTAGTATATAGATAAACTCTCATTCTCATGTAAATCTTTTTAACTAAATATGACAGTTTGATGTCCTTTCAATCATTAGGTTCACATTGTACTTTAAGTATCACTTTTGTGAAAGAATAAAAAAAAAAATTCTTCTGTTACCAGAATAGTTTTACGTCAACCTCTCCCTCTAGTTATGATGTTTATTTTATTGTAGACATATAAATTAATCAGTAAATAATTAAAAATATATTAATAAAAATAATTAATTAATTAAACTAAAATTTAAAATAAAATTTATTATTTTTTTTCTGAAAATAACAAAATTAGTAAAATAGATGAAAATAAAAAGGACGGAGAAAATAGTTCTGTATTTAAAAAAGAAAAATAGAACTAAAATATGGATAGATATTTCAAACACTCATATATACACAACTTTTTTTTAATATTAAAATATATTTAAGCTGTGCTTAATGTAATTGATTGAAATAAATAATACTCCTTTTGTCCCAGATACCATGTCCCCATTTGCTGTTTCTATCCGTCCTCACTTTCTTTTTTAAAAAATGATTACACACTTTAATCTCTTTTTAAATTTTATTTTTTTAATTTTAATTAAACCAATTAAATATCTTAATCTTAATTTATATTATTTATATTATAGAATAATTATTTTCACTAATACATTCTCAATTATTTACTAATTGCACTCCTCGTAAAATACACTGTCTACGTTGTAGCAGATATGGTATCTAGGACGAAAGGAGTATTATTTTATATGTTCTAATTAAAATTTTGTTTTAAATAATTGAAATTCGTTATTCTCTGTCATTTATAATTATTATATTAATTTATACGAAATAGGATGAAATAAAATAAACTTTTAAATTATTACTAATCAATACAATGTTAGCCTTCAAAATAAAAAGTATTCTTACATTGTAATGTTTATCTGTGTGCTTGCAATTTCAAATTTAAATTAATATTATTCATTTCGACAAAAAAATATGTTATTTTTTTATTATAAAACACAATATCAATGTAATATATAAATAAAAATTCAAATCAATATGTTCAGTAAAGAATAACAATGGGGTGTGAATGTGTGACTGTGAGATTAAATTAATATCTTCATTTTCAAACTATGACCAAACAAAATTTATCATATATATAATATATCTACTACATAAATATTACTATAATCTTTGTTAAAATAATGTTCCAAAATGTAAAAAGATTTAGTGTGTACAATCATTCTAAAATTAGTTATAAGCAAGGAAATAATAATAATAATAATAATAATAATAATAATATTTATTATTATTCTTTTTTGAAAATATTTTTAAAAATTATCAAGAATTTAACTCTAACTCCAGTATATATTAATTCATTGTAATCAAATCAACTCAATTATATTATATCAAATGAGATGCATAGGATCATATTAGGTAATAGAAATCAATTAATTTCTTTGAATGCATAAATCACATTATTAATGCTTAATATTTTCCCCATAAACTATTATATATGATACAATGGTCAAATCACTTTGGAAATCAGTATAATTTTGAGATCTTAAGGAATTAACATGGATGTTTTAGGGGGGAATATAGATAGGGATTGCCTATATCACCACATTATTTTAATGATTATGACAATAATTAACATAAATCAAATATAATAAAGGCTTCCAGCACCACTATTTATTTATTTTTATTTTATTATTATTATTTTATGACAGAAAAATCCGCAACCGCTATCCAAAAGTGAAATTTACTTCCGATCGAACCTAATACCTTGCAAGCTAAATCCGACAAACAAGTTACACTAAGTGAACCATGTGTAACAGATGACCTTGTGGCGTCGAAGGTAACAATTGCTGGTTATTTTTAATATATATATATTATATAATTATTTTGTTATTATACAATTTTGATATTTTTAATATATACTATTCTCTATTATAAAATATAAAAATCAAATTACCATACAAATAAAAATCAGAAAAAAAAATCAATATGAAGATAAGTTTGATTTTATCTTTTATATTATATATATAATAATATATTTATAATTTATATAAAATTAATAAGATTATTTTTTCTATAATAAATAAATAATAATTTTGAACCGAACAAGCAAAACTAAAACCTTCAATTGAACAAAATATATACATATTAACTTTAAAAATTTATTTGCTTTCCACCTATAAACAATATTTGGTACAATAATTTGTCCTATATAGTGATAAATACCTTTATATAAATACAAGCATAGATATCCCTTTCAACTAATTATTTTATCCAGTTAAGTGCACACACACATATAAATATATATATATATATATATCTATACATTATATGCATCAGTAAATCATAATATCACACCATTACAATAAAAATTTTAATAGAATCATTACTGTATTTAATTGTATCTTCACATTCAATTATATACTATTTTCCTTCATATTTTATTTAAAAAAAATTATTAACATTAGATATGTTTGTATTCAAAATCTTTTCTATATAAAGTACATAAATTAAAATTATGTATATATATCCTAAATAATAACAATATTTTTCATTAAAATAATTAAAATCAAAACCATTCAAAATATAGTAAAACAGGGTGTCGACAAGAACAAAAATAAAATTTATTGTTTACTATATATTTTATAATATAAACAAATTTTCAAAATATTACTAACTTTGACATCTAATACTAAAGAGTAAGTATTTTTTTTTTAATCTTTTTTCAATTTTTTATTTTATACAATACTACCAATTATTTATACAAATTAGGGAAAATTACGGTGCTAATTTGATACAATACATATGTAAAATATACAAATAATATATTTTTATTACACACAATAGGTACTATTTATAATAAAAGTATGTAATATTTAATCATAATTACACTATATATTATACAAAAATATATCACATGCTAAAATCAATTATAATACTATATGTTATGTGAAGTTATATTTTATATTTATACTATATTAATATAAACATTATATTATCAATAACAATACCGCTTATGATTTCTCAGCACATTGAATTTTAAATTAACATGGTAACCGGACTATACAAATAAATTATTCTCTTTACATAAATTATATACAATCATTATTTCAACAAAAAATGCATCTTTATTTTCAATATAAATATTATGTTAAAACAACTATTCTACTTGAAAATTCTCAATATTGAAAAATATCTAAATATATATAATAAAAAAAAAAGGAAAAGAAAAAGGAACACACCCTTTGTAACTTTATTTCTATAAATATTAAATTTAATATTCATTTTTATTTAGATACATTCAAAATATTTTAATAGTACAGATAATATGCTGAAATTAGTCTTTATTTTTAATTCAAAAGAAATTCATAAAATAATTAAAGGTGCATTTAGTTAGCAGATGAATTTAGAATTAGAAGTTAATTGAAATTTGAAAGTAATTTATTTGATTAATATTTTATTTATGATGTAATAAATATAATTAAAATATTTAAAATTATATTTTAATAAAATATATATAATATAAATATTATTTTGTAAAAACTAACATTTTATATAATACAAATTAATAAAAATTATAAACATTTATTCATGATAATAAATTAATTTTAAAAATAAATTTTTTAAAATATATATTATATAAACATATTTGCATTAAAAGAATAAAAATAATATTTTTGAATTAATCTTATATAATGTAATTTCTTTAAAAAAATAGATCGAAATGATAACCAAAATACTCTAAAACACTATTTTTTAATTAAAAATAAAATTTAATCGAGCACACGCTAAATTAATTTAAACATCAGCATGCAACCTGTGATCCAAAGGTATTTTTTAATAATATTATATTCCCACATCCACCATTAATATATGCTAACACAAATTTTAATAAATATAATACTAGGCTTATTCTAAATATTTAAATAGATAATAATTAAATATATTTAATTTATATTTATATTTTATTACATCTCATCACTCAAATAAATATATACTTCTTTTAATACTATTCAATTAATTCTAGTATAAAAATAAATATTACACTATATTTGGAATGAATTAATTAATATATTAATTGATTGAAATATAAATTAATATTATTATAAAAAAGTTTATGGATTATTTAATGAAGTGAAAAAATAGATAAATTAAATATGTAAATAATTATGACATTTATAAATATACATAAAGTTAAAGAGTGACATTAAAAGTATATAAAAAATTTCTATAAATATCTTTTGCAGGACCAAAAAAATATATATAAATTTAGTGAACAGAGATAATATTATTCAGTTTTCTTTTCGGGTATCTTACTGCTATATAAAATTTTATTTCATTTTTTTACTATTCAATTAATTATACGATACAATGCAACAATGCAAAAAATTGCATGTGCATGTATCAAGAAAAACACAAACGTACACACATAAACTGATTAAAATAAAATAATATCATAATTAACTGTTATCTCACGTATTAATATAAAATCGGTTAGTTAGAATCAGATAAAACCGAGTTATCGGTTCGGAGGTTTCCACACTTTGAATAAATGCCCTGGTCTTCCTCTTTGTTTGCACTTCCTAGTCTCTCTCTCTATCTCTTCTCAGAGGAAAAAATAAAATAAAACAAAGTGAAAAGGAATGCAGTGCGGTAAGTCTCACTTCGCCGTCCACCGCTTGGCGAGATCTTAACAAGAATTCAGCACTTAGGTGAGCGTTCTAACCCATAACCTATACAATCTGACTACAATTGCGCTTCTCTTTTCTTTTGATTTTTGTTTCTAAGAAAGGGAATCGATAACAATGGCATTTATGGTTTTCTAGCCAGATAAAAGGCAAAGGTAGCGTTTTTGCCGTTTCTTCCTGCATCCATCCTCTAAAGGACTGGCTGCCTTTGAAATTACTGAATAATTAATTGCTACCCATTCTCTCTCTACCTTAATTGTGTAAGCACCTCTTCTCTTCAATACTGGGTTTCCTGGTTTTTCTTTCCCCCCCTGATCGAAGATCTGAGGGTGGAGTTGCTTGGTTTGATTTTAGAAAATATAGACGATTTTGTACAATTCGTGTATGTCCTGCGAATTTAATTGGAGTTGCGGTTTTCTTATTTGTGTCTTTTAATTTTTATTTTTAATGTAAAGTGTGCTTAACCAGTTCCCTATATAAATAAATAAAATAACTGAAATTCAGAGTTTAAAGGGTAGAACTTTTACCAGGTTTAGATTACCAGGAGAGGTATGGCTGTTAGAAGAGAAGAGAAATGCCCGAAACTGGAGGAGTTCCAGAAGTCTAGTTCATGGGTTCCAGCTACGCCTGTAAAGCAGACATCAGACCAGCTGATCTGCGCAAATTGGCAAGAAAATATTGCTTCTGAGGTAGATTTGCCAAAATCGTTGGGTTATTCACCTGTAATCAGCCAAGAAAGATTGTGTGGATCCGGAAGATTACCAGAAACTTTACCTGAAGAAGTACAATGCCAGATAGCATCTGCATGTTGTAGTTCATCTAATCTCATTAAGGCAGGCGAAAATTCCAGCAATTGGCAAGCAAGAGCAGACAAGAATATTAATTTTGGTGGACATAACTTAAGGAATATATCTTTTATGAAGCATCTCCAGAATATAGAAGAGGCAAGGAGCCAGACAGCAGTAGTAGAAAATGCTCTTACAAGCAACTCCCCTCATTTCACAATTTCCACTGTTGACTCCTGCCTGCAACTGCAAGAAAATTGGGATTTAGTAGGGGCAAATCTTGAGGCTGGATTGGACAGACCAAATGTCTCCACTGGTAAGTTTTTTCCTGTACTTAATTATTGTCTGGCTATGTAAATCTTAGCAAGAGTAACTTTATGGCCTACATATATTGTACAAGATGCCATTCTCAATTGTGTCAAAGCCTACAAATCATGTTAGCCATCATAAAACAGTATAAGCACTTGAAAGCTCAATCTCTAAAGTTAGTCTCTTTAGTTTGGAGAGGGGGGATGGGAGCGAATAATCTTCCATTACTCTTCTTTTAAAATATGATAAGCTGCTATGCCATTTCATACCACTCAAACCTGCATTCTCCTAACTTGGTAGTGTTCTTTTGCAAACACTAATGGACTTGATTGAATCTACAGATGGAAATTTTATCCAAACTAGAGCATTCTACAACATTAATCAAACCCCCAGAACAGTGAAAGATGCAGTTTCGAGCATGAGCATACCATCCCAATTTCAACCCGTGACACCTGAACAGTACAATAAAGCAGCTTACTGGGAAGATCTGGGGAGGCAACCACAAGGGAAAGACCTGGTATCAGCTGTTATGAATGCACGGGATAACAGAATCACCACAGATGGAGAAATGGAACTTCCTAGGAATAAAGAGAAGTCCAAATTGATCATTGATCTATCGTGTGCAACCATACCCCCAGAATTACAGGAGAATCACAAGCCTGACAAGGGAAGCGCAGAGGAGACCGATTTAATCCAAACCCCTCAGCAGAAGCCAAGGAGAAAAAAGCACAGACCCAAAGTTGTCATTGAGGGCCAACAGAAAAATACTCCTAAATCAAGTGCTGGAAAAACTAATGCACCCCAGGAATCAACAAGAGTCAAAAGGAAGTACATTCGGAAAAAAGGGACCAACAATCCCTTAGAAGGGGAAACTGATTTAAACAAAAAAACTCCTCCTCCAACGGGTCAATCAGTTGGCAAAAGGAAGTATGTAAGAAAAAAAGGAATCAACAACCCAGAAGGTAACCTGGACAATGGAACATCAGAAACAGCAGATGTAAAGCACCGGAGACATACCAGAAGTTCCTGCAGAAGATCCCTGCCTTTTGACACTGATTGCCAAGCAAGAGATGAGAGCTCCGTATATTGTCCATCCGCATCCTGTAATATGGTATCACAACAAGCTGAGAACACCAATGCAACTGATCAATCAAGAACTGAGCCATGCGAGCAGGGGTTAGTGATAATGGAGAGAACTGGCATGAGCAATTTTCAGGAATGTGCACACTCTTATAATAATCAAGTATGGGAAAATTGCAAGGAAATACCTGTACAGAGTTTCCAGTACTCCTCCAAGTCTACAAATGTACATCCATTAAAGGAAACCCTGCTCTCAAATAACACCAGAGGTAAATGCCAGATTATATTCTCAGATGCAACACATGATAAAGAGGCAAACATTTTTCAAGTGAGGATGAACCCTGGTGATCAAAGGACATCAAAGAGTCCGACAGATTCTACCTGCAACAGCACATACTTGAACCTAGGAAGACAAGAAAGAGGCTTGAAAAGACAAGAGATGGACACAACTGTTGTAGTAGAGCACAACAGGAATGAGACTGGAGCATATTACAACTCCTTGCAGAAATACTTATCTATATTTTCACAAAATGGAGACAACAGTTACAGTGGTCTTGGATTGCATTCAGCACAGCATAAGAAAAAGAGAGCTGAGATGGAACATTGTGGGGTGCCATCCACCTCAGACAATCATTTGAATTTTGAAGGACACACTCCCAGAGAGTACCGCATACACGTTTTTGCATCAACTACCGCAACTGCTGGCACTCAGAATGGAAGGCAAGTATTTGAAGATCTGTTAGCTTTGGAACCCACAGGGAGAACAATAAAGAGGAGATCAAGAGCCCCAACTCGAGTGAGGAAGTTGGCTTCATTGATGGAAATCCATAAGCAGGTTCCAGCATCTTCAGGCAGGGAGGCAACAACTTCTAGACCTGAACAAGGTTTTGTATTTCCAAATAAACCATATGCCTACTTTGATGCCCAGGAAACCGCCACCCACACAAAAATGACAACTAAGCAAGCAAAGAAAAGCATGACAATGGATTCAACACTGCAGTACAGTCACCAGCTGTCTACATCAATGGGTAACCATAATATATATTACATCAACATCAAGAAATCAGTTTTTCTATATAATATCTTTTGGATATACTTAACACACTCCATGCAGGACAACCACCGGCTATGGCATGGATCACCGAAAGGCTTAACCAGCTGGATCTAAATGCAACCAGTGAAGCATTAGTTGCATACCACACAAATTATCAAGAGCTAAATGCCCTAGTTCCATATCAAGGAAGTGGAACACTTGTACCTTTTGATGATCAAGTTAAAAGAAAGCGGACACGGGCTAAAGTTAATCTTGATGATGAAACTACTAGAGTATGGAAATTGCTGTTGGAAAATATAAACAATGAAGGTATTGATGGCACAGATGAAGAAAAAGCTAAATGGTGGGACGAAGAGCGAAGAATATTTAGAGGAAGAGCAGACTCATTCATTGCACGGATGCATCTTGTTCAAGGTGCGTATGGTAGCTACCATTTATTTGAATCATGAAGCATAATTGTCGACACAATAGCTACCAATTTTTTTATATTGCTCAACAACGAACAACAATTTAAATGTGTTGCACTTTTATTAACAGGAGACAGGCGATTTTCCCCATGGAAGGGATCTGTTGTTGATTCCGTCGTCGGTGTTTTCCTCACTCAAAATGTTTCAGACCATCTTTCCAGGTTGGTTGAACTTTTTTATGGTTTAATTTATCATTTAATTCATTGGAAACTTAGATATACCAATTGGTGCTTGCAGCTCTGCTTTCATGTCAGTTGCTGCAAGGTTCCCAGCTGGAGAAAAAACCCATCCCCCGATGCCACATGAAGAAACACTGAGCCCAATCCCCAAAGAAGCTGAGGTGTGCGAGATTAAAATAGGAGAGATATCAGGATTCAACAGAAAGAACTCAACTACATTAGCATATGGCGATGATACTAAAACGCTTCAGCATTCTGAAGCTGCTAGTATTAGAGAAGCAAACATCATCAAAACATTTGGCAAGAATTCTGATGGACTTATCTCAGAAGACAACAACAGAGGCCAATCAAGGGATAGCTCTAAACACAGTCATATTTCCCATGAAACTGTTACAAACAAGTCCGGAAGTTTGGTTGAAGATAGGAAGGACACAGAAGACACACTTTCTTCTCAAAATTCTACAAGTTCCGTAATTGAACTAACAGAAGGAAGTAATTCTTGCCTATGCAGCCCCTCATTACAAGAACCAATAGCTGGGGATCAACCAGATGGATTTACCAGCTCTACTTCTTGTATGAAACTTCTACAGATGGTTGGCTCAGTATTGCAAGTTGATTGTGGAAGTGGCAATGACAAAATTGCATCTGATCAAAATCAGAAAGTGAGATATGAAAGCTTGGCCATTAACTTGGAGAGTGAAGACTATTTAGAAAATACTACTGTTTCTAAGAAACATGTGGCATCAAGTAGCATGTCTACTCCATCTCATGTACCCAAGTTAGGAATGGTTGCTGCACACTGTGACTTGTCCCAGAAAGCTAGTACGACCTCTAATAGTTCCAGCAAAAACGAACTATCTGCTGCTGAAACAAGTGGGCTGACTTGTGAGTCTGCATCACAAAGTACATTTCAGAAGGCTGCATTGATCAATTTCCAAGAGGAAGCAAAATTATACAGCAATCACCAATCTGAAATAACTCAGCCGAGTGAAGCAGCAGCAGAGAGCTCATCCCAGGACAAAATGGTGGTGAATCCAGATGGTCCTGAAGATACTGTGGATGCTACAGGTAGTAGTAGCAACATAGATAGCTCAAGGAGCTTAGAGCACAAGGATATTAATTCAAACAAAAATGACACAAAGCACCATGCTGGGAAGCCAATCGATGTGCCTAAGGGGAAAGGGGAAAAGGTGAGGAAAGGGAAAGAAAATGTTGATTGGGAGCATCTTAGAAAACAGGCAAACACCAGTAGAGAAAAAACAAGAACAGGCAATAAGGATTCTGTTGACTGGGATGCTGTAAGACGTGCAGATGTTAATGTGCTTGCGCAGGCTATCAAAGAAAGGGGAATGAACAATATTCTCGCAGGGAGAATAAAGGTTTCAGTCTAATTTTACATAAAGAAACTGAAATGTTTGTATTTGACTTGTGAACTTTCATAAACTGGTTTGCTGTTTTCACTCGTATGATATATTGAAAAACCTGTACAGGACTTTCTGAACCGCCTTGTCAGAGACCATGGAAGCATTGATTTGGAATGGCTTAGGGATGTTCCACCTGACAAAGCAAAGTAAGCTTAACTAGTTTCTCAGTACTGTCTATTAAACTAATCGGCATAGGAGTTCTATATTTACATGTTCCTTTGATTTTCAGAGAATATCTATTGAGCATCAGAGGCTTGGGTTTGAAGAGTGTGGAGTGTGTGCGTCTCTTGACACTCCATCACCTTGCCTTTCCAGTAAGTTTAAGCTCAATAATAAATGTATTTAAAATAAAAGGAAAATTTACTAACATGGTTATATGTGCAAAACATTGGAAGGTTGACACGAATGTTGGTCGTATAGCAGTAAGATTAGGTTGGGTACCTCTTCAGCCATTGCCTGAGTCACTACAGCTGCATCTACTTGAAATGTCAGTGCTTGAGTTCTCATCATGTTTTCATATCAATGTAGCATCAAACTTAATAAACTATATTGTTTCATTGTGTAGGTACCCTGTACTGGAGTCCATTCAGAAATATCTGTGGCCTAGACTGTGCAAGCTAGATCAAAGAACACTGTAAACATTCTTGTGGACATTTTTATGTCTAATGTACATAAGTCAATTTTCTTAAATGATTTATTGATGCTATCTCATTGCAGATATGAGCTGCACTATCAGATGATCACTTTTGGTAAGGTATGGTACACCTGTTATCTTAGATATCCAAAGATGAGAAAATCATTTGTAGAACATGAGGTAAGTAACATAGTTTGACTATTTCAGGTATTTTGCACAAAGAGCAAACCAAATTGCAATGCATGTCCAATGAGAGCAGAATGCAGACATTTTGCAAGTGCTTTTGCAAGGTTTGTAGTTGAATTTCAATTATGTCCCTGTCACCATAAATTTCTGTCTTTAATATCTGAACATCTCAGATAGTTCAACTAGAATCACAAGATGTTTCTTTAATGAAGCTTTATTTGAAAACCAGAAGATTGGGCAGAAAAATATCTTAATTTGAAAACACAGGAGTATGTGGACAGGTTTATTCTTTCTGTTTTTTTTTTTTTTTAACACCACACAACAGATTAGAAATGCGGACATAGACAGGCACTTAGAAGCTACTCCTTATGTAGACTTAAAGGGCTTAAATATTTTTAGATTCCTTGAGTTGAAGTGCATGTTTTAGATGACATAACCTGATGAAGCTATGTGCAGTGCAAGGCTTGCTCTCCCAGCACCAGGGGAAACAAGCATCATGGGCCTTCATGAAAATAGAAGGGGTGACCAAACTCCAATGAATAATATGAATAACTTGCGGTCGCCTCCACCCCATATGAACCAAATCGATTCTGTATCTCAAGTAAGAAACACTGAACCCATTATTGAAGAGCCTGCTTCACCAGAACCTATTATCGAAGTGCCAACAACACCAGAACCAAGTAATACAGAAGCATCAGTGTGTGACATTGAGGATGCTTTCAGCGAAGATCCTGATGAGATTCCTACTATCCAACTTAATATGGAAGAGTTCACTCATAATTTGCAGAAACTCATACAGCAAAACGAACTACAAGAAGGTGAAATGTCAAAGGCATTGGTAGCTTTAACTCCAGAAGCTGCTTCAATCCCTGTGCCTAAACTTAAAAATGTGAGCAGACTCAGAACAGAGCATCAAGTGTAAGTAACAATTTAGTTTCAGAAATCTTTGCAAGTCACACACCATATCACTACAGGAGTTCAATGTTCAAGACCTATAATCAGCACACTCATCATCTTGAAATGCCTTCTTCCCTCCATTTAGTAATGCAGTACAAATATGTTGGTCCGAATGATGAATTGTTTGGTGGTTGTAAGATCTTATAACCATTTCTTTTTATCAACAGCTATGAGCTTCCAGATTCACACCCTCTGCTCCAAGGGGTTAGTGTTATTCTCCTAGCAAACAAATTCAACCACCATCTGCAATATTCTGTCCAAACTAACTGTAATTACTTTATTTTACAGATGGACAAACGGGAGCCTGATGATCCTTGCCCTTACCTACTTGCCATATGGACCCCAGGTATGATAACAGTAAGAGAGCATGACTAGCTGAAAACTTGTAGAGGACTTTTGGCAGGTTCATATATTGGGAACAGATCCTGCATATTGAAGCAACGTGTCTATAGATAAAGGCAAACGAAACCTGGTTAATTGGTTCAATTGAATGTTCTACATAGGTGAAACAGTGGATTCTATTCAACCACCAGAAAGGAGGTGCAGCTCCCAGGGAATTGAGATGCTATGCACTGATGCATCCTGCTCATCATGCAACAGCATTAGAGAAGCAAGCTCCCAAACTGTCAGAGGAACTATATTGGTACTGATGATATGCTAGCCCTAATCTTGTTAATAACTTATTAACTCACAGCCACTGTTCCGGTATATAACTGACAAGGACAACTTCCAAACCATGCTCTTGAATCAAACATGATTCGAATAACAGATACCATGCAGAACGGCTATGAGAGGAAGTTTTCCACTAAATGGCACATATTTCCAAGTAAATGAGGTAATTGTTAGGGTCAAGTCTTGGTATAATTTAGCGCACATGTCCTTGGGTAATGTGCTGTGTAACTATATCCATTGTTCTCTCCAGTTATTTTCTGACCATGAGAGCAGCCTATTGCCCATGGATGTTCCAAGACGTTGGTTGTGGAACTTGCCAAGGAGAACAGTGTACTTTGGAACATCAATACCAACTATTTTTAAAGGTAACATTACAAAATACCATGGAGTAACTAAAGCATAAAGTCCATTTTTCCAGAATGATTACCTATGTGTAATTTCTTTCTGTTTATTAGGATTGTCCACGGAAGGAATTCAATACTGCTTTTGGAGAGGTATGTACACTTACATAGAAAAGTAATATATATATATATATAAAAGAGTAACTTCTGTATTCAGCTGATGGCTGCATATGTAATGTTGCAAATAAATAGAGAAATAAAAAAAATGAAACTAAACAAGGTACTCTTCCTTTAAAACAGTCCACCAAATCTAAACTTGTACCTTTAGTCTATATTATATATGTATTGTACATCAGATAGCCACAAATAGTTAACCAGCAACATGCTTGTATCGTAGTCCAACAAATGTGCCACAAATTACTACATGTGCTGTGTAGGAGAGTTAAATGCCTCAATTAACTGTAGAATGAGAAATCATTAAGCTTTTCTTTTCTTATCCTATATACCGCTCATTATTAATATTTCCACACCCCAGAAACAAGTACTTGTTTTATCCACAAGGATACTGATGAGTGATTAGCAGTGATCTTGGAAAAGCTGAAAGGAGTATTATAGGCTTATATGTTGCTTGTACACTCGTATGCACAAGAAAAGTTAAACATGTAATATGTTCAGCCTGCAAAGCAGATATATAACTAAAGCTAACCTAGCCCAACATAATAGTTCCTAGAATTGTGCATGATAGTGTATATTTAACCACCAATGCAGTGTAAGTTTTATAACTATCAAATTGAAAAGTTAATAACTGCTGGGGACACTAAACAGAATCTGTTGTGAGCACGCACTAGTCAACCTCAAAAGCTTACTTATCCTGCTAATTGTCAATATCTTAAGTGCATTTTTCTGTATTTCAGGGTTTGTTTGTGTGAGAGGATTTGACAGGAAAACAAGAGCTCCGCGTCCTCTCATTGCCAGACTGCACTTCCCTGCAAGCAGATTAGGCAAGGGGAAAGGAAAGATAGATGAGGACAATCAATGATCAGACTTAGCTTCACCAGCAGTAGAACAGTAAGATGTAAAGTAGCTTGTACGATATGAAGTCGGGTAATGAAAAGACTGTATCGAGCGGAAATGGTTGATTTCGACAGAAAAGATGGAATATTGGCAATCTGCCTGGATTGATGAATGGCTTGTTTTCTAAGTTATTGCTTATTGGTATATTATATTTGTGTTTTCTTGTTATTTCATGGTCTGGTGTTGTGATTCTTCTTGTTGCAAATTCCTAAGCAAGGAGGAATATTAAAACTGGGATTTATCTTAAATGTTCAGTCATCAGCCTAAATACCTAAGACAACCATGAGGAATGAGGAATGACCAAATGCAGGAAGCATTAGTCTATATTATTTAATGAATAAAACGCCATCATTTTCATTCTATGACATCCCCCGGGAGTCCAGAACTCACGGCCATCAGTTCTGGACAATAAAGCGCATAATAGTTATCCCTAACCACCTCCGTGTCACAAGCCAACTCAACTACAGAATGAAAAGGCCAAACAACAGATACGGATAGCCATCAGAAGGTTATGATCTGAATTGCAGACCCAGAGTCTAGATCCACTAACTTGTGAAAACACCAGTAACTTGGCATTCTTAAACTTATTATATTAGAATATGTAGGATCCCACGGTTCAGATCGCTAGCAAACACAACATTAATAGAACTAGGTCAAAATAGAGAGCAAGTACAATCCTTAAGCACAGAACGTAAATGCATAGGATTAGGATAAAGAACGGCAATGATTTCATCAGAGATCCAGAAACACGCTCTCGCACCAATCTTTGACAGAAGTAAACCTTATAAGAGTAAAAAACTTGGAAAACCACAATTGCAGAGCGCAAACGCACTCACATGCGTAAAGCTGCGCCTATAACTCATACAATAGAACTCATCTTATCAAAACCAATCAATAATAACAATCCACACATACATCACTGAGTAGGGAGAAACAACGAACGAGCGACTTCATCAATTAGATAACATAATTCATAGTTAATCATACAACAAAACTTTAACACACCAGTAATCTCTTATAAATCCGCATGGTTGAACGTACCTTGAAAGCGCCGAACTCAACCACCTACAACAAGCCGATAATAGGCATTACCAACTCGCCGGCTACACTATGGATGATAAATCGCCTCGGATAGTACTTATTCCATCCCGATATATTTGGTGCGACAATGGCGGTGAGAGAATATGCGGGAAAATTTTTGCCGCCTTTAGAATTCCCTCGCTTGTTAATTTGGTTTCCTTTGTTTCAAACAACGCGCGCTGCCTGGCGAGTTGATCTACTGTTTGAATGACAGTGGCGGGGCCGTTTTTAATTTACAATGGGTTGAACAAATGCTTCAGGTTGTGCAATGGTCCAGAAGCTTCTGGCCCATGGGCCTCTACAAATTAGACATTTTATGAGTAAAACAGTTTACCTATTTTAATTTAAATATTTTGTTCATCCATCAATTTTTTGTTGATATAATTTTTTATTAATGTTACTAAAAAAATTATATATACATACATTTACATTACACTTTTCGTTATGCAAATATGTATTCATTAAATCGAACACAAATTTTAACACAAATGAGTAATAATAATTATTTTGTTTTATAATTAAAAAAAAATTATGTAATGAATTTTTACTTAAAAAAATAAAAAAAATATTTTTTTTTTTATAAAAGTTAATAACAATTATTATTTTTTATTTTATAATAAAAAAATATACAAAAATATAATGAGTTTTGACTTGAAAAAGTAAAGCCAAAATAAATAAATTTGAATATGAATGATAGAGTACATAAATAATATACACTTTATTTTTATACAATAATTCAATACAAAATATTATTCTATTTGTCTATTATAAAGTAAATATTTATTTTTTTATGCAAAATTTAATAAATATTATTATCTTCTTTGCGCAATAGATGAACTCTTCTGTTAAATACACGTTATTATAGGTAGTGTAAATTAATAAATTATGATAAATTTTATTATTTGTTATATGAATAATGTTGTTGGTATTTTAAATATTTTTAAATTTTGATAAAATATATACAATATGGATATTATTTTTATGTAATACAAATGGATAACAAAATATATTTATTTATTTATCATTACTATAAATTACTTTTATAAAATGTGAAAGTTTTAAAGGTATATAAAAATATTTGTCAAGTGAAAAGATATAGAAATAAAAGAGTTTTGAGTGAATCATCTTGTAAAAGGTTATAAATTTAATTAAATTGATTTATATTTAATAACTATGTTTAATATTAATAAACTTACTTAAAAAAATGAAAAATAGTCATCTTTTGTTAAAAAAAGGAAAAATAAAACATGACGGATGGAGTATATTTTAATGACAAATTTAGTGAAAACATATAATTTTATCCTTATATATGTAAAATTAATGATGTTATTATATAAATATAAAAATATTTTTAATATGTAGTACTCATTCCGTCCCAAACACTCTATGATATTTTCTATTTTGTTTGTCCAAAACTCACTGCAATATTTCCAAATTTAGAAATAATTAATAATATTTATATACATATATTAATACATACTTCACTTTATCTCATGACGTCACTCAACTTAAGAAAATAAATAATCATTTCTTTCTCCAATCACATCACTTAATATACAAATTATCTCAAATTATCATATTTAATATTCTCCACCTAAATTTCTGTGTCAAAAGCAAATGTTGCATGGTGTTTGGGACGGAGAAAGTATGATACATACTGAAAAATAATATTAATATTTTATGTTTTAACAATAAAAAATAATAAAATATACATTTGTCATTATCGAATATTTTTTATAAATTGTTAATAATATATATATTTTTTTTATTGAATGTTGGTTTTATATATAATATAAATATTATATTATAAAATATGTTAAAAGGGAAAAAACTAGTGTGAGAAACAAATGCATAATAAAAGAATAATCGATGAGAGCATTAAAAGCGGGCGGCTCCGTAAAATCAAAAAGTGCGACGATGTTACGTATTTTATTATTACCCGTGGCAGCGGGCAGGCAATGAAATTTTATCACATTTTTATCAGTACCTTTCATTATGTGAAGTTTCAGATTTGCCCTCACCCTCACGCCCCGAACCACCAGAAAGTTGCCAACAAAAATTCCACATTTCTCTTTGGATTATATTATAAGAATTTTAATTTCTTATGTAAGATTCTGTTTGCGCGTTACCTAATTTCTCTTTAATTATTCTAAAATGATCAACAATATCCAATTTAATATCGCACCGAATATTTGGTTTTAGGAAAGAAAATCCGTAACTGTATTAATCGAGATGTTTTATTTGATATCTAATACTCACCGGACTGCGCGCTTTGATTAATCTATATGATTATTGTTATTAAGAATGGGTTACAGTAAACCAATAGCTGTAACTCGAGTCAAAGTTTGTATTATTTGACTTTAGATGGGTTTGTTTTATGAGATAATTTAAGTATATATTTTTTAAGATGAAATATAAAAAATTCTGTCAATAAAAAAAATAATAATAGTGACAATGTATTTTATATTAATATTTTTGAAAAAAATATATGTACATATTTGTTTTAAAGAACGCACTATTTGTTCTTTTGCGTTGATATATATAATTTTTTATCATCTAATGTGTATAATCTATCTTATAATTTTTTCATTACATACAAATTTCAAATTGTTAGTGATTTGTATCATTTATTTATTTATCTACAAATAAAAGTCAATCAATCAGTGGAAATAGATATTGTCAGCTCGTTGAATCAATTTATACTTCAAATAGATTGACAGTTTCATAAGCGATTTCTTAACAAATCGCAAGCTGCATTTCAAAACAACAATCACGTCACTCTCATGAATCACTCACAATGAAAGAAATCAGTTTTACGTTGTACTTCATCCATTTTACATATGTGATTTTTATTTTTTTTAGCTGTTATATCTTATATCATTTTTTTTTTTAAAAAAAATAGTATAGTAGAAATGATAATTTTGTTTTTGGATAGACAAAAATAAAAAATAATAACCTTTAATGATAAAATTTAGAAAAACTTAGAAGAAAGAAAAACAAACTACTATATTTATATTTTTAGATGTTTTATTATAAAAAGATCACAGTGGATAGTTTTTTTTTTCGTAAAAAAAAAAAAAAAAAAAAAGCCGCATAAAAAAAAAGAAAAAAAGAGAGAAATAAGCAATAAAAACATGTCGGAGTCAGTATTACATTCGAGCCGTATTAATTACAGTTGGTGAGCTACAATTGTATTCGTATAAAATGGATAAAAATAAAAAGCGGATAGAATATTAAGATTACACCATCTAACTAAAGCGTCCGACAGAAGCCGTGGATGCAAGGAAGACGAAGAAGACTTGGGAAAGACAAAATCTAGAGAGAGAAAATCGTGGAATCGCACTGCTCGACCTTGGCCTGGCAGTATCGTTGGCGGTGGCGGTGGCGGTGACGGTGATTCGAATCTTATGACTTGCGATTCAATCTTCAGCATCGCTCTTCAATGGAACTGCCTGGCAGGCGATCGAATTACACCTTATTGAGCCAGAATTTAGACGAGCCGTTCCACCACCAACCCCCGCCGAAATTCACCGCCGCAGGCGGTGGGCAAGCGGCCCAACAGCCTCTGTACGGCGAGTCTCACTCCGCCGAGAAGAACAGACTCAAGTCCGAAAGAGCCGCGGCGCTCGATTGGGAAGTGATTGATCAGAGGATGATTCAGCCGCAATCGCAGCAGAGCCGGATCGGAGCGCCGGGGTTTTCGGGGTCCTTTGGACTGCAGAGGCAGTCGAGTGGGAGTAGCTTCGGCGAGAGCTCGATCTCAGGAGATTACCACGTGTCTTCGCTTTCAAACCCCGAGGCCGTTTTTACGCATTCGAGCGAAGGAGGCGCCGAATACAGAGTGAAAGCGGGCGAGGCATCGACCGGCGGCCGAGGATCATCTTCTTCCAAGAGCTGGGCTCAACAAACAGAGGAGAGTTATCAATTGCAACTGGTTTTGGCTCTTCGTCTCTCCGCTGAAGCTACCTGTGCCGATGACCCGAATTTTTTGGATCCAGTACCCGACGAGTCTTCATCTGCTGCCTCGTCATTATCTTCCTCTCCAGAGGCAATATCACATCGATTCTGGGTAACTCAATCAAAACTGATGAATTCAAGCACGTTTGATGTTGTTTTTTCTTTTTCATTTGTGTGGGCTTTCGAAATATGAACAATTGAATTTTTACCATTTGTGTACTGTATTGATCAAATAGATCCTGAACATTTCTGCGCTTTTAGGTAGGATGAGAATCTGCATTCTATAGTAGCCATTTATTTTGGGATTATTTGTATGGGAAAATGTTTGTTAGAGTTTTCATTTGTTTTTTTCTTGCTGTTTTAACCTGAAATGTATGAGGAAGTCTTTTTGATTTAATAGTTTTCTACCAGGTAAATGGCTGCTTGTCGTTCTCAGACAAAGTTCCCAATGGATTTTATGTTATACACGGGATGGATCCCTATGTTTGGGCTGTGTCCTCCGATCATCAGGAAAGTGGGCGCATTCCATCTCTAGACTCTCTTAAGATTGTTGATCCTGCCCTGTCATCATCAGTTGAAGTTATCTCAGTAGACTGGCGAGGTGATTCAAGCTTAAAAGAGCTTCAGAATCGAATCCATACACTATCATCAAGTTGCATGACTACAAAAGAAGTTGTTGACCAGCTTGCAAAGTTAGTTTGCAACCATATGGGGTAAGAACTTGAAGCTGTTAAGTCTTCAATCATGTGTTTCTTGTTTTAATTGTGTTCTCTTGCCTTTCTAAAGGGGTGCTACTTCTAATGGGGAAGATGATTTGGTCACTATGTGGAAAGAATGCAGTGATGAATTGAAAGATTGCTTGGGTTCCGTTGTGATCCCTATTGGAAGCCTGTCAGTTGGGCTATGCAGACACCGTGCTCTGCTATTCAAAGTATCATACCTTTTCTTTATCTTTGTATTATTTTGTTTGTTTGCACCACTTTAGGAGTATTGGTAATTTTTTCTGTAAAGCTCTTGGGTTGTCCAAATTTTGTCTGTTAATTCCATTAATTCCAACACCTACACTGTTGTTGAGTCATAAAAACTGAAATGTAGCTTTTTCTCACTCCTTGCCATTTTGTTTCTTGGTATGTTTTCACATTTGATTCTATTAGCATGCTGCACGCGTGTAATAAGTTATTTTTATTGTTTGCTTTTGCACTCACCTTGTTATGCTTGCTTTTATATTTGCAACTAAGAAATAATTGTTTGGCAGGTTTTAGCTGATACTATCGGCTTACCATGTCGAATTGCAAGAGGGTGCAAATATTGCAGTAGAGAAGATGCTTCATCCTGCCTTGTACGATTTGGGCTTGAGAGGTATATATTGCTAAGGAAGTCGCTGTTATGTCTCCCTTGTTTTTTATTTACATAAGCCTTTAAGTCGGTCTACAGATGAAAGTTGGACTAACTTGAATTCAGTGGATAATATGATGTGTTAATACAATCAACACGACAAATAGCATGTTTATGAACTGTATGCTCATCCATAAAGGATCTGGTTCAAGAATTGCTCTATCATTTCGTGGAATCCTTTCTCTGTTTCTTGTTAGAACCAGCATTTGTTTCACTGTCAGGGATTTTGTGGAATGGGTGGGGGGTTCTCATGTACTTTCTTCCATTTACTACTTGCTGTGGAGCAATGTTTTTTGAACTACTTAATTTATTAAGCTGTTTTGACTTTTAGTTTTCTGAGAGTTTGAAGGAGTTTCTTAAAATGTCATGCTCCGCATCTCTCTGCAACATCCTTAATTGCTAGTACTTCAGAAGAAAGGCCTGCTATGGGTATGTTTGATACAACTGCTACATCTTTCATCTCTTCATTATGTCATTGATATCACAGGGAATATCTTATTGATTTGATTGAGAAACCGGGATGCTTATCTGAACCTGATTCCTTGCTAAATGGTCCTTCTACAATCTGTGTTTCTTCGCCATTACGCTTCCCAAGATTTAGGCCAGTGGAACCTACAACCAACTTTAGGTCTCTGGCCAAACGATTTTTCTCGGATTTTCAGTCAATTGATATTGTGTTCGATGATTCTTTACCAGGTGATTATATTTATGATTCATAAATATTGTGATTTGTGTTTGTTTGCAGATAATGACTAATTGCTCGTTTTTATCAAGTTCTCTAATGTACCTAGGCCAAGTATTGTAGTTGGCTCAGAACCTTGATCAAATCCAAATTAGATCCACTTGACTAGTTAGACATGACTTGCAACGAAATCAGATATAGTATTGTTATAGAAATACTCTATTGGTGAATATGTTCATGTCACAAGTAAAGTGTAATCCAAGTATACGTTTTAATACATAGCTGGCTCAAGTGATTTATATGAATACTATAAATTGATCTTAAATAGGTTTGGTTTGAACCACACAATGCCAAATCCACTCGCTATAGTGTAAAATCTAATATTATTTAAGATTAATATCTTTTTCTGAATTGTGATTTTTTGTGACATTGCCAACCTAAAGTTATCAAAATCTTAAGGCTATCGTGCATTATCCAAATTTCTTTACCCTTAAGAGGCATTATTGAGTTCTTATTTTCTATAGTATTTGCGATCTAAATCCCAAAACCCTTATTGTGAAGGATTCCATTCATTTGTGTACGATGCAAGTTCCATACATTTTATTCCCCTTCGATCTTTTGGTACAATGATTGTTGATCCAAGAGTTGAAAGTATGATCTCCTTTATCAAAGTTCATCATCCCAATCAAGATTCTATGTTCAATCAACGATTACTTTCCAAAACCATATTATGTTTATATAATTTCATTTTTAATTTTCCATTGTACAAGATTTAGAATTTGTGAGCCTAACTTATATGATTCATGGTGTGTCACAGCTGTTAATATAGTTGGGGATACTGGTGATTCCACACATCCTAAACAATCAGAGAGGGCTTATGTTGACCGAACCAGCTCGTCTCCAAGTTCAAGCAATCGAGAAGAAAAATCCAACCTCCCAACATTCCCCACAAATTCATGGATAAAGGTTCATGGTAAAGAGCAGTTGATATTAAAACCATCCAATGCACAAGATGTTGTGGGCTTCTCGAATATACACAAAAGCTCAATTCCGTTGAAGCATGTTCATCCAAGCGGGATTAAAGATGTTCAGCCAGTTATTTCCATTCTGGATCAAAGAGTAAATATCGGTAATGATATGAGGTTTGGGGATGGGAGTCAATTTTTTACATCTAAGGGAATGGAATTTTCCTTTGATGTTGATGATTTAAACATTCCCTGGAGTGATCTTGTTTTGAAGGAGAGAATTGGAGCAGGTATAATCTCTTGTTACTGAAATATGTGTTATGTTGTGTGCTATTTAAGAGAAAGTATCAAATACCCATGCTTTGGAAAATGTAATCATTTTTCTTTTGCAGGTTCTTTCGGAACAGTTCATCGTGCTGAGTGGAATGGCAGTGTATGATTATCTATTCCTCTATGCTTCTAGCATGTCATGCAATTTTCTTTCCACATTTTTAAACTTGAAATTTTTGCTCATTCTATTCGTAATTTATGTTTTATGGTTAACTCTGCATCAACTGCTTTATGACCGAGTATTATTTATGAGTGTTCTCCAGTTTATGATTGATATGTAATGGGTTATATCTTACAAGTGCGGATATTTTAGGATGTTGCTGTAAAGATTCTCATGGAGCAAGACTATCTTGCAGAACGATTCAAGGAATTTTTACGCGAGGTTGGTTGATCAATTGTTTCTTAACAACTTTTTGTTATCCTACTTGTTGGTTTCATTACATTTTTATTCTTGGGTTAGGTGGCAATTATGAAAAGATTGCGCCATCCAAATATCGTACTTTTTATGGGGGCTGTTACAGAACCACCAAATTTGTCCATTGTGACTGAATATTTATCAAGGTAATTTTCTGATTCTCAAACTCCAAATGTTATTTTACTTTAGTATGCATTACACAGTATGATCCGGCCTTGTATGTCTTTTTGTAATTTCAGAGGTAGTCTATATAGACTTCTGCATAGGCCGGGTGCAAGAGAGGCATTGGATGAGAGACGTAGGTTGAGCATGGCTTATGATGTTGTATGGATCCATATCCCATAATTGTTTTACAATTATCTCCACATATCTTATCTACACCGCTACTGCCCCCACCCAAAACCAAATAAATTGAAATTTTAGAGTTCACTTTATTCTTACAGGCAAAGGGAATGAATTATCTTCATAAACACAATCCTCCTATTGTTCATCGAGACTTGAAGTCACCTAATCTTTTAGTTGACAAGAAGTATACTGTAAAGGTAAGAAACAAGTTGCTGGGGGTACTACATTTTAGCTTGTATAGACAGGAGTTGATGGAGATTGACATTAACTTTATAATTTGGTTTAGAACATTCTGTCTCTCAAGATTTGGTTTCTTGGAATTCTAGATTCCTAAATGTATGTATTTTCTTCAGGTCTGTGATTTTGGTCTTTCCCGTTTAAAAGCAAACACATTTCTTTCATCCAAGTCTGCTGCTGGAACTGTAAGTTTTAATTTGCTTTTTATGAATAATCTGATGCATATTATCTACTTTTGGGCACTTATTTACGGATAAGAAGCAACTTCTTTTATTTCATTCATAGCCTGAGTGGATGGCACCTGAAGTTCTTCGTGATGAACCATCAAACGAAAAATCAGATGTCTACAGTTTTGGTGTGATCTTATGGGAGCTGGCAACATTGCAGCAACCATGGGGTAACTTAAATCCCGCACAGGTTGGTGAATTTGACCTTTATATTTTCTTATTATGATTATTATTTTTCTTTACATGCGAAGGTTCAACTACAGATATTTTCATTATTTCTTCAATGCTGTAGGTTGTGGCAGCTGTTGGTTTTAAGTCAAAAAGGCTTGAAATTCCCCCCTATCTAAATCCCCAAGTGGCAGCCATGATCGAAGCGTGCTGGGCAAAGTGAGTGTCTAATGTTAAAGTATATTTGCTTTAACTGGTGTAATTCTGTACTACAATGACTATTTCTGTAATTTCTTGGTCTGGCCATTAGATTTCACTTACAGTTGTTATTTTCTAAATTTGATGCTTTATATGCAGTGAACCTTGGAGAAGACCTTCATTTTCGACTATCATGGAAACTTTAAGACCATTGATCAAGTCTCTACCATCAAGTCAGCCGGGTGCTGCCGAATTGCCTTTGCTCTCGTGAAATTGTCCAGAATGAAGCTCGTTTGGTGTATGTTTCACTTGCTCATTTGATTTAGAACTACTTGGATTGTATAAGGTTTGTCTGTGTAAAGACTTCTTGACGCTGTTACGACAAATCTTTTTAGTTTGCTTATGAATCTTGTTGTCTATGAAGATTGAATCAAACCTACGTTTTGTCCTGTCAAGATTAGAAAAATTACTTGGAGGGCGCTCTATAGCAAGGCTCCCATTCTATCTTAACTTTCTGTATATAGAAATGGATTCGGGTTTTTGAGCAACTGTGCCTTTTGTCTTTCTTCTTCAGCTTTTGCATACTGCATTGGTCTATCATTTATAGCATATACATCATGGGGACTAATGTAATCTTCAAGCCATGTAGTAGTTTTAAATTATTTTTACATAAAGATTTGTCTTTACGTAAAAACAATGTCAAAAATCTTCATGGATAAAATAATAATAATGATAATGACAGATTTAGTTCCAAATTTGTTAGGTCTGCAGAGTTGGGTCCAAAATGGACACTATGGGTTGGGTAAAGCAGCACGTGGTTGTATGAAAGTGATGGGTAACGGATGTCAGTTGGTTCAACGGCCCGAGTAGGACATGAAAATTGATAAAAATTTATTATGTTATAAAAATGTTATCTAATATAATCACCGAAGTTGAGGTGGCCGAGTTGGTCTAAGGCGCCAGATTAAGGTTCTGGTCCGAAAGGGCATGGGTTCGAATCCCATTCTCAACAAATATCATTTTATATTTCTACCTGTTTCTGTGGTACAGGGTTGGGCCTGGACTTATGACCCACCAACTCAATTTTTACAGCACTCACAAGTAGGTCTGTCCTGGTCTGGGCTTATGTAGTAAAACTAAAAGAACCATCAATTTTTGCTTTTGCCATTCTTACTATAAAAACACCGCCAATGTACTGGTATGTCCCTTTCATTATAAAACTTGCTAATTTAGTTTATTTTCTCATATTAAATAAAAGAGTTGACTTATCAGTAGTAGAACATGTGAGTGCATCATGGTGGGTATGAATATGATGTGAATGTGCAGTCATAAACATGAACATGGACATGGTCATAGCAGCACCAAATGTGATAGATATATATATATATGTCATAATTATTAGTTTGACTTCAACCCTTTGACTTTTACCTATCTGTTTCGCCATTCAATGCAGCACACCTTCAATGTCAGCCCCTATCACCCCCACTCTACACTTTCACATTCATCTTCCCCATATTTCTTCTCATATTAGCTCTACAATGCCCTACAAATTTCATCTTATCTTATTAATTATTAATGCAAGAAGCAGCAACCACCAATAAAACGTTGAATTAGGGTTTGTAAAATCAGTCAAACCCAGCTGCAAATCATCAGCCAGTCCGAGACTATAATCACCAAAAACTACCTTTAAAATACTACTATATATTATGAAAATAATTTTAATTAAATTATTACTACGTAAGTACAGCTATAGCTGCGGATTGTAGCATAGTAGATTTGCATTAATTTCCATCTTTAGGTTCATCAACCAATAATGTAGACCGATTATTATTATTATTATTATTTTAATTGTATACATGCATGCTATTGCTGTATGTATTATATAATATATATATATTGCCATGGCCTGTGGACAAAAATCCTTCTTGCCCATGGCCTACCTGGTTATTGATCAACCCTAAAAGCACTACGCCTGCATCCCCATATATACCCCCAAATCCATATCCGATCTTCCTTCCTCACCTGCCTGATTTGCAAGATACACAATTTCTGAATTTAATTGTATATATATTTTAGAGCTTTGATTTCATGGCTGTACCTGTACATGTGTTGTTTTGAAATGGCTAGGCTATTCAGGGCGGCAGGGGAGCTGATTTTGCTGGTCGTTTTTACAGTCGCGTGGAGGTCACGTGCCGCCACAACGGAGCTGCTCGGAGGTTTCAGAGCCACTCCGGATCCATCGGTCACAGATTTTCAGCCTTTACTCGTCGACTCCTCCGGTAACTTCTCGCTAGGTTTTCTCCGTGTCAACGGCAGCCACCTCAGTCTTTCCGTCGTCCACGTTCCATCGTCGGTGACTCTGTGGTCCGCCGGAGCTACACGTTTGGCTCGATGGAAGAACCCCACAGAGCTCTTATTCAATGGCAGCCTAGTTTTGTCAGACTCCAAGACGGGGGTATTTTGGTCAACTCACAGTTCTGGAGACCGTGTTTGGCTTTCCAATAATTCGAATCTCGAAATTCAGAGCCGCGACGGCGCCGGCGCCGCCGATGGAACCCGTACTGTCTGGCAAAGCTTCGACTTCCCGTCGGATACCCTCGTCGTAAACCAGAACTTCACCAACACCACGGCTTTAACCTCATCGAACGGGCTTTATTCGATGCGATTGGGCCAAAATTTCTTCGGATTATACGCCAAGTTCACCAGCTCCGACGAACCTCCCGATCAGATTTATCTCCGGCACGGCGCGTTGGAGGCGAAGGCAGAAATAATCGAAGGCCGGCCGGTTCAATTAATACTCCAACCCGGCGGCTATTTAGGCATGTACCAGAACGGTTCACTTCCGGCCGACGTGCTCCCTTTCGACACATTCCAGCAAAACCTGACCGGCTTCCGCCGCGTCCGAATCGAACCGGACGGCAATCTTAAAGCATACTACTGGACCGGGTCGAATTGGATTCTCGACTACCAGGCCATAACCGATTTCTGCGAATTACCGACCGCCTGCGGTCCGTACGGTTTATGCAAACCGGACAATGAATGCTCCTGTTTAGACAACCGGACGGCTCATCGTGATCCCGGCGGCTGCGCGCCGTCGCGAAATCAAATTTCCGGCGACTTCTGCGGCGCGTACGACGGCCGTTTCAAAGTGCTGAGAAGAACCGGCGTGGAGTTGCCGTTTAAAGAACTGATGAAGTACAAAACGATGTCGTCTAATGAGGAGTGCGAAATGGAGTGCTCCCGGAATTGTTCCTGCTGGGGGGCGGTGTACAGCAACTCCTCCGGGTTCTGCTACACGCTGGAATTCCCGGCGCAGACGCTGCTGGCGGTGGCGGACGGCGGCAAGATGGGGTACTTCAAGGTGCGGGAGGGTGCGAGGAAGAAGGAGGTGGGTGGGTGGTTGGGGTTGGTTATAGGGGCAATATTGGTATTCGGAGTAATTGCAGGGGTAGTTTGGTACAGGTGGAAGAAGAGAAGGGACAGGGTGAAGGGTTGCGTGGCGGAGGAGGGCGTCGTGGGCAACATCGGACCGTACAAGGATTTGGGGGCTGCAAGTTTTAGGTCAATTGAATTGTGCGAGAGATGACGTAAGGGATGACCTCTTTCGGATGTCCGAATTGTATTTTAATCCCGTCCGCAAATCTTGGCCGTCCGATCGCGCTGAATTGTCGGACGGGTGGGATTAGTTTGGTTGGGATACCATGAAAACAACACAACGCATTTTATATTACTATATCCACTTCCTGTCCAACTTAGAGTTTTAAAAATATACTAACGAAAAGTAAAAAATTAAATTGGCTGGGCCCAGATATCTCGGGCCATAAACTGGGCTGGATCAAGCCCTTCTTACCTAACCCAATTTTGATATATGAATCTGTTTAATATATTTGATATTATCATTTCACTGTATAAGCATCACCACAGTTCAATACTTTTTGTATATCATTAAATTTTATATAAATTAAGAGATTTTTTAATGCCTAGTTTAAAATTATGCAATTGTTTTTTCATTATGCACAAATACTAACGTGTGCATCCTTTGACTAGAATCCCAGTTATTACACTGATTGGCTATAGTTATGCTGTGCTGATGAAGGCGCTTAAATAGTATTTTATTGTTACTGATAATATATTATGCATATAAGTCCAAATTGATGATTTTTTATTTTTTAAAATAGAATTGATTTGACAAATAAAAATTCGCGATTTTGATTTAATGGTTTCCCCCCACTCCATAAGGTAGTTGATTATAAAAATGACTTGTACAATGTTGACTTCATATAACCCTATAGCCCATACACTAAGCTAAATACAATTACTCACAGAGTAACTATATCAAATTTTAATTAAAATTTTTAAATTGAAAATAGTTCTGTCTGAGTGGTACCATAATACCCATGCTAACATTAAATTTATAAAATATATTTTTAAATATCTGTCATAAATATAAATAACGGCAATAACTCCAAAGGTATCTTGAGCAGCGGAAGCCTGCATTATAGGTGGCTCATAAAACCTTATCTTTTAAACTCAGCAATCATCACGACATCATCGTCCACATGCCTCCTCCATATTAATATTCCCCATTTTAGGACCTTGCCCTGAAACTCATTTGTCTGCTCACTGTCTTTAATTCTTGCCTCTTTTGTCTTCAGGCAGTTGCTTTCTCTACTGCATCATCTTCACCCATTCACTCACCGAAACCATGGTTTAATTAAAAAAAATAAAATAAAAGAGGAAATAAAGAATCGACACGTGTCGTCGACCCATTCAAATTTAGTCTCTCCTTAGGTTTCTGCAGTCTAAAATATGAAGGGAAATTAATTACTACACATGACAAGTTATGACGTGACAGAAGGTATGCCCAATTTTGGTTTGTTTTACGTACGTTTATTGGTGTTACAAAGTCTTTAATTGGGATGAAGATTTTAAAATTGGTGTGTGCCAAATTAGCATAATACTAAAGCACATATTTAGCAAATATGCAGATTATGTACATATCGTGATTGATACTCAAGTTTTGTTATTTTGTTTTAAGACTGACAATACAATTCCCTTTCTTAATGAAGGGATAAGCGTTGTCCTAACTATCCATTGAAGTAACGCATACGATGTAATAAATATACACTTTCCACAAATTTTCTGTATATATGTATAATTTTCACTATTACATGAAATTCGATAAGCATATATAGATGATTTCTTACTCTAAACCTTAAAACATATTCTAAAATAAATCCCCTCATTATAGGCTGAATGAATGCCAACGGTCTACGTACCTTATAAATACGTACATACCATGTAAATAAATAAACGTACGTAGCCAAAAATGTTAATGAATGAGTTACCAATCACAGTACATAAATATAAATATCAGGCAAGTAAGGGTAATGTAATAATTAATTATTAAATGAGATGACCTGTTCGATTAATGACGATTTCCTTCTCCTTAATTCAGCAGTCGTCAGTCGTCAGTCGTCCTCCAAATTCCTTTCCTTGAGCAGTTACCCAACAGGACTACTGTTGCAGCCATACATATCCACCCACCCCACCCCCTCAACCATACCCCAATTTCATTTCTCACAAATCCTAAATCAATTTCCCTAATCCCATGAAGAGCTTCGCGATTTGCTACGGGGAGCAGGCGATCAACGTGTCCAATTCATACTGTTCCAATCACTCGATCCATCATCCCTACGCATCCTCGTCGTCGTCGTCCTCGTCTCTATCGAAAAATCCAACCGTCCAGAATGCAGTTACTTGTATCTACAAAGTCAAACTCCCCAGTTCCAACACGCTGCAGTATTTCGTCGTCAGGATCACGTGGTCCAAATCGAACACAGAGGGCTTCACCATAGGCATCTGCGACCACCCGTTTTCCTCCTCCGAATTGAAGAACAATTCGAAGGTTATAACCAGGAAACGAGGCAGATTCAAAGGGTTCGATTCCGTCGTCAGTTTGAGGAACACCGAGGTTGTCTGGGATCTTTACAAGGCCAAGTACGGGTCAGGACCCGAACCCGTATCCGGATTCTATTTGGCAGTATTAGTCGATTCGGAGGCGTGCCTGATTCTTGGGGATATGGGTGTGGGGATTGGCGACGTGGAGGCTAGAAAACGTGTTTCTGAATTTTCTTTGGTTTCTCGGAGCGAGCACTTTTTGGGGGATTCTGTGTTGTCGACGGCGGCGAAATTCCGGGACGCCGGAGCTTGTCATAATATTACAATAAGGTGTGGTGGGGATGATCGGAATCATCCTGCGTTGTCTGTTGATGTGGACAGGAAGAACGTGATTCAGGTGAAGAGATTGAAGTGGAACTTTAGGGGCAACCAGACGATCTTTGTGGATGGAGTGTTGGTGGATTTGATGTGGGATGTTCACGATTGGTTGTTTCGACCCAGGTTGGGGTATGGGCTGTTCATGTTTCGCACAAGGAGTGGATTCGACAGCAGGCTGTGGTTGGAGGACAAGAATTTCGAGCAGAAGGAGTTGGACAAGATTGGATTTTCTCTTCTTGTTCTCGTATGTAGGAATTCTTCGGATTGATTTTGATTTTGTTACTACTTATTAGTGTTGCTCTGTTTTGACATTTATTTTTTTTTTGTTTGTTTGATACTGTTTTGCATTTCGATTTGTGGGGTTGTTTTTGTTTTGTTTTGTTTTTGTTGCTACTCGCTTTTGGACATTGGCGAGTGTCTCGTCATGTGTAGATAGATACATATAGCGATGTGTATACATAAATCTCAGAAAAATGGATCGATTTTATCTGCGATTTTTTAGATCAAATAAAATAATCTCTTTTCTTTTTTTCTTTTTTTTTTTGTAAAATGGCACATGGCCGGATCGCGACATTTATGTTGGGCTTTTTTAAAGCCCAATAATAACATATGGGCCAGAGTTAATATCTCAGTGGGCTAAATGTTATTCTTTAGCGGGGCCCACTTGTCTAAATTAAATAAAGTGTAAATTAGCGTAGACTTGGAGTGCATGACATTGGCATCAGCTGGAATGAAGTCATTTGTTAATATTTATTATGAATAAAACATTAATTGACTTTGTGGGTTTAGGTTCCTCTACTCTACTTAGACATGGTTGCAACTTGCAAGGTTTCCAGATTAGTATGATGCATAGAAACAATATTTGTTAATGTTGTAGGTGAGAGAGCTGATGCGAGTCAAATCAGAAACTGTTGATTAGTCTAAAGGCTATCGTTTGTATGTTATAGAAAAGTTTAACCAAAAAAAAACTATTGATAAATAAATAAGGTCTCGTTAATGCCGCCTTTTGCTTATGCGAGATGACGACGTTCAATTTTGGAGACGATAACAACATCATACCTATATTATTTTTAAAATATTAATTTTTAGTAAAAAAAAATAATTTTATTAATATTATATAATATAAAATAAATAATATTTATGTAAAATATTTTCAAACTATTTAATGGAACAAAACACCACCGTAAGCCCTCGACAATAACCTTTTCGGAGGTCTATTTTTTTTTTGGTTCGCTCGAAATCCACATGTTCAGATCGTTCTTGACGGTGGCGGACAGGAAAAGTAAAACTGTCACGTGAAGTGGATCACATGTTACCTTTTTGATACTGCTCCACCAATTCAATTGGCTCATCCCACCTACTCTTTCTAACACTTTAATTTTTTATATTAAATAAATAGCAATTTAATTATAATAATGTATCTGTATTTATATAAAAAGCAAAAATAGTTAAATAGATGCCAATTTTGTTCCAAGAATAAATTCGAAATAAAGAACAAATTTCTTTTCGATAGTGGAAAACTTTATTTAATTTAAATATATATTGTAATTGTATTAATGAAATCCACAGCCCATTGTATTTTGACCTATTGAAAAACAATACATTGGGCCAAAATATGAAAGCCAATTCAATTTGAACTAAAGATGAGGGTAAAATGGGAAATTCATCAAAGGCGGTTTGCTTGGAGGAGGGGTCGAGATTTTTGGCGATAACATCGATGTTTCAACAATCCCATTATATAAATAACGGCCGTACCCTGTTCTAGTTTATTCACTCACACCTACTTTCGTCGTGAATTCTCATCTGATTCTTCTTGTGTTTAGCCATGTCTTGCTACAGAGGAAAGTACGCTGGTAAGTGTTTTCTTGTTAGGATCCACCAATCTTTGTGCTGTTTTGGTTTGGTTGTGTTTGTTTTAACTAGATCTCGGCTTCTTTTGTAGAAGTCTCATCGATATATTGAGATCTGGAGTTGTTGAGTCTATGCTTATTGATTTCATTTTTTTTGGAAGTAGTTTGTATGTTTTGGTAACGATCTGATTATTGTGAACTAGATGTGGTGTCTTTGCTATTTTGTCTTCGTTTTGGTGTGACTTTTTTTGTTGGTATAATAGAACTGTCTCGATCTTCTTCCCCTGGGATTATGATGAACTTTATTTGTACTAAGTTGTTTTCTATTTGTCTGTAGTGGTCGGATCTTTTACTGTGACTGGTGTTGCTATACATCTAGTTTGATGATTCAGGATAAGATATTGATTTCACCAAGTATTTTATAATTTTTTTTAACTATTTTTCAAGCATTGTTCAGATCTGGTACTTTTGTGCCTTTGATGTAGCTTGAGAGTATTAATTTTAACTTTCGGCAATTTCTATCTCCTTGATCGTGAATAAACTTATTGTTCTTCCTTTATGTAATCATCGATCTTGGAGCCGTTGTTGACCTCTGTAGGTAGATTCGATGTAAATCCTCCGCTTATCTATTGTTAATTCAGTTTAGTGCTGTTTGTATGGGTCTTTGTATCAATTTGTTTGGGTTATTGATTCTTGGATTGGTTATAGCAAGCTCATTTTGCTAATTATATTCTGATGCGCCGTTTGTTAATTAACTCTTCCTATGTGATGTTTTAGAGCTGTGTGGTTAACTGATTGTTTGCTATTGTTCCTTTTGACAGATGAGCTTATTAAAAACGCTGCATACATCGCCACACCCGGCAAGGGTATCCTTGCTGCTGACGAGTCTACTGGAACAATTGGCAAGCGTTTAGCCAGTATCAGTGTGGAGAATGTCGAGTCAAACCGACGTGCTCTCAGGGAGCTTCTTTTCACTGCTCCAGGTGCTCTTCAGTATCTCAGCGGTGTTATCCTCTTCGAGGAGACTCTATATCAGAAGACTGCTGCAGGTATATATATATATATATATATTGAGATTAAGGTTATTGAATCATCAACAAATGTCATTTGCAGTTGCATACTAAATTAACACTTGTTTTCGAATTTCCCAGGCAAGCCTTTTGTCGATGTCTTGAACGAGGGTGGTGTCCTTCCCGGAATCAAGGTCGACAAGGGTACCGTCGAGCTTGCAGGCACCAACGGCGAGACCACAACCCAAGGCCTTGACGGGCTCGCTGACCGTTGCAAGAAATACTACGAAGCCGGGGCTCGTTTTGCCAAATGGAGAGCTGTTTTGAAGATCGGTCCCACCGAACCATCCCAGCTCGCCATCAACGAAAACGCCAACGGCCTTGCACGGTACGCCATCATCTGCCAGGAGAATGGTCTGGTGCCGATTGTCGAGCCTGAGATCCTCGTCGACGGGCCCCACGACATCAACAAATGCGCCGATGTGACAGAGCGCGTCCTTGCTGCTTGCTACAAAGCTCTAAACGACCACCATGTCCTCCTCGAGGGAACTCTCTTGAAGCCTAACATGGTCACCCCTGGTTCTGACGCCAAGAAGGTCGCCCCCGAGGTTATTGCCGAGCACACTGTCCGTGCTTTGCAAAGAACAATGCCTGCTGCTGTCCCTGCAGTGGTGTTCTTGTCCGGTGGTCAGAGCGAGGAGGAGGCGACACTCAACCTTAACGCCATGAACAAGCTCCCCGGCAAGAAGCCATGGACGCTTTCTTTCTCGTTCGGACGTGCTCTCCAGCAGAGCACTCTCAAGGCGTGGGCTGGGAAAGATGAGAATATCGGCAAAGCGCAGGCTGCATTGCTTGCAAGGTGCAAGGCCAACTCTGAAGCAACTCTCGGAAAGTACGAGGGAGGCGGGGCTTTGAGCGAGGGCGCGGCCGAGAGCCTCCATGTCAAGGATTACAAGTACTAAGTTGTCTGCTGCTGAGAAGAAGACCAATTTGGTTTGGAACTCCTTATCCTTTAGTTAAAACTGATGTTTTTAATAAGCTTCAAAAGAAACATATGATACTCTTTGAGACTCTTGAGTTTTTTGGCTGTCGTATTCGCCGTTTTGCTGCTCGTAATTTACTTGTCTCTCCCGGATACTGTTTTCCAGTAATCAGGTGTGATTGTTTTTACCTTGTGTTTGTTGTTATAATTTGAATCGTTTTTGCTTATGGGATATTAAATGAATTTTATTTATTTGTGTTATCTATGAACTAGTTAATTCATACTGAAATTATTTGGGGCCTGTGTTGTGTTATCTCCTCCATAGGTTTTGCGTGGAATTGACTCGACTCGGGTTTGTAAACGGGCCTGGCCGTTTTAGGACAATTGGGTTTTATATCGTGGGCTATGAGTTATGAAGCTTTGTAATTTAAAGACAAAAAGAAAAAATAAATCCAAGTTTAAACACTTGATGATCAAATTTGCAAATAATTTAATTTAATTTCATTATTTCGGGTGTACTCTATTTTGCAAAAACACTTCTTCATGACTAATAAGTTAATATTTAAATAGGACGAACAAATTTCAAGAAATATTATACACGTATTAAAATTATAGAGCACTTAGATTTAATATTTGACTTTTGAGCTTATGATGTCTACATTCAATGTTAATAATATCTTTACTATAACAAGGCATATGCTTATGCATATAAGTAGGAAGGTCTACTTTGTGTGCTAGACTATTTAACTATTTTAAGTAATATAAAAATAAATAAAAATTTAAATTTATGTTGATATAATATACTTTGGATTAGAAGTATAATTATCTAGGTCGTGAATTGCAAAAATATTCTAAAAACCGAATCAGGCTCTTCTTCTTCATTTTTATTTTATTATTATTATTATTATTAATTTTTTTATGGTATCTCTTTATTATCAGGTGTAGTCAGTGACAATATATGGAACATAGGGAAGAGAGGTAACAACTAACATGAATTCTCATTAGTGTATTAATTGAAGAAGATGTTAAGTTAGAAGTATTCAAATATTGCCAAGAAACAGTTTAATTTGTAATGCCTTCAGTATTCATTTATTTATTTTTATTTTTAATGAACAGTAACTCCAAGTTTTAATTTGGACAAGATGAAGAAGAAGAGTGTTCTCTCTGTAGAGAGAGAGAGAGAGAGAGAGAGAGAGATGCCTGAGTTTGCCATTGCCATTGCCATGGAGGTGTCAGTAAGTGGTCAAATCAGATCATTGGAAACCCAATCCAATCCAAATCCCAAATCCCAATTCCCCCTCGAAATCAAAAACAAGAAAAACTGCTTACGCAAATTCAGTTTAGCTTCTTCCAAAATCCTTTGTTTTGTTGCAGAAGCTGCAAAATTCTGTAGCCAGTCAGCTATGTATCTTAATCATATATGCAAGCAAAGTCCTTGGGGCCATCGAAGCCTTGTCTAATAGATACATCTATATTATGTATGTATATATATATATGTATGTATTGTATGTAGAGAGAGTTAGAGAGAGATATGTGTGTGTATTCATGAGAAGAGAACGATGCAAAGCACTGACTGTTACTTGGACCAGCTTTTTTCTTGGCCTGATTTGGTGTGTGTTTTCACCTCCCTTTTTTTTTTTTAAATTTACTCTGATCGATCTGTTGATGAGTTTAGTATGCAGTGGGCAGAAGAGTGTTTGTCTTCTTTCTTGCATGTCCAACTAGATCTGAGAAGGGTTGATTAATTAATTAATCAAATGTACATGTGAGTGTGTGAGAGAGAGAGAGAAAGGGAGAGAGGGTTTCACTTCTTCTTCCTCAGTTTGGAGTTGCAGGAGAAAACTTTTTGGACATATCGTGTCCGTACATGCACTTTTCTGCATGCTGCCTTTCCCAAACTGAGTCATCTCCAGTTTTTGCATTTATGGCAGCTCTCTGTGTGTGACCATCAATTTGGACTTTTATTTTTATTTTTATTTTTTGGCTCATCATCTGAGTGTAAGTAAAAAAAAGAACTGTTGGAAATGGCCCCATTGGATCTTTGGATGGATTCAATATTTGGCATTTGGTTTCTTGCATTACTGATTCTTTGCCCTTTTATTATGCAACACACTCTTACACTTATTCTTACCCTTGCTTACCTTGCTTTACATACATTCATTTATAATCAGTGTTCCAATTTAATTCCTAATTTTATTTGATGTATATAATATATATATATATAATTAATTACTTTTACGATTCTCAACTTGTAAATAACAAGTCCTAGATCTCTATTTGGAGTTGCACAATCTAGAAATTAACAGGTTTACAAAATCCAATTTTTTTTTTTTTCTTGATTTCATTTACTATTATTGTCATTATCAGCTATATATGCCAATGGTGGTGTCTTTTCAATCCAATCATGTATATTTATTTGTTGTATCTTCTCCATCATCAAATCCACTTACAAATATGCCAAATATTTCTACAAATACATATATAAAGTGAGCAAAATGACCTACTGTTGATTATAACTGCACACGAAAGGGAATTAGTAGACCAAAACAAAATGCAGATATGGACAATCAAACATGGCTACAGTTGTAATTGTCTTTACGATATTACTATATATATATATATATTTTTTTTTAAGAAAAACATTTTTGAAGTTGAGCAGATGCTTCTGGTATTCATTCAATTGTTTAGATCGAGAACTACAACTTAGAGAGAGAGAGAGAGAGAGATAGATTGAGAGTAACTGCAGTCTTTAATTAAATGAAGCTTCTGCTGTAAAATGTCAATATATGCAATTATTGAATTTGGGGTTTTTATTTTCTGGCCTTCAATAATCTGCTAATTAAGAAATTGCAAGTGCCATAGCAGTAGCAGGTGCTGCTGGGGTGCTCCTTTTAGGGTTCTTTCGTGGGTTTATTCGTAGGTTGTAAGCAGAGGATGACTTCAATATCCTCGTGTGTATATATATATATATATATAGCATCTCCCAATCCAACAATGATGTGGACTAAATTAAATAAGCAAACAATAAATATGTATATAACAAAATCAATAGTAGTTCACAAAGTCTTCAATTAATTAACAGAAGTCCAAATCTAGCAAAAAACAATACAACAAACAAACACATAACCCAAATTATTCACCCACAAGGTACGTAGACGATCAAGAACACATAAAATGCAGCTATTTAAATCAATTAATAATAATAATAATAATACTAATAATAATAATCATCAGCTAGCAGACAGACAGATAGATATATCTAATTCAGATTCACCGACATTATTATATGTCATCAGTTACCTCTGAGCAGCATTGTACTAAGCCGACCTTTCGCTATCTGATCATCGATTAATTATGAGGCCCCATTTCTTACAGTCATTTGAGCATCGAAATGAATGATCCATCCATCAATCCATAATTCTTCCATAAGCATCACCCAAGAAGTACCTCAAGCAATTCTCAGTCATGGCTGCTGCAGTGTTGTTGGGAGATGTGGAGCTGCCATGATCATTATTAAGCCTGATTGTATGATCACTAGCACTAGTCTCACAAGAAAAGACATTACTGTTATCTCCTCCTCCTCTTCCTCCTTGATTCGATATTTGTTCCATATTATTACTTCTCTGAAAATTATTATACAATACAACGTTGCTGTTGCTGTTGCTGCTGCAGCCTTTTGTGCTCTCCTTTCTTTTCTTGTTGCACTTGAGTAGATAATTATTGACTCTATCCCACTTGTCTTTGCACATCATGCCAGACCTGTCATGTCCGAAACACGCCATTTTTGTTGCTATTTCCTCCCACAGCACCTCCTCTGATAACGATCCCCCACTTTGCTGCTGCTGCTCGAATTTTGCTTCCATGCCTGTTCTTAACTGAAGCAATCTGCTGATTTCACTCTCTGCCCAGATCATGTCCCCTCCTCCTCCTCTTGTCGAATTTGTCATCGTCTCGCTTCCATCATCGTTCTGGTTTTCTGCTGCCATGATCTGATTCTCCTCCGCCGCTGGATAATCCAATTTCCTGGCGGTCAGTTTGTGAAGTGCTTCCATTAGAGCAGAATCCCGAGCTTCAATCCAGGCCCTTTCACTTGCCCAGAATTTGTGCTCTTTTTCCATCCTTGCAGCATCTTGTTTTCTCCATTCCTCCTCTCTCATCATCCTTTCTTGCTCCTTCTGCTCCATGGCCCTCATCATCTTCTCCATCCAGGCCTCCTGCTTCTCCATCAATTTCTTCATCTGTAAATCGATGAAATCCCTAATTTTCACCTTCCAGGCCCTCTTCCCTCTTTTCTTGTTCTTTCTATCGTTATCATTGCCCTCACCATTGTTATTATTATTTTCATCGTCGTCATCGTCTTCTTCATCTTCATCATCCATCACTTTGTTAAAGTTAGTGTTGTCGTTGTCTGATGAACTAGTATCAGCATCGGAATAATTCGAGAGGCTAAGGCTAGTGTCGGAGACTTTCTGGCCTTGGAACGATTCTTGATGAGTTGCTAAAGAAGTGTTTGTGTTAGGATAATTGTAGATATAATTACCTCCTGCAAGATTAATTGCTGCTTCCGAAGCTGAGGCTGCACTGTTGGAATCACCATAGAGAGCTTCGAGCTGTCTAAAGAACCTGTAATGTTTCCCATCTTGCCTTCCAGCTTTACCCTCTTTAGTCTTCTTGTAATACTTGTATAAATTCTCGAACTTCTCCCTGCACTTCTTGCCACTTCTCTGGTATCCATGTTCCTCGGACATTATCCTGATAATTAAATGTAATGTAATCAAATCATTACAAAGGGGTAATTAATTAAGGTTTTTTTATTGAACCCTAGTTTGGCTCGATGAGGTCGGAATTGGGCAAAAGCTTCATATGATAATGATATTTGCTAAGGATGGGAAGCTCATGTGGTTTCTTCATTCAGCAGTGTATAGACAAGCAACCCATTTGGAAAATGACTGTTCAATGGTTCCATGTCTGTTCAACTGGGAAAGAGATGTTACTGCTCATGTCTTTTCCTGAATACAAAAAACACTTTTTTTCTTTTTCTTCTTTCCTCTTAACTACACTCAAAAGATTGGCTTTTGTGGGGAAAAATATTACCCAGATTCTGACACAGTTAAAATGACTCCTAGAAATCCAGAATTGAAGAAGCTGTTGTAAATGTCGCTGTTGAGATCTTAAACTACAAGTTTAAATTAACCTCCTGCTGCCATTCCTCGATCGAAAAATTTAATTTTTTTGTCCTTGTAAAAAGAAGGGTATTGTTTTTACCCAGAAAACCTGTGGTGGTAGAAGTGAGAGCTGAACGAAATATCTCAAGGCAGGCAGCACCATGAACCCCAAAAATAATTATTTAAAAAAAAAAAAAAAAAAACTCAAAGAAAAAACCCTTTTATAACCCGAGCAGCAAGAAAGGAAAAGGAACAATACACAATATTGGGCAAGAAGAAGAAGAAGAAAACCCTGCAAATAAAAGGGATTCAGGGATGTAGGAAGGGAATTAATTAGGCTTTACAAGAGGAAGAATATCTGTCAAATTAGCCAGATATTAAGTTGTAGACTCAGAATTGTAGCAGTGCATGTGTGTTCTTGTCTCTTTCTTGAATCAATAAAAAAGAACAGTGAATTAATTAAGCCAAGAATCGATTGATTTGGAAACCTAGAGAGTAGTAGAGTATGGTTGTAAATTGAAATCAGAAATTAGGTTAATTGATGAACAAAAATAATAAGGGTTCATAGTATCATGGAGTAGGGTGAGGTGGGGTGCGGTGGGTGGTTCAATTTGTTAATAACAAATTACCTGGAGACTTCATCCCACAAGGGACCCTTCTGGTTCGCCTCCTTGAACTTGTGGTCGAGCCTCGATCTAATCTCCAGAAGAGTGAGCGTCTCCTGTCTCGGCCATCTCCCAGCGCCGCTATCGCCGCCGCAACCTCCGACCCCAACATTAAGCCCAGTTTCGAAAGCACTGAAACACCCAGCGGCGGCGGCGGTGTTGCTGGTGCCTCCGGCATTAGTATTTCCGGGAGTGGTGGAATCTGAGCGGAAGAGGAGCATATCGTAGAGATGGGGCGGGGGATTGAGGTTCAAGCCCCGGTGGGTGGAGAGCAAGTCCGGCGGCTGAGGGATCGCCGGAAACAATGGCCTGCTGGTGATGTACTGCCGCAGATCGGCTATCCCGTATTGATCTTCCATTTTTTTTTTTAACTCGAATTGGCTTTTTTCTGATCGATTGTTAGCTAGCTTTTGTAATTTTGATCGAAGAGAGAGAGGGGAAGGTTGTTTGAGGGTAGAGAATGGTGAAAGGAGCGGCAGACCCGGATCGTGTCCTTACAGGAAAAGGTCATGAATTCGTGTAGAGGACAATGGACCCATCTCTACATTACTGCTTCTGCTTCACCTTCTGCTTGCTGCTGCTGCTGCTGCATCTCTCTCTCTCTATATCTCTATCTCTATCTCTATGTCTATCTATATCTATATCTCTATCTCTACCTCTGTCTCTATCTGTGTATGTATTTGTATACAGTCGTCCACACCTCTCTAATTCTCTAACCCTCTTATCTCTTGTCTGCGTCTGTGCATATACATAATACATACACATATGATGTATGTATATGTCGCACATACATACAGACATGGAAGGCCCTTGCCAAATGTATCTACCTACGTACATACTGAAATACTACAAGCTAATAATTAATTAATTAAATATATATATGTATTGTGTTTGCAATTAAATAATAATAACTATATATATCAAAATTAATAAGTGCGGTGTGACGAGATGGAATAAAGGGAGACAAATGTCAAAGCTTTACAAAAAAAAGGAAGTAAAAATAATTAAATGGCCGTAGTGATAGATCTAGCTAGCCACCCTCCCTTTAGTTTTTTTTCAAATATTATATCAACTATATATTGTAAATTTAAAATATTATATTAATTTTATAAGTACAAAATATTATATCCAATATCGATATATATTAATACTAAATGTTTCTTTTTTGTTCGATTTTTTACTATTTTCAAAAAAAATATACACAAAAAGAAAACAGATTTTTCTTAATTTAAAATCTTGTGTGAGCGTATGTGTTATTATTATTAATATTATTATTAGTGTTACCAAAGCTAAGGGAGAGTATCACGGCCTCCTTTCACGTGTCTTACTCTTCTATATATTATATATCTATGCTCATGTAACCGACATGAGTTTCAACAAAGAAAAATAAGTAAATATATACATATATATTATTTTATAATAAAAATAATAGAAAAATAATATTTTTTATATAAAAAAAAGTCATAAATTTGGATGAAAAAAACTAGAGTACATAAGATTAATTGAGTATGGTGTGTGTTCTATTTCCTTCTCTTTTGTCCAGCCAATATACACATCTGCATATTTGCTGGAATTCACAATTTGATTATTATATATAATAATCTTGATTGTACAAAGCTGAATCAATTTTGAACATGCTACAATTAAGTCAATACTGCAACTGGATTATTACCTGTAGCAGCTTGCTCTACGATGAATTATTCAAAATATTGCAGCATGCAGTTGTCTCTACTTTTCTCTATTAATTATCATGCCTCCTTTATAGTTCCTGCAAATATATACATTTCTGAGCTACGTACTTAGCTTGTATTTATTCACTTGCAATGTCTATGTCTTGCATAATATATCCAACACACATGCACATATACTACTATTTTGTATATATATTTTCAAAATTTGTTACAGTATATTAAATGCAGGGACAATAGGAATTATATTTTTTCAAATTTGACAATTACAATGCAGGCTTTACGTAGAGTTTTCATTGTTGCATTTTGTTGGAGTTTTCATTTACAAATCTCATCGTATAGTATATATTTAGAGAATCTTATATATATAGATATATATATATATATTTGTTTCAGTCTCATCCTGCCAAAAGTCAATTAAGAAGTGATTAATATGCTTAGTCAGATTGGGATGGGGCTCGAGAGTGGGTGTAGAACTCGGAACACAAAACCCACCTGGCTAGCTCTATCTAATAAACCAATTTATTAAAAAAAAAATAAAATGTGTATATATATTATAATAATAATAATAATTATATTGAAGATGATGGATCCGATTCGCTTGCTTTCATGCTTCAATTCCTAAAATGGTAATTCATAAATATTATATTTATATTTGACTGATGGAATTAAGAATAAGAAATGCCAAATATATAAATTATATAATTTGAATTTAATAGTACGAATATCGATGCAGGGTGCTGGTGGGCTCACACTCGCTAAAATCGACAAGAATATTATTATTATTATTATTAATTATGCGCTCTTTAATTATAACCTCAATACCAAGCTGTCGACTGTCGTACTGCACCCAGCATTACATTAGGGGAATTAATATTAATTAATTAATTAAATTAATGCCAGCTACACACTTTAATTTAGATCATATGCACATCCCTTTCCTTTCATTGTTTGTTATTTGAATTAACATTTAGACGGTACTCATAATGGAACTTATGAACGAAAAAATCCTTTTTATTTTTGGTGGACAAACATGCTTTTTATTTTCCTGCACCAAGGCATATAGAGAAACATGTTTTTTATTTTTCTACAATAAATTTTTTTTTTTTTCGAGAAGTCTGATGTTTTGCAGATAGGTTGTCAATCCAACTGTGGTGCAGTCTGAATTTGTGGACTTGATTTTAATCATTGTGTCAAATCTCTTAAATACCCACAAGAGTCAAATACGACGGTTTGGAGATGATCAGACTCGTGCAGAATTATTGGAAAACACTTCATTCATTTTTATACTAAGAAAAATTAATGTAAAGTGTGTTTTTTCCAAGGTTGCATCGTATATACAACCAAATGAGAGAATGTTTGATGGTGAGTGAGGTTTGAGAGTCAAAATTTAGAGAGAGAAATTATTGTGTGTGCTCTCACCATTCTCCCAATTTTCTCTATGTTTTGAACTATTGTTTAACACTGAAACCCACCGGGGAGGTCGACGGAGATTGGAGATAATGGAGTTCTAACCGGAGGATGATCAAACTCTGAGTTGCTCTGCTGTATGGTCGTTGTCGGTACGCGTTTGTGATAATATCTCCTGGATTGGTATCACCGGATGTAGATTGATTGATAATCGAATCAGATCAACAAACGTCTTGTTTCATTGTTGTTTTATGTTTTGCATTGTTTTTCGTTATTAAAACGTTATTATAACTGTGAACCGTCCACGCTTAGGGAGTTGACCAGTGTTCGAATGTATTTATTCGACAAATCACTTTCCCAACAGAACATTAAATTGATTAGTGTTCAATTGTAATTAACAAGTTACCAACGATTTCCTAGTCTTTTATTATTTGCAATAATGAATTGAAATTAAATCCCACTATGCTATTTAACGTCAACATACTAATTACTTTACACTTACATATAAAAACTAAAAGTTCGTGTTCTTTGGATGATATATACTAAAAAAGAATTATGATCTGATTTATTATTTACTAGCTGGATGACTGTGCTAAGCACGGTGAAATCTAACGAAAAAAATTATAATTATATTCTTTTTAATAGTAATTTTTTTATATATTATATATATTTTAATCAATATAAAAAATAAAATAATATCAATAAATTATACTATCTCCATCCAATTATAAAGTAAATATTTAATTTTGTAGCATTTTACTTTTATTTCTTAATTGAATATAAGATTATAATATAATAGTATTATTTAAAAATATTTTTGAATGCAAAATAAATTACATTTTAAAAATTTAATATAAGTTTTTTCATATCTTCTTTATAATCGTAACTATAAATAAAAATTATTTATCAATATATCCAGAATTTACACAACCGCCATTTTTCTACTAAATATCATAAATAAATTAAGAAATAAAAATATATAATCCAACAATATTCTACAAAATAAATTTCTCATTCTATTGCTTAAAAAATAAAGAAAAAACAAACAAAATCTTCACTTCATCCAACAATAATTTTAACACATCTTCAGCAAGTTCGAACTAAAAACATTATTATCATCTACTATCATCCACTAATTCTCGGCCAAACACACACACCAAATAGAGTCCGCATCAGTCCACCTCTGCAGACACCCAACCACCACTGTTCGAACACAAAGATTTACATTATATACTTGGAATAAAATATGCAATATAATTAAAATAATTTAATGTTAAAATAATATTTTAATTTATTATGAACAAAATCAATTAAAATACATATAAAAATTATACATATATTTGGATGTGTTTAGAACTTGATTGATTATGAAAATAAAATTATTATTCATATACATATAACAATTTCTACTTTTTACAACATAAAGAATAAAATCAGTTCCTCATAACGTAATTAAAATATTGTATAATAAGAATTTAATATTGTATAAAAAAATAATAAAAATAACATATAATTTAATATAAATTATGATCAATTACACTTAAATGTATAATAAAATAGCTAAACACCTGCATTTATCTTTTTTCTGTTCTTCTTTGTTCTCGTTTTTTTTTTTTTTCTAGTTTTCTTTTCTTCTTTAACATTCTTCTATTTCTGTACTTTGATGCTACAATTGAAAACAAATCATTATGTGAAGAAATTAAACACAAAATGAAAAAGAATAATCATAATTAAATACAAAATGAAAAAGATTAACCATTAATAAATTCACATTTTCAATTTCAATGTCCAAAAAATAACCTAATGAAAAAAAATATTAGGCAATGAAAATAAATCAACAAACCTAAACAAAATTTAGAAATAAAAGCGAGTGAATCATCCAACAAATAATTTAGAAAACAACTTTATACAAAAATTAAAAAAAATATATAATTAATAAAAAATTTGTTCTATCATATAAAAAACATGGTTAAAAAATTATACAAAAATTAAAAAAAATATAATTAATAAAAATAAATATGAATCAAATAATAAGAAAATATAAGACTTGAGAAAAAGTAAAAATTAAATAATAATAAAAAAAAGAACAACACCCTTTGAAAAATTTAAATTTATTCAAAACTTACTTCAAAAAGATTGGCAAGTTTTTCCAATAAAAAAATTGTGTAATCAAATAACAGAAAAATATAAAAACTTAGACAAAAAAATAAAAATTAATTTTTTTTTAAAAAAAAGGAACACACAATGGCAAGTTTTTCTGGCAGAAAAATTTTATCTTCTACCATAAAAAAAAAAAAAAACATGGCTAAAAAATTTTGCAATAACTCAAAAAAAATATAATTAATAAAAATAAATATGAATCAATAAATATAATTATATATATATATATATATATCATAAATGTTAGTGGAGGCTGAAAGGTTTCCTTGGGTTGGTAATGCATTCCAATCAAATTTCAAAAAATATATAGTGATGATTACCACACTAGAAACTGGAAATCATTTTTATTTTTTTAATAAAATATTTGTTTATTATTATTCTCTACCCCTGCTCCAATGAGGTTAAACTCTTGGGGACATAAATGTATATAGAGAACATAAAATTTTAAAATCTATACCTTAGAGAGCCCAAATACTTGCAACAATAGAGAGGCTGTGTGGGCTGTGCTCTACATTTAATATCTAGATAGATTTAGATGGCATATATATATATATATATATATTATACACTACTACATACTTTCGAACTCTTTTGTAATAATTGGTACTCAAATTTCTTAAAAAGCAAATAATAATAATAATAATAATGGCAGCCAAATTAGGCAGATTCTTCCCCCCAAATAGCAAACGAAGCAAAATCCTCCCACCACCATCATTAACAAAATCACCCTTTAGAGAGAGAGAGAGAGAGAGAGAGAGAGAGAAAGGGAGTGTGTGTATATGTAGTGAAGGACAATAATTGAAATGGTTTGGATGGTAGTGATAATAATGAAAGGAGGACCCATGAAAATTGATGAGATGAGAACTCAACTACCAGTCTATGTTTATATGTGTTGTACATACAAGAAAGACAGCACAGGAACACCCCCCTCGCATTAATTAATTAATTAAGTAAATATACTTTATTATTATTAAATCAATTCATCTCCGTGTATACATACTACTACCGTTTTTTTTTCAGTTTCCCCCCTCTGCACTTCGCTTTGCTAGCTAGCTAGCTCGGTGCATTTAATTAAGCCCACGCCTACATCCACACCCGCAACCGTGTAATTAATGCCCTTGTACATATTCTAAACTGAAATGAAGAATACGTGTATATATATATCTCTTAAATAAAATAAATATCATAAATATAATATATTGTTTTTAAATATATTTTAATATTTTAATATATACATACACGTACCTCGTCTGTGTATAATTGTGTTCAGGTTTTGTTCTTACACACACAATATATATATATATATATAGCTCTCACTCTCCCGCTGCTACTTAAAAATGATTGATTAACGAATTAAGCCAAATCAAACAAGAATTCATCCATATGGAAAACAACATACACACAAACAGATGTAATAACATTAATTGATATAGATATATATATATATTAATGTGTGTAGTCTGAATATCCATATACAATATATAGTATAATATATATATATATATATTAATTAATTTATCAGCAATGGAGTATTAATTGATTAAATAAAGTAGTGTATATATGGTGCAGGGTACAGAGATATATGGGATTGGATGTAGTATAGAAGAGCATGGTTGCAGTACACAAAATCTCCCACAGCACCTGAATCAGACACCCCACAGAGAGGATTCATGACGATCATTATTAATTAGTGGACTAGTAGTATTAATTAACACTGCACAAGTAACTGCCCCTGCAGGCCACCCATCCATGGAATTCAATTCAAACTAGAATTGGAATTGGAATTGGAATTGCCCACCACCCACCCACCCACCCACCTACCTACCTACCTACCTACCATCCTATACCTAGCTCACCTCACCTGTCCAAACCTGTCAGTAGTATGTATGTATGTATGATCAAATTTTAGTTTCTTTTTATTTTTATTTTTTGAAATTTTAATTTAAATTTAGTATCAAAACAATATATGATAAAAAATTTTGTCGAGGTTTTTTTTTTTTTTCAAAAAATATAAAATCAGAATAATAGAAATTCAAAGTTTTGTAACTAAAGAAACAGAACCCAATCAATTAAGAACCCAACACATCAATTCAGTTCAATTCAAATCAAATAAAATTCCTCACTCACCACGCTAGAGCTATACACACACACACACACACACATATATATATATATATCATTCATGCATCTCGACAAAAACTAATTAAGAGTAATTAATGCTCAGACATATACGTATATATATTCAGACATGGGTAATTAATGAGTGAATTAATGTTATACTCTATATATATGCATGTGCACGAGTGGACCATTGATTCATTGGTGATCCTTCATCCAGGCTGATCAGGTGCTGCTGTTTCTGCTTCTGCTTCTCAATCTCAATTTCTGCTTCGCTCATGACGTCGTCGTCGTTGTCGTCTTGTCACATACGTACGTACCATTTCTGCTTCTGCTTCTGCACTAATTAATTAATTGACCCACTCCACTATTCAGCATCTCATCTCATGCATATAAACATACATACGTACAAGTACATTTCTTGTCTCCCTAATCGCAGCGTTTAATTTGCATGCCTTTAATGCCTACCTGGCCAAGCCTCATGCTAAATTAATTAATACTAATAAATATATATATATATATATATGTCATCAATACTATGTTATTCAATCACTAGCTGATCCCCAATTAATTCCATGTACAGCCTTTTACGTTAGAGTTGGAATTGATTGGTGTTGCATGCTTTGATGGGGACGACTCGACTGCATGCAATGCAATACATCAATTTTAATAATAATAGTAATAAATAATGCCTCTTATTTTATCAATATATAATAATGCATGCACAAAGTCAATGCACGTTTGTCAGCTTAAGACTATAAATTAAATTCGGCAAAATAAGTCTTGTGCTCAGTAAGCAAACCATATTTTAAATACTTTTTTCTTAATTAAAACACATTACATAATAATTCTATTATCAATTCAAAATTAGTATTGTATCAAATAATTTCTTTTATTTAAAATATTACGCTAAACATATATTTTGTATTTAGAGATTTAGTTTTTCTAGAAAAAAAAAAAAAAAAAAAAAAAAAACATCCAAACACTCGCATAACTAAACAAACCCTAACTAACTAACTCTCTGTCTCTCTCTCTAAATTACATATAAAGAGTCGAGCTACTCATCCCATGCGTCTATGGTTCGAATAATATAAGTAATAGCAAAGATAATTTTCATTTTTAAAAAAACATTAAATTAAATATATTTTTCTCTTGTAAAACTGAAAACATCACTCCAAATAATATTGTTTTATTTTTTTCAAAATTATAAAAGTCCAAAAATCTTCAAAAATCTATGTAAACGAAAGCTCATCAATTTATAAATTTTAAAAAAATTGACATTATTATTGATGTTATATAAAATATTTATTATTTTTCTTATAAAATATTATGTCAAATAATTACAATGTACTGTTCCAATATTCTTATTTAAATAGAGTCAAAATAAGGGGATTGGAAGTCCATGCAGTCAATATTATATATTATTTATTACCGAAATAAATATAATTCATTTACATGCATACATTTTATTAATTGATTATGATGGGCTGCTGCAGGGTGGGGTAGCGGATGGACGATATATGTAATAAAGTAAATAATAATTCGACGGGCACACACACAAGTGATAGATATAACAAGATCGATCGAGACCTACAAGCAGGGGATTCAAATTGATCATAAATCGATGGGGTATGTATGTCTGAAATTAAAATTTAATAATATTGAATAAAAGGTTATAAATTAATTAGTGGGATTTGTATATATAATCAATTATCACCTATCCATATAAGACATATATATACAAATTAAACCTCAGTCATGATTATTGCAATTGACTGAGTACCCAGATTTCACTCATTAAAGGTTTTACCAACTAATCTAGTTTAGGCTGTCATCCAACGTAAGTGGGATTCTCTTCTTTCTTTAATTTGCTTTTTGGTTGGAAAAACGTATTTCAAGATTTTGAATTGCAACATGGTCCCTCCCTCCATAAAATCATTTCTATTTGATTCAATAACGTTAATGTTTATCACTGAATTTTAAATTATTCTTAAAAAAAAAAAAAAAAAAAAAAAAAAACTAATTCTTTATTAGTGTCCAATAGATGGGCCGAACGAAGGTCATTGCCACATTAATGTTATATAATATCATCAGTGGGCTCAATCCTATCGACTGTTTATACACTAATGAATTGGACTGGTAATTTGGTTGTGTTGGAGTTTTATGACCTTTTTCTTCTTTTCTATTTTTATATATTTAACATTGATTTTATTTTATTATGAAATGGATAATAAATTAAACCACCCCAGCCGAATAAAAAAATAAAATAAAATATATAGGGTTTGTTCATGTGTATATCATACACTATTTTTTATTTTTGGATTCAATCTACTAATTTTTCCCTAAAAAATATTATATACATCTAACACCAATTTTTTATTTACAATATCATATTACACAGTATCTTTCACCTAAAAAACTACATATATAAAAAATACACTTATTGTTTCGAGTTTTCGAAAAAATTGAATAAAAGTTGCACCGAAATCAATATATAAGCTGATTTTTATTAGTGCCATATCTATAATAATGACATCTGGATTTGTTTTCAATTCCTGGCGTTGGTATTATCTTAGTGGAAATTTTTTTTCCTTACTCGGATTTGACTTTTATAACAACGTCATTTTTTTCGAAGCTCACCAATAAAAGATATCACCTGCATTTGATGATATGGGATCACGAATCAACCAATTAGTTCTGTATAATTAAGTTTTATTCTTTTCAAAAAGCATTTACACGTTATTACAGCTAAGTGCAGTTAAAAGTTAAAACTTAAAAGGGATGTTACCTACTAAAATGAATGATCTTGGAGAAATTTTTTGTTAATTATATACACTATGGTTTTTGTTGTCGGTGCAAGTCCCAGGACTTATGCTCCAGGAAGAAAATGGTGAATCTGTATAATATTTTACTGTCTTAATTCTATTGCGTTACCAGTAAATGAAATTGTAATCCAAGATCAGTGAATTGATGAATTCAATTCATACACCAACCCAGAAATCCGACACCACTTCGTATCTGGCTCACACAAACCAAACCCAATTTTAATTTTATATATATTTCCCAACTGGTTCGCACTTGGCCCTTTTCGCGTCGACCCCAACTGCAAAAAATCACAATAACCCCAACACTACAAATATATATATATATATGTAAATCATGGATTACCTCGAAATATCTGATCATCGATTTATAACTGTCAATGCATTCCAAATAGCTAATTATACTTACAGAAATATATATATATAAAACAATTAATGTCTTCTTCTAGTTCTTACCGTGGCGTAAGGCGGCGGAAGAGCAGCGGGAAATGGGTGTCGGAAATTCGGGAACCTCGTACTCCGAACAGGATATGGCTCGGGACATTTCCCACAGCAGAAATGGCGGCGATCGCCCACGACGTGGCGGCGCTAGCCCTTAAGGGGAAAGAAGCCGACCTCAACTTCCCGGATTCAGCTTCTTCTTTGCCTGTGCCGGCTTCCACTTCCCCGCGCGACATTCAGACCGCGGCCGCCGGTGCTGCCGCGGCGGCGGGAGCAGCGATGAACGCCAACATTATTGGGGGAGGGGATTTTAAGACATCGTCTGGAATTCCCATTTCGGAGGCGCCTCAAACTAGTGAGTTTATTGACGAGGATTTGATCTTCGATTTGCCTAATGTTCTGGCTAATATGGCGGAGGGTATGATGATCAGCCCACCTAGGATTGAATTTGGCGACGACAATTATGATGTTAATGATCATGGTACTAGTAATGATATCTGGCTTTGATTATAATTTATATATACGTAGAGATGTATATGCATGCAGTACCTCTGGGGACACACACACACATATATATATTAATTTATTTGAAAGGCTATATTAATTAATTACTTAATTGAAGTGGTACTGTTGCACTTATGGATTATTATGGTGTGCACGATTATGATGATGTTTATTATTATTATTATTATTATTATTATTATTATTTCTCAAATTTAGTTTTACCACTAAAATTTTCTTTCAAAAGAAATCATTTTTTATTTTTGTTAATGAATCACTTTCAGGATATAAATAAGGATGATACTGATAATTATCATTGATTGAAGTCGAAGGAAAAGTCGTTAAAAAGAAACACATTAAGACAAAATAAAAAGATAACTGCTTGCTACATGCGACATTCACAAATCACACAAATTAATTAATCCAAGGACAAGTGTTGAATTACATCATTTATCACCGAACCCGGCCGGGTCATCAATTTTTGCTATATTTCCAAAAGAATAAAAAAAATAAAATGGAAATATATCATTGCATATTAAAACAGTAAAAAAAGAATAAAGAATTAATGTAAATTAAAAATAGAAGCCGATTACAAAATGATAGCAAAATAGTAGTACTAATCAAATCAGTTGGTTTCTTCCTTGACAATGTTCCCCACCTGTACGGTCTTCACTTTAAATCTCTCCAGCTTTCCGGCCGCCGGAAATCCATCCACTTCTCGGACACTGATCCTCGTCCCTGTTCGATCCTCCCCGCCGTAATAATTATTATTTCTGCCCAAGGATTCACAAAGAAGCGAATTTATTTTGGAGTGCTTTATTCTCTCCAGGAGGAATCTTTCCATGTCTGTATCCTTCTCAATCTCCGAAAAGAATTTCCGCAGCAGAATCTCTTGAGTTCTCACGCCCGTTTTTTTCAGACACTCCGTCAGAATCTGAAGCAGCTCGTCGACGACTTCTGATTCTTCCACGAACGTTTCCTGTAGGAATCCAGCTTCTTCTGCGGAGCTCGAATATTCAGAATTTCCGCAAATCGGGATTCTAGGGTTTTCTTCTTCTGGTTCGTAGTAGTATTCGGAGAAATTCCGTTTCTGATACGCCGACAGCTGCTGAGGATTCATCTGGTAAGAACAATTGACTGGTTGCTCTTCAGGCTGTGGATAAATCAATGGCGAGGCATTCACGGAATTGAAATTGAGCTTCTGCATCCTAAATTGTCTGAAGCTTGAAACTAATTAACTGCGATTCACAAGTTCGACTAGAATGAATTACTAGTTCTTGTGTGGGTTAGTTTGGAATAATGTAAGAACAAAGATTGTTGAGAGATGGGAGATCAATTGAATGGAAGAATTATATTTATAGATGGGCAGCTGTTTAGATTGATCCGTTTAAGCTACGAATGCTACGATGTTGACTTTGACTCGGCAGTCAAACTTGTTAATTTCGGGGAATCATCGATTGTTGAAGCCATCAGATTTGTCAGCTTTGACTATTTTTACAGAGCCTTCGGAATTTGCCAGATGTTGGTAAAAATTGGCCCAACATACACATATCTAATTGTCATTTCAATTTTTGCAGATAATATTTTATTTCCTGTGGTAAAATTTTACGGCTTCTTGGCTAGATTAACAAACGTGATGTGGACAGGGTCGGGTTTTTTTTCGTTTTAGTGATGCAAAGTAAAATGTTAAGTAAAGACTGGGTCCATTTGACCCGATCCAACAAATCTACTTGCCATGCAAGTCGGGGATATATAGCAATTTGTTTATTAATTTTTTAGTATTTTTATTGATTTTTTTTCTTTTTTTTTTTTTTTGAAGTTTTACCCCCCACACAGTTAGACACACTCACACACATATACGCTGTTGGGATCGACCACTGGATGTGCAAGCCTTGGAAACATTTGTTGAGATTCTGTGTATATATGTTGTCCAATTATTTTTAGATATTTCATTATTACTATTGTGCATGATTTCAATTTCCAATATTAAAGGACAACAGCATACGCTCACTTTTCAGTTTGGTTCTTTTTCTGCATCTGAACAGATTTGACTGCTGCTACTTATACATCAGATGGATTTTCGCATTAAAAATGTAATAATAATAAAATTAAATTCTATAATATACATATATATATATATTTCATTTTTTGATTTTTTATAAAAATATATTACTATTTTTTAAATTTAATTTTTTTTTTTATTCTACAATTTTTATAATTTTAAATAAAAATGCAATATTTACTTTATAAAACTTTATATTCATTCTAATATTTAAATAAAATAACTAAACAAACAAATTCAAAGATATTTTCGGATTTAATTGTCATATCATCGGCTGGCAAGTTAAAAATAGAGATGAGTTTCTTTGATGTTTAGATTGGATATTAAAGTTAAAAATCTTCCCTTTTTTTTAATTTTATTTATATATACAAATATGGATATATCTCTTCTTCAAATTTTAATCAATTCTTTTTTGACCCCAAGGATTGATATGTCATTTTCTGACCTTGCTTCTAAGGATTCTCGTATTAGAGATAGATTACATATTTTGAATTTTCTCTTTTTATCAATTTTTATTTTTATTTTTTAATTTAGTTTTTCCTCTGCAAATTTAACACAAAAAATAAATATCCTTTCTAGTAAAATTCATAAAAATCATGATAATTTCCAAAAAGGAAAAAAAATGCAAATATACCAATGTACAAGAATATTATCCCTGAAAATGAATTAATGAACTCTAGGTCTATATATCTTTATACAAATTCCCCAAGAATAAATAAAATCAAATAAATGGATGAGAAGTATAATTAAAGATAATTAATTAAAATTAGATTTCCCGGAGACGACGACAGCGTCCTCCTTGACAACTCCGACGCCTGGAACATTCACTGCCTTAACCTTAAATCTTTCCAGCTTCCCCTCCTCCTCCCACAATCCTTCTGATGTCCGAAATTGAAATTCACCATTAATAATATTAATATTATTATTATTCACCTCCCTCCCCATCTCCATGAATCTCGTATCTGTTTCTCCAGATGCATTCAGGTTCTTAAGTTTCCTCTTTAGCTTTTCCAGTACTACCTCTGAAACCGATGATGCCTTCCCCCTCAATTCTTCTTCCTGTAATGATATCTCTGCATATAAATATGAATATGATTCAGTATCTATCGTCATGTCGGCGGCATCTAAATTTAATGGCCGGGCCGGTAGAGGAAACTCCGCCGGAATTGGATTGTTTTTGCGTTGAGACATTATAGTATAATTCGAAAAACAAAATTTCAAATTTCATTGCAAAACTTAGTGGACCGAAAACATTATTTATAACCACATCCTAAACTGGAAGCTAAGGCATGACATTTCAACACGGGAAATCTCTTTGACAAGTAATCCACAGAATTTTTTTGACTGACAATCTAATTAGTTCTCATCTGACCAATTCCATATCTTCGATTAGGCATCTATGGGGTTTATGTTTGTTCAGTTTTTTATTTTTAAATGGCAGTGAACTGACAAAAATGATAGCTTTATATATTATATGCTACACATACACATTATTATTATTACCTGGTTTTTCATTGTTAATTAATTAGGCTGTGTTGTGTAAAGGATAAAGCTTCGTTCTGCCCATGCTAACAACCTTTTGTCCCAATTATTACAAACTCTATTGCTCACACTTCCCACTCACGAGTGTTACTGTAGATATGATGAATAAATTAATGAATATATTTGTTTATGGAATGATTATGTATTAAACTGGGAATCCACCTAATAAAGCAGCTTAACATTATTGATCAATTTAACTTTTGGCCACTAGATATATGTAATTTAAACAAAAACCCATTCCTAATCTTTGCCAAATTTCAGTCCTTCCTAATAAAGTAGAAAATGGAGCAGCCGAAGCACATGGCAGGACTATATATCCACAACATTACAAAATTGATATTGTAAATCACTTGTAACTTCTTCTTTTTTTTTTCTTTTTTATTAAAAATGTAGTTAGTTACTTGGACTGTTGTGGAATGAAAAAAGTGTAATAATATATATAGGTGCCTGAAGAATATATCTTTATGGATAACTTTTTCTTTCCAGAACTGACAACTACTAATGAGAAAAAGAACATAATTCGTTCATCATAGGAATAAAATAGGAGTTTGATGAATCTGTTATTTTTGTCCAATTCAGCTACATTACTAAATTAATGCTCTTCTACTCCATGGATAATTTCAGTTATGATGATGATGATGATCCTACTACAACTTCATTTTTCCCAATCCTTTCGACTGCAACAACATTGCTCATTCTCCAACTTCTAAGACAACATTGAACAAGACCTAATGTGCCTTCAATAGAGAAGTTCATCGGACACTTCTTCGACAAGTAGTGCGAAAATAGCAACCGCGATGTCTGCAGCAGTGCTGTCGACTTGCTCCGCAAACTTTGTCCATTCATCGCTATCATTCTTTAACTCTAAACCGATCATTTCAATAATGGTGAATTCACTCTTTTCTTGATTGTCCGAACGGCTAATTTCACTTTCGCCTTTTACCTCGGCTGCTGCAGGATCAGTTGCTAGCTTCTTAATGTCTAAGGACATTTTCTTGTAATGACATTGAAGGCTGGACTGGATGAACGCTTCGGATACTAATGTTTGCACCGAGGGACGTCTGGACAGCGAATACGACCCCTCGTCCTCAGACACCTCCTCGACTCCCAAATCATCGTTGTCTGATCCTTCCAGTAACTTCTGCTCAAGTTCCAGCGGATCCAACTCGGCGAGACGCTCGAATCTTCGCAGTCTGTTTAAAAGCTGCTCTTTAGCTCCTGCACCATTTCGGAGCAGAACAAAAACAGAGTCATTACACTAATCGAAATTGTCATAACATGGGTAGTTACGAAGTAGTGAACAAATTGTGACATACTTTGCACATTAGCATAGCTGCATTCCGGATCGTAATCGTCGGCCTCCGCATCTCCGCTTTCGCATCCCTCGTCGTCTTCGAAAGGAGCATCCAATACTGAAACAGGGCTGCATTGCTCCTTTTCTTCTTCATCTTCTTGCACCAATGTTTCTTCATTCTCCTGCAAGAAGTGGGCAGTTCTATGATTAAGTAATGATCCTCGACTACCTTAAAAACAGACCCGCGGACACGATAATTAGAATTTGGGTCAGGTCAACTAATAGAACAAAATCAAGATTTTGTCCTGTAGTGCTTAAATTATTTGGGGAGACAGCAATAATTAAAATAAGGATTTGCCGTGGCAGCAGCTCCAGGGGCGTGATCGAAGGTACAGAATTCAAACAAACAAACGTGTACCGATAATGCCCAGTATTGGTGTAAATTTGCTACAGAGATTGTTTGGATTATTAGAGATTTTTAAAGGCAACGACGAAGGGCATCCTCGTCATATGAGATCGACATTCCGGCCACCAAATCAGACCAGTGCGACTCGTAACCGACAGTACGAACAAGTCAAACGTTTGTGCAACAGTTGGTGAAATTTACTTGTGCCAAGTTACTTAGAAATGATGTAGATAACAGTAACTGACAAATAGTGTAGACAAAGACGTATACCTTTTTCTGTGTTTGGCGAGTCGGAGAAGACGCCGGAGAACAGAAATCCGGCGTGCGACGGCCGCCGTTGGACGACGGGCTTTTGTTGAAAGAAAATACGAAGGGGCTTGTGCAAAAGCGTGTTTCTGGGGAATCGAAATCGCTGGTGATATCCTCCGAGCAATCTGAACCGTAGCCGCTGGTTGAGGCCTCAAAATCCATGGATATGTCTTCTTCGTTGTTGTCTGTCCAATGAGCGCTGCTCAGCCGCCGGTGGATTCTGCAAGTCGAAATCCTTACAGGTTGTCCGGCGGCTTGTTTGGGCCTTTCCTCGTTATTCTGAATCGCACGATTTTTATTCCTCTTCCGATCCTTGAGTCTCTTGAGAAAGGATCCGAACAGCCCAAACCCTAGATTTTGGGAATTTGGCTTCGATTGCTGCTGTTTCTGGATCCTCATCGCCGCTTCGACAAGTTTCGCGGCGGTTCCGGACGGAATGTGGAGGAACACCGGCGACTTGCGGGGGCTCTTCGCCGGAGACGGCGAGAGCGAAACGCCCGGCGAGTTCTGGAACGAGAGAAAACAGGCATGCTTGGTGAAATTGCTGCGTTTCGTGGAGGATTCCGGCAGTATTGGCTTTCGTTTTCTGAGCTGTAAACCGGTGGACGACGGCGGCGCCGGCGGTTTCTTCAGCTGAGATCGCCGGTCGGTGATGTAGCTCTGCAATCGGAACGGCTCCTGGTCTTCCTTCAGGAGCTCGTGCAGTAACTGTTTATGAGCCATCATTAGCGAATAAGGACTCTGTTCTGTAGCGGAGAAATTGGTGAATGATAAGTGTGGAAAAAGGTTTGAAGAACAGCAATGATGAATTCAGCCGTTGGGGAAATGAAAAAGGAATGTTGAAGAGGTTTCAACAGCAATGGAGAAAGGCAGCTGTGTGAGGTGAGAAAGGAGAATTCGAAAAGTGGAGATATTGGACACAAATAGAAATAGCAATGGCGACGGAGAGAGAAAATATGAGTAAGAGAGAGAGAGAGAGAGAGAGGATACGTGGATTCAAATCCGACGGTGGTTAGAAGATCGAGGCAATGGCTGCGATTTATCGCATAAAGTGATATTATTAACTTTCGTAAGTACTATTTTTGCACGTTTTATTGATTAATTAATTAAAAAGGTAATATGACGTGTTATTTTTTACCTCTGCTTATTTTGTTCTTACCTTTTAAATTAACGGTCAAATCTTTACCATATTTATCGGTTCGCCGCCGTTACAGTAGTCATTTTCTAGGACAGAAATGTGGTGAAAAATGATGAGTCATTCAGACAAACGAGATTAGATGTTATTAATTTTTAATTTTATTTTTTTATATACTTTTATATACACACAAGTGGGTTTTCTTTTCCAGGCCACCGAGGTGGGTCTGCAAAAAAATTACTGAAAATAGGATGCTGTTTACATAGCCTTTGATCGTGGCATCTCTTTTGATTATCATTTCGATGACAAATTCTTTAGAGACAAGAAATTGTTTGTGTGTGTGTGTGTTTTTCGGAACTGTAAAAAAAGTGATCAGAAAGCAGATATTGACAATGAGTAAATTACGGATAATGGGATTGGATACGACTGCATGCGTAAAAAGGCATGCAGGTCGTACCACACCCACTGTTCATTATTTTTGCCCCCGCTCCAACTTTAATTCGAAAATGAATAAATCAAGAAACTATCTATATACATACATATATATATAATTAAATTACATACCCTATAGTATACAGATCGATGTAATAATCAATTTTATTTTCTCTTTTCAATGTACTTTGCATGATTTATAGTTGTTACTACGTTTGTCTTTGTCATGCACACAATATTTGTGCATTTATTGTTCAAAAGACCTTCACGGAATTTGAGAGCTGGGGAGCCTTTTTGGCCTTCGAAGACTACACACAAACTAGCTCCCAAGTCACGTGACTCAGGCTCTCGACCTATTTATTTTATTTTATTTTAAATTTGTTTTGAATTACGGACAAGTGAATTTCAGGTTGTCGGAATAGCAATTAAAACAAACAACGTAACCTTCCTAATTTAATAAAAAAAAAATATTTAAAAATAAAAATAAAATCCTTGGATGGTCGTCACTTTTTATTTATTTATTTGGTCAATAATAGTACTCTGAACTGAAAGCTAGCTAGCTCAATGGGATTAGGTCTAACTCCAGTTTAATTTATGATTTGCAGACCTGCAACTAAAAGAGCCATAAGAAGAAGTTTCGTGTCTTTTAGTATTTTATTTTATTTTATTTTATTTTATTAATGTTGTCTGAGGCTGAGAGAGTATCCAATGCTGGAGGCATAGATCCCATCCCACCCCATCAACCCTTAGTTTACTATTTTAATTATTTATTTAATTAATGAGTCATGAATGTACGCAATTAATTAATTCTGTACAAATTGAGCAACGTACAGCAGAAATATTGTGAAAGATCTGAAATTTTGTACGTAATTACGAACCAAATTGATTCTCCAACAATTGGGCACCATTTGTGGCCTTTTCTTAAATAAATAAAACAATTGGCAGAATTTTGTCACAATTAGACATTGTGGAATATCTCTATTATTATTATTACTATTTTTATTTTCAATGGAGGAGACAAGGTTTGTAATTACTTTTTATGATTTTGTCCATTAACGCATCTGCACTTTGCAATAAATTTAATAATAATTGCATTGACCCCAAAAAAATTCGTAGCTTCCACACTTGACTTATATGGGAATAGGGGACAAATTTAAATGTCTGGATTATATTGTGTTTAAAAAACTCTCATGCTGTTCACACCATTTGTGAAAGCAACAAAACTTATACTTGATTAGTTTTATTTATTTGGAGTATGCCCTAAATAATTAATTTCAATTGGGGTTTGTCACATTAGTTTTATAACTAATTGCAATCTAATTTAATTGTATGGTTGATGACAAAATGGGTAGCGAGTATTATTGCAAAGAACAAAGCAATGTGTAGTTTCTCTGAGCTAGGATTTATTATATACACAAAACATCGATTGAAGTGATGTAATTGGTCTAATTATTATATAATGTGATGTCTTTTTATTGCTCACGTAATTTATTACACTATTCGGAAAATAGCAATAAATATCTATAAAAGCATTCTTTAAAATACTCACTTGACTTATATTTTCGATCATATAGTTAACTTGTTTTTTTTATCTGTCTATCTATTTTCAGTCAACAATTTCGATGCCAAACCATCTATTTTGCAATTATTTTTATTTTTTATTTTGCTGTTAATCTCATTGGCAATAGAGTATTTGCTTGTTTGTTTGCTTTTGTATTTGATAATAGGGTAAAACAATTTATTTTATTCCCATTCAAAAAGAGATTAGCACTATAACTATGGTTCCACTAATAACTAATTTATAGTGTTGGAAATAAATTATATCGGCATGAAATTAGGCTCATCCGATGAAAGATTTGACACATCAAATTTTTATGGTAAATATTATATTAAATCATTATGTAATTAAAAAATGAAAATCAAATGCATTTAGAAAATAAACAAATTGTACGTCTCTCAATTGATGAAGACAAAAAACAATAAATGCGAATGCGATATACGGTGGTGTGGTTATAGAAAACGAAGTGCCACGTCGTCGTCATGCAGCCATTCATTGGTCTGTTCCACACGTGCTGGTGAGGTTAATTTTCCTCCACATCATCATCATGTATATACCCACCCCCACCCCACCCACCCCATTATTCCGTGTTGTCATATTAAGATTTCACAAAAACTAAAAATAGAAATAAAACAAAAGTAGTTAGTTGTCTTAATACCAGCAAAGCACCTCCAGAAAAAGTACCTCTCACCTACCATTAATTAAATTAAATTATCACAACACCTAAAATAATCCAAATCCAATGTTATCAAAATTATATCATATATAATAACAAAACAAAATCAGGGCAAGTTTAATTTACCATTTTTTGTACTGCCAGTTTTTCCCATCTCAGTAAAAGTGAAAAATCAGCGTGCAGTCTTTTTGTCGAGAAAACTAAGAAAGAAACAAATAAAACTGGACGCATCAATGCCAGCAGACATCCGCAGATGCGAACAAACTCTACTCTGCCTCATCTATCAAATCACGTTTTTAGCCTTGTGTCACTTTCCATAACACGCTTTCTATTTCAGCGTCTTATCTAGCTGCCATAAACCGTAGTATCGTGTCCATACACATACATGTATAACAATCCGTGAATGTAATAATCATAAATAATAATAATAATAATAATATGAAACTTACAGAAACGTCAAGGCGGAACCAGACAATAGCGCTTTCTGGTTTAGAGACACACGCTTTTAATACATGATTGTGCGATTCTGTTCGGATCGGACACTCCAAGATATTGAGTGTGGCGTTTTACAGATTCATGTTCGATCCTCCCCAAAGATTACGAATCCATGTGATGTAATGACCTGAGAATAAGAACAACTCACAGGACTCTTCTCTACGATCTACTCTGCTGTAATGAACCCTAATAATGTGATTCTTGTCCGAACAGGTGGGTTTAGGTATCTGTAAGAACTGGGCTTTCCAAATTGGGCTTCTATGGCCCAACTAATATATTTGTTGCTGGCCCATACAAGATTTGCGATTGACATTTAAGTTTTTATTTATTAATATATGTAAATTATATATATTTGGAACTAATGTAGAAATTTGAATAAAGGGAGTTAGATTTAAGGCGGCATATTGTCCCAATAGACCAAAGTACATGAATTATTGCAATCTAAATTGGGGTGTTTTTATCATGTGTCAGTGTCACATCTCCCTAACAAATAATCTCTTCATGCCAGAAGTAGGGTATATGTCTATGCACACTACACATGCTGATGGTGCCACCATTTTCAAATTCGAAAAAAGGGCTAAGAAGACTGGTTGTCATGTAATAATAAAAAAAAGAAAAAAAAAAATAGAACTCCAGAAATACTCTTTCACGCCCACACACCCACAGACCAAAAAGATTATTTTTTTAAAAAAATAAAAAATAAAAAATAAAAAAAATCAATTCTTAGCCAACTTATATTACAACTAACCTAACCACCCTTTGCAAGAAAATATGTTTTTTTAGATGAAGTCAATGGAACCGAAGAAATAATGCACACAGCGCAGCTAATCCATGTGGAATCCTACAATTGTTTTGTGCTTTTTTCCCCTTTTCTAATTTGATAATAAGAACGAATCTTTTAATTAATTTGGCTTTTAGCTGTACTGTTTATGATACCTCATCGGAAAACTCGAATTAATCTAAGGTTGCTATGGTGATTACATTATACTTACATTACACAGTTGACCAAGAACATACGATACAGGTGTCCACTTGCTACAAGAATATAGAAAAAAGAGAGTAGAGTATGTATAATAATCCTTCAAGCAAACTCAACATTGAGTGCACCTTACGAAAGAGTAAAAGAAATAATTTGATTGTGTAAAAGTCCAGACATGATATTGGACTTTTTCAAGAGTGGTCTGGCAGTTAGTCCCATGTTAAAATTACTTGCAACACACAGCTTCTTGCATAAATAAATTCCAGCAATAGAGATGAAAAAGATACAACAGTTTGGCAGTACAAGAAATAAGAAGAAACAACTGGAACAAATCAACAGCACAAGTGAGTGAGTGACAGAAACTATAGTTACAGATATGTTTATGGTTTTTAAGGAAAGAGGTTAGAGAATGAATCCCCTGTCCTAAAATTAGAAACCCTTCCATCATCCAAAGACACACAAAACACACAGACACGCACATATATATATATATAGATATAACATAATGAGTCCCTTTGCTAAATACAACACACATATGATAATGATCCTAATTAGAAGTGGGCGAGATTTGGATAATTTTTAGGCCATACGTATCGTTTCTATGTTCTTGCTGAGCTCTTCCAGTTTCTTCAGCCTCATTGTCTCGCTCTCACCCACCAGCTGCGTCGAATGCAAATAATTAATTAATTATATGTATATGACAAGCAGTAGAATTAAGAATTATAAGTTGGGTGTAAGATCGTGGCAAACCTCCATCAATCTGGAGATCAGCTGGACTTTTTCTTTGTTCTTCTCATTGAAAGCTTCTAGGGCATCTTTGTACTCTTTCTCCTGCAATGGAAAATGTTAGAATCAGACAGTGAATCGATTCTCAAATGGAGATAATGAATGAATATAACGGTGTACACCTTCTTCTGGCAAGTCTGTCCCAGAGGCTTTAATTCCTTGTTGATCACATCGATCTTCTTACGTACAACAGAGACTTCTTTCTTCATCGGATCAGCCAGAGCTTCCAGTTCCTGTGTTTTATTACAAGATTTTAATCTTAGTCAATGACTTTAAGGTTGCAGCAAGCTCGAATTTTGCAGAGCACAAAGAAGTCAAATGGCAGGCATTTAAACAAACAATTGTTAAAGCATAGTAAGTGAGCATCCAAATCAAGCAATTTTGTATAATCTATGGCAAGATTATTAGCCTTTTATGCTCGGCAGAATTCATACGAAACAGAGGATAAGACCCATCTTAGTACATCGCCAAGAAAACTACGGATCTGGAAAGAAGGAAATATCGGAGGTTGAAATAAGTAAAAGTAAAAATCCTGTCTGGAACAGTCAGGTAATTATAATACTCTTTTGCCCTAATCCCTAGAAAGACCGAATTCGTGAAATTATGGTGCGAAAGTTAACAGGAAGATTGAGAAATTGAGAACCGAGCTCGTGAATTAAACAATAAGAAATTTACTGGTGTGAATTTGGGGAGAGAAGACGAAAGTGAGAAAAATCCCCAATTTGAAGAAACCCTAGCTAGGTCAAATAAAATTACTATTAATTACCTCGCGAATGGTGGCCAAGCGCTTCGTTTCTTCCTCGATTCGTCCGAGCTGCGCCTGCACTCTCTCCTTGACCTCCATCTTCTTCTTCTCGATCTCCTCCTCCTTAGCCTTGAAAGTGGAGAGAGCAGATTTGGACATCTCCTCCTCCTCTTTTGTCAGGGCGCCATTGAAGCTCAAGCTCCCGGAAATCTGACCCGATTGCATCAGCGTCTTCAGGTTTGTGGAGTTCTCAGAGTGTGCATCGATCATCGCTCCTAAACCTTTCCCGCACAGACAACCCGTCGTCGTCTTTAATTGCTAAATCCCTCTTTACTATCCTTTTTCTTTCTTCCCGCACCAGGCCGAGCTTCTTCCTCCTTTCTCCTTTCTTCTTTCTTTTCTTTCGCTTTTGCTTTAGGAATCCTGGCAAGCAGACGATTATGGCTGCTGTAATGTAGTCTAGTGTAAATAACCCCTCTTTTCTTTCCAAGGTATTATCAAGCCCTTTGTGACCCACCACTCTTAGAAATATATATATATATATTTAATCAGTATATGTATGTATGTATATCATATATGGTATTGGTACAGTGAAGCATAAGGGTGAAATGACCCAACTGCCAACTACTTGACAAAACAAACAGATGGGCTGCAGAATAATTCAAATATATATATATGGTAAAATTTCTTAGGCTGATTACTTACCAACTCTCGTTTTGTTCATTGGGACAAAATACAGAGAAAAAAAGAAGCACATGAATGAACCCCACCTCACCCCACCCCACCCCATTTATGGATGAATAGGATTTGATAATATCTCCTCCATTCAGGGGTTTCCTTCAAATATTCTCTACAGACTAACGAAAAGTTTCTTTTCTTTTTTCTTTTCTTCAATTAATTTGTGAGCAAGAAGAGTGAGTTGATTATCATGTGTGTCCTGACCTGTTTTGTAAATCAGTGTTTGTTTTCTTAAGTTTTGGTATAGCAGCATTACTCAAATTCAGAATTTTCACATGGAAATTGGTGACAACTGAAAACAATACACAATCAAATGAAATGAGAAGTGATTGATTATAAGCATGGTTTTATAACAATGATGAGTACTTGAATATTACTATTGTTCAATATATATAATGATTTTAATTATTGGGTGGGGAATGAATGAATAAGATATGTCATAATAATAATAATAATAATAATATATTTTGTGCGTGTGTGCAGATGGGGCAAGCCATTTCTTAAAGCAATGATCTTTTGGGTGATCGAAAGTCGGACAGGCTTGACATGTGCACTCCATGCCCTCCTTCTTCTCTGTCGTCTGCGTCATCATAAAGCTTCTTCTAATAAACCCACAATTATTACACTAATTAGGGGTTTCCTCTGCTCTGCAAAAACATTCCTCTTACAGGACATATATCTTATCTGAAAAGAATCAAATTAAATGTGAAAAAAAAGACACATACATAGATAGCACAATCTCACTTATAAAGATTAACTCCAGTCTCAAAATCTTTATTTATGAAAAGAAAGATTCTACATGTGAATTAGGGAATTGATTCACCTCAAATACTTTTTTTGTCACCCTTTTAATTTTCTTTTATTGTTGTAATATAATATTAATATGATTTGCAAAGGCTAGTGGGTTATATATACTTTTTCTTTCTTTATTTTATTTTTTTTGAAAAAAAAATATATATTATTGGGCCACCACCTTATCTTCTTACAAGATTATGGTGTGCAATAACCCCGGCGGTAAGTAAGTTTCAGGGTGCTAGCTTGTTTTTTTTTTTTTTAAAAAAAAATTAAATTAAATTAAATTCTATTAATTACTGAAGTAAATACGAAAATTGAAGAAGCTGAAGAAAAGTGGCATTGGGATTGTCACTTTGTCTTCACAATGTCAGCAGTTTAGTTGTTTTTCTCTGTTATCTGTCTAATTCGGCTGGGATGAAAAATATTAAATTTACTAATAATAAAGTTGTGTCATCTTAATTATATAATCACTATCAATAAATTTAATAATTAGAACTAAATATCATTAAAATCGTCACGTAATAATCATAATTAATTGGAAGGAGCGAAGTTGGTTGCAACAAATAAAACCATATACTGTCTTTTTCATACAGTGACCGTTGAGCTACTACCATTATATTTTACTTTTTTGTTTTCTCCAAAAAATCTAAACGATCCATTGGACCTAATTCTGATCCACATGAGGCCCAATAAAGCTTCAAATCTGTAAACTTCGATATTCAAGTTATAGGCCCAATCTTTTACCATGAAGCCCATTTAATAAAATTATTGGGCTACCTCAGTAAATCAAACCATGGCTGGAAGGGATCCGCTGGGCTGGGCTGGGCTAACACACTAAACTCTTAATGGCCTGGCCCACTAATCAAAAATTGTATTTTCCATATTGTAGGAAATGTAAATAATTTTTATTTATTAGTTTAATTACATTTTCTTAATATAATAAAAATAAAAATAAAAATAAAAAGATGGGAGATTGTTGGTGGTGCGGCGACCGACAGGTGAAGACGAGTGAGGAAAGCAGAAAAAGCCATAATTTCGTTAAATGTTGAGAGGTTAGAAGATAGGTTCGAAAATTGCAAAACAATAAAAGCAGGGCATTAAATTGGAGCTCAATTGTTGGGTCACATGTCTGTGCGCATGTCAGTCTGGGAACATTACAAAAGTCTTGTCAACTCATAACTCTGTGACTGTAATGGAACTGTATTTGTACGTATGTGTATGTCTGTGTGTATATGTGCGTGAATGAGAGAGAAAGGTGGGAGGTGGAGGAAGAGAGAGAATAAGGTTTATTTTAAGTGTCAGAATGTCAGAAATCGGGTCAGATCACGTGGGTCCCACGTGGCCCTTTTGTTCTTTTCCTCTCCTCCCCTGTAACCTAACCAAAATAATTTTCTGATTTACTTTATTATGCAAAGTTTTATTTACAAAGGGAAGGTGGGGAGGCAACGGGCAGCGGGCAGGGGTGGTCGAAGCACAGTGGCGCGAGCACGCCGGGCCGGCACGCGATCTCTCGTGTAAGAAAAAAAACTATTAAAATATGGGTAGACGTCACGTGGATTCACGTGACTTTATTTTTCCCAGATTTCAATTTTGTTACCGTCTGCATATTATAATCGACTGTTTAGACCATGCTAAAAGCTTCATCACTATTTATTGATTTATCTTACAGTAATTTTTGGAAAAAATATTTAAAGTTTTATTATTATATATATTCTTTTCATCCTAACTTAATGCATTTTGTTTTTTTTTTAAAGTAAATTAATAAATAATATTCACTCAATCCAATCACAAAATATACCTAGGGTGTGTTTGTTTGGGGGTTTGGATTTTGGACTGGGATTTGAATAGTAAAAATTTTGAATTTGAATAGTTGTATGATGTGATATAAATAGGGTTTGATGTGATGTTTTGAATGTAAAATTGATTTTTAGTATAATATAAAAAATGAAAAATAGGTGTTTGATTTGATATTTTTTGGGGGAAAAAATTGGATGAATAGTGGAAATCCTTCAAAATCCTTCAAACAAACACACCCCTGTTGAATTGTCCAAGTAACTTTTTAAAAATAATTATGAACTTCATCTTTTTTATAAATACTTTTAATAATAAATAAATTATTATTTATTAAAATATAAATAAAAAATTTCATAAAAATATTTCTTTTTTCATTTCCTTGGCGATGAAAATATCAAAATTATTTTAAAAACACGAAAGAGAAGAATATGTACTGCAGATAAATTTAAGAGTGAATAGTGACGGTGGTTGGTGGTCTGTGAAATGTCTGACACCTGCTCAGATAGTCAGATGTTTGGATCCTCATTAATTCTGCAATTACGCTTTTACCCCTACACCAGGCTTTTGCTCTAGAGCCCGGGTGCCGAGGTCCGGAGGTCGATCACCTACTAAGACTAGGAGTCTAAAACACACAGCACAAAGTACAACCATCGCAAGGAAGGAAGAAGGCTAATAAGATATGTAATGTGTACATAAAATATACATGCAAGGGTCATGCTGTGGGGGCTTAAAAGAAGAAGACAGTAGAGACACAAAAGTAGCTGAGAAAGTAGGGATAAATAACAGAAGAAACCAGAACACAAAGTCTTGGAAGAAATAACAAAACAAACATATTTTTCAAATTAGTGTAGAGTAGTGCATTGAAAAGTGGGGTATAGAGGGGGGTTGTCTGTCTGTGCATCTTTGGGAACACACAAACATGAGAAAAAGCAGCTGTTATAGCATAGAGTTCAAGAAGGGTGAATTAAATACCATACCAAACAAATTCACAAGATTAAACTAATGTGAGAAATAAAAATTAACTCTTTGATGATTATGATAAGAAGAGGTAAAAGGGCTAAAGTAAAATGGTGGTACTAGTATTTTAACATTATTTAGCACTACAAGTCAAAAACTAAAAAGGGCTGACAGTAGTAAGTTCAATTTTCGGCTAAAACCAACAACCTGTCTCTGCAAATTTCATAACATCAGAATTCTGCTCAATTGCCATCAAATTGGGAGCTGCAACTGTGTGTGTGTGTATATGTATGTATCTATATAACTGTGTCTGTGCTGAATAAAACAACTGTTCAGACTTCAGATTGGACAGCATGCAGCTGCATGCCTAACTTTTAGTATAATTTCAGCACATCATTTTCATTTCCAGGTAAGAACATCCAAGGACCACTGCCACTGTACATAATTTATTCATCCCATACCTGTAAGAAACAAGAATGCAGCTAATCTCACTGGCTTTTCCTCTTTTCTTGAATAGCAGAAAAGATATATATTTATGTAGATGTATTATCATATCATATTCTGACAATAAATATACCTGAAGTAAAAAAAGCAAACAAATTTCACAGATCTCATTCTCACCTTGGGCAATTGATTAAACTAATTGTTCTCATGTGGGCACATGCAAAGCCTATTTAAAACTGGAATTTTTGTTCCAAACGACCCCTTAATTACCTAATAATAACAGTACTCCCCCCAAGGAAAGGGAAAGGGAAAGGGAAAGAGCTCTTCTTGTCCTTTCAATGCAGAAGCTAAGCTAGTGTCGTGGATCCCATTTGATTCTCTAAACTTATTAGCCATCCCTGTTCATGATTTAATTACAGAGTCCAAGATATTCTATGTTGGCCCTGTCTTAAGTATTACAAGCATATAAAAATTTAGTTCTCTAGGTGTTATTTACAGAGATAACATAATATATATAAAAATGCATTGGGGCGTTAAACATGGGGTTTTCTCCACATCACATGTTGCGACAATGATAATCACGAGGAGCTTCCCTGCAGTTTTGGTCAAATTGCTAATTAACTAGTGGGATCTTTGTATCAATTATTACTAGGCAGGGATGTAGAGCGCTTGCTGGGGGGGCTAGGAACTGGTCAAAGGGCAACCCTAAAATTACACTACTACACCATTAATTCTATTTCACTGTGCAAATAAATAAATAAATTAGCTGTGAAGAAAAATATAAAATGGAAAATTCTTTAGCCTGAGCATCAAAGATTCAGAACACAACGCATACCCACCAAAAACCACTACTACAAAAGTTTCTCCTCTCCCCTCCTCTCTCTCTCTCTCTCTCTCTCTCTCCCCCGTCACAGTCTCTGTCACAACACTAACCCCTCCAGCTTTCTGTTTTGTTTTATATCTCCATGGATTTCAATCTCAAGCACTGGAGAGATGAACCAACTGAAGATCAAGAAACAGCAGCAAAGCTGCCAAGGCTTCTACTTAGCTCTTATGATCTAAACCACCACTCATCTACAGCTGCTGCAGCTTCTTCTGCACTACCCTTGTTTGTACAGTGTGAACCCCCCAATAGCAACCTGTCAGCACACTCCTCTGACAATTCAACTCCACTCTCTGCTGCTTCAAAACTCCCCAGTTCGTGCTTCTCTCTCTCTCTCTCTCTCTGACAGTCGCTCAAGTTTTTCAGAATATGTTTTATAACTATGTGATGCAGTTTTAGCTTCCAATTAAATGAGATGGTTTAGTTTGCACTTACATTGTGTGATTGCTGTCATCATCATCAGGGATGGGGAGCAGCTGCTTCAGCGTAGGGCAATGGCAGGAGCTTGAGTTGCAAGCTTTGATCTTCAGGCATATCACGGCCGGTGCTGCTGTTCCGCCTCAGCTCCTCCACCTTCTCAATAAAAGCCTCGCCGTTGGTTCTACTCCCCAGTATTACCTCTGCAACCCTCTCCATCAATGCTATTCCCACTACCAACCTGCAGCCTGTAAGTTCATTACTCTGCTTTGTTTTGAAAGAATTTTAAGTTTTTTCTCAATCTTAGCTTTCCTCTACGAAGGATTTTAAATTACTGAAAGATAATAAAACAACGAACTTAATTATGGACGTACCTGTCTGTGTATGTGCGTGTGAACCAGTGCTGCAATCTGGGTATTGGGGAAGAGCGGCGATGGATCCTGAACCGGGGAGATGCCGGAGGACCGACGGTAAAAAATGGCGGTGCTCCAGAGACGTGGTGGCGGGGCAGAAATACTGCGAGCGCCACATGCACCGCGGCCGTAACCGTTCAAGAAAGCCTGTGGAAACCCCCACATCAGCCGCAGCAGCCAACAATGGCGGCGGAGAAACCTTTCTGAAAGCTCTCCACTCGACTACTCAAGGAATGGCGACAGCCGTTGCAGGTGGCGCCCCGCCCTTTAAGCTCTCGGGACCTTCGCCTTCCATGGATCTTCTCAACACTAACCGGCGGTACTCCCTACGTTTAATTGCGTGAAATGGAAATGAGATTGAATTAGGATTTCTTTTCGAATTTATAATTTTCTGAAACTTTCGATCCGACTGGTGCTTCGTAGGGCTTCAAGCTCCATTATCCAATTTGACACTGAAACGGAAGGTCAGACGGCCAGCGGCCGAACTCTCCGCCATTTCTTCGATGATTGGCCGAGATCGGAGGACGACGCCGGCGGCTGCTCGGCTTCAGCCACTAAACTGACAATGTCGATGCCGTCGGACTTCTCCTTAAAGCTTGGGACCGGCAGCGTGGAAGACTCTAGGGCACAAATTGCAAGTGGCGAAAGAGACGGACCTCGATTGAATTGGGGCACGCCGTGGGAGGCGACTAATCGGGCGGCTCCGATGGGCGGACCACTAGCTGAGGCCCTTCGGTCGTCGACGTCCACCTCTTCACCAACGAGCGTGCTGCATCGACTGCCGCTGAAGAGCTCCGCCTCGGAAACTAGCTACGTCAGCTCCTAAAGACGATCTTCTTCACTTCCATGGCGGTTTTCACTAATCATCATCGTGTTATGCGCTTTTGTTTAACTTAAATTCGTCGACTGTTGTTAAATTTCCTGTTCTGTAATATTCACTTATTTGCTGCTGCAATCATTCCAATCATGTATCTGATGATGACGATGATGTTCTAACGATTTTCAAGAAAGGGGAATGAATGTGTGCCATAAAATTTCCATGGATGAAGAAGAATCCTTACAAAAAGACTCGCAACACAAATCAAATGTGGTACATTTTTGGATGTATTCTTCTTATTCAGTCGAGAACTGCACTGGGCAGGCATGATCCAAACAGCACCATCTTGTTCATGATTGTTTCACCAGCCATCAAGATTCACTTCATCTTCATTCTCGCTCCAAACCGTAGACTACCGCTGTTCGACAAGGCGTGTAGATCATAAAGGACCGAGGCCTGCCATCATATAGCCCTTCCTGTAGCAGACATTATCATTCCCATAGTTTAACTTTCTGAATTATTCAAGAATCATACATGTAATTTCGTAACTTCTTATTATCTGAATCAGCCAAATTTGGGAGTCGGGAACTTAGAAGTCACAAAGAACTTACGGAGGTAAAGTGCTCGGCTTCATGACTAATTCTACCAAAGCCTCCAAACTTTCTGTCGTCCGAATCCAAAACAACCTGCATGAAGACGTCAGGATGAAATAAGGTACACTACAAGATCCTTAACATTATAAGTAGCTAACAAGGCCAGAGCAGAGAAGAGTAGTTTTCCTTATACCTTGTACTTTCCAGGCTTCAAGCATCCTACCCGATAACCTGTATAGCTTTTATTCCAATGAAAATTGAAGACGAAGACCAAGTCCCCTCTTTCAAATACAATAACCTTATCACTCTCACTTTTCTTCGATATGTACTGATGCAAGGATCTCAAAAACTGCAAATAAAGTTTGCAGCATTAAACACTTGCCAAAGCTGAAAGAGTAGTCTATGAGGCTGATAACAAGGCAGATTAAGTTTGCAGGACAGGTTTTTATTTATGTGCAGTCCTTCATTCTTAATGCTCAGACATCCATCTAATGCATTCTTTGAGAATTGTCCCAACAAAATATTGTACTATCAATATTAGTTTCCTTGCTTGATTAAAATTCAATCCATTAGATCAGCAACATCAAGATACATAGTGAGAATAAAATGCATACATACCCCATATTTATCTTCAAGCCGTTGCATTGCCCTGTCAAATTCTTGCATCCCACGATATCTTAAGTAATCTGCATCTCCCTGTATATCCTTAAAATTAAATTGGAGACGTAGAAGGTCTATCATAGCATCTACAGCCAAAATCATTGAGAAAAAAAAAAAAGAAAGTTTCAAGCCTATTGTGTTGTTTTATACATTGCTACTTTGAAAGTTCAAATCACTTTGATCATATAAGCAAGCATGCTCAAGAAAACTAGAAAATTTTATGAGAAAAACATACATGTTTGAAATGGAATTAACAGAAGGTAAGGCATACACTAACCAGGTCAAACCGTCGCCTACACTTGTCATAGCTATAGTTGTTGCCTGGAATGACTCTCCCATCAGGATGAGAATGATCACCTCTAGGAAAGTCTATCCACTCTGATATATAAGACATAAGGGTCAATAATATGCTTTGCGCAATAAAAAACAATAGATTTGTTGATTTTACAGCATAAGAGTGTTTAGCAGTTAAAACACTTCAAGCTGGCAATATATATTACAGTGTAATACCTGGATGACCAAATTCATTTCCCATGAAATTTAGGTACCCTTCTCCACCTAATCCCATTGTGATAAGCCTAATCATCTTGTGTAATGCTATTCCACGATCTACTGTGGGTGTAGTTGGTCTATCCAATGACATAAAATCATACATATCCTGAGAAGAAAATTCAAGAAAACAACAGTCAAGTGTCATGGTGAAATTTGTTGCATTTCTCACAAGATATTAGACTAATCCCACTTCCTGCAGTATTCCTAGTGTTTTTAGTCCTTGCTGCTTCGAACAATGGAATAAAACAGCTATAAATTGGGAAATTAACAATTAAGAATTACCTTATCCATCAACCAGAACGCAATAGTTTTGTCCCCGACTAGTGCTTGGTCATGGCTTTCTGCATAGGAGACACATTTTTCAAGCCATCTTCTGTTTGTAAGTGTGTGCACAATATCTTCCATTTCCCAATCTTCATCCCTTTTCCTGCATTAAAAAAACAGTTTCTTTCTTGTAATTTACATTCTTTGTTCCTAGTACTCTCAGCAACAAACAAACTTCAGATAAATGTTCAGAGGCATATTTCATTTACAGAATAGTGTGTATTCACAATTTTCAGGAGCAACATACTTGAGAATCTCAATCCATTTATCAGCAACAGCCATGTGAAGACGATAGTCAAATCCAACACCCCCATCCTGAACAGGAATACAAAAGGTTGGCATGCCACTTACCTGGAATTTAAAGATTAAATGAATTAGTTCAGCACCACTGTGTAGATTGTAAGTATAATAAAGCATAATATCCCTACTTTCCATCATCAGGAACATCACTAATGTGCTAGAAGAAAGTTGAAATTTTTTGAACATACATACCTTCACCTCTGACTTTTCATAATAAAGCCTAACTCAACAAAACACGCAGAGTAGATAAATTATAAATTTACTAATGATATATTCAATATAGGCATGCTTACATCTTCTCCAATGGTTATAGCTTCAGGATACAGGCCATGAATGATCTCATTAACCAGCATCAAATACACAACTGCATTGACATCTGTTTGCAGTCCAAAGTATTCATTGTAGTTCCCAGTGAAGGCCATCTGTTAGCACATCCATAAACAGTATAACAAGGTAGCACATTAGAAAGTATGAACAAAAAAAAGAAAAAGACCCAAAGAAAAAAAATAAAAGAACAAAAGATCAAATAATCTGACTAAAAATTCTCTCTGAGTAAGTTGCCATGAGGGAGATTCTGATATGTTAGAAAGGCCATGATAATGAAAAACCATGGCAATAAATATTACCTCTAAACCATGGTGCGTATACATCATTGATGTCACACCATCAAATCTGAAACCATCAAACTTGTACTCCTCCAACCACCATCTTGCATTAGAGAGCAGAAACCTTAAGACCTGCAATGAAGTCATTAAACATGTCAGCCATGATGATAATTGTCAAAGAAATATGTTGGATAACAATATTTTCTATTTTAGTTTTTCATCTGTAGACACATACTTCCCACTGCCCATAGTTAAAAAGACGAGAATCCCACATCCAATGATGACCTTGTGATCCAGAGTGAAAGTAAGTCTTATCAGTGCCATCAAACATGTTCAGTCCATCCAAAGTATTGTTTGATGCATGGCTGTAACATTGAACAATTCTCTGTTAGACAATAGAGAACATACAGAAAACATCAAAGAAGACTGTTAAAAGAGAAGATTATAAAATATATGAACACACACACAATGTTATAAGGTTAGTGCAAGAACAGGAATAAACTCTAGAATACTGATATTATGTACTCAGCTAATTGGTTAATTGGTATTAAAACGGCCTGAGACTTGCTCTCGTTGACCACATGAATGCACCATACATATAGTATAGATAAATAATTCTTTTTTTGTACCTGTGGACAATATCCATGAGAACATACAAGCCCAGTTCATGAGCTTTGTCTATCAAGGATTTGAGATCCTCTGGAGTCCCAAATCGGCTGCTGGGTGCGAAGAAATTAGTGACGTGGTAACTGCCGAAGTCAACAAACAATAATTTTATCAGGAATCACAATTATTGTCATTATTTTTTAAGAGGAACAGAATACACAGGTTTCCCAAGATGTTGCATTATGAGAGAATTATGTAGTTACAGTCAGACAGTACCCGAAACTCGCATAATAAGAATGCTCCTGAATTGCCATTATCTGAATAGCATTATATCCAAGTCCCTTGATGCGAGGAAGCACTTCATCTCTGAAGTTTGCATATGTATTGATGATAGGGTCCTGCATCCAAAACCAATAATGTAGTGTATCACCCATTTAAAGTGAAAATGCAATCTGTACAGCGGTAATCTTATCCAACATATCGTTCCTAAATAATTGGAAATGAAATGAGAAGTGTTTCCCTGACTTCTTTCTTCAGAATTCTTACATTTGCCCCCTCCCAAGATAGAAAAAAGAGACATTTTCTGCTGGTGGTTACTTGCACTCTTAAGAGTTCAAATTGTATATGAATGGATGTTAATAGTTTCTTCCTCAATGTTAGATTTAGGAGAGTCATCATGGAACCACGCCTCAGTTTGAAGATCCACATAATCTAGGTATAGTGTAGAGACTGGACTAAGCCCTCTATGGTTTAAGTGTGACATTCTATTTGAATTAACATCAACAAAGGCACTAAAGAAGTGGGCTTTTCAGTACTGCAATTAACGCAACACACACACACATATATATATACAAGAAAAAATACAATATATAACTTTGCAACAGGTCAAACATAGATGTCACTTTTTTAAATGAGAGAGAAGTGATGCATACCGTACTGCTCATTCCAATATGACATTCATATATCCTCAGTGATTGTGGCTTCTTTGGACGAGGATGTTTAAAAACATACTTCTCCTGCACAGATAAGTAAGCAACATCTTAATCAGGAAATAAAAGAATAAAAAATATCTCAACATACTAGATATTTAGTACAGAACATTGAAAAAATAAAGAACAATGAGAGAAATAGACCATGGCAGCACTGATATATTGTAAAGGTTTTTTGATTCTTAGGTTCCAAAACATTTTTTACCTTACCTCTATATTATAAGCATTCACATAACATCTAACAGGAAAGTGTGGAACAATGCATTGCTATATAGTTTTTTTTTTTTTTTAAAAAAAAAAAGAAAAAGAAAAGAAAAAAAGTGTGGAACAATGTAAAGCACATAGAGAAACTATATTTACCTCTTCTGGTGGATCATAATATATTCCAGCATATGGAATTTCTCCAGGAGCCTGAACTGAATACTTGATCCATGCAGGTATAGAGTCTTTCGTACCAGTTGGAGTAAACATGCGAATCTAGAACACATAAGAAGTATAATCACCAGCTTTCAAGTGTTAAAAGGTTCCGCAAGAAATCAATTGATCATTGAGACAAACAATGTGCTGTTTCTTACAATGGGCAGGCTTCAATGTCTCTAGTAACGTTAACAATTTGATGATATTCAAATGAAATGTTTTAATAGTACCATTAACTAATAACTCAAATAGCATAAAGCAGTAGAGCTAATGTACACCAAGAAATTTTACCTTGACACGGGAACCATGGGGGATAGCTGGAGACCCATCTGCATTATTCGGTAAAAATGCCTCCCACACGCCAAATTTATTCTGTTGAGCACAAAGTATTATCATGTGATAGATAGAGTAGAAAGCAAACATTTGCATGAGACATTAATGCACAAATCCAAACTTAAATTTAATGCAAAAGAAAGATACCCTTGTGGATGATATGAGTTGAACTATCCACAACTCAGGTCATCTAATACTAAAAAAGAGGAACTACAACTTACACAAGTCATAATATTAGCATTTGCATTCCAGTTATTGAAATCTCCAATAAGTGCAGCCCGCTGCAGGTACAAAGGAAATAGTAAGAATAACAATGACTTGAAGAAGATATTGGTTGCTGATATTAAAAGGCCAACAACTAACAGCATGCCAAATAACAACTGCAACATGACAAAGGCGAAGAATTATTTTTGGTTAGGCTTTGGTACAATTGGCTAAATAGATCCACTTCTTTACGAGAACATGGTCAAGGGTAAGATACCGTGGTTATAATAACTACCAGTTCACAAGCATGTTTTCTATGTAAAGGTGGCAATTTCTAATGGTTGTTGAAAGGAATTGGTAGTGATAAGAATAACAGCTCGAGCAATGAAAAGTATATGTACTCTTGCCAATTCTAAATAGCTAAATAGCATCACTAACCATGGCTGCAGGTGCCCATTCCCTGTAAGTGATACCTGTTTCACTGGAAAAAGAAATTTAGGGAAAATTAGCATTGGGATTATCTGAGGGACATTTACTTGGATCAAGAAAAAGCTACAGATTTTATATAAACATTATCACTATGTCAAGCACAGTGAACACATTTTGCTAAAGAAGAGGTAATTGGACATTTCATAGCTCAATAGAGCGGCAAAAAGCCTTCAAACACCTCACAGATTTTTCATATCCCTAGTTCTTGAAAGAATCAACATGTTCTTGGATGGAATTGCAGCCTTTATTCCATTTAAATCATATAAAAAACATGATGTGTTCACCCCTCTCCAGAAATTAATGTGGAAATGTGTCACAGGGGAGAGATACTATGTCATACAACCATAAACTGAAACCTCATCAATGGAACAGAAAGGCATAGCCTAGGTCTGAGAACTGATAACAGATAAAAAATTATTTTGAGACCAGAACGGATGAACAGAGAACACACCTGCGAGTGAAACCAAATTTCTCGTAGCCACGAGAAAACACTTCCAATCCACCTTCATGAATCTCAATGACGTTCCTCGCTTTTCTATACTCGGAATACCTATAAATAAGATAAATGCAGACGATCTCAGAAGAACAGCATTATTGCAGAAAGATTGAGTAAAGAGGGCACCCAAAAAATAATTTACAGTGAAATCTATGCTTCAATGTAAAATATTTTTATTACCGATAATTAAGATGCCGACTAAAATTTCTCAAAAGTGGATCTATCACAAAAATCCTCTGGCCGGTGCCTGGAGGGGGGAAGGTCCTCTTTTCGCCCCCGGATAATTTATAACCTTTTTCGGTGCCCAATGATCCTTCAGCCACTTTTTCAACTTCACCATCCAGTTGTCCCATGGATTCAGAATCTTCCTCTCCAGCGAGTACAGTGGTACTTATTTCCTCAACTGGAGTTTCTTGATCTTTCACTGTAGTTTTGGGTTCTGCTCCTGAACTTTCTGATGTCTTTTTCTAGAGAAGAGAAACCACAATGGAACAGAAAATTACTGAAAATGTTCATATCGCTTGTACACCATAAAACTACATATGAACGATGAATAGCTACACGAAGCAGCTTGCCCGGATAAAACATTTGTTAATACACACTGAAGAGAGATCATCAGCACAATTGCCAAATTGGGCAGTTCAAAGAGAAATGCAAGTTAACCTTAAATTTTTTATACACACTTTTTTCAATCTTACTGCTACTGTTTTGCCCCAAATTTACCCATCTACTGGGCCCGGGTAGTGTTCCTGGGCGTGAGGTAAGAGATAGGGTTTAATCGGTACATGCCTGCGAATCATCTGAAACTATCTCAGGGGCAGCTAATTCCTCTGGTGTGGCTGAGGGTTCTTCATTCTCAATGGCCGGAACAAGGACCTTGGAAGATGCAGCTACTGTCGAACACTTCAACCCACACTTCAAAGATCTTTCAGAAAAATCATTTCCTGTAATTAGCGCAGACTAAATTATAGCTTTCCGGGAAATCAATTCCATTCTCTGTGCACAACATATATGAAAAAGAGTGAAATCATGGCATTTGAAAGAAAAACCAACAACAATGACAACCACTTTCAATATCCCAGATAATCACACTTCTAAATCTTACTCCATTGACCATCAAGCAGTTTTAAATTGTGAAAATAGGAAATATGAAATAAAAACCCCCATGATGCCATGAGAAGAAGACAGAGAACAATAAAATCAACACGAGAATATCCAAACTGTAAATTCAACAATCACACAACGCAACGGAGGAAAGGAGATCTCACTCACGTAAATAAGGTTTGTTTTTCAGGAGAAACGGCAGATTAACACTTCTCCGATCGACGTGCGAGCTCGCACCATTGTTTCCCAAACTGTACGCCAATCGCACAGTAGGCAAACGCACTCCAGGAAGAGCATAAACCATTTTATCTCCTCTCTCCCTTCTTCGTACTCGAACAAAAGGCTACAGTTTCTTCCTACGCAGATCTGCACCGAATCGAAGACGGTGGGAGAGTGGCGATGATATTTACTACGTAAGTATATATATATATATATATACACAGTAGTTGCTATTAGCATGCATCAAATGGCGAGAGCAGGAGGGTACGCTCGATTTTGGCGGGTGGTTGTATCAAATGCATGGCGAAACATGAAGTGCTGCCTTCTCCAGGTCCATCGGTAATTGAACAACTTTCTTGATTTTGTAGGAAGATCATTGTGCCTCCAGCACGTGGCAGTTTAGATGCATGTATATAGAAAGAAAAGATCAAATTTCCGAAGGCGGCGGGGCTATTCGTGCTTGTGATTTTGTGGATCTTTTCAATTGCTTCTTCATCAGTCGCCATTTATTTATTTATTTATTTTTCTTTTTCAGACGCCATTTAGCTGAATAAGCCAAGGTCAGCGATGCAAGATGAAATGCTTAAATTTTAGCCGTCGGATCAAACACGTGTTTAAATTTGTTTATTAATTGATATATATATATATATATATAAAAGTAATTTTTCATCATTTGCTCTGATCAATTAATATGATAGTTGTAAACTAAAATTAGTAATTTAGGAAACAATAGTTAATTTCGCAATGAAAGGATCACTTAATTGGAATCTCTCGAACATTTCTAACACCTAATTAATTTAAAACTTCTAAATATAAACAAACATTAATTTTTTTTTTGAAAAAAAAAAATATTTGAATCCATTTTTAACTAATTATATCAAAAAAATTATTCAAATTAAATTAAGAATGAAGTTGATTGCTTTTTCTTTTTGATTATTAATTAAAAACTCCTATGAGTTACATGTATATTCTTATCATACTATCCCCATCAATAATCCATTACAATCAGCTTGTTTGTTCACTCAAATCTCTTACTATGATTTTCAAATAATTTCATCAAAAATAAAATATATATACACTTTTACATAGATCAACCATATAATACCATGAAAATTAGGTTTAACAAGTTATATTAGGCTAACCATAAGTGACAGATGAATTTGAAAATATCAGAATTTGAACAGATAATGTATATTTGAGTTATTTTATTTTATTTTATGATGAGGGGAGCTGCAATCACTGGCTGTAGCCTGTAAGTCCATGGGTATATTTTACTTAAAAGTGTGTTTGTTTGGAGGATTTTCCTTAAATTTTATTATTCATTCAATTTTTTTTTAAAAAAATATTAAATCAAATATTTATTTTTTTTATAATATAACAATTAATTTTATATTCAAAACATCGTATCAACGTTCAAAATTTTTTCTATTCAAATTCCAATTCTCCGGACAAACACACCCTTATCTCTTTGGTATGGTCTATGGGCTAAAAGGTGCGGAAAATGGGCCTACGGCACTTGTATAGGTATACGGGCCACGTGCTTGCTTCCACTGCAATCCTTCTCCGGCGTTGAATTTCTACATCGCTGCAAATCCAATGCGTAGAGTGATTTCGGTTTTTCTCCGTTGAATTCATCGGCTACTCTTTGGAATCTAGAAGAATCTAGGGTGATTCTTCAAAAATAACAAGAAAAATACGGGTAGGTGAGTTTCCGGTAAATTTCTGCTATTGATCATTTGGGCTTGCCATCAAATTTTTGTTGATTTATTGGATCCGTCAATTCTCTCTCGGTTCAGCGATCGATGTTCTGACGCTTCTCGAATATTGGTTTTCCTTATCTCCTGGAGTGCTCATGCATTCTAGCTGAGGAACTGAGGTTATTATGGTGTTTTGATTTCGAATTTTAGCTCATAGTGTATAATTGATGGAATTTAGCAAATAAAGTAAGAGCAAATGCGGGTGGTTATGGATATAATCATGAAATCTTCTGTTTAGAATTTAGGTTCATATTCTGTTGTCTGCTTGTTTCGTTGAAATATTTTCAACTCGTTACTAATTGTGAAGAGAAAAACTTAAGGTGGAATTCGCAATTGAAAGGAACCGTTGCAGCGTCACGAGCATTGACAAGCTAGAAGGTTACAATGGCTGCATCTGAAGAGAACAACACGCTGTTTCCAATATTTGTATTGACAATGATCGCACTTCCTCTAGTGCCATATACTTTCGTCAATTTATATCTCACTTTCAAAAAGAAGTCTGAGAATATTAATTGCCATTGTTCAGCCTGTTTCTACTCAGGGAAGTATCGGAAGTCCATGTTTAGACGCGTAAGTCTCAAACTTGACACATTCTTTAAATTAGTTGGAACAAAAAACCACCCTTAGGAAAGCAATTATGGTCTAATCTTTTCAATTCTGTGAAATTTTCAGATTTCGAACTTTTCGACCTATAGTAACCTGACAGTAGTGCTGCTCTGGGTTGTTGTTGCACTATTGGTTTTCTATATCAAGCATAGCAACACTGAGGTATTTCCCGGTCTCTGATCCGCTGCATGAGGCAGTACTTTATTATTAGATAATGGATTGTGGCACGCATCCATCTGAGTTTATATGTGATTTTGTTTAAGGACAGATTTAGAAATCTTATAGTGGTCGTTCATTCAAAAATTACATATTAGGTGAGTGAAATTCCATAACAGAATTAACGGGGTCCAACTTTCAATATTAAATTAATATGGTTCGTTTGACAGTTTTGACAGTTTTGTTTGTCCGTATTATGGTGTTTTGGAAAAAGTAAAGATTTTGAATTTAAATTATTCGATGCAATATTTTGAATAAAAATTGTATTTTTTATGTATAAAAATAAATATGTTATATGTGACATAATGTTTTTTGGGGAAAAAGAATAGGTTACTCTAGATGCATAGCAAAAACAAGTTGCGAAAGCACAAACAATCAAACTCGAAGTATACTGTATTTATATGTTTTAAATAGGTTACTGTAGGTTAGCTGGGCCGATGCAACCACATAAACGGATGTAATCTGCCCTCAATTTTATTAATTATCTAACTATGTTTGTATGTTTTGAATAGCTTTGATTGCAATGGGAGATTCTCCTTTCTATCTATAGTATTTATGGCCTGGGAAGTGCTCATATATGGAAAAATAATCATATTGACATTGGTCTTTTGTTTGAATGTATTGATTCTCTAACTTTCTCTTCTACATGATGATGTTACAGGTCAAAGTTTTTGAGCCTTTTAGCATACTTGGATTGGAGCCTGGAGTATCTGATTCAGAAATAAAGAAAGCGTATCGGAAACTTTCCATTTTATATCATCCTGATAAAAATCCAGACCCAGGTTGAAGGTGTTTATTGACTGAAATTTGAATTATGTTCTTAAAAGCCATTCAGAAACAGTAAGATTTTTTTTGTTACAGTTGCTTAATGATTAACGGAGCTTTCCATGCAGAGGCTCACAAGTATTTTGTTGATTATATCTCCAAGGCTTATCAGGCGTTAACTGATCCTGTATCACGGGAGAACTTTGAGAAATATGGCCACCCTGATGGCAGACAGGTAGTTTACTTGCTTACAGGGGACTATTGGTAAACTTCATTAGGTTTTCTTTACTCTATGATAGGTTTACTTTTTTTTTTCCTCCCAATTTGCCTTGTAGGGTCTTAAAATGGGGATTGCTCTACCCCAGTTCCTCTTGAACATCGATGGAGCATCTGGTGGAATTTTGCTTCTTGGAATTGTTGGAGTTTGCATTATTTTGCCTCTGACAATCGCTGTCGTATACTTGTCAAGGTCATCAAAATACACTGGGAATTATGTGATGCATCATACTATGTATGCATATTACCATTTAATGAAGCCTTCATTGGCTCCAAGGTAAATGAACATTTTATGCAATTATTTGCCTAAAAATCTAATTTGCCTGCATTTAAGGAGTTTTATGACTTTCCATAATTCGAGTGTATGATTAGAGAATAAGATGTTAGTTTGATAATTGGTACCAATTGTGGAGCAATACGGAATCTTGACTTTTACGTTTTCTATTTGACAATTGATGTCCTACAATGCATTGTTGGGGTCCATTTGTATTCTCCCACTGCATATGATACAAATGGATTCTAATTTTTTATCAGATTACCTGATCCACATGCAGACATACTTTGTTTGAAAGTGTACTCACAGTGTTTGTTAGTTTTTATGCCCAACTCCCTTTAATTTCTTGGAGCCATCTTGCTGCCACTTGAAACAATGCAGAACAGAAAATCTCCACTCTTCTTAGACTGATTCTGAAATGGTTTTGCTTTCATGCTTATGTCTCTCATGTTTTATATTATTGTAGCAAGGTCATGGAAGTTTTCATCAGGGCTGCAGAATATATGGAAATTCCTGTTCGCCGAACTGATGAAGAATCTCTTCAGAAAATATTTGTGCTGGTTAGGAGTGAGCTCAATTTGGATCTTCGAAATATTAAACAAGAACAAGCTAAATTTTGGAAACAGCATCCTGCCTTAGTGAAGGTGACGGTCTGAATTTCAATTTTGACTGCTTCGATGTACTTTCTTGTTGAGTATATCACTTGTTTTCTTGCAGTCTGAATTGTTGATGCAAGCACACCTGACTCGTGAAACCACAGCATTCACTCCATCTTTGGAGTGCGATCTTAGGAAAATGCTTGCCCTTGCACCTCGCCTTCTTGAAGAACTAATAAAGGTATTAACGAATGATCTTGTTTCCCTCATAATGAATGGAGCATTACTATAATTTAGTAGACACTATTTTTATGTATAATGTTCTGCAAGAACACATTATCTGGATGCATTCCTTGACGATTCTTATGCAATATTCAACACCGTTTTTAATTCACTTTAATATTTCACCCCTTTTTCGGCGACTCTGAAAACAGAGTTTCCACATCCCTGTGCAGATGTCCACCTGTTCTTAGTTTTGTTGCAATAAATCTAGCATTGCCGTTTGTATTCGCTGAAATAACTCTCCGGACGTGTTTCTAGTATTTTCATTTCTATCCAATTGTACATTTTGATGTGTTTGGTGTCTGAATGATAATGTTGAGTTTCTCCTAACATGCAGATGGCCATTATACCTCGCACCCAGCAAGGACATGGATGGCTGAGACCTGCAATTGGAGTTATTGAGCTGTCCCAGAGTATTATTCAGGTATTGTGGGTTGCAACTAGCAGTCTAAGGGCTAAGAAAGTAGGGAGTCTTCTCACAAACTGCAAAATCATTTTATCTAGCAGTCATCATGTTCTTAAAAAATATTAAAAAAAAAAAGTGGAACAATCAGAACAAAACTAAGGGGTTTCATTGGGTGAACATTGTTCTACAAGACTAAATGATGTTTTGAACTGTAGTCAGTTACCATGTGGTGAAAAAGTGTTTCCTACATAAGAAATTAAAAGAAAAGAAAAAGAGAGGAACTAGAAAAACATATGCATAAGAGAAAGGTGGTGCTTTCATTTAAAAGAGGCTGTGATTAAATTTTAATATTTCTTGTTAGATTGTCCTGTTAGAAGCTATATCATTTAAAAAATGCACAAGCCAATGATTTGTGGCTATAAGATTATTTTTCCATGCTATTTTCCTAAGGCAGAAGTGAGAGCGATAATGCTACTTTTATGCAATAGGCTAAAAGCAGTGTTTGTATTGATGCAGGCTGTCCCCCTCAGTTCTAGAAAAGCAACAGGAGCATCCAGTGAAGGTTATGGTCCATTTCTCCAGCTACCACATTTCAGCGAGTCCATTGTTAAAAAGATTGCAAGAAAGGTTACCCTCTTACCTTACCTAAATCCGCACACATGCTGCTACCAGTTTTATTAGCATATATACTGACATTGTTATTTAATTCTCGGGTGTTCTCAACTAATTTGTGTTGATTATCTAAATCCTTGCTGGTACAGAAAGTGCGTTCATTTCAAGATCTACGCGAAATGAAATCACAAGTGCGCACGGATCTCTTGACTCAAGCTGCTGGGTTTTCTAATGATGAAGCCAGAGATGTCGAGATAGTTCTTGAGATGATGCCTTCCATATCCCTCGACATAACATGCGAGACTGAAGGTGAAGAAGGAATACAAGAAGGCGATATAGTGACAATGCAAGCTTGGATCAATCTCCACAGATGGAATGGCGCAACTCGAGCCTTTCCACATGCTCCCTACTTCCCTTTCGAAAAAGAAGAGAATTTTTGGTTGCTGCTCGCTGACTCCTCCTCAAACGAGGTTTGGGTATCGCAAAAGATCAATTTCATGGACGACGCAACAGCCATAATCACTGCATCAAAAGCAATCCAAGAACTGAAGGAAGGTTCAGGCGCCAGCCCCAAAGAAATCAATGCAGCTGTAAAAGAAGCATTAGATCGAGTGAAAGCTGGTTCGCGACTAGTCATGAGCAAGTTCCAGGCCCCTTCCGAAGGAACTTACAACCTGACCTCGTACTGCTTGTGTGACTCGTGGATTGGTTGCGACGCCAAGTCCAATATTAGATTGAAGGTTTTGAAACGAAGCCGGGCTGGCACAAGAAACTTTGCTGCTGCAGATGAACTGCCATCTCTAGATGTTGGGGCTGAAGAGGAAGACGAGGAAGGAGAAGATGAATACGATGATGACTATGAAAGTGAGTACAGCGAGGACGATGAAGATGGCGCCAACAATGGTAATAAAGATGCCAAACATCCAACGGCCAATGGCTCTGCCCGCGGTAGCGATTCCAACTCCGATGGGTCCGAAAGCGACAAACATTGATTTTATTTTTATTTTCTTCTCCATTTTTGCTTCTGATGCCATATTTTAACTTATATCAATACTGTGTAGAACCATGTTGTATTTTGACAAAATCAGAGGGCGCAGTATAGAGACTGTAAATTACATTTTGAATAGCTTCTTGAAAAAATGCACCAATAATTCAGACCAAAAAAAAAAACAACGTATATGCAATAAACATGGCTAATTTATAGATGAAACCGAACTGGAAATTGAAAAGAAATGCATAACAATATCTGCATCTGGTCTGGCATTTATCGGGATAGTGACTCAGCTTTGCATTCATCGTATTTTTTAAGCACCATGCTTCTCACGATTAATTTGTCGTATTTATACGATTTTTTCTTTTTTTGAAAAAAATTAAAAATATATGATAGATGAATAATGGTACTAAAAGTGTCTAAATTTGACCACACAGGATAGAATAAACCAAAGGTTTTATTTTAGATTAAAGCAACCACTGGCTGCCATATATATATTGTGAAGGAGACATATATATATATATATATATATAGTGTTACAGACTTAACAGTCTAGAAAATACATTTCCCTGCTTAATATGCAATGCGAGCAAGAAACATCACCTTAACAAGAAACCATGTCTTCACTAGAACAGTTCAAACTCCACATGTTCATGTTCTCCATTACCATTGTACTCCAACCTTTTCCCTTTGTCCTGATGCCCAATTTGGGGGTGGGGGTGGGGGTGGGGGTGGGGGTTTCCGCTGTCAAAAAACTCAGGGATTTGTGGAGGAACGGCGCACCGGATAAGGGCCCAGTTCAGACCGTCGAAGAAGGGGTGCCTTTTGATCTCGGCAGCTCCAGTTTCTGTCCCCAGTCGGTTTTCAGGTTCCTTGACCAAAAGGCCTCGGATCAAGTCCCTGGCATGGAAGCTGACAATGGGAGTGTCCGGAAATCTGAGGTTCTGCAAAACAACATTGGTTAATGTCTCTTCATTTCCAGCACCTTTAAAGGGTGTCTTCCCGTATAGAAGCTCGTACAGAAGAACGCCAAATGTCCACCAATCAACTGCACTGCCATGGCCGTCCCCCTTGATGATCTCCGGAGCTAAGTATTCATGTGTGCCGACAAAGGAATTGGAGCGTGCCTCTGTAGGCTCAGCCACGAGCTGAGGTAATGATCTGAGTCTTGCAGCTGCATCGTCAGCTTTGACCTTCCTTGCTCGGGAAGCAGCAGGTAACAGTCGGGGACTAAAGCACGAAACTTTACAAGAAGGTGCACTACAGAAGGGATCAATGCAGTTGGATCCTGCGCACGGGCCAGAAACTCGAGGCGGTTCAATACCCAAGGCGGATGATTTAATGAGAGTTGGATTGACAGAGCATCTGAGCGAGAGGTCAAAATCTGTAAGCATAATGTGGCCGTCTTCACGGACAAGAATATTTTCGGGTTTGAGATCCCGGTATACAATGCCAAGCATGTGCAAATATTCAAGTGCAAGGAGGACCTCTGCAACATAGAATCTGCAAGAACAACAGAGATGATTATACTCATAATTTATTAGGATCTATCCGCGACAGACATTTTAAAATCGAATCATAAAGCTAGATAGTTGGAATGGTTTCTTTATCCTTCTGCTTAAGCTGTGACTCTATTAGGGGAGAGCTAGAACAATTCAAAGATTTCTACAGCATAATGTAGGATACCTTGCTGCCTGTTCTGGGAAGAACCGGCCGGGTTGCTTCTGTCGGAGAACATGTAGGTCTCCGCCAGGACAGAACTCCATAACCAGACACGATAAATTGTCTGAAGTAAACTGGGCATAAAGTGTTGGAAGAAACGGATGGTCCAGCATTTTGAGGATTTCTCTTTCGGTTTGTGCTCTAGGCATTTTCTTCCTTCTTGCCAAGAACTCATTGTCCATAACCTTTATTGCAAAAGGGCAATTAGTCCCAATCAGCTCAGCAAGATAGACCGTTCCTATGTCGCCAGAACCAAGCTTTTTCAACAAATTAAAGTGGCTCAGTCCTAGGAATCCACATTGTTTTCTTATACGGTTGATTGCTTCCCATCTCATGTCCTTTGACATGTGTGGTCGATTGCCACAAGCTGATCCACAAAGACTGCTCTCCTCGCTGAGGCTAGTCGTACTGCTGCTAAAATCACAGATGCTGCTCTTTGAACTTTGTGAGATGTCCCCTTTCTCAGTCAATTTCATGGTTTTGCTTGTTTTGATGACAGGAGCATCCTCACCCTTCCAATTAGTTGGGATAGAGTCTGGTTTGTTTCTTACAATGTTCCCTATGAGCTCTTTTGGATCACTATCTGCTGGAGGATCTTTGCTCGCATCCCTCAAAGAACACTGACATCTCTCGCAGATCAATTGCCCTGAACTGTTGTGAGTACCTCCTTTTGGTTCAGATGATGTTTTTGACTTGACATCAATTAATACTGCTACCTTCTTCGATTTCTTTATGACGATATTCTTGTTTCTGATGACCGGTTTCACAGTACGCAAGGAGCTTCTTGATGATTTCACATCTTTACTGGCTTTCACTGCAGTAGATGGAGTCCCACTTTGCATCTTGGATTTCCTCCTTAGCTTAGGTGCAGTCTTGTTTTCGGCCGTCAAGGGAGGGGCAGAATCCTTGGTATGAACGCTCGACACCTTGTTTGAGCCAGGTAATTTATCTTTCATCTTCGATACATTATCACACAAACTATGGTGAGGAGTAGTCACTGAATTTTCTTCCTGTGAACATACGGTTCTAGGAAATTGTTTAACAGCTTCAGAACCATGTGGAGTATTAGTACGGGCAGGAGCTGATTCTCCATTCTTGATTGGTAAAGCAGTTACTGATTCTTCTTCAAGAATGGATATTTCAACAGCATGTTCTCTACAGTCTTCCGGGAGATGACCATATTCACTTGATCCACATTCCATACTCTTTATGTTCAACTCATGACTATAACCAGGAGAGAAAGATGAATGCATAGCTGATTTCTTACAAGGATCTTGATGTCGCCAGGTAGAAGAAGAAGAATATGAGGTGCTTTCTTCTGTCAGACCTTCCCTTCTGCCATCTCCACCTTGAGCTGGGGAGCAGCCCGATCCACCCGATCCACCAGCTGCTGCCGCTGCTACAACTGACCTATACAAGTTCGTGATTTTTCCAGCTTCTGAAACTCTGGGAGAGGCAGATTGCATTGAGAGTCGCTTCATGGCAGCCATCTCTGCTGCCTGAGAAATACACATTCCTCTTAGCGCCTGTTTAAGAGAAACAGGTTCGGAAAAACCAACTCCCGGAGAGAGAGAACTAGCAGCCTTCATTGGCTTCTTTGATGCATTCCTCCAAGAGTCTGTGAGATCCAAACTCTTGCAATTTCTCAGATTGACTGCATCGAAAAGCCTATTGATGTCATCTTCCACAGCTTTGTTGTGCACTTTCTTCAGAGTCGGCAGCCTTTGGTCTTTATCCTGTGATTTCACATGACGAAAAGTTTGCAGCCGGCGAGGTGTCCTCTGCTCATCTTTTGCCTCAACTATTTCACAGTTTCTGCTAGTAGAGCCCATTATAACTTCTTGCTACGCCTTCAATGATCAAGAACTTAACACCATTAAGAGAAAAGGCATAAAATCTATAGCATCAGCCGTCGGTGAAATGGAGAAACTATGGACCTTAATGCTCCCATAATTACAAAAGCTCCCGCGTTCTTACAAGATAAGCCGGTCCCCTTTCCTTAACTCAGTCATCCAAATCTTGCATCCACAAACAAAGAATGATATGTCAATCAACTGGAAGTCATATTTTGGCATGAACAAACTAAATTAACACAGTTAAAAACACATATTTACTGTGCATCAAGCAAATTGCATAACAAGGATACACATAAAACATAATCATCCTATTTTCCATTGACATTGAATCATTAGATACAGAATAATGCATAGGTCATTAAATCCAGGAGTAAGTAAAAATAGGTTTCATCACCAACTAGATCTACAATATTTCTCTTCTCCAATGTACAGAGATTTAAATGCGAGAAAGATGCAACGGAAAGTTTCTGCAGAAAACACGATTTTGTGTACGGATTTACATGTCCGTTGCTGATTACAGATCGATACCAGGTGATAAGACAACTTGACAAGTAAATAACTGTTGTGTAAAACGGCTGGTATTAATGAATGACAGCATCAATCAATTGACAGAGCATAAACCCTAACATAAAAATTATCAATCTTCCTTTCAACAATTTTTGTATATCCTTTCCATCAGGCAGCAATGTATTGTTAGAAGCTGAAACAAGAAAAAAGGCAAGAAGATCGATGATTTCAACCAAACAAAAAAGTACAAAAATAAGAAAATCAAAAGCAGCCCAGATTGATCCATTGAGCAACGACAATCCAAATCTAGTTTTGAAAAGATTCAAATAACTTCAAAATTGCAAAAGCAAAAACAGATTCGTTCACCTCCAAACAGAATAAAACTAAAACACCAACCAATTTACACAAAAATGAAGGAAATGCCACCAAACACACTGTATCACACTTAAAGCTCACCAACTACACCACTCACAAAACCCTAAAAAGAAAACAACAACAAAAACAACAAAACACTTAAATTTTCTCTCGTAATGAAAATGATACCCAAAAAAAAAAAAGGAAAACTTTCAACCTGACCCAGAGATTAGATGAGCAACAGAATGCAGTAAAGCATTGGTACCTGAAACTCACCAGAGATCCAGCAACGTTTGGGTGAGCTGAAAGCCACTCGAATTGGTCCCCTTTCTATACATGAAATTCCACTTGGTAGCTTTGTTGACGCTGATATTTTCAAAAATAAAAGGGAAAACCCTAAGGCGAAATAGGCTTTTCTGATTCTCAAGGCAAATTCGGTGGACAAGGAAATGAGGAGAGAGAGACGACAAAAACCTCTCTACACTCTCTCCTCTCACATCAGTCACACTCTCTCTCTCTCTCTATCTGTATCTCTATCTCTATCTCTATTCAGACTGTATTTATTTTTTTACAATATTTTCTCTCTTTCTGTGCTTTTTTCATTTCAAGCAATTATCAGCGGGTCCCACACATATGTGCCTATGGGCCCACTTTCATTTTCTTGGATTCGGTTCTCTATTTAAATTACTGACTTGCCATTCATTCATTTTTATTTATATTCATTCTAATTTTCACATTGCGTATGTCACATTGTCTATAATAATAAACAAATCTGATTCGATTTAAACGTTTAATTTAAATTTTAAAATGTAACGGTGCCATTTAATCATTGTTTAGTTACTTAATTCGCACTTATGTTTAACTGCTGGGATCACTCCACTCCACTCCATTAATGGGTCTTTTAATGGCATTAGCTGTAAATCGTGACAATCGCATTTACCCAAATCATAATTCGTGTACGAATAAATTTACTTAAATAAATTTTATATTCCCAATATTCTCTACAAACCACATATACTGTCGGATATCATGCTGCACCCATACATACATATACATATTTGTCATTTATCTTTCCGGTCCGGTGGATCATTGTCTTCTTGTTAAATATATTCAATTCCCACTATTTTATGACGTCATAATTGAGGAATTAATATATCCCCTCTCAATTGCCTAAAAACAAAAAAATAAAAATAACAGCGATGAACAAATTTATTGAGGCTGTCGGCAAATGAAGGAAGACAACGAGGTTTGGGGTCAGAGTCAGCACGCTTTTATTATTACCCCCCAACCGAAACTAAAATCGCTATCCCAGCCGGTTAATTTGTGCTAAAGTCGCTGAATCACGTGACAATATAATGGCCGCCACGATCCCAGCGCCTTTACCTAATTTCACAAACACGCTTTCATGGGCCATATCGTATTATATGCAACAACCAAATAATGATAATAATAAATTAATAAGAAGTAATAATTTAAGTTTAACTAATAATAATACACAATGGAATATGAAATGGGTCCACTGGTAGGTTAGATCATGGCGGCACGTTCCGAACCCTAAAAAATAATATTATTTTTTTAATAATGACGAAAATAGTTTGGTATTGGTAATAAGGTGAACGGCAGTGAAAATTGAATTATGTCAGAAGAGTAAAGGCTGGGCTGGGCAGGGTTTTGTGACCAATTATTTCACTGGCGGTGGGGTAACATTAATTTGGACATATTTTATCTATCCATCATAAATTATTTCCTTGCCCAAACATTTCAAAATAACAATAATAGATCCAGCCCCATTTCATAATTGAAATTTTATTGGATCCTCTTCCATTTAGATCCAGATTTAACCCCATTTGTTTGGACTGTGAAGTTACTACAGTAAAAATTACAAACTAAAATCAGAACAAAGAGAAGAGAAAAAATAAAAATAAAAATAAAATAAAATTGTTGAATTAACTCCAATATTGGCCCATGAATCTAATAAGGACCACAGAGTTTTTTTTTTTCTTTCTTTTTGCCCCATAAATTAAATTCTCAAGTACAAGAAAAGGCTTCATTGCAGCAACAAAGAGCGTGTAAAGTTCCCTTTGAATGTTGAAGCTCATGGACCACTTGACAAACCTTATATGTTATTACTAGTTTTTTATTTTTATTTTTTTTAATGTATATGGTTATTCTATTTATTTGGTTATTGTTTATTAAATAAGGATTTAAATTTTGAAACCAATTGTTTTTGGTCCCTAGCTGCTACTTTATTGCATAGTCATGAGTTGTTAATAACAGTAATCATCACTTGATTATAAAAACTTTCAAATTTAGTAGTCAACAGATGCGTGCTTTGATTTTTTGCCTTGTATTGTTTAATAAATTTAAATAAATAAATGTATGTAAATATAGAAGGATTTAAATACAGAGAATCCAATCCATAGGTATGAATTTCAAACAAAATTGGATCAGCTCGGACATTTGAATTGGGCCAAAAGTTTCAGTTCAATAATCCAGACCATATGTACTATTGAAAAAAATAAATAAATAAATAAAAATATTTTTTCCAAGGTGGAAATTAGGAGACAGCTGGACAGGCAACTCAGCACTGACCAGTCCTTCGCAACACGTGAATGGTCAGATAATTCGACGGTGGATCTCGTGACACGTGTCCTGCCAAGATGACTCCGTCTGTTCGAAGCACCTCCCATTCCCAATCCCAATGCCAGACGCAGTCGCTTCTCTATCCACAGATTACAGTCTCGGTTCGACGGACAAGAGCGAGCGCAATATTTTGATAGTATAGGTTAGGTTTCTGCAGGGCAACAATTCTGTGGCGGGTGTGATTGATAGTTGAAAGATTCGATGGCGGAAAAGCATTTCAAGTATGTGATCGTCGGTGGCGGGGTTGCTGCGGTGAGTGTTTTGTTTCGCAAACAGCGTTGTTATTTATTTTTACGGTAGCCTTTGGATGCTTCTCTGGTTTTGGTATTGTACGTCTTAGTCTTATCGATTGATGCTTGAATGAGCTTATTTGTGTTCCCGAGCCATGTAGCAACGTTGAACATGTCTTGTTTTTATTTGTTCGATTTCGAGTGGGAAATGCTGTCTGAATTGAATGTGTGATCCGCGATGGTCTAACTTATTGTTTATAATCGCGGATTCTTTTTCTCGCTTGTTAGTTTCGTATAGAACCCAAGTGCGTGGTCCAGATCTATTTTACATTTTTTACGGCTGGAGCTAAACGTTGTTAAGCCTTTGCTTTTAATTATGAGCTGATGAGTGTATTTGAATTCTAAAATTGATTACGAACCATGTGAGATCTTATGTTGTTGCATGTGTCTATTTTTTGTTATGTTGTCATTTTGAAGTTAAGGTCAGATATGAACAAGGAAAGATGTTCATGCTTTTGTTCAATTAGAGAATCAAGCTTATTTTCTTGTTAGGCATTTTTTATTCTGGACTTCCCTTGGTTTTCCAGATTAAAATGAAAAAATGAAACCCAGTTTTGATACTCCACATATCATTCTGACGACAACGAAACTTGATTATAATGAAACTATATGATAAAGGAATTCTGTGTTGATTCTTTTTATGGTTACAGGGATATGCTGCTAGGGAGTTCTCCAAGTTGGGAGTTAACCCTGGTGAACTTGCCATCATTTCCAAGGAGAGTGTAAGTACCTCAAGAAATTTGTTGAGAGTTTTTTCGAAGAATAAGCCAATAGGAAAGTTTTTCCACAGTGGAGATGTGTAGATGTCCATGCTTCACAGACAATCATTGAGAAGCTAATATATCATGACATTGGTTATCTTGCATGCTTAAACTTCATTAGTTTTTCAAGTCTATCCACTAATGAACCCTTTTGAGATGGGGGGGGGGGGGGAGGGGGGGAGTCTACCATTTAAGCAAAGAAAGTGAAAAGACAAGCCAAATTCTGGAAGATAAACAAGAGCATGAAACCATATATGCTTCCATAATTTTTTAGCTATACTTTTTATTGTTCTGACTCTTATATATGAAATTGAAGTGGACAACAACAAAGTTATGGAAAAGTGTGGATTCATTAAAGTAACGCCATTCTTCACTTCTTGAACCTTTTACTCCTATTACAACACTTTCATGTGTGCACTTCTTTCTTTAGTATTAACCTCTCTCTTCTAATTCTTTAATGTATGCCAGTTTATTGTGGTACACCTTTATAGAGTGCTTCTTCCTCTACTTTGGACATGAATGCTTGTTCTTGATGCTGCTTTTCAGGTGGCTCCATATGAGCGTCCTGCACTTAGCAAAGGATACCTGTTTCCTGAAGGTGAGTTAGTTTACCTTCTTTTTGTTGGTCCATTTTCTATATTTTAATCTGTAAATTATAGAAAGTGTTCTGTAATGGGGGCATTACGACAGGGGCAGGAACATCTATGTCCTGAGGCTGATTAATAGAATGGCCAAATAAAGAAGAGGATATTTGATTAAAAAATTTCAATGTTCTTTTATTTTTTGTTCTTCTTAGTAATGCCTCATTTTCTCAAACATTCTCCCATGTCTAAGATTTTTGTAAGCTACTGTATTAGGGCAATTATCCTGGAACTGTCAAATATTTCTGAGCACAAGATAATCATATCCTATTGACTCCAGGCTCTGCAAGGCTCCCAGGTTTCCATGTCTGTGTTGGAAGTGGAGGAGAGCGGCTTCTTCCAGAGTGGTATACTGATAAAGGTTGTACCTTGTCCTAATCATTTGTACATTGGAGTAACAGAAACTGTTTGACATATTTCAGTCTTATCAGAATTTTCCTTTATGTACTCGTAAAAGTCTGTGCAATACCTGAGATTAATTTCATCTCTATAATTAACAGGTATATCTCTGATTCTTAGCACGGAGATAGTCAAGGCAGATCTTGCTTCAAAGACACTTACCAGTGCAGCTGATGAGACTTTTAAATATGAAACATTGATTATAGCAACTGGTTCCACTGTAAGTATCGTGTCCAGGGATATATGATGTATGTCTCTTTTGTTCTGATTTTCCGGTAAAAGACTGTCTTATAATTTCCTATTTTCTTCTACTTAGGTTTTTAAGCTGTCGGACTTTGGTGTAGAAGGTGCTGATGCCAAAAACATATTTTATTTGAGAGAGATCGATGATGCTGATAAACTTGTTGAGGCAATAAAAGAAAAGAGAAATGGGAAGGCTGTGGTAGTTGGTGGTGGATATATAGGTCTGGAACTAAGTGCAGCTCTGAGAATCAATAATTTTGATGTCAGCATGGTCTTCCCAGAACCTTGGTGCAGTATGTTCAAATATTATTTCCATTTATAACCAATTTTCAAGCTCTTGGTATTACGATTATTTTGATTACCAATGTCTTACTTGAGTTTTGACCTTTAATTGCATTTCTTCAGTGCCTAGGTTATTCACTGCTGGCATAGCTGCCTTCTATGAAGATTTCTATACAAACAAGGGAGTCAATATCATAAAGGGCACAGTAGCTTCTGGATTTGGCACAAATGCCAACGGGGAAGTGAGTTTTTGAACATTCAAAACTTGCTAGTTCTTGGTTTGTAAACTTCATTAAGTAACTAGTGGTAACCCTTTTTCATACCTTCCAGGTTACTGATGTAAAGCTTAAAGATGGTAGAGTGCTGGACGCTGATATTGTTGTTGTTGGTGTTGGTGCTAAACCCCTCACAACATTATTTAAAGGACAGTTAGAAGAGGATAAAGGTGGCATCAAGGTGTGACTTTATTCTCTGTTGTGCTTCCTGTTTAATTGAACATTAACAAATGCTTTACAAGATTTGAGTACAGATAGATAGATATTATGGAAATTGCTATTCCCTCTCTGAAGATTATCAATTTTAGAATCAGTGCATTTAGTCCTTGTAAGTACATTTTTATAAGTTTGAAAATGTACAGGAAAATGAAATAGCAAAGCCCCAATCTTGTTCCGTCTTACTTCATAATTTGGACAGGAATGTTGTTGATGTCCTATGGCATTTTTCTTGGCAGACTGATAGTTCCTTCAAAACTAGCATTCCTGATGTCTATGCGGTAGGCGATGTCGCCACTTTCCCTTTGAAGTTGTACAACGATATTAGAAGAGTTGAACACGTTGATCATGCTCGAAAATCTGCCGAGCAGGCTGTCAAGGTGATTGATAAACACACACATGGGGATATATGAATTATTTCTGTTCTAAATCAAGTCATCGTTGTCTCTTAATTCATCTCTAACAATTATTGTACATTCAATGTTTTCCTTTTCAGGCAATTATTGCAAGTGAACAGGGACAATCTATTGAGGAATATGACTACCTCCCCTACTTCTACTCCCGCGCCTTCGACCTCTCATGGCAGTTCTACGGCGACAATGTTGGTGACTGCATTATATTCGGAGACTGCAGCCCAGCATCTGCCACTCACAAGTTTGGAGCATATTGGGTCAAAGATGGAAAGGTTGTCGGCGCATTTTTGGAGAGTGGCTCACCTGAAGAGAACCAGGCGATTGCCAAAGTAGCTCGGGTCCAGCCTCCTGCGGGCAGCCTGGATCAACTGCTCAACGAGGGCCTCGCCTTCGCCAGCAAGATTTAAGAATTGTTTATCGATACACACCACAAGGATAATCTGCTATGCCTCCAGGCGATTCAGACAGACAAATATTTACATGCCAAACCACACTTGAGGTATGACAATTTCTACTGCTGCATGGGAAATAAATAAATTGGGTCTTGATATGATATGATACGATAAAACCTCTGTTTCTTTGGTATGTTGTTATTCAGATACTTTCAATAATGGCATGGATTTTGAAATGATAAAGTTGGATGAAGTTAGTGAAATTATTGAATAGAAAGAAGTGGTCGAATTGTGCACGAAACCTGTCGTCATACATATATATATATATATATCTATATATCCATCTAAAAAGTAAGTACGTAGTAATGCTGTCGGTAGGTTGCTGATGCATTTCCTTTTATTACACAAGTCATTTCCCTTTTTTGTTATGGTCGTCGTGATCAAAGCGTAGTTCTTCTAATTATGGTCATCAGTTAATACATATTGTTTTCTTTAGATGGTTTGTAGATGGGAGGCAGTTTCCTATTCGGTTTTCAAATATTTCATTACCTATTAGTAATTAGTAATGAGTTGTTTGGACTTTGCTAAACTATTTTTAGTTGAACAGATCGATGTTACTACTAAACAGGAAAGGAAAAGACCATAACAGATCTAAAAATAGTACCAATTTTGAAATTTTGGTACTATTTTATTTTTAAAAATATCATATTAAATATATATATATATTTTTTTTTTTACAAAATATTGTATCAAATATTAATTTTATATACTTTTCAAAATTTAATACCACCAGAACTCTCTTGTCTAAAACAAAGTCTAAATATGTGGAATTTCAACATAATTAAAATTAATTCTGAAAGTGAGTGAGAGATGCCAGAAGGTGCTGCGATCTATCGTTTCGATATCAGTGAAAGGAAAGTGGAGAGCAATACATAGTGGAGGCTTGACATGGCACTTTTATTATTTTTAGTTTTTAGTTATAATTTTAATCTTATAAAATATTTGATTTTCATGTGATGTGAATTCACTCGGAACAGAAATCTATAATGAAGATTTACTGGGGGGATATGATGGCAATATTAGTACAATAATAGTCAAATAACTAGGGCACCCCATATTAGACTTTTCCTCTTCAAATTTCATCACAAGAATTAAAAACCCGAAAACAAACACAAAACCTTTGAATGGCATTGCAAATAAAATACAAATAATTAAATAAAAGGGGTGTTGTGTTGTGTTGAGTGGATAAAATTTAATGCAGAATCCATGTCAATTTGTGCTTCCACTCATTGTCTTGACAAGGACACGATGACTGTCCTAACACTTCCTTTTCTTCAAAACCAAACAAGATAAATAATAATGATAAAAAGAATGAAAAGAAAGTCTTATCTTCGCAGCATGAACACCACCCATCTGTCAAAAACCCTTTGAGTGGCAAGACATCGGGCTAGGTTTTGGATTCGATTTTGAATGAGCATATAATAAACTATCGAACACTGAATCCAATCTAGACCCAAACAAGGTATACAACACTTAATAATTGGATATTCAAATAATTAAATTCTGTTAAATAAGTGATTCACTTAAAAGTTAAGTGAATTATGATAAATTGAATCACAGCTAGCGACGGCCATGCATGCATTCATACACATCGTCTAAGAGCAACAAAAGCAAAGTTGGTGCATGAGTGGGACTGCTTTGTCTTTGTCTTGACCCACAAACTAAAATTTATGAAAATGATTCACGTGGTGGACCACTCAAAAAAAACCATAAATTAAAATAGTAACACGACTTTGACTTTTGTATTTCAGCGTTTTATGTTTACATATTATATGTGTGTGGTATTTATTATTAGTCGGTGTTCTTATATGAAACGCGCTTTCGCGCGTGGATTGAGACGCGCGTGTCGTCTCTGTCCCCTCTGACAGGTATGTATGTGTATGTACTTTAATAAATACTGCTACGCATACAGCAACCACTCCACTGGGTAGAGTGGATAGCTGCCTTTGATTCTTGGAACCACTCACCATTGATCTGTTCGGTCTCTTATGGAGGTTGAAGCTCACCCCGTTACGACTACCACTATGGCTACCTTTTCCTTCAAAAACAGTTCTGAGTTTCTGAAGCCTGACTCCTCGGTGGAGGTGACTGACCAAGTGGCTGAATGGGAAGCCGCCGGTGTTCCGTTGAGTCCTGCAGCTAATTCGGCCGGATGTCCCTATTCGGCGGCAATGAAAGTTCAGAAAGTTTATCGGAGTTACCGTACTCGGCGCATGTTAGCGGATTGCGCTGTGGTTGCTGAAGAACTTTGGTACTTATTTCTACTTTGTGTCGTCATTTAAGCTATTTAATGCTAAATGCCTTTTTTGGCGCGCGTTTTGTTTAGATTATCGTCTGTTTTGCCAGTGATTTACGTATTTTGTTTCAGTGGTGGATTGATATTATTCGTATTCAAGTTCCTCTAATTAGGGTTGATTTTTGTCTCTTGGTTGTGTAGGTGGCATGTTTTAGATTCTGCCCGATTGAATCAGAGTACAATCTCGTTTTTCAACTACTTGAAGCGAGAGACAGCGGCGTCGCGGTGGAATCGTGTCGGCCTGAATGCTTCCAAGGTATATCGATTAGATTGGGAAAATACTTCTCTGCTTGCTTTTTTACATTCGCTTCTATTGTTAATGTAAAAGTTGAAATATGACATTGCAAGAGTAGGATGAAGAGGTAATCAACTACATCAGCTACAGTGAACGTAGCTGGACTTGTGTAGTTTAAGATTTCATATTATTGAACTCAATCCCTACGAACAGGTGGGGAAAGGTTTGTCTCAAGATGCCAAGGCAAAAAAGCTGGCTTTTCAACATTGGATTGAAGCTGTGAGTAGAGCTTTTCCTTTCTTATCTTGTGTATTAGTAATATTGATATTTTGTTCAAAAATGGTAGTTGTTAATGTTTACATGAGGTAATAACCTGCTTTTCTGATATAGATTGATCCGAGGCACCGTTACGGGCACAACTTACGCTTATATTATGAAGAGTGGTGCAGAACAGATGCTGGCCAACCCTTCTTCTACTGGTGAAAATGTTTAAACCATTTTCCATGTTTATACATACGACCTTTTTCTATGTCTGCTTAGCTTGAAGAGATTACCTGATATTGTCACTGTCTATGATGCTTGCCTAAAGTGGTCAAACATGTTGGCTTTGTTTATGGAATAACTTTAGCATTTAGTTATATGATTATGCTGATGATCTAATTTCAAGTCCATTTCGAAAATATCTCAGTAAGAATTGTGGGATGCACTAAAAGCAGTAATTTTATTTATTTGAAAGGTAAGGTGAGAAAAGTGGTCAAATTTGTATGGACATGTTATTTTGAACTTTATTTCCTTATTCCTATTTTGTAGTGGCTTGGTAGGTAGATGCTTCTAAATTCTAACATTATGAAAAGCACGGTTCATAACCGAATTTATTCTTGCTCTAAAGTGGAGCAGAAAGCATACTGAGAGATATCAATTTCACAGGTTAGATGTTGGAGATGGTAGAGATGTTGATCTTATAGAGTGCCCAAGAGCAAAGCTTCGTCAACAATCTATCAAGTATCTTGGACCAGTAAGTGTCAAATTTTTACTGGTTACTGTTTACCTATACATTACATTTGTTAGAAACAACTCCTGGATCTTTTTCTTCACTTTGTATTCATTCTGTTTTGATGTATAATCACTATTGCTGAATGTGGTTTCTTGTTTGCTCCGACCAGAATGAGAGAGAGCACTATGAATATGTTGTTGTTGATGGAATAATTTTGCACAAGTTAACTGGCAAAGTTCTTAGTACATTGCCGGGATCAAAATGGATTTTTGTGATGAGCACCTCTATGAGACTCTACATTGGAGAGGTGACCTCTGTTAGAACATATTCGAAGATATATCTATTATCTAATGATCTGTTTCCTCCATAGTTACTTATAGCTAAAAGATAGTTAAATGTTTTATCTACCTTCAGAAAAAGAAAGGATTGTTCCATCATTCTAGCTTTCTTGCTGGAGGAGCTACGTTAGCCGCTGGAAGGCTCGTAGCAGACGAAGGGGTACTTAAGGTATCCTATTAAAATAAAATTGTTTGCCTCATCATAAATGTGATATTGTTACGAAGGAAACACGTAGGCCATTCGTATATATATATATATATGAATGCTTTTATTCCAACAAGATGTTTCCTCGTCATGTAATGATTACATTTACTGTTATATAAAGAAGAAAAACTACTGCCCATCTCCATTATTCAAAGCCTCTCTCTTTCTCTTGTCTCTCTCTATATTTATATATATAAATGTCATACTTATCATAATACGTACATATATTATATTCTCACACAAATATATATATATATATACATATATGTATACCTATATATATTTATAAACTTACCAAATAGTATTATATTATTATTATATAACAGATATAACATTCTCTTTGTTGGCAAATAATATTGATATCTTTCGATAAAATTTCTCTGTTTTTCAGTGTGTCTCAGCTTACAGCGGCCACTATAAGCCAACAGATGATAACCTCGATTGCTTTCTTAAAGTCCTCAAAAACAATGGAATCAACCTCGATGAAGTAGAGGTATAACACATTAATTTGCTTGGCTACAAACTATATTCTCTAGCACAAGCTTTGATCGATCAAATTCATTCTCTTGCATATTTTGTCAAGTTTTAATCGAAAATTTTCCCTGTTTCCCCACCTCAGATACGCAAGGCAAACGACGACTATGACACCTACGATACTCAAAGTGTATCTTCTACAGATCTGGCAGCATCTGAAGTTTCAATAACATCAGATTCTGTAATATCCACTGAAGATGAGAGCCTGCATTCTGAAAAAACTCAACCTTCTAAGCCGGAGGTTAGAGTCGAGTACAAGAGGACCCTGTCTGGTGGCCTCCATAGTCCCAAAACAGATGTACCAAGGAAAGCCATACTGCATAGGATCAACTCCAAGAAAGCTACAAAATCATACCAATTGGGCAATCAGCTCTCCATCAAATGGTCCACCGGTGCTGGCCCAAGAATTGGTTGTATTGCCGACTACCCGGTGGAGTTGAGGCTACAAGCATTGGAGCTCACCAACCTATCTCCAAGATCTTACACTCCAACCAAGATTCCGGCGCCATACTAACATCACCAGCTGCTTGATGATTCCGTCGTTGAAAAGAGATCGATGATAATAAGGCATACGATTGGACCTTGGTTTCTGACCATCTTGCTGCTGTATGTTGGCCTTTTTATTCTGCTTCTTTAGCATGTATAGGTACTTCTACTATCCTTCTTTAGCATGTAGTTCTTGTCTTGTTGTTCTTGAGCAAATAATAGATCCAAGTCCCGTTTTAATCTTAAATGGCTTGATGCCTATTTCTATATATATAATGTTTTGTGCAAAAAATACAAATGCACTACAAGATATTTAAATTTATGGTGTGTTCTTATAATTGTTGAGTGGTCCTTTTCAAGTAGATATGTGAAATTGTCTATGTAATCAATCGACAATAAGGACGTGGTTGTTGATAGAGAGAGACATGCACATTAATATAAGATGATGTAATTGTGATAATAAAATTAAGCACATAACCACTCCCATTACTTAACCAATTACAGAAATACTACTTCACTAAATATAATTATAAAATTAGAGGGTGAAACTGGTTGATTTGTGATTGAAAGTGTTTTTTCATTTTGGTGAGGCCATGTGCTTAATCCTCCAAGATTGTAATTTAAATCAATTTTCTATAAAGGTCACATCAAAACACCTTTTTTTTAAAGACTCTTTTGTGTAACTATTTCAATTTTTTATTTATTACATTAACAAAAAAATTATTCTTATATTTAAAATATTATATCAACTTATACTTATATTAATTCAAAATTTTATTGATAAAAATTCAACCTCAAAACTCAGAACCAATTAATAAAGTCTAACTATGGATCCAAACTTTGAGGGGTTCATATTTTACAGCCAACAAAGATATCTACTTCTATATACCCATCAGCATTATTAATTAATTGATTAATTACTTCCTGTTTAATATAATCACACGTAAACTCATGGGTGTTTTTTGGTATTTTATTTTTATTATTAAATTATTCGGGGTGATAATACCCAACTTATGTTTTTTTTTATTATTATTAAAATTATTAATATTTATTTACTAGTATTATTATTACAATCAAGTTATTATAACATAACTTTGGGACAGAAAAAGAAGAATCAAAACTTAATTTGAGAATCTTTTTGTCGCTTGTCATCTTTTGCAACAAACCAAAATCAAATAATACTGACAATGCCGATTTTATATCAATTGATGAAAAGATACTTTTATTTATAATATATATATATATATATATATTCGGGTGCGTTTCCGGATAAACTATATTTTTTTCATTCATAATGTTGTGTTTTATTTTGGATGTTTGCCTCGTTAACTTCCTGCCAAATAGTCATTTGTTTTGTTTTGGTAGGCATAAAATCGGCTGACTAAGGAAGTATTATTTGTTTTTTTCGAAAATTTATATTTAAATATTATTTAAATAAAAGTTTTAATTCAAATAAAAAATTAAAAAATCCAATAAATTGTACATCATTTATTATTGGTGGTAGTGATTATTTTAAATAGCCATCGATCAAGAGTTCCAAAAACATTAGTAAAAAATTTAAATAGCACATCATTTATAATATAAATTATAAATGCAACACAAAATCTAAAAATATATGACATATTCACGACATATTTTTATAAAACACATGACACTATGATAATTTTTTTAAATATCGCGAAATCAAGAGTCCCGAAAAATATCCATCAATGATTGATAAAGCATAATCAAAACTCATGCATAGGAAGCATGAGCTATATTAAAATTTATGCTATCTAAACTTTTAATCGACACTTTATAGGGTCTTGGACGATAATAGTGTACGAATAAATTAACAATGTATGTGCTAATTTTTCGCCATAATTACTTTATTTATAATTTGTACAAGCATGTACTTTGTATCTCTTAATACATATACTAGTTCAATAACAAACTTTTCTAACATTTGCTTAAATTAAATTTCAACAACACTAAAATTATCCATGCATCCAACACACACACACACACACACATATATATATATAAACACGTACGTCCCCAATCAATATACACATATACATACACACTAGACTAGACTAGGAATAAATTAATTAATATTCACATGCAAATCATTTCGCTTTACTGAAAGTACTACTACAACTATAGTACTGGACGGATCTTTTTGTTGTCAGTCACCGAGCCCGAACCCGAACTGGAAGCCCGTCCCGAAGAGTAGCCGTTAGCCCCAGAGAAAACCTGGGAGATTCCTCAGATAGGACCATCTCAAAACGACATCGTCGCAGCAATGAAATCGTCACTGTCTTCAGCTCCAAAAGTGCCAATTCTTTCCCCAAACAGACCCTAACCCCACCCTGAAAAACTGGATACTTAAACGGATTCGGATCAGGGAAGAAAACCCCATTTCTCAGCCATCTTTCGGGTCTGAATTTCGAGCAATCGGACCCCCAAATTTCTTCCATTCTACCCATTGCATAGGGGTGGTAAGTAACCCTAGTTCCTTTTCTTACAAAGCTCCCATCAGGCAATAAATCATCTTCCAGACAGAATTTCGAATCGAATTGGATGGGTGGGTACAATCTCATGCTCTCGTACACCGCCGCATTCAGCTGATGAAGATTCAGAATTTGATGGTAGTTTGTCAGCCCTAATTGATAGGGTCCTAGAACCTTGTCGGCTTCTTCCAGGATCGCCGCCTCCGCCGCCGGGTGGAGGGCAAGCAGCCGGAAAATGCTTGTAAGGGCGGAGGTTACGGTGTCGCGGCCTGCCAGCAAGAAGCTTATGATGATATCCCTCAGAAAATCTTCGTCTCCGACAATGCTCATAAATCTCGACAGGAGATCCTTCTGGTCGGAGAATCCTAGTTTCCGGCGTTGTGTGATGATGTCACGAGCTAATAATCGGACGGTCCCGATCGCCTCCTGGAGCGTCCTCTCGCTTCCTATGTTGAAAATTCTTTTGATTTTCCATACGATCGGCGATGCCGACGTGGCTCTCTGAGCCGACAGCTTCGACGCTGCGTCGAAGGCGGCGGCGAATTCCGACAGCGGCAGCGACAGTTCCAGACACCTGGGGTCTAATCCGAACGAGAATTTGCAAATACTGTCGAACGAGAATTTTCTGAACACGTCCTGCAAGTCGACAACCTCGTCCGAAATCGAAACCGATTCCAGCAGAGGCAGCAGCCGGCGATGAACCTCGTGATTGACCACCTCGAAAAAGTAAGCCCGAACCGAGACCCGGCCCAGTTCAAGGCTCGCAATTTTCTTCTGAAATCTCCATAAATCTCCGTCAACGTTGAAAATCCCTCGTCCGAGGAAATCCCCCAAAATCGCAGAAAAGGGCTTTCCTTTGGGGAAATTATCGAAATTTGTCTTGAGCATGTACTCAACGTTGTCGGGATTGGCAGTGATCGTGTTGTTTAGAACGTGGATATGGATCGTGCGGGTTGGGGATTTGATCAGCAGGTGTGTGTACCAATCGGAGAGATTAAGGAACTGGTCGGTCCAGGTGGATTTCAGATAATCTTGGCAGATGTCGCAGCCGCAAGAAACCCTCGTTCCAGCGAATCGGAGGACGATGAAAAAGATGAACGACATGATTGTTGCTAAGGATAGGAATACAATTAGGTTAGAATCATGGAGGATTTGGGGCCAAGCTGCAGAATCCATGGCCAAAAACTATGATGGATTGGGGAAGAAATGTTAATTGTAATAAATATATGTAATTAAGGTGTGGATAGAAGAAGAGTAGCAGTACAGTACAGTACAGTACAGTCATGAGAAGTGAAGATGATATACATACAAACAACACAATTCATGGTAATAATTATAATCAAGTGGTGGGGTTAATAAACATATATGGCACGTGTTTTTTCTTGGTGTATAATATATACTTATTTTTTATCTTTCATTATTGCAAGTTGGTGGAGTGTTCATATAGTATTTTAATTAGTACTCCATTAGTCAATTTTATGCCTCATTTCCTACGTTTATTTCGCAGCTAAGTGTAATGCAAATGGCTCTGTCGGAATATTATTGTCCTTCAGTTTCGCTTATGATAATTAATAGTGAATAAAGCATTTATTCTTTTCTTTTTAATAATATTAAATTAAATGTTTTATACTCTTTAATTTCGCTTGTATTTAACATTGTCCCATTTTTAGTTTGTGAGTTCTCGTTCAATTACCATTTTAATTATTTTTATTTATCAAACTATCATCTCACACTTAAAATTCAAAAGTATTATTATTATTATTATTCTTGTTTGATATATGTTTCGAGCTTTGAAAAATATTTGATATATGTAAACAAATGGTGAACCAGATATTTTGTATAAGAAAATAAATGATTACTATATTTGATATGATATACTTTAGGAAAAAATTGTGATAATTAAATAATACCAAAATTAACAGAACTTGTAACTATAGTCTATAAATATCAACATTTGTATGTAACCACTGAAATACTTTCGATGAATAGATATTGACCAAACTCAGTAATAGAAATCAAAATGATAACCATGTTAGGTCCACTCACTGAATAATTGATCAATCAAGAAAATACTTTAAAGGGGATAAATATGTTTCATATGACTAATATGAATTTCAATAATTGCGATAATGATGGACAATACTTGAACATGTATGTATAATTAAATATTAGGGTAAAATTTATAACAGGTACAATTTCATTAATTTTTAGGTCATTTGGTCCTCCGGTGTCGGTGTTGGAGATACTTACGTAGCACTAGCATGGCACGTCGGAGAATATGTATTCACCGGATAAGCACCGCCTGACATGTCATGTGACATTTAAATACTCTGTGACACGTATAAAATTTAATTTTTGTAAAAAAAAAAAATTAAAAAAAATTGATGTACTAACGGACATATATGTGAATAATTATTAGTATTATTTTTTTATTGGCACTTATCTGGTAGCTACGTATCTAAGACGTGCCACTAAAGCATCTAATACATCAATTAAAAGAAAAATAAAATAAAAATCTATGAATCCGTCAGGTGACATTTAACTGATAGACACGTATTCTCCGTCATGCTATGTGGATGACATGCAAACATTTTTTACATTGGAGGGTCAAATGTGCCAAAATTTTTGGCTTATAAAATTATTTCAAAACAGTTACGGAACTAAAGTAATAGAGGTGATTAAAAAAGAGTTTACTTAAATATTAAAAATAGTAAAATTTAGGGCCGGGTGTGTTTATTTGGATTTTAATATTTTGAGTTTGACTTTTAATAGTAAAATTTTTTTAATTTAAATTACTGTTTGATGGATTATAAATATATATCACAGTAATTTGAATAAAATTTATTTTTTTTAGTATAATACTATACAAAATAAAAATTTATTTGATTTTTTAGAAAAACGAAAATGAAATAATAAAAACCCTTAAAAAAATCCCAACCAAACAAGCACATGATTTGTTAATTTTTAACTTTTTAAAGTTTTTTATTATTTACTGTTTATATTTTTCATAAAGAAATAAATTTTGATAAAATATCGAATCAAAATATTAATTTTAAAAAGAAAATTCACACAATCAAACACAACCTCTTAAAGTAGATCATGTGACGAGCAACATGAAAATACAAATGTAGGTAATTTGCATATTATATTATTAATCCACGTGTCATGTTTATTCTTAATTTTTGCAACAGATTTAATAATTGTTGATTTTAGTTGGCTAACTTGTCGTCCCTATTGCAATTGTTATTTATTTATTTATTTATTTATATTGGAATTGTTATTTATTTATTTATATTGGAATTGTTGGTGGTACTACACGTCAATGTTCCCATCGACAACCAATGGAGACGCCGCAAATGGCCAAACCAACTTCTGCTCTTTGAATATCGCCATATGATAAAATAAAAAAAAAAAAAAAAAAAAATTAAGAGATAAAAAAAATTATATTAAAAATATAATAAAAATTCTTTCAAAAATTATAATATTCTATGTCAAGTGTTTACGGTACAAATGAAAATTGTTTAGCATCGTAATTTAAAAAATATTAGTATTATAATAGTAATCGATAGAAAATATGAGTAATTTTTTTTGTTTGGTTAGTTTTTTAACTTAAATATAAAAAATAGTGAATTTTGTGTAATAATAATAAAAAATTAATAGTAGTAATATTTTATGATAATATGATTATTTATGAAAATAATTTTATTGTTTGAGACAACAAAAAAATAATAAATTGGAGTTTACAAAAATAAATAAATAAGCTGGATCCCAATCATGAGTTTCACTTTTAATTAGTCATTATCCTTGTGTATTAATTAATGATTTTATCCATTTTAACCGCTAATGTTACCTTTCAACCATCAAGACCTATTTAGTAGTTAATTATACTTATACATGAATAATTATTATAAATAAAAACTAAAAATTGATTGGTTGGAATAATTTAGACAACCAACCTCTCAAGTCTGACGTCAGATGCATCGAATGTTGCTAACATCTGAGTAATGAAAATTAAATAGTGCATGACGAGTTCAATTTAACCGCTAATTGGGGATTATATTATTTTTTTTTAACCCACAAAGTCAAGTTATTTATACTTTAAGCTTGTTTATAGTGTTGATTTATCAATATAAGAGCTTATTTACTTTAAAAATAATTATTAAGATTTTGGAATAATTAGGGTTTGTTTATTTGTGTATGTGTACTTTAGGTTTTATATTTTTAAAATAAAAAATATATATATATATTAAATGTAACACTTTGTATAAAAATTGATATTGAATGTGACCAACAGTTATGGGATTGGTTAGTGTACTAATTTGGGTTAATCGAAGATAAATATATACTCCTTCTCTCATGCAAATCGTGTGTTCAAAAAAAAAAATGGGTATAGATTTTAATGTAATTAATCAATTAAAATTATTATCATTAAATAAATAAATAAATAACCCTAATGATGGTGGAATCTTTGAATAATTAATTGGGCCGCATTCATTAATTCCCATTAATTTATTGATAATATGACGTGAGCTGAACTTACAAATTACTACTACTACTAGTACTAGTACAATTGTAGTTGTTGGAATGAGTTAGTGATCAAACGACATGAATGTATGTAATTATGGATCCCACAAAGAATGTGACATGCTAATTTATTTATTTATTTATAAATAAATAATTATCTAAGGAAACCGTATTGGCTAAATCTGTTAACAAAAGACGATAAACGACAATGATCCCAACAGTCTGTCATTATTAATAATTCCAATATAGGATAAGAGCAAACACAAATAGTTGTTAGAAAAATGTTATGTCCAGTCATTTCTTGTCATCTAACAAATTCTAGTCCAACTTATTATACCCTCACCCATTTTTTATTTTCACATTTTACTCCGTTAGACAAATGATTTTTAAAATGGGAATTTCTGAATATTTTAAAATAATAATAAAAAAATAAATAATACCAATTTATTTTTTTTCATAATGATGGGTATAAAATATTAAATTATTTTAACCAGTGGCCTGACCCGGTCCAATCCATAGCTGAACGTAATAAGTCGGGCCGGGCTGGCCCAATCCCATAGCAGATGTGTTTGTACTCTATAATACTAACACAATTTAGCCCAATAATTACGCTGTTGTGTATTTATCTTTAATACTAATACGACGTCGTCTCTTGACTCAGAGGTTACAACGGCAAGATGACCAAGACCACTTAAACGACGTCGTTTCCAATACTGAATCATTTAACAACTAATCTGAATTCAAAGAATTGATATCGGATCCATGGAGCAGCACTTCACTGATACAACAACTTGAGTGCTATCAAAACAAATCGAACACATCACAAAAACAGAAAGAAAGAAGGAACATACATGGATGCAATTCAAACGATCGAACCTTGGAACATGACAAACTCCTGCAATTAATATCCAAAGAATTGTTGGAGACTCGACTGGAGGTTCATAAACACAGCCTCCCATCCAGCCTCAGTTGGATGCGACGAATCCCAGAAGAATGCCGATTTCGGATCACTGCAAACCGTATACATCTTCTTCCCATTCTCGTCGACGCTGCCGCAGAAGTATCCGGCGCTGTTCGCCACACAGCATGGCTTCAACCCACTCTCGAACCCTCCGTTTCGATCCAGCACACGCTCGAAGGTGCTGTAGAGATCGACGACGAAGAACGTCGAGCTCCTCGTCTCATTATTCAGCTCGGCCACAGCTTGCTGCAAGAGGAGGTTATGGTAACCAACAGCAGAGTTCTGAGTAGCATTGCATCTCTGAAAAGAATTTCCTGCCGTCATCTGCGGTAGGCATCCGAGCGGCGGCAAGGCCGTCACAAGAACACGGCGAGCGCCCAGTTCGTACATCCGGTTCAAGTTCAGTGTAAGCTGATTGATCACTCGAGGGATGAAGCTTCGGATTCCCTAAGAAACAGAGGAATGCAGTTTTAGCAACTGTTGATGTTGGAATGAGATTTTCTGAGGTAAGAATGGATGAATATCAAATATCGAATACTACCTCCATCGTGCCGCCGTTATTTAGATAAGCGCCGTAATCGTTGCCGGTAAGAGAGACTAAGAAAACAGAGCATTGCAAGTCTTGGTTAACGTAGAGGGGATGATCATGATCATGATCAAGATTGTTGTTATCAATGAGATTCTCAAAAAAGCCAATTTGAGTGGTCATGTTGGGAAGTATATCGGCGAGAGTGTCGAATACGCCGCTGCCGCCATAGGCGAAGTTCATCCCGTTGCGAAACTTTTTGCCTCCATACTTCCTCCATTCATAGGCCAGGGGAGATTTGAGCCCCAAGAACTTTGCTGCAAGATTGATTTGATCAAGAACAATAGTTAGAACAATTAAAGGTCATCTTCAAGTTCCGATCAAAAAAGAAAAAAAAAAGGTCATCTTCAAGTTAACAAATTACAGTGCTTTCTTGATCTGTGAAAGATTCTTTTCTTGATCAGTTAGATCATCTTTTGAAAAATATACATTAATGCTTTCTGTAATTAAGGGGTGGATAGACAATTAGAAGTAGCTTTCAGTCACAGTTAGGGTTTGGAGATAGACATGATCAGCAAAGAGACAGCAGCATTAAAAGAGGGTGGATTTGTAATTTTGTATGATGTTTATGGAATGAGAATGAGTCATTGCAGCGGGTGGGTAGGGGGGTGGTTGGGTGGTGCATAAATGATGCTCTGATTAATCGACGCTTTTAGAAGCATTATGTTCATGGCGGACACAGACTCGTAACTTTTTTCCCCAGAAATTATTATTATTATTATATTCAGAACAATTAAAGGTAGACGATTAGCACAGAATCGAGTACGTAGTGCATGTGTGTGTATGTGCTGTCTGTAAAGCTAATTGCAGAAGGAAATAATAAACAAATGGAGAAGATAACAATGGCCGAATGAAGATTAACTAATTTTATATACAGCATCCATCCACGTACGTATCCCACCAACGCAAAATTAAAGCACACAGGGAGGAGAGAGAGAGAGGAGAGAGAAAGCAAAAGGTAAAGTGAATTGGTGAATTAATGATGACGATGAAGAGGGCATTAATGGTAGCAAACTGGAAAAAGGGGAAGAATAAAAGAGGGAGGGAGGCGTGGAGTAATAATTAATAATTAATCATTACAGAATCACTTTACCGATGTAATCAGTGAGAACACGGCCGTCGGAGAAACGGCCGGCGGGTTTTCCGGGGAAGGTGGAGCCGTAGGGGTCCTTCCACGCGCCGCCGAAGGATTTCCTGATGTTGCCCGTGTCGGCATATGAATCTCCGAAGACGAACAGTTTTGTCGGCCTGGAGGCGCCATCGGTCACCTGATGACGGTGGCGGTGGCGGTGGCGGTGGCGGTGGAGCGGTGAGCCTTGAATTAGTTGAATACCTGATCCTGATGTGAGTAGAAAGCAGCAGAGGAAGAAGATGATTTTGAGGGAGAGATTGGAGGGCTCCATTGGAGATGGAGAGAGAATTTACTGTAATGTGCGATCAAGAATCTGCAGACGAACTTAAGATTTGTAAAGGACTGATGGAAATAAATGTCCACACCCACACAAACACATATATATAAATGTGTACCCTTTAGTTACATGGGGTTATGGCATTATTAATGAATTTCTTGCAAGCCCTTTAAAGGGAATTTATGAATGGTACAAATTTGAACAATGGGAACTGGGAACTTGTCAATGGGTTTTGGTGGTTCGGGTCAAATCATGGGTGGGCTTTATTTTTTCCTTACATGGATTTGATTTTATAGAGTTAGTTTCTCACTGGGCTGCTGGCCACAGTGCTGTCCTGTCCTGTCCACATAATTAGTGCACTTTTGTTGACCTCTCATCAATGGGGTGGATAATAGTAAAATAATAATAATAATGGAATATGCATAATTGGTGCAATATATGTATGGACACGAATGGGGTGCCAGAAGCTGCCTACAATGGGTGATTTGGTGTTAATCTGTGAAAGCGATTTGCAGACAATGGATTGGAGTAATTAGTTAATTAATTAATTTAAATGGGAGATGAGGGCCAAGTGTAATTCCATTTACCTTCTCTTCACCTAAATATTATTCTTTTCATTTTGTTACATTTTGTTGCATTGGTAATGTAATGAGTTATTTATGGAAATAATGGACAACAATTGACCGCTTGTATTAATTAATAATTTTTTGCGTGTGAAAACAAATGACCGCTTGTATTAATTAATTAAATTGAAAATGGCACGTCATCGCTAGAACAAGTAGCGGAGAATTCTCTAAGTCGTGGTAGCTCCCTTTCTACCAAAAAATAAATAAATAAATAAAATTATAAATTATAAAATTTAAAATAAGATTAAAAAGTAAAATATTTTTTTAAAATAATGGTTCATTCAACATATTGACGTTGTATCTTTGTTGATTTTCTTTAATTGTTTAAGGTTTATGAAGGAAAAAAGAAGAAATAAAACTGTCCCGTGATAGTGTGGGGATGGTTTTTAGATAATATGTTATAATTATAATTATTACTATATTTTTATAATAAAATATAATAACATTAATAAAAATAAAGTAATAATAGAGTTTTTTTTTTTTAAGTTTTGAGAGTAAATGTTTTATGAAAAATTTGCTTCTTACTAGACATTTTGGGTGTAATTTGTTAATATTAGTCGGTAGTAGTTCCCTAGATGTTAAGAATTTTTTTAAAAAAATCTTATATTCTATCAGTGACAATTATATTAATGGATTAAAAAGAATAGTTGGTAAAATGTTTAAAAATTAATTAATATTTATTTTTAAATATAAAAAAACATAAACATAAACATGGTGGAAAAACTAAACACATAATTTGTCTCACATTTTAAATTTTAAATTTTATAATTTTAATTAAATTATTTACTTATTTTAATCTTCGACGGAGCGAGTAAAATAGCATATCCTCGGAGAGAACGAAAGTACTTATTTGGCATAAAACATCTACTTCAGTTTTTTCATTCTTTTTTCGGCTATGGCTATGTGAATGAGAAAAGCATTAGTAATTTATCGGGCCTGAATAATGGCTATTTGGGCCGTGGTTGAGCTGAACGGGTGGCCCAATAGTAGAAGTTGCCATAGTTGTATTGACGAAATCCATTGCCATTCCAGGCTGCAGAGTGAATCCAGATCTTGATTGTGTTCATTGGAAATCTCTTTCATCATATATATATATATATATATATATTTATTTATTTATATTTGAAAAGGGTTCATTAATCATTCTCTCGTACGTTCGACATTGTCTCCATCGAGCACATGCACATCTTCCACGCGATTGCTGAGATTGTCTTTGGAGTTTCAAAATGGTAATATTTTTTTTAGGTATGTGAATTCACAGCTTATGTGTTAAATCATCAAAGACAGCAGTTCATTTTCTTGCAAGTTTTCAGTTTATTACCCAAAAATATAAAACAAAAACCTGCAATTAAGGGCGTAATCTTGATAGCTTGGAAAGCAAAGGTCGATATTTACAAAGAACAACTCAAATGTGTTGAATAACAGACAAAAATACGGTATTGGCAAAGCAGCTAGCTAAGGTAGTGCCGAGCAATAATGTATATATCAATTAAAAATTAATTAATTGTAAATATTGTTGAAAGGTGTGATCTTGATAACCAAACCAGGGAAGACGTCGTCGGGGTCATGTATATGTGGATTCTCCTCCACAATGTAGGGGTCGCCGCACTTCTCGCTTATGGTGTGCAGAGTCTCTCCTTCTCCGACCACATATATTTCGTCGCACCGCCTGCCTAAGTTCGCCGCCTCCGCCTGAACCTCGCCGGCGGCGTACTCCCCCGATTCGCAGCAGCTCAAAATCAGCATCAGTGCCAGCAGCAGTGAAGTGTACCACGACACGGCCTCCGCCACCACCGTCATTGGGTTCACTCGAGACATGACCAGACCGATTATTACAATGTCTGTATGTATGTATGTATGTATATCTGCAGAAAATTAGGGTTTGTATATATATATATGTGCAGTTTTTATAGAGGGGTTGGGTTAAGTTAAGATGACGAAAATGGTAGTATAAATGGTTCTGGTTTGTAGGTGGAGTGGGTGCGTGCAGTCGTGTGTAACTGTCGGAGACGACGGGGATTCTTTCTGTTCTCTCATTCACATTCAACCATTACTGCACTTTTCTGTACGTGTCAAACTATTGGGATTGGTAATGCTATATATATACAGATATATATATATATCTAGAGAGAGAGAGAGAGGACTTGGTTGGGACTTCGTCAAGAACAAGTAATGTTAGTAATTTGGTCAACAGCCGGGAGGGTTAGTTTAACTGCTTTATTAAATGGTCTGGAAGAGATATCTTTAAATTTGACTTGTATTTCGATCTCTTATATGGCAATTATTGGTGGAGTTTGGGTCCTAAGATTTGACTTTATCAGTCATTTCAGTTGAGCATTAATCAGCGACAATTTGAGCAGTCAAATACGGTTCAGTGGGCAGTGATTTGATATGTAAGATTGCTTTAGCGGCAGCTGTAACAATAAAGAGCTGCAATAATACTAAAGTTCAATAATGATGTTGATAAAGATCGATTTAGCAGATGTACCAAGAAAAAGTTGCAATAATAGAAAGTTTGATGTAGGAATTATGGTCACTTTTTTGATCCGATATAAAGTTACCAGAGCAATGAAGAAGATTGGAACATAAAACAAAGTGCAGAAGCAACAGTATTGAATTATGGAAATCAGGGCTTCATGAGTATACTGTCGACGAAGTTAAGGACTCCTTCCACATTCACTGTCCAGGCAACTGAAACAGGGGATAGATCCGACCATGGGTTGTTCGAATTCCACCTGGAAACAAATGTTACAAACAAGAATGTAAAATTCTCTTAAAAATAAAATTAAAATGGAGAAGACATACTTTTTTAATCCTTGATCCATCAGCGTGTGGCCGGCGCATATGCCCTGCGTTTCGACTCTCACGACTCCTTTCTTGAAGGTGAAAAGATCGGGCCTTACGAGCGCCACAAAACTTACGGGATCGTGAAGGAAAATTCCTGAAAGATGTGATTGTAAGAGAACTAAGATGTAAGAAGGGGTAGAGGACATGTTCAAGATGCTTTGTGTTAACAAAGAAAACTAATACCATGAACACCATCAGATTTGACATGCCAGTCGCGGTAAAATTCGCACATGTCGGATAGGAGAGCGGCGTGTCTTCCTTCAGAGCTCCTTAGTGCATCCAGGTGTTTGTCTGAAGACAAGGTGTAAGTTCATATGAGAAAAAGCTAGAACAGGGGAAGCAGTCATATTTTCTTACAAGATGCAGTGAGAATCTACCTGTCAATTTGACCTGTGTTGTGATATTTATGCCAACAACATCAATATTTGCACCAGAAGTAAACACAATATCTGCAGCTTCCGGGTCGCCATAGATCTGCACGCCCGATCAGAAAAAAATTAAATGATCCATCAGCAGCAGAAGATGCAAACATGATACAAGATTATTGCATAATCAGGCTCAAAGAAAGCTAAATGGATGCAATAAAAAGACGGAAACGTGCAGTATTATCAACAACACAGTACATACATTTGCTTCAGCAGCAGGATTGACGTTCCCTAATGCGAAGAAAGCTCCACCAAGAATAACTATTCTCTTGACCTTGTTTGCAAAGGTTGAGTCTCTCTTAATAGCCTAAATCAAGAAAAGCACATCCATCAGCATCAAGTAAATTCAAATTTATACAATTAAAACTACATGGCGAAAACACGTACTAGGGCGAGATTAGTCAAAGGCCCCAATGCAAGTATGGACACTTCACCAGGAAACTCAGAAACCTTCTCTACCAAAAATTCAGATGCAGACTTCTCAGATTTCTTAGATTTTACAGGGGGGAGAGGGATTTCCCCAAGTCCATTTGAACCATGAACGAAATCGGCAATTCTTGGTGGTCCTCTCTGAACAAAGTTTAAGCCAGGTGAAGATACAGCAAGTGCAGAAAGCTATGGCAGAGTTATCGGCATTATCTTTCCATGATGATGACATATGAAAAGATTTTCAACAAGATTGAAATTGATCACTACCACTAAGTTTAGCTTCATTTTACCTTTAATGGTTCAGGATTGCCCTCTGCCACAGGAACATCTGGACATCCAGCAATCTCACACTATCCTTTTGCATTAAAGTAGCAATTGATCATGAACCTGGCCTAAAACTCTTTAACCTATATCCAAATTACGAAAATTTGTAGAAAAACATGTACCAAAAACAATGCGTTGCGAGTTGCATCTTCTGTTGTCACATTGCCAAATATTGTTGTTAATCCCAAAATCTCCAGATCAGGTGACTGAAAGGCCATCAATATCGCCATACTATCATCTGTACATTAACAACGCTTATCTCAGTTTTCAAGTATATCCTGCAAGAACACTAATTTTCAATTGAAACAAAATCCTATTGTTTTTTTAGCAATCCGTCAGTGTAAGAAGTTCCTAAATTCATACTGTTGATCCGTAGCATCTATGGACAGAAACCCCCCAAAAAGAAGTAATTAAATTCAAGAAAGAAAAACCCTAGAACAGAACAAGTGAAGTAATTCTGCACCGCTTTTAAATCTACTGTACTTCGTACAGGTTAAAAAAAAAAAAAAACAGGACTGACGAAGAATCTTCAAACGATGCCACATTCGAGATTACAATAGCATACAGGGCAGAATTAACCTAATTGTGTAATTTCGAATTAATCGCTTTCAGAGAAATTATAGATAGGAGAGGAGGATTGCGTTTTCTTACCGATTCCAGGATCGGTATCAATAATAACCTTTACGCTTTTCTTCGCAAAACCATTCTCGGAGCCCACAACCCCATCGATCCCACCGCTCTGATGATTCGACATCGCCACTTTTTCTAACAGATTCCAACCCAAAAAGGCGACTCACTTTAAGGCGTCCCAGAAATTGAAATTAAAATCTCAGAAGAATGAATGGATAGAGTATCGAAAGATTCGCAGCACACACAAGACGAACAGCACAACCTGTCAAATATACACGTACATACAATACATATATATAGACAAAATCAACAAAATGCAATGCGGTATTTCTTGAGGAAGCCAAAAAGGCAAGAACTAAGAAAATATACTACTGTCCGCGCTGGCGATGAGCTGCTTCCCTTATCGGAATTGTTCAAAAATGGATTAATTGCAAATATTGGGCATAATAAAGAGTTGAATCATTTCTGGCAACGCATCCGCCAACCATCTGCAGTTCTGCCCTTGTCTTTGCTTGGATCACACAAAACTGAGAAAAGTATTTATTTTTATCATAAATCAGCATATACACATGGGTTGGTTACGTGGGATTTCTCTCTTAAAATTTTATTTATCTTTCTTCTATTTACTCTCCTGAATATTCTTTTATTTTATTATTCATACATGGTTTAATTAATCGAATTACCTTGAAATTTCCGAAGTTTGTTATTACCTAAACATCAATCGGATAATGCTATATTGAAAAACCGGAAAAGCATCTATTATACACAAACCAATGATTTTTTCTTTCTCATGTTAAATCAAGAATAGTTACGTAAGTAAAGTGACCACTTTTATTGAAAGGGAGGCTATGTATGAATTAATAATTATAAAATAATTTTCAAACTTTAGGGTGGGTGGAATCTGATGCATCATTTTACATTCAATGATAATTTTTAATATTCTTCAATAATTTGATTTTGCATGGATTATGCTTTTGGCTATACCTTTCTACCACATATAGGATTTTTTGTCCCAATTAATATATCATATCCCCCTATCTCTATATACACAATATGTATATACATATTATGTATGCAAAGATAGGGAGATATAATTTATTGTTTGGACAGATGATTCCATGGATTTTCAACCAATAAAATAATTTTACAAATCACGTCGCTATTTGAAGATGCGTAAACTTTCGGTTAAGCCTAATATCCTACAAACTATGCTCGACAAGAAAAGTCACACTAAGCGAACCTTGTATGACAGGTGGATCTGTAAATGTGGAGGAGGTGGACAAATCTTTACTGGGCAAATCATTAATTTTATAGCTCGTGCATGACCTGGGCTCAAGTCGAATACATGTGCTATATAAAATCCAGGACGTGGCCAAAATATTACAATAAATTTCAATGATGAAATTGGATATGCAAGAATCGACCTTTCAACCCTCAAATTCAACTGCACATTGACATATTTATACATTCATTCAAGGATGCATAAACAAAATTGATACACAACTAGTACAACATTTTATCTTCTTTACATTTGACTGAAATTATTCGAGTAAGTTACCGTTTCCGCCTTCCTCGTCGAGAAGCCCGGTGCTTCCATCTTCAACGGCTTCTGATCTTCGAGGAATTTTCTGTCTGAATAGGGCAGTAGCAAAGCACGTAAGGAGTAGTCGAGCTCAACTAGGTTACATAAGAATGTAAGCTTCTTTGAAAACTACGTACGTCGTGGAGTAGATTACAATCCCGATGAATACAAGAGTGTAGGCTGGATACAACAACCATTTTACCTGAAAATTTGCGGTCGAGTGACTTTGTGTGTACAAGTATGTTTAAATTGAATAGGTTATATAAGAAACCTGCTCTTTGTAGATGAAAATTTTGATTAAAACTGCCCACAGGTTGGATGTTAGAACAGACATATTGAATAGGGTGGCACCACTCATCTGTACCAGATTAAGAATTTGGGAATGCTCTGTCAGAAAACTTACAATAAGAACCAAAATCTCTAGACAACAGGGGATTTGTGAAATAGATACATATCTAACCTTAAGGACTAAAGGGCCAACCGTATAGAACACAAAGCCTGGTATCAAGACCCCGATATACAACAATCCCTGCAAATTAAATTGAAATCTAGATTCGACGTCTCTTGATTTAAAATTGTAAGAGACAGAGTTGTCATAAGCCTAATGAAGATTGCTTACAAGATGGGGAGTCCATGGGATCGATTCTACTGTCTCTTTTTCAAAGACAATGCTTAAGAAAAGTAAAGGAAGAACGGTATCAGTGTGTTATCAGGTTTAAGTAATCGAGATATGGAAATGGATTCATTTTAGAAAGGATACATTCCCAGCACAGAAATTAGTGTTCCAAACACACCAAGCATTGTCATGGCTTCAACACGATCTCTATTCTTAACACAATATTCCTGCAAAGGGATCGGCAATTAAGGTTTGAATCTAGTAATGTGAAGAGAAGATAGCATTACTAACCAAGCCAACATTTCCCATTGTAAGAAAAACAGTTCCTACAATGACAAGCATATCCCCAAAAAGAGGGCTCTTGCCACCTGATAAATGCAAATCCAAAAGCATTATCAGCACTACATTTCGAAAAAACATTTAAGGATGTTTTTTCCCAAGTATATTACCTCTTATATTTGCCTTAGAATCAGCGAGCAGCACTACACCAAGGCCTCCTACACATATTGCTGCCCCAATGAATTGCAACAAGGAATATTGTGTGCCCAGGACAAGCCATGTAAGAACTATGGCCCACACGATCGACCAGCAGAGTAAAACTGTGACGCTGGTGATCGTGGTGTAATTATAGGATTTGATCACTGCAATCCATTATCTTACATGAATCTTCATAGGTCTATTACAAACAAATTAGATTCGACAGAAAGCTTGTTGAGTAAGTACCAAGATAATTGCCTTGGACATCAGCCAAACCAAGAAAAATATACCAATACCATGAGACCTGCATTTACGGTACTCAAGCATGTCGATAAAATAACATTAATTTAGTCGACAAGGGATATGTTTTAGGAGAGAAATGGCTAAGGTTCTTACCGACAACTTCCGGCGGCGGTATAGCATCACAGCGCCGTATACGGAAGCCAGCGTCACATACGAAAGCAACGAGATTGTAAGAGGTGCATCCACTCCTACAGCGGCAATAAATCGAGCAGAATTAGGGCAGATTATAAACAAGACAAGAGCACCGAATCATAAGGGCATATATTATATATACCTTGTTTGGCGATCAAGGAAACTGAGAAATTGGTCATGGCGATGGAAAGGGAAATAATTTGACCTAAAAACAGGACCAGCACTGTTCTGCCCATGCCAGGATTATCACTCCCACCCGCCATGGCCGCTGCTTGAATTAACACGAAAATCAAGTGTTTGGGAGGGAACGATAAATAATTAAGTTGTAGTGACGACGGAAACCATCAAGCATTAAATTCGGAGACGCTTGCAAGTATCGAGGAGCGGTTACCTACCAAAATTATACGCAAGGAGCTGTTTTTTGATGACGTTAGAGTGTCGATTCCACCATGAACGATAGATTGGTGGGAAATCTCGGGAGGCTGCATGCCGCCGGGCCTCTTCAATCCCAATGCTACACTTTCCAAAATCATAAATCTAACGTAATTTTTTTTTTTTTTAATTTTACTTTTTATTTTTAAATCAACATCTACTATATATTTTTATTATAAAAAAAAATTGAAAATTAAAGTCATTCCAACATAATCTGTACGTACAATACTTCTTTTATGTGTCTTATTAGTTGTAAGGATGAGCGGGTGGTACAGAAACTTTAGATTCGATCGGGTTTATTCGGTGCACACTTTCGGAATTTAATTATTTTGATTAATTACTAAGAATGTGCTATTGGATATTTATACATAATGCTTTCGAAATATTCCAAGTGATTTTACTAATGTGTATTTCACAATACACCAAGACAAAATTTAAAGCCCGTTATTTTTTTTTCCGACTATCTTATCTAATTAACCTAATTAATTAAATATCATGTTCAGACCAATAAAGTATTCATATAGGCCCATTATATTTCTCAAATTCACTACGGAACAAATGAGTAAATTAATAATCAATTAACACACAAAATGTGTTTTAGTTTGTTTAGATGTTGTGTATTGGGCTGTCTTTTAATTTAACAGAAAAAAAATTAATTTCAATACTGATAACCCAACTCCAAATATTGGGCTGGGCTGGGCTGAAAATGAACGTGACCATAATTAAAATAAATATATATCTATAAATATTGGGCATGAATTTCTAGCAATTTTAAATTTTTTTTCATGTTTTTTGATTGGATAGAACCTTTGATTGATCATTACAAGAATGTGAACTAATAATTTTATTCTATACAATATAAATATAAATATATATTTTTAATAATTTTTTTGTTTCATAATATTATTTTATTAATCTATTTAAATATTCGTAACATTATTTTTCTTACTTATACAAGAATGTGAGCCAATAATTTTTTATTTATGCAATTTTAATAAAAACATATATTTTAAATTAATAATTATTTTTTATTTGATAAAATAATTTATTAATCTATTTAAACATTCATAATTACTTTTCCTATTTATTAAAAATATAAAAAAAAACCCATTGGATAACTACATCTAAAAAAATATATATAATATATAATTTTAATTAATTTACAAAATTAGATTTAAATGAAATTTAAAATTATTATTAAATATTGTTGAAAATTTAACATATTATTTTTATATTATAATATAAATATTGTTATTTAGTTCAATTATTTAAAAATTTAACATATTATTTGATTGCTTAAAATATTTGATTGGCTATTACAAAAATTAAATATAAGACTTTTTTATTTATTTAATTATTCTTAATACTTATTTAGTACTAATATTCAATAAGGTTGATGATTTTAAAAAATATATATTTATTTTAATGTAAAAAATAATATTTGGTTAAGCTTTAATTAATTGTTAATATTCTAATTATTTTAAAACTTTTTATACTTATTAATTTTAATTAAATTTTAAAATAATTACCTTTAATAAATTAATAAATTTTTTTTTAAAAAAATTAAAAGTAAAATAAATATGTATATACTATATGACATATAAATATCATTATAAATAGAATTAAAGTAATTGCTATTATAAAATTATAACGTTATTTTTTATACAATGATTGTATTTTATTTAATAAAATTTTTAAATGATGAATTGCATAAATAGTTCATAATAAATTTAAAATTAATTATTATCTTATATAAACATATATAGTATATACATAGATTGTATTTTATTTAATAAAATTTTTAAATGATGAATTGCATAAATAGTTCATAATAAATTTAAAATTAATTATTATCTTATATAAACATATATAGTATATACATAGTCTCTCTCTATATAATTTATTTAACATGAATTTTCTTTTGACTAAAAATATTCATAAATTATGGTATTCTATACATATTCTAGATACATTAATAATAATAATAATAATAATAATATAGGTATAATTCAATTGTGTAATTGTTAATATGCATTAGATTTTACATTAAATGTATAAAAATAATAATAAAAAAATAATAATTGTGTGCAATTCTTGCACGTTTTGTGGCCTTCATTTTCTTTGACTTCCCGGTGCAACTTTTGATTTCTCGATGCAACTTTTCGATTCTAAAAAAATTTACATATCTATCTATTTATCCAATCCTCGGTAGCAAAGACAATTTGAGGTTTACTGTAGTTGAGAGCATAATGAATGAAAAGTAAACTACTGTGAATGAAAAACCGAGAGATTCCGGTGAGTTTTCCGGCAAATTAAAAGGCCTTTTCGATGGCCGATTCCAGTGGCTGTTGTAGCTTAGAGTAAAGATGCCATGGGGCTTAGCCGAAATGTGTTGTCTCTTGGCCGCTGTGATGATCGGAGGAAAGATTGAAAGAAGGAATCTCCTGAGCTATTCGTCGCCGTTTGCCGGAGAAGACAGTAGGAGCAGCCTCTACTTGGATCGAGCCGCCGTTATTCTGTCCATCGCGAGCCCGGGGCTGGTCCCGTGAAGATCATGTCGCCGCCGTTCTCCTGCTGCCTGGAGTTGTCAATTCTGAGCCGGAGCCGAGCCGTCACAGTCAAGGCCGCCGGTGGAATCGTTGGCGGAATTGGTTTTGGAATCATTGTAGGTGGATTCAATTTCTTATATCGGTTGAATGAAGAAGACGAAACAGGAAGTCACTATGCCTGACTTTTAATCTCAAGGCGCAGTTCGGTTTTATTTTTCTGAAATATTCAAATTATGTCTTGGTTTGATTAGTAATAATTTCATTTCGATATCGTATTATAGTATTTTGGATTTATTTGATTAGTATCTTCTGTTATTAATTAATTTGTATTTTTGCATGTAATGTTTGTTCGATAAATTTAAAGGATTCGAAATAAATTCACAATATAATCAAACCCTAAAATTTCAATTTTTATAACTTTTTATATATATTGTTATAATGTTCCTAATATAAATTGAACTTGCAATGTAATTTTTGTTTGCAGGAAAGGATGCACATTGAAGTTTTGCAGTTGATTTTCAGAATAAGGTAACGAAGAAATAGCTAATCTTTGGAGAACAAAAAATAATTTTATAATTTTATTTATTTATTCATAGGAAACTATTTATTGATAAAATATCCACTATCTGCGGAAGATCAACAATCTCGACACTGGTTCAAGAGGAGAAAAGAGAAAAATTAACTAACTTGGGCTTTCTCCTCTACGTGTAAACTGGATAAAAAAAATGACTTAAAAAAAAAAAGAGAAAAGGGAAAAGGAGAAAAAACTAAGGGACAAAATGGCTGAATTATAACGGAAGGGTTCAACTAATTAATGATTTTTATGATTTTTTTTATGTAAAGTTTTGTTTTAAAAGATTATGAATTTTCTATTTTAAATTTTTTTAATCAGAATTTTTAATTTTAATTTTTTTTATTATGGTATATAGAGAATTCGTTGACAGAAGTGTTTTTATTTTAAATAGCACATCTTTTTATAACTTCTTGTTTGTTACGATAATAATTTTTATTTTCTAAATAAGCAGTGTATTTGAATATAATATCTATATTAATATTGACAAATATTTTGATCTTACTTTCAATAGTGTTCAAATATTATCATATAATTGAAATATTATGTAATGCAATATCTAATATAGAACATTTATTAATATTTTGTGTTTACTATTTTCTACTACCTTATTTTTATAGTTTTAATTTCAAATTAGAAGTTTTAACTTTAATAAAAATTTTCTTTTGCATGATGGGTCAATTATTTTTATATGTCTACATAGAAAAAATTGTATTTATTTATGTAATTTTTAATTTTTAATTTTTTATTGTAGGTTGATTAAATGATTTATTGTGAGAAGATTTTTAAGGAGGAGGAATACAAAGAGAAAGAATAAGAAGAGTAGAGAAGAAGAAGAAATAGATGGCCGGTGGTCAAATTAATTATCCAATTATTAATTTTTTAAATAAAATTATTTATACATACGGATAAAATATATATATATATATATAAAGACAGATGTTTATAATGTAAATTAGATTCTTAGAAATATTTATGTAATGTGATAAAATATGTATTCAATGACAATAATCTTTGTTTATATATAAAGAAGATATAAATTTATGTTAATTTGTAGGAATATTTTAAAATTTATAAAAATTTACAATTAAATATAACTTGAATATATATATATACGGCAACAAAACATTAACAATTAAAATGATTATATGGCATTGAAATGGTCTAGACTGGGTCCACAAAAGCAGAAGGTTTTTTTATAATAGTAATAATAATAATAATAAAATTAAAAATTACAGCAGCAAATGGGAAGCTCACGTGCGAACGGTTCAATGCACCACATCATCATCATGTAATTTCATCATTAACCTCACAGACACTCGTAATTATGTGAAATGATTAAATTTTACCTCAGAAGAATGGTTAATGATGTCACTGCAGTAACTCTTCACCTACAGGGAATCCCGGGACTCCAACGCCCAACCGCTTTGATGAACACTTCGCCGATCCACTTGCCCTCTGGTGGTCCCGGGACCCCGAAGGACGCCCATTTTAAAAATTCTAACCTAAAGGAAGAATTGAATTGAATTTATTCAGAGAGTTTGGTCTTTAATTTGGTGGTTGAAAAGGCAGTTTAGGGGTAAATAATTGCAGTAGTTTTCGTAGGCGATGCAGATAATGATGATGAACAATAATGGATGGAGAAGAAAACCAATATAATGATCAATGCTAGCTATCCTCTCGATGGCTGTGGCCATCATCATCATCATCATCATCATCGATGATCATCGTCGTCGTCATCATCCATCGATGGGTTCGAATCTTTTGACAACTGGGAAACAAATTTGAACTTTTTCTTGTAATAAAAAATACTAAAGATTAAAATCTTAGAGCTAGTGGTTTGATGATCAGCAGAGTCCATTTGTGGGGTGTTTTTCAAATTTTGTTTTAAAGGAAAATGGAAAGACAGACGTGAAATCTTACCTCAACGTTGGTAAAGAGCAGAAAGAAAGATTTGGAGGGTCAGTAGTGTAGTATCACTGATTGAATTGCAATGCAAAAACCATCATTGCCAATCATTTTTACAGTGAAATACCAAGAATGCCCTCGCCAGGCCCCATCATCACCATCATGCACAATCATGTTATTTTTGGAAGATCATTAAATCCCTTGCCCCTTCCATGCTTACACATGCATCATTGCTTTGCTGTGGCAGCAGATAGGGAGGAACTTCCAACTTCCTTACCATTGATTTAATCTGCCCCAGCTTCCCCCCTCTATATCTATATATACGTATCTATCGATCTATCTATCTATCTATCTGCCATAGGTAAATTAGTATCGGCTAAAACTCACTCTCACTTTCTCCCCAAAAGAAGCAGACGAAAAACAAAACCCTTTTTACTGCCACTCGAAGAAGAGAGTCACTCGTCGTCCTGATCCACCTTCTGCTTCTTCGAATAAGGTATGAACCCTTTTTCAAAAACATGGGGGAAAAAAACAAAGATTTAAATAAAGGAGGCCCACCGTTGTGTCTAAAATTCTTTCACCAAGAAAGTGAAGCAACAGAGTGAGTGATGTGGCTGGCAGTTGGTATATATATATATATATTTTCTTAGGAATGTCGTTTGCTTATGTGTTGTATTGTCTGCGCAGCAAACCACAATCTTGTATCAATCTGCAAAAATGTTATTACAGTGATTGGTGTTTATGTTGTCCTGAATCACACAGGCGGAAGCGTAATGGAGAAGCTGAACACGAAGCTGTACATGGAGAACTGCCATATAATGCAAGAGAACGAACGTCTGAGGAGGAAAGCTGAGCTTTTGAACCAGGAGAATCAAGCTCTTCTTCATGAGCTCAAGCTCCGGCTCGCTGCCGGCGCCGGCGCCGGAAATTCTAGCTCCTCCAAGTCTGGCAAGAAATCCAGCAACTGAAAATGGAATCGCTAATCTAATCTGAATCTAAATCTCTCCCATTTTGATTGGGTTAGGAAATTTAATTAATTAGTATTAGCAACTGAAAATAGTGGATCCGATAGCTACTACTTTTTGCTGTAAAACCTTTCCTCTCTCGTATTAATTTTAATATTATTGTTATTATTATTATCCATTTAAGAAGTTAACGCTAATTTGTTTTGAATCGTCGTACATAGGAAGATGACTAAGATCAGTCGCATGTCATTCTTCTGACAAGAATACCAAATTGGGCCGACAGCCCATTTAGGGCTCTGGGCTTTTAATTTATTGCGAGAAGACAGGCAGACTGTAAGTTGAAGTGGTTGGGTCTACCTCAACATCACAGCATTAATTTATCCAAAGATTTCACTTCGGACGCAACCATACCATATATATTCTTACGAAAACCATAGAAAAAAAAATACATATTGAAAAAAAAAAAAACCATATATAATCTCGATCAGTACATACATATCTACTACGATGTCAACGTCGAGGAAGCTAAGGTTAGTTTGGGAGAGCTGCCAAAACTTGAAAATGAATTAGAAAAACAGGCTTCCCAACATCCAATTAGATATTTAGTTGTATCTAAATTTGTCAAAGAATTTTCAACCCAGTTTTCGTCGTTCCACCAACCCCAATTAAATTCTTGATTTTCTATATATCAACCACTGAATCACAACGTTAATCCACAATTCATTCATAAATCATAACCCACCGCCATGGCTGCACTAGCAGCAGCTGGTCCTAAACAGGAGCAGGAATTTGAGCCCCAATCTAAGATGGTGATGAGATTGGAAGAATTAATCGAGGAAGAAGACGAAGGGGATCTGTTCGAGATAAATCTTGAAATCGTAAACAAGATTCCGCCGCCGCAATACTACTGGTGTGTGAGCGCCGCCAGCAGCACGCTTCTGGCCAACTGCCTGCTGCCCATTGCGGAGGTTTCCGGCGCCGTTCCGATGGTGATAACTGCGTGTGACTTTGAGGCCGTACTGCCGCCGTCGATTGCCGCCGGGATGCCTCTGCAGCCTCAGTAATTAATTAATTTGTGTCTGGTGTTTTGCTACTATACGTAGGTTGATGTTTTGTCCATACAGTAGTCCACTCGTCTCTACAGTGTATGTAATAGGATACTATGAGTTTGAGATAGCAGCACCTAGCTGGCTAGCTTGATGTCTATCTGAAATGTTGAAGTTTATCGATCCCTATTTTATAATTTGATCAGAACTTGGATTAATCTTATTATTCAAATTTGTTATTGTTTATTTATTTTGGTTTAGTTTATCTATTTATTTATTTTTTGCAATCGTTATATTGGGATCCTCTCGAAAAAAAAAATGCCAGAAAACAAACCCTTATATTTTGAGTAGAAAATATATTTTATTGTAATATTTTAAATAAATAATAAAATTTGAATATAATTTAAAGAAAACAAAAACTGAAACAATTAATAAGATCCAATAATTGAAGGAGTGAATCAATGTGAGAAGCTAAAGAATCAAAGATTCACCTCTACAGACTGAAGATCTGGTAGGCTCCATCTCCATTCCACTGTAGATTTGGTGTTGTGTTCTAGCCGTTGTTTTTGACCTTTTTACTACTTACCAGCTAAGTTTAATCTCATTTTTTTTTTAAATTATTAAAGGCCAGTCAGTCATCATGTTTATCGCTTCATTTCATTCCTTAATTACACATATTCACTCATTCAATCCCCTAAATAATATCAACGTAAATCGATGCATATGAACGTTAATGGAGTTGTGAATTATTTTGGATGTCGTAGAAACCATTAATTAATTAGTTTATTGATAATAATAATAATAAGCTCTAGGGCTTGCTTGGTAGGTTTATTACAATTACTGCATGATCGATCGAAATCATATGGAGATTGGGTGGCTAGCGGCGGCGTGCGGCGGCGATTTCGCGGTGGGAGTTGAAGAAGACGGCGGCGACGGGGAGGGAGAGGGAATTCTGGGCAGCGAAAAGCCTGGTGCTGAATCGGTCTCGGGAAGTGGGAAGAACGTTCACAGTATGTCTGCCACTCTGCCTGAAGAGGACAAACACAAACCTATGAATTCCGATGCTCGGCCGGGGGATCTCATAGCTCAATCTCTCCTTACCAAATGTCGCATCTGTTGACCCTGGAATGTCCGTCACTACCCTGTAATATATATATATATATATATGTTATCATCTTGTAGTTGTTATTATTTAGTTATTTATTTATTTCTGTAAATGTAATGTACCAGTGGAGGTGTTCCCTCAGATAAGGGTCACTGGGGCCTGGAAAATCAGGGTCAGTCATAACCTGCAATATAGAAAATGTATATATGTAAATTAATTGAATAACTAATGTTTGATTAGTTGATTAATGAATTGATTACCAGGGTGTAAAAAGTTCTCATGTCAGCTCCTTGAACCTCAACCCTGGGCCTTTTAGTGAGTGCAGATGGGAACAAGAGGTGAGCATTACAAACTTGCTTGGTACCATAAGTGACCAACATCTTGGCACTTGGACTGAACACATCCACTACTTCCCCTATTACATTCCCAACTACAAGTGGATCTGATGCCGACACCATAACTGATCTCTCCATAGAGACAAACAGTTGAGAGATCGAGAGATATATAGAGAAGTGAATTAATTGCAGGGCAGAGGAGAGTACTGAGCCCCCTTCATATATAGTGATCAATGAGTTGATGAACAGCCATTATTGATGAGCTGGCAGCAGCAGGCAGGGTGGGTTTGATGTTTTTAGGGTTTTCATTTTTTCTTTCTTTCTTTTTTTTCTTTCTTAAGGGTTATCATCGTCTTCAATTCATACTGTGCGTGTACTGTAACCTAGGAGAATGCAAAAAGTACACACACAAACACAATGTAAAGCACAATTGCACAAGCACAGCTGAAAGTGGCCCTCACCTACTATATACCTCGTTTATAAGATTTATTGATTGATCGAGGAGAGGAATCAATTGCAAAGCATATACATTGTCAGTCTCTCTCAGTATCACTCTCATGCATCAATTTTCTTCCAACAGTGTCACATATACATCATCTATTGAGCACGTGATATTGCATCTTGTTTAAATCTTTTAATGACATTTATATAATTAATTATGCATGTTTGTTTGCTGTTCAAATGTTCAATTTTTGGTAAATTTTGTATTGTATGGAATTTGAAATTAGGAAACTCCCTTAATGGTTTGTACAATTAAATTCAAACATACATAATAATAAATCATGGTCGGAGTAAAGTTATAGGTAATTGTGATTTGATTGATTGAAAGTATTAATAAAGATGTGAGGTAATATTTAAAATAAAAAAATATTTAATGTAATGTTTTTAAGGAAAAATAAAAGGTTAGAAATATAATTGAAACCCAATTCAATCAAACTGATCCACATGAGCGGAGGTTTTAAACGAACCAAACTCGTTCGCGAACGTTAACGAGCCGAGTCGAACAATATAAATAGGCTCGTTTGGTTAACGAATGAGTCCGAGCTTTGTTCGCGACGTTCATTTAAATGATATATTTATTATAAATATTATATACATATAAAATTATAATTTATAAATAAATAAAATATTAATTTAAAATATATAAATAAAATAATTTAAATTTTCTTTATAATATATATATATATAAATTTTTAAAAATAGGACAAACGAGCTCGAACGAACTTAATCGAGCCTAAACGAGCCGAATACGAACACGAGCTCAAACAAAAAAATTCTTAACGAGTCGAACTCGAACACTACGAATGAGCTCGAAAACTTAACGAACGAACACGAACCTTGTTCGCGAACGATAACGAACACTTAAAATTTGGCTGCCTGGATCGTTAACACAGATATGAGGCATTGTGAATATTACCACCCCATCGAATTTCTTTGTCTTGGTCGATGGATGTCGTTATGGAATAATGGCAAATAGTGTTTTTAACTTTATTTGTTTTCTTCTTATTACTGTTTTGACTCTAATAATATCATGGGACATCCAAAGTGAGGTTTCTTCATTATTATATTCCATTTCCTGTATTTGATGAGAAATATATGTGTACCAGAACTGAATAAAGTTCGACGATGAAATTATGCCACACTTAAAAAATGTGTATATCTAAAGATTATTTTTTACCAAACACACACACACACACACACATTATATTACTTTTTTAACATTGTATTTTGAGATTATAAAGTTCAATCAATTCTTTGCAATTTTCAGTAATAACTTAATGATATAAGAGTGAATGTTGGTATGATTTTGATTATTGTTATGTTATTGAATCCCATAAAATATGTCAAATTAAGAAATTAGAAGTTTTTAAGCTAAATGGAAGGTTCACGTACTGAATTTTAGAATAAAGATTATTTATTTATTCATTTTTTAAAATAATGCATACCAAAATTCAAGAATAGTAAGATTATTTCTTACAATATATACATATATATATAATGTCGAAATTTTTGACAAAAACTCAATTATTTCGTATTAAGTTCATGTCTGTCGTGTCATGTTAGTTTTTATTATTATTATTATTGTAGTGGAATTAATGTGTACAGTGAATTATGTTGGATTATTTAAAATTAAACTTAATATAAACTAATGTGTGATAATTATCAAAATATAATTATTTTAATATATAATAATTAATTATTTAATATCAATATATTATAATCGGATCGAGTTCGAATTGAGTTGAGGGCTTTAATCCTAATTCAATTCATTTATTATTTTGTCAAATTATGTCGAGTCGAATGGTGGTGATGTTGGTTATAATTGAGGTGGACCCGTCAATGAACCATACTTATCCACACATATATTATTCTCCGACAACACGCTTTTGTCTAGATCTTTATGGTTAATGACTGTCCTAATTAGTAATAAGATTTAATTATATATATTAACCATCCCCACCCCCCCCCCCCCCCCCCCCCCCCCTCCCAAAAAAAAAAGGTGGTACAAGTAACAATAAGCAGGTAGGTAGGGTTTTGTCATAGCGACTAATTTTCCCAAATGAGTAAATAAGTATTAAACTTTTGCTGTTTGTGTTTGGTTCAAATACATGAGGCCAAAGAAATGAAAATAGATAAATGGAGAAAAATAATGTTGTAGTATATTTATATTTTTAATTTTTTTGTATTATTTAATTTTTAAATTTTTTTTAAAATTATAAAACAAAATTTAATTTATTGTTAAAGTATTTAATTTTTACGATCTTTTCAGAAATTATATAATCTTAAAAAATATCGTATATAATTTATAATTTTTTCTTAAAAAAAGTCACCAAAAATATTTTTTCATGAATTCTCATTCTATTAAAACTTTTTTTTTATGTGGTTAATCATTTATTCTTGTTTGATCATTATATAGTTGCATTTTTTTTATTTTATATTTCTCAACTGAATTATTTGTTTTACCAAATAAGAAAAGGAATTATCATTCTCTATTCAATTTCATTCTCTACTCTCATTTCTCTACGATTGAATTAGTGGAAGGGAGATCGATATAAATATATATATATATTATATATAATTGCCACTTTCAGGCATTGATTCTTAAAATGGTAAGATGCACGCACATGCATGCATTCACAACATCTTTTAATACATATTTATATATTAAATGTTCTTGGTTTCCTAATTACCCGGCATGCATCATCGCCCTTTAAGTGGTTTGTTAATTTTGTTTAATTTACTATGGAACCTTTTTCTAGATGTCCTTAATTATATAATGGTTGATGTCTTAATATATACTGCAATAAGTATTTTTACATAATATTTTTCTTGGTTGACTTTCGTCTATAGATAAATAATTAAATGATATTGTATTTTAAAAGTTTAAACTTTTAGGTGAATCGATGTTCATATCTTCTAATAGTTTTATTTTCAACTTTTTCATCATAATTTTTTATTCTTTTGAGTCCCTTAAAATTGGACAACCTTTCCTTTAGATTTTCTAAACTTTAAAGTAGTCAAGTAACTATCTTATGTGTCGAATTTTAAACTTTTGATTAGTTTCAACTGTCGTCGTGAACTTGGATTTTCACCAATCTCGACTATACATATCTCTTGTTGGTTATTTTGTAATTTTCAAGTATGCTTTTAAACTTGATTTGTCGTTTTTGGGCTTTCGACCACAAGTAACAAAACTTGTATTACCATAACATTTGACAATTTTTTAGTAAAGACCAAAATACATAACATGCTTCTTGGAACTAGATTTTAAATAAAGATAATGATGGCAAGAGTCTACCACACAAAATTATACTCCCTCCGTCCCAAATAAGGTGCAACCTTTACTTTTGACACGAGTTTTTAGGTAGGTAGTATTAAGTAGGATAATTTAGAAATTAGGTGATGTGATAGAGAGAGAAATATATATTTTATTTTTTTATTTTTTTGGATGATGCGAGGGGATTAACTGTGGGGTAGAAATTAAGTATAATTAATTATTTTCTATTTTACAAATATTGCAGAGTGGCAAGGTGTTTGGGAGGGAGTAGTTCTATATTATACTTGGTTTATTTATTTGAATGGATAAATAGTGATACTGTGGACTCTTGTTGGGCTACAGGTAATATGGGTTAGAATCTAATCCATTAAAAGGTCCATTAAAGATACTCCACTCATATCAATTTTAGTTTACCAACTCTTATTATTATTATTATTATTATATTTTTAAAAAATATTTAAATTGAAATTCATTTAAATATTTAGTTCTGGTCTTTTAAAATGAATAACTATATATATGTACACTTAAAATTCACTATTTGTTATACCGTGTTTTATATTAATTATGTATAAATTTATTTATTTATTTTAATTTTATTATATAAAAAATTTTATTTTGTGTAAAATAATATTCATATTAAACATACATAAAGTGCTCTTTCCATCTCGATGATAGGATCATTTATTTTAATTAAAAATTGAAAATTTTAATGTTTATATATTTTAATTATTCATTATTTATTATATTTTTAACAAAATTTTTTTTATACTCCTCCCTTTCTTCTCTTTCTTCTTCCCTTGAGTCTTTCAGAACATATTTTATTGTTATCTACTTGTTTCTTTGTCTTTTCTCTCGAAATTTGACTATCCAACAAAACAATATCTCATGAAAATAATTTTAAGGTTTTCTAATAGTAGGAAAGAAAATATTTTTCATCTTCTTCCTTAGAGGGGAAGGGAAAGATATGAACGTGTTGGACAGACAAACTATATGATATAATAGGAACAGAAACATGGTTTTTGCTTTTTTCGATAAAGACAATATCCAAAGCAATTTTATAGTGTTGTCTGTTAACTCTACTCAAGTCTTCTGGTGGCATGTCACTGCCCATTTCAAATTAATAAAGCAAACCCTTTTTCGAATCACAAATGCATTTACATATGTAATTTACAAATTATTACATCCCATGAATGAATGAAGTAATTAAAGATTGGTTAGTTTTAGTATTCAATAAATTTTAATTGAAATTAAAATAAAACTGAACTGTATATTAAAGTAAGGCTCAAGATTTGAACTCATTAAAAAAAAAGAAAAGAAAAGATCTGCATGACTGTATCTGGAGATTAATAATAGAAGTCCCGTAATTGTTGAAACCTTGACATGTCCCAACTTTGGAGCAGTTGTTGTTATCCATTCTTGTTCCACTGTAATTAGAATGCAGGCATCGAAGCTAGGGTTCTTACATCAACTGCACAGCCACACCACACCAGAGATCCAACCAGCTCACCCACTCTGACTTTCTCCATGTCATTCCAAAATATAGTCATAAACTAATTAATAATAATAATAATAATATAAGACCCGAACAGGATTCGTCTTAATTAATCTCCACTCTTTCTTCTTCAAGATTCCTATTCTGTGGGGGTTGGGCGAAAGCCTACAGGAGCTGAATCTCCGGCGAGACAAGACAAGCTATGGCTGCCGGAACTACCCGGAAAATAACCGCTGCATCTGCAAGGGCTCATACCCGAAAACCAAAGGCTCGAGCTTCTTCTTCACGGCTTTCAGGTGAGCTTCTCTTGTTATCGATTCTTCTTCTTCTTCTTCCCTTTCAGCTGGATGTTCATTTCTATTCTATGACCAATCAAATATCGTCAAGTCTTGATTTTTAATTTTGAAATTCTACCTTTCCGTGAGATTTATCCGAGTCGAATTTGGGATTTAGTTCAAATTTGAATCGATACAATCATGATGGAAGATTAGATTCACAATCTTGCACACACGATCGATCTCGTGATCAGTTAGTCAGTTAAGTATACAATTCTTTCTGTAAAAGCTTCTTAGAACAGTCGTCTCAGGCTTGTTAAAGAAAACACTGTTGATCTTGGTTGCGGGGATTCTGGCATGGGGGTATCAGGCGGTGAAGCCGCCGCCTCCGACGACGTGCGGCTCCGGCAATGGGCCGCCGGTGACCGGACCCAGAGTGCAGCTGAAAGATGGGAGGCACTTGGCATACAAAGAATTTGGTGTCCCCAGAGATACTGCAAACCACAAAATCGTGTTTATCCATGGCTTTGATTGCTCTAGGCACGATGGTTCTGTCCTAACCTCGACACTTTCTCCGGTACTATATATCCATTGTTGCTTATGTATGCCAATGCCAATTCCAATGCCAATGCCAATGCCAGCAGCATTCATCTGTTGAAAATGTTAACAGGAATTTGTTGAAAGTAAACGAATCTACATACTTTCGTTCGATAGGCCTGGCTATGGAGAGAGCGATCCTAACCCCGCGCGAGGAGTGGATGGCGTGGCTCGTGATGTCGAGGAACTTGCTGATCTCTTGGGGCTAGGATCGAAGTTTTACATCATTGGATTTTCGATGGGTGGACAAATTGGCTGGACTTGCCTCAAGTATATTCCTCATAGGTATATATATATATATATACTTATTACTTAACTTACTTAGCCTCGCTATTTTTTTGTTGCGCGCAAATGTGTGTACCAACTCTAATGCCGAGCAGATTGGCGGGAGCTGCTCTGCTAGCGCCGGTCGCCAACTATTGGTGGGCTGGAATCCCGTCAAATGTTTCAAAATCAGCGTATCTTCTGCAGCCGATGCAAGATCAATGGGCTGTCAGCGTTGCGCACTATTTGCCGTGGCTTACATACTGGTGGAACACGCAGAGATGGTTCCCCAGTTCTGCTGTTATTGATCACAACCCGAGTGTTTTCAATGAGCACGACAAAGAACTCCTCCCGAAGTTTATTTCTTTCGCGAAAGAGTATGAGGTAATAATGGCTTTAGATCGTTTACAATTCGATCCTTGATGGAAATTCCGAATGCATTTGTTTTTTGTCCTGTCCAGGGATATCCGAGGCAACAGGGCGAATACGAGTCCCTTCATCGTGATATGATGATTGGGTTCGGGAAGTGGGATTTCAGTCCATTGGATTTAAAAAATCCGTTTCCGAACGGCGAAGGCTCTGTTCACTTGTGGCATGGTGGAGATGACCGGATGGTCCCTGTTACGATGCAGCGTTATATCGCGCAACAGCTGCCGTGGATTCACTTCCACGAGGTGCCCGGCGCGGGTCATATGTTTCCTTACGCTGACGGAATGGCGGATTCGATCGTACAGGCACTTTTAGCATAAGTTCCAGGTTCCGACATCATATATTCATGTCTGATCCCCTCTTTGTCGGGTCTTGAAGTTCCCTTTTGTCGATGAAGCTGTTGTTTTCTTATATTGTAATATTGTTCTCGAAATGTTTGAGCAGTCACGCCAAGGAATGTATGTTCACATGAAAACAACATTGTAATTTTCAAACAATTCTGTCACTGTCCGACTCAATTTTAATTCCCTAATGTAGCTTCACTAGTTGGACTTCGTAACTAAAAAAAATCGGAAAACAATAAGAAATGTAATCGACATCACGGGAAGAAGGAGCCTCTGTATTGACCAAAAATTTCTGGTTATTCTCTAACTACCGCTGCCATGGCCAAGAACAGAGACCATGCTCGCATAGTACAAACATGGCTTATTATAATTCTTCATAGCCCTGTAGTATTCAACCCTCCTGGCTTTTCGACTCTTGAGGTTGTAACAAAAGAGGTCCCTCTGCTCCATGTGCACTAAAATCTCTTCAGACTGATCATAGGATGGAACAAGAAACTTAGGGCAGAAAGGGAACAGATCAATGCTGTATTCCATGGCCCATGTCTTAAATCCCCTGTTGTTCTTCAACACCCATATATCCATCGACGACGCCGAAAATCCAACGACACAGAGAGCCTCCATGAGGCCAACGTACTCCAAGAAACTGTAATCTTTGGACTCGTGAATGGGATAAGAAATGCTCCCAAACTCCTCATTTTCCATGTCGAAAGACAGGATCGATCTGTTCTTCCATCCTGAGGAAAGAGCCCAGTAAATAATTCCATTCACGCAGACAGGTTGTTCATCTGTCCAGGCGATAAAAGGGCAGTCTCCAACGGTCCTCCAAGCCCCTGCCTTAACTCCTCCATCCTGTCTGAAGGAGAAAATTTCACACCCCATCTTGCCATTCCCAGCATCAGAGTGGTAGAACATGTGGACAATCTTGTACTCCTTGGAAACAGGGAGGTACCCGAATCCTACGTTGTAGAGACGGGAGTTGGATCGACGAGGGACGCGAACAACCTGCCGAATTCCGGGGTTGCAGAGATAAAGAGTGTCCATACAGCATAGTATGCTCAGAGGGCCACAGGACAAGAATGTGTGAACCGGTCCATCGATCACTTTCTGGAACTTATCTGTGATGTCTCCTTGCATGTCTATGGAGGTCAATTCTACGGCTATTTTCTCGCTGCCGGAAATCCCATCGGAGAGATACCTTCTGACCAGCAACAGAGGCCTTCTCTTGGACAGCTCCACATGTCGGGACATAAATTCGACATCGTGAGTTAGTAAGGAATACCATGATTTGGAAACGCACCTGCACCTGCAGAGGATCTTAGGAGGGAGTTTTGTCAGGATTTCGACGATCAGGTCGACAGGGAGACAATCGAGCCCTTTCGATTCATCCACAGGCTTTGGATCATTGCCATGGATAGGGGTGAGTTCATCCATAATTGGGGATCTTTTTTTTGATCACCAATTAAATATTGCACAAAGATCTTGTGAAGATATCGCAGCCTGGATGGATGGTTCTTGCAGATTGAGTACTTTGAATCTTAGGATTATGAAATAGAAGTATTGTTTTTTTTTTCTTACAAAGGTATATAAGTTAGGTGGGAAGAAAAGCTTGATGAGGATGCAGGGGTTCCATTCTTTTGTGGTCTTTAGATACGAGTTTTATTTGGTCATTTATATGTATATGAAGTTGGATTTCTTTACTCAAATTCAAATTCTTGTTCCTTAATGTCAACTTATCTGTCTGCATTATTATTTTGACTATGGAAATAATGTGAAAATTTTCAACTGGAGACAAATCACAGATGCTCACCTCCAAAACAACTGTATTTAAATCACCTTTGAAAAAGACTGCTTTTGGCACTTTGGCAATTGCACCTTACACGTTTTAAAGAAAAAAAAAAAAAAAAAAGGCACTGATTGTATCGGCATGATTATTTAAATCTTGGAACTGGTCTTATTTGTTTCTTTTTTGTCCGTACGTCATTATAGATATATATATATATATATGAACCCCTTATCCACGCACCCATCCGGATCCAATCGGATCATAATCCCAAATGGAGATGGGAGTATTAAATTAACTTTTGGTTTGTTTATATTTGATTGCATATAAATTTTATTTTTTTTTACAATTTATTTACAATAAAAAAAAAAATAGTTTGACAATAATGCTTTTATTTTTATTTTTTTAAATTTTTAATTAAATAATAAAAATAAATAACAAATGTCAAAATTATATCGTATTTGTTTATTTTATTTTCAACAATCTATTTTTATTGTTCGTTAAGAATAACACATACTCCTTTTATTGGTTTGAATGCTAAGAATTTTATAATTGATAACATTCAAATACAAAATATCAAATTCTTTTACTAAGTGTAGCTTCATTACATATCACAAATATCATAAAATTAATTTTTATTTACAACAATACATTAAAAATATTGTAACAATTTCGATAAAAAAAAAAACATATGGTGACAAAATAATATATACATACAAAAGTATAAAAAATTACTATTTCTTTCGTCCCACATATAATATCACACATTTCATTTATTTATGTCTCACATTTCATATATTTTCATATTTACACTTATTGTAATATTATATCGGATAGACAATATTAAAATATAATAGAAAACTTTCCAAAAATATATATAAAAAATAGTATATACATACACAGGTATAAAAAATTAATATTTCTTTCGTATCACATATAATATCAAACACTTCATTTATTTATATATCACATCTCATATATTCTCATATTTACACTTATTGTAATATTATATCGAACAGAGACAATATTAAAATATAATATAAAATTTTCCAAAAAAATATACATTTATTTTTATATAATATATATATTTTTCATTTATAAATACCATTTTTATTTTATTTATATCAAATTCAATAATTATTTTAATTTAAAATTTGATACACAAAAGAATATCAAACAAATAAGATATAACATAATACTCTATTTGTGTCAAATCATGTAACGGTTCTTTTTTTTATTTTTTATTTTTGTTAAACTTATATACAATTTATTTATAATAAATAATTTTATGCATTTATAATTTTATTACCCTTATTTTAACAAATAATAACTAAATTGTCCTTTTTTAAAAAAATTATTCAACTATTTTTTTTATCAATCATTTTAATAAATTTATCATAATACTGTCATTTTATTTTTTACATACATCACTTTAATATTAAAATTTCATTATTTCTTAATCTCAATTCCTAAACGACCTACCATTTATAGGATGAAATGAATATAATACGTACTATCGCACTCCACATTTTAAATATCAATCTGAATTATTGTTTTATTTGATGTAATTTTCAGCACTTTATTTTCGTCTTGAGTCTCACGTAGTATTAAAAGTAAAATATCATGAAATGATTAGAATAAAAAAGGATACGAAATCCACAGACAATTTTTTTTTTAAAAAAAAACTAGACAAATAAAATAATTAAATGAAAAATAAATCCCACACCACAAAAAAAAAATAAAGAAAATAAAAAGGATGAAAAGTGTATCTTATACCAAAACATTAAATAATACTCTATCCGTTGTATACAAATAATATCATTTCTATTTTATCTATTTTATAACAAATGATTTTTTTTATATTTAATAATATTTACTAATTTAAAATATATTTAACAAATATAAATTAATTTAATTGACTTTAAAATATATAACAATCTACTCAAAATTCCTTTATTTTTATTTCACTCATCAATAAATAAATATTTCTATTTATATTTAGAACTCTTTATCTTTAATAAAAATTAGTTTTTATTAATCATTTATATTTGTTCATTTGTACTATATTAATTTTATTATAAAATATGTATATAATATTTATATTTTGAGATTACTAATAATATTTTTTATATAAAATATATAATAAAATAATACTCTATTTGTCTCATTTATTTTGTCCATTTTTCATTTTTGATTGTCTATTTATTTTATCACCTTTTTTGATTATACATTTTAATTTCATTTTAAATTTAATAATATATAATTATTTTAATATTAATTAGAATAAATAGTTATTTTAATTTTAATATAAAATTATTTTTATTATACTATAATTATTTTCAACGAATACACTTTTAAATATTTATTTAATTATACTCATATTTATATAATCAATAGAAATATAAAAAAATTATTTTTATTGTACCATAATTATTTTTTTTAATACATTTTTATGTCTACACCGTAGCAAGATTATAGTATTATTAACTAATTAAATATAATTATTTTTTAAAAAATTAAATTAAGTTATATTATATATTATTATTAAATAGTGGACTCACTATAAATAAAAATTTTAAAAATATAACGGTGAATGTAAAAGAAATCAAATCAAATGAAATAAAATTTAATTATATATAATTGCATGTGGACCCCACGTTCAAAAATTGGAGAAACCCACGTTGCGACACGTGGTGGAAAAACTCGTCTCCAAATATTATATATATATAGGGTGTGTTTGGTTGGGGGTTTGGATTTTGGATTGAGATTTGAATAGTAAAAATTTTGAATTTGAATAGTTGTATGATGTGATATAAATAGGGTTTGATGTGATGTTTTGAATGTAAAATTGATTTTTAGTATAATATAAAAAATGAAAAATAGGTGTTTGATTTGATATTTTTGGGGAAAAAAAATTAGATGAATAGTGAAAATCCTCCAAAATCCTTCAAACAAACACACCCATACACGATTATATTTTATCCTGTTACATTCGTAAGTAGGTTAATTATTAGTATTCGTTTCTCATATGTTCACTTTTCAATGACCCAGTTTTGGTTTCACACTACACATCATATATATATATATATATATAATATATTTTCAAATTATCAAAAAAATAAAATAAAATCTATTTATCAATTGTCGGAAACTAATGACCGTCTCACCTAAAAGCTCGAACTTGTTAGGGAAACTAAGCTATTAGTTAGCTATCCCGCAAACGGGAGTCCTCAACACGCCCCCTCAGGTGCAAGTGGGTCTGTGAAACTTGCACATACATATGCCACAAACGGGGACGGGCGGGACTCGAACTCGAAACCTAGCCTAGGCTCTGATACCATGTCGGAAGCTAATGACCGTCTCACCTAAAATATATCGTACAAAAATAAAATTTTAATTCAAAATATCACGTCATATTCCAAGTGTGTTTGTTTGCGGATTGAATTTTAAATCTACTATTCATCTTATTTTCTCCTCCAAAAATATCAAATCAAACGCCTATTTTTCATTTTTTATATTATACTAAAAATTAATTTTATATTTAAAATATCACATCAATACCTTTTTATATCATATCATACAACTATTCAAATTCAAAATATTTACTATTTAAATTTCAACTCAAAATCCAAACTCCTAAACAACGAAACTCTAAAAGGACACAACTAGTAAATATCATATTAACTCATACATGCCTTCAATTCATTTACTAGGCATTATTATTATTATTATTAACTAGCCATTGTTAGTACATGATCACGATCGGATCGGTCGATATATAACTTACTACATATATATATATATAACTTGCAATATTAATTTTACACATATATATATGTCTAAATTAAGACTAGGTAGATTTAAATTTTTTAAGAGGATCTTCGACCTCCGGTGCCTCTTTCCCTTTGGCAGTTGTAATAAACGGCGGCAACCGGGCTGCCCAGATTGTAAAGTTCCGCAAAGTCTCTTGTAATAAAATTCTGGCGCCACCCCGGCGGATACACAGTTTGCCGGCCAAGTTGTTGGAACAGCAAGAATACCATCCGATGAATTCCCATCGACGGTCGAGGCATCTCGTAGCACACTACTTCGTTTCCTGCATCCATGTGTGTACGTACGTACATCTATCTATTCTTTCCATAATCAATCAATATATTCATTTTGTCGGTCAAATTTATATTTATACGGTCATTAATTATCATTAAATCACAAATACCTACATCATAAATTAAACATATTTTCTGATGAATTAATCAAAAATTATTTCAAGCAATTATTTTTTTAAAAAAAAAATGCTTCCAAAAAAATCATATTGAAATGGAATAGAATAATATAGTAAGAAGAATTTGAGGAAGGGAGTAATAATAAATGTAAGAGAATTATTAGACAAGTGATTTTAATTAATTAATTAATTAATTACCAGCATGAGATGAAGTCATTGCAAGGGTGAATGATTAATTAATTAGTTACCATAAGTGGCATCAGTGCCTCCTGGAATGTCCGTCACCAGCCTAATTGTATTAATCATATATATATACACCAAATTCAAATATATATCAGATATGTACATATCTTAATTACCATTGCACTTTAATATATAACTAACCCTAAGGGAATTTTCACTAGGGCTATCCATTTTGGTTTCGGAGACCCTCAAAATAAAAGTTTATATGTGCATAGATTTATGAATAAATTAAATAAATAATACTTATTAAGTTTATATATATATATATTTAAATTAAGAACAAATAATTAAAGGGGTGGGCATAGAATTGAAGTACCAATGCAAATACTCCCTCAGATGAGGGTTGCTTGGAGTTGGAGCATCTGGATCCACCAAAACCTATATATATATATAAAACCATTTAAATTTTTTGTCAATCTTTAGAAAATTAATTAAAAAAATAATTAATTATATATATGGCAAAACAAACAAAGCCAATAATGATAATAAAAAAAAAATAATAGTAATAATTATATATATAGTGGGTACTTACTAGAGTGAAGAAGGTGTTGTGATCATGAGTAGTAGAAGTTCCTCCGTTAATCTCAACCGTCGGTTGGGAGGCGACTTGGGAGGGCCTGAGATCGCAGCCGTTGATGAGAGTCCTGGTTCCATGCACCACTCGGAGACTCGTCAATGTCCTAAATGGATCCACCACATCTCCGATTATACGACCAACTACCAGAGGATCTCTAGCCATATAATATTATATCTATTATTTATATATATATATATATATATATAGAGATCTCTTCCTCTCTACCTAGGACCTCGTCACTTCAAATATTTATATATATAATGTAATATGTGGGCTCTGGTAAACGGCTGCAGGGCTTGTCTTCATTAAAGCTAATTCTTTAGATTTTATTATGCAGACATACATACATACATATATATATATATATAGTGAGACAGACAGACAGAGAGAGAGGCTGATCTGAAGGCATCGTATTCGAATTCCTCTATCCAAATATCTACTAGTTACTGCCTTCCTTCTTGTCATGCTTGATTGCTTTCTGCTAAGCTCTCGGCTGTGTTTGTTTGGAGAATTGGATTTTAAATTTATCATTTATTCTATTTTTTTCTCCAAAAATATTAAACCATACGCATATTTTTTATATTTTATATTATACTAAAAATTAATTTTATATTTAAAATATCACATCAACGCCTATTTATAGAGCATCATATAACTATTCAAATTTAAAATTTTTACTGTTCAAATCCCAACTCAAAATTCAAACACACCACAAAATGAAAAATATATATTATATATATATATATAACTGAACAAAGTGTGTGTGTGTGAATATATATATATATATGCTGTAAGGATTTGGTGGATATTTCCCCCTGCACTTGAGGATCGGAGGAGAAGCAGCAGCAGCACTAGTTGGTTATTGATCCCTATATTTTATACTTAATTTGATCAATGAATAATTAAATAAATATGAAAAATTCCCAATTAGCTAGTTTTTTTTTTTAAAAAAAAAAAAATGGTTCAACTCTCTCCCTCTCTCTCTCTATAGATATATATATATATGTGGATGTGGTTAGTATGGATGATATAGTTATCATGATGATCATCAGGGACATTAATCCTCAGTGGCTTTCGCCTCGACTCTACCTTAGCTCGATCCGATCCGATCCGATCCAAATGAGAAAAGCCATCGACATCGATGAATATGACTATACTATTGTTGAGTTGAGCCAGCCATGAAAGAGAGGGACAGATTCATGACCTGGTGGAAGAATATTCTACAGCGACAATATATATATATATTATAAGGTGGTTGTGTTGATGACATCCATCAAGTGTTAGAGGAATGATCAAAATTAGCTAGCTGGCTTCCTATTTTGAGTATGTCAAATCAAAGATCCAAGGCAGAGCGCTGAGGTAGCCATGGATCGATAATGGAAGTGCTTTTTGATGTTTCTGCAATGAATGTGTGAGTGGTGGGTGGGAGTGAGTGAGTGGGTGTCAGATAGATAGTTGGGTGGATGGTTGTGTTTGCTGCGTGCGCCTCAGATGGGAAATAAATGGGGCAGACCTTCTATTTATAGACAATAGGAGTTAGGGATTAGGACTGGACAACAAAATTAAAATTTAAGGGGCAGGGTAGGGTAGGGAACAGTCAAAAAAGCAATTAAGAATCATATCTCCTCGTCATCATCGTCGTCACAGTATTAATTAATTAAGAGTAGAGGATGATGGAGGTCGTCTTCAGTCTACCTCTGGCTAAGGTGAGTTGGGTTCCGTACTAATATTCCATTTTTCTTTTTAGCTTTTCTATTTGGCGTCCCACCGCCTACTTTATATATATATATATATATATATGATTCCTCGTCGCGTCCACCACCACCACCACCACCACCACCACCGACAACGTTGTTTACTTTTATGTGTACATACTTGATTAATTTGTTTCACTTCACTTCCGAAGATCATCGATCCAGATTCCAGAGCCCCTGTTGTTTGTGTTTTGCATCACTCCCACCAGGCAACCCATACTACAAACTTTAATTAATTAGGTTGGTCTGTTTGTTTGTTTATTTGTTTGTGTGTGTTAAGGTTTGTATCACCTAATTAAATCAAGTTTCTATATATATATATATATATATGTATGGATATAGGAGAGAATAGGGTTCCAAGGAGCAATGATCTGAGAACTCTTTTAAGGAAAGCTTCTTTAATCGTCTGGTTTACATGAATCACAAGTTTTAATAATAGAATTAAATAAATCTCACGCAGCATATATATATAGATTCTTACAAAAAGTCAATATTGTTCCCCAATAAAATAAATTAATTAATCTATTTATAAATTCGAAATTACAACATAAAAATCTATAACAAAGAAAATTCAGTGGGGATTCAGTGGGGTTTCTTAACAAGCATAGAAAGGTGTTAGGCTGTGTCTGAAGGCCATTGGATGGAAATCTTTTGGACCATTAAATTAATTGATTAGTATATAGTATATATAAATGTCGAAAGGTACGCACGCACGCACGTAGCCATAATTACACATTTATACGTAATGGAATATAATTTGTAGTGTACAATGTCGTGAAGAAGAAACGAATCTCCAAACAAAATATCCTACGAGTTGCATGCATTCATGTCCACACACACACACAAACACCCATTTTATTATATTATATTAAAATTATATTATATATCTTTGATGCTACCGAGGTACAACAACCCCAGGTGCATTAATTAATTAATTAATTAATTATTAATTGGGCTTGTGCACCCAATGCCATTGCCATTAATTCATTTAAGGATGTCCAATTACATTTCGGTTGCCTCGTACTCACCCAAAATCTAAAACTAATGTCGGCCTCACAATCCACCCCCAGTCCCGTCCTTTCCCAAAAACATAAAATAAAATGTTGGAAAGAAGGTGTCGATTGATCCCAAAAGAAATTCATTAATTTTGATGTCGATTAAAGATGATTGAAGATCCTTTCTCTAGTTGCAAACTTGAAACTTTAAATATTCTTAAGGCAACGTTTCAAAACGCCGCCTGGTCGGTTATAACAACTGCCATCAACCGCCCGTTAATTCCTCCTTTAATGACACGTGTTTTACCTGTTTTATCAACCGTTCCCATCAGTTACAAAACCTAACTGTTTCGACCGATCGTCTCCTGGCACCTTACCTCCTTAAATGGATGGCTGGTCCCGAACGACCACTCAAACGCCCAGCAAATTTTAGACGGACAGCAGACCGACCGACTGTCTTGAGAAACCCTTAATCAACTAATGGATCTAATGACGGGCCCACATCTCCTCTTAGTCCCCTTTTCAGACGGATCATACATTATCATCCGACTAAGAAATCGTTTGGTCCATCCACCGACTAAACCTACCGTATAATGCAACGATTGACCAACCGATCAATCCAGATACTAACTGGTCACTAGACCAAACGACTAATCAGTTGCCCACTCGAGCGACCACCATTCAGTCCCTTCAAAACGGCTGAATAGCCATTCGTCCAGATGATTCACTAGTCGTCCAACCAAGCGACTGAACTACTGTTTGACCAAATGACCAGCCAATCGACCAGGCGATTAATCACGTCGCTTAATTAAGCGACCAATTAACAGACCTTTCCTTTCGTCCGACCTCTTTTTGACCGACCTCCGCATCGGCCGTCTTATCCTTCTTCACCCGACTTCCTCTTTTAACCGACCTCCGTATGTGCCGATACTTCTTCTTTGCCCGGCCTTATCATGTCCGACTTCCGTGTCTACCGATACTTCTTCTTTGCCCGACTTTATCTTGTCCGACCTCCGTGTCTGCAGATACTTCTTCTTTGCCCGACCTTATCTTGTTCGACCTCCGTGTCTGCCGATACTTCTTCTTTGTCCGACCTTATCATATCCGACCTCCGTGTCTGCCGATACTTCTTCTTTGCCCGACCTTATCATGTCCGACCTCCGTGTCTGCCGATATCTTTGCCCGACTTCCCTTTTGACCGACTCCGCGTCAGGCCCTTGCAATACTTATTATTATTATTATTATTTGTACTCAATAGAAGGATAAAAAAAAAAAAAAAAAACAAGATATTCAAACTCATGGCAACATAGGGTTTTTGAGTTAAAAATATATGATATTTGAATATAATAGAAAATGAGTATTAGATATATTTTTTTAAATTGAATAGCTAAAATTGGAAATAAAAACCCAATTATGGACTTATATACCCATATTATTCGAGGATTAATGAGCGCTAATTTTCAAAGATACAATTACAAATTAAATGATTAATTATATATATATATATATGTAGGAATAATAATAATAATAAGCAAGTTGAGGGCAACAGGACACGTATGACTGTCGTCTGCCATAGAAACCAAATACACTTTCCGTTGGCTACGTGTTCTCACAACACAACACAACACTTACCACACTACAGCAAAACAACCTTACCTACCTACCTTCCATCTCCATTGATTTCCAATCCATTTCATTACTACATCTTCTTCTCTTCTCTGCTCATCTCATGCACACTGTTGCTCTCCGCAATTGCTTCATTATCAATTCACCATATCTCATTTCTGATAGACAGACAGAGAGACAGAGCGTGATGCAGGAGAGCAAAGAAGGTGCTGAATACACACGCCATTCCAGGGCGGCGTTGAAGAGGAAGCTCATCTGTGAAGACGAAGACGAAGACGAAGAAGAAGAAGAAGCGTCTTCAATTTCAATAGCTCATGTGGTGGAAATGGAAACTGCTCCAACTGCAGAGGATGGCGGTTCTCGGGAGAGGCTGAAGAAGCATTGGGTCGAGGTCGCGGGTCGGGTCCGGATACCCGACACGTGGGCCCAGGAATCCTTCCTCAAGGACTGGATTGACTCTGCAGCTGCCTTCGATGCCTCACTCCTCACCACCCCGCTCATGTCCGCCAGAGCCTCGCTCGCCGCCCAAGGACGACGGAGAGCCGCCGGCGCCGGCAACTCCAACAGGTTAATCATTTGAGAATTGGGGACGGATGCAGCTCAGGATACATATTGAATGAGATCACAGAACACACATTCCATCTCCATCATCCACGCATTATTTATAGATTTAAATTGCAGAGATGAGCTTCTATTTTTCATTTATATATTTGAAGGAGATAATACCTCAGAGCTGCTGTTATCTATCTCTGTGAAGAATAAATTAATCTTCTTAATTCTCCAGCTCTCACATTGGTATTTACAATAGTTTGTGCAGTAACCTATACATACTGCAATTGCTTTGTCTTTGGCATGCAATATTTTATTTATCACAAGAGACAATCACGATATATGCTGTACAGAGAAAAGAATGCACAACCAATATTTTATCCTTTTTACTATTTAAGCACAATATAAACACACACACCCTTATATGAGGAAAAACTAGTGTAAAATTTGTTTGAATTGGCAGGTTTACTCTGGACAACTTTGTTTGTGGGAGAAAAACAAATAAGGAAATATAAATCCTGTATTATTTATTTAGGCATTTACTTATTCATACACGTGTGTAATTAAATCTATGACATATTGAGAATAAAGGATTCTGGACAGTAACTCTCAATTCTATTAAATATACAACAAAAATCAGTACAAGAATGAATCCCAGTTTGCAAAAATATAAGGGGACAGACTCAACCAGTCTGTATTTAAATTACACTATTTCGCCATGAAGGAGCTTTTACAGCTGCAGCCACCAACAGCACTTGGGTTTGTAGACACCTAAACAGAAACGAAATAATTGGATTATGTTGGTCAAAATTTGAGATTCTTGATAGCCATTTAGACTGAAATAGAATTAGTTAAGAAGAAGCTGGACATCTAAACTTGGCATGGCCTTAGAAAACATAGGTGAAAGCATAAAGTTATCAACTTTGCTCATAATAAAAATCCTTCTTTGCCTAAAATTTGAGCAAAATAAACTTGGAAATTAGCATTCAAATAGAGTATTGACAGAAGCAATTTGGAACACACATGAACCGAGAGATGAGCATTAGTTGTATTAAGAAAGAAATTAGAGCAAGATACTGCAAAGACCAAATAACACTATTTAAAATAAGCCCCATTAAGAATGATGAAGCTTACAACCAATGACATTCAATACATAAACAAAATGAATGGGAAAAAAATTAACTCTAATGAACTACAAAGGAAGAGGAGCATAGGATCTCACCATCACTCTTATAAATTGAGAAGATAATAACATTGTAACCAAATGGCCAGTAGAGATTGCCTCAAAATATAATGTTTGGGGCTTATTTAATGATGTCCAATAATCGACGTGAGAAACAGATCAAATATTCATTCTTGATCCAGCACTTCTGGATAGATATTCACATAAGGATCGGAGTTATTCTTTATATAATTACTGTTTGTGAACAAAATAATTTTGGGCCAAACATAAGTGATGTCCTAAGAACTCAATACCAGAACTATAATAGGTGATTAACAAATTAGTTAAACACTGCAAAGATATAAATCTAGGATGGTTGTTTATATGTATTAACAATAAGCCACAAATCGTTATGGAACCAAGAAATCAGTAACAAGCGATATGAGCCTGGCTATAGAACACATATATTAAAAAACTGCATTAAGACTAGGCTATATAGTTTGGCTGACTCTGAGGGATCATCTCATATGGCTAAGCTGTATATTTCTAACTTCTAGAAGCAAACTTGTCTGTTATATAAGCAAAGTTCGGCAATTAGACTGAAGCAAATAATTGAGTACTGAAACATAATCACCAAAACTGTTCTGTAAATTGATACAGTTTAAATCAATAATTGTCGTTACTTCAGGTATTCAATGAGATAATAATTTCACATATTCAATGCACCTGAAAAGCAGCTCGGATAAGCTCTTCTACGTAGTCAACAGTTGCACCTTTCACAAAGTCGAAGGATATATTATCCACTACCAACTTAACTCCATCCTGCTCAAAAATCCTACAACGATTGACAACTTCAGGGTAATTTTCTTTTCAACCCATAATAAACTTCAGTTAACTTAATGAATCAACAAAAACCACCAATAAAACCAAGAAAATCATAAACATTGGAAAAGAAATCACCTGTCATCATCATTAATCTTGTTATCCAGTGAAAAGTTATATTGGAACCCTGAGCAACCACCAGCTTCAATGCTCAAGCGCAGAAGCTTTTGGCTAGCCTCTTCAGCTTGCAACTCTTTCATTCTCTGTATAATATTGAAACAAATTTTATGCCTAATCCAGCAGAATCTTATTCAGAAGACGTCCAAAAGACATAAACTCAAATCATATTTTAGACATGGAGATGTAACCCATAAATCTTCTTTATCACTTTGCTTAAAGCTCCATAATCAATACTTATATTGTCCCATTACCAGACTAATTAACCACAGGAGTAATCTTATTTCCATTCCCAATAGTTCAATACTAAATGTTGAGATGAAGATGTATATTACTTTCTCTGCTCCACACAACATGGGTGCGGGCTATCATATTCACACAAATTCAAAACACAAGGCATCGAACAATTCACCAAGACATAATATGAGAAAATTAAATCAATATATACATATATATATTTATGTATATTGAAAGAAAAAATAAAAATCCAATCATCAAGCCAATTCAATCTCCCCTAAAAAAGTACGAAGAAAATAGGAGCGGATTTAAGTACCCGAATACAGCTGTCGGTCATAAGCACGGCATCGGGAGACGATGAAGGAGACTCCGAAGAAGAAGGCCGAGATTCGCGGACGGCCGAAGACGAGCTAAGAAGCCTAGAATTATATCGAATCCCGGCGGAAAAATACGGCAAAAAGCGACGAATAAGGGAACGGGACGGCGTCATCATATCTATCCTATCTTTCTCAAAACATGCTCTTCCAAACCACCTGCTTCGAACCACAACAATCAACTGAAACAGGAATTAACGATTCAAATGGATTACGTGCTGTTCTAATTCTTTCTTGACTGCTTTGATTCGGTTGCGACGAAGAATCGCCTGGCGAACACACGACCGTATGATCCAAAATACCCAAATCAAATCAGGAAGAGTCCTAAATCCGTGACCTGATCAAATATATGTATAGGCAGACAGAAAATGCTCCATAATTAGCCAATAGTTAATGGGTCTTTATTGGACTATATGGTTTAAAGTATAGGCCCAAATTTATGATGAATTAATGGGAATCAAGCCCATTTGCAATGGGCTTATTTCGATCCAATCCATGAAAACTGCTAAAAGTGAAAACCCAAGCCCACTGACCTTTTCCTTCCCAAGAGTGAAAGCCATTGTCTTCCCGGAGCTTCTCCTCTCTGGGAGTGAAATTTTTTAAAATCTTCAGAATTCACGATCAAGGGAGGGAGATACAGTAGCCGGATTCCATTCCAAAGGATTGTTATACTTCTGTATGTTCTTTACTTCCCCTCAGCGTATCTGGGCAGATACATTTGAAGCAATTTTTAGGCCGTGCGATTTTCTTCCTAATTTTATTTTACTGTACGTTTACTATTCAAAACCCACCCTACAAATCCTACCCTCCTACCCTACTGCTAGTCCTACTGCACTGACATAAATTATTTTTCATTTTATTTATCTATTTTTTTCTCTACTAAAAACTTTTGGCAGCGGCGAGCGCGACCACCGGCAGAAGAAGCTGAAGACGGAAACAAATAAGGAAAAAGAAATGAGAAAAAAAATTACAAACATACTCGATTTCAAAGATAAATGGAAGCTCGAGTAGAGGGACAATCAGAGGGAAATTGAAGAAAGAAAGAGAAAAAAAAAAAAAAACAACTCACCGGATATTCCAGTGGGCGGCGGCGGCGGACTTCGTCTTCGGGCGAAAGGCGACGCCACAACTTAGAAGCAGAAGGAGAAGAAGAAAAAGGAACAAAAAGAAGAAAGAAAAGAGGAGGAGGAGAAAGCAACGAAGAAGAGGAAGAAGAAAGAAAGACGGGGAAGAAAGTGGGAGAGGGCGGCGGCATGGATTGGGAAGAAACAAAAATACCGGTTTGAACAGGCGGTTTATGGTTCGACCGAAACCGAACCGTGGAAAAGCCGGTTTCATCTCAGGGACGGTTCCGGTTTGATGTGATCTCCATTTTTTAATCCGTGTTACACCAAACTCTGCTCTAATTTTCCATCTCATGCTTGAAGGGAAAATGGAAACGGGAAACTCTTCCACGGAAGAAGATAAGTTTACAGTTAGGAGATTGGAGATCTCCGACAAGAACAAGGGTTTCATCGAGCTACTCCAGCAGCTGACCTGTTGCGCTTCTATATCCGAGGAGGCATTCAAAGAAAGATTTTATGAAATCGCCAAATCAGGCGACGATCATCTCATATGCGTCATAGAGGACAAAGATTCTGGAAAGATTGTTGCTACTGGGAGCATATTCATCGAGAAGAAGTTCTTGAGGTATTGTGGCAAAGCTGGTCACATTGAAGATGTGGTGGTGGAATCTAGTTTACGAGGAAAGCAATTAGGCAAGAAGATCATAAAGTTCCTTTCGGATCATGCCCAGGCCATGGGATGTTACAAGGTGATCCTGGATTGCAGCCCCAACAACAAAGCATTCTACGAGAGGTGCGGTTTCAAGCATAAGGAAATTCAGATGGTGAGATACTTCACTTGATGGATGCATCATCTTCTACTTTCTGCATTACAAACATTTCAATTAAGAGAACATAAATAATCTGATCATATTGTTGTTCTGTACATTACTGCTGTTCATTTTTGGAGAATGGTATTCTCAAAAAGCAATTTATATTCGAGAATATCAAGTTGTTTTTTACTACAAAAAGAGAGTTCAGGCAGTAAGGTTATTGCATCCTTATGAATACACAATAGAGTAAAGGCAATAATTATTCAGTTTTTTCGAGCTCTTTGAATCTTTGATCCCATTCTCGAGTGTCGTAGTCCTGCTCGTACAAATCCTTTTCGGTACTGTACACAATTTTATCCTTGCTGATGAATGTCCTCTGAGCCATGTCCCGGGCACTTAGAAGCTGAAAGTTTTACAAAGTTGTTTAGAAAGTGCACAAATGGATGCAGTCATAGTTAAAGAAACAGTCTAAGGGAAGAAAATGATGGCTGGGAATTGTAAATGTTTGTTTTAATGTGTAGGGGAAAGATCTCAAGAGGAGAGTCATTTAATCTTTTTGTTTACCTTACGCCTCAGAGAAAGATCTGGCGATTCGAGCACCTTGGCAACTTGCTCCCTGGCTAGATTCCTCTTGGCAATTTTAGCATTCGTGTTTTGAATGAAAAACCATCGAATTAATGGGATTGCAAAGAAAGATCCTGCATAGATCTGCAAGGATAATAAAACTCAGAGAACACTAGATCAATAGCTTCTAATGTTGGCTGTCCAAATGACAGGTGAAGTTTAGGGCGGTCTGACTTTTGGTGTAATACAAAACAACATTATCGTAAACTGGTAACCACAACTTTCATCATTTTCAGAGATTACAGTTGAATGAGTACCTGAAGCAGGGGAAATATGTCGGACACAAATGATATGAATCCACTTGGACTGGTGGTCATATTCCTGAATTAAATTCAACAGAAGTTAGACGATTTATGGAAAAACTCGAAGGTATACAGTGAAAACCCACAATAAAGAATCTTACTTTAACATGGTGCCAAGAATTATAACTCCAAACAGATTAAGTCCCCCGAGACCAATCACCATTGCCCTTTCTGAAGCACTAGTTTTGCTGGAGAAAAATTAATTAACATTAGAAGACAGTGTCAACCATATTAAAGCATTAAGGTATGTAAAGTCTACCTAAATTGCCATTTCTTTTCCTTAAAGAACTTCTGAACTTCTCCAACCCAATCGGACCATCTTCTACCTACATATTCTTTCTTCCCACTCCTCTGTGGAGATGCAGTACGTTGCAGTGATGGAAAACGGTACAAAATATTCCCCTGCAATGCAGATCCATTTCATTGAAAAAGAGCTGTCGGTTCAGTTTGAATAGTCATGGAATTGATAAACTAGGAGAGAATACTAGCATATCTTCATAGCAACCCTAGACCCGAAATAGACACTATCCCGTCCATACATTCAGCCATTTAGGAAAATAGAAATTGATCAAGGAACAGTTCAATTCTGGTAATGAAGTCAACGCATAATCAAAAGAAACAGATATCATGTAGGTCTTATCTAGAGCACAAGACCCGTGTGCAATCCTCCTAGTAACCCCACCCCCTCCCACAAGCCTACTGGTATGGTTTGCAAAACCAGAAACAGAAAAGGGTTCCACACAAATAAAAACACATTCACTTTGGACAGATAGCTCACAATAGCGTTTTGAAGGAAATCATTCACATCCTCCAGGGAAAAAAATAAATAAATAATCCCACATGCATTTCATAAATTATGAATGTACAGAAAACCGAATCCTGTCTGACCTCTTCATCTACTTCAGGCTGGCCCTCAAATCGCAGTAGTACTGGTAGGATGTACGAGTCATCATCCTGGAGCCAATGAAAATAATCTAATAAATAGCATATCAGAAAATTTGATCAAAATAGACAGATAAAGATTAATTAACCTGTATGCACATAACAAATCAAAGGAAAAATACAGAAACAAAAGAACGAGTGAACTCTGAAACCAAAGATATTGGATACGAAAATAAGACAACAAAACTAAAGGTCTTTCTATAAACAACAAGACTTCAAATGATATATCATAGAAAAGCTGCTTTACTAACTGCTAAAAGGATGTATTGCAAATTGATGGTTACTGAAAATATTTGACAGTTCTCTGGGAAATAGAAAGCTAGAATGTTCCAAATGTTTACAAAATCAGTAGGGGAATATTTTGTATAGCAAAAGTGAGGTTGGCAATTACCATTTTTCCAGAAGTCTCCAAGTCAAGATATGGAGCAAGTTCTTCAGCCGTGACAACTCCACCATTTGAAGCTATGTACTGTCCGATCTGCAGATTGGGTGAGACATTCATCATAATCATCATGCGGGGTCAGCAGGGAGAGAAATTATCACCGAAAAATAGTTGCTGAGATATAGAAAGAGAGGTGCAATCAATACCTAGATTCATGGATCTGATTACAGACATGCATCTAAGACAAAAGATTCGCAACAATGTGAAAGGTTCAACATTAAGTGCCAAAACCAACCAGATTTGAATACAAATTTACTTTCTTTTTTACTACTGTGAACAATCTAAAAAAGAATGAGCCTCAGCCTCAAAGTAAGTTGTCATATCTGCAGCATCAAATCCCAAAAGAATTCTCCAAAGGTGAGGTTAAAAAACCCAAAAATGGTGCATGAGTTGCAAGATGACTCCACAAAATTAAACACGATCATGATCACAGAAATCCATTAAATGCCTTGGCACTAACCAAATTAGAATTCAAGTTTGATTGCATACGACAAAATTCCCTATTATAATTTTTTCCAGATGAGGTCTAGCAACCCATTCTACAACATGCCTCTCATAATAGTTTCCTTCCATAATTTCTATGTCATCCCCTTCTCCCATTACAAGCCAATGAATCATTTTTCTACCTGTTGAGCTGGCGCATACAAGAGAAAAAAAATGTGGACTTTTGTGCATATTTGATATAATGAAAATACGTCATATTTCTGAGGTTGGAAAAAAATTTAAGATGTAACACAACAGTATAGTCACCATAGTGCAATAAAAATAATAGAGTAACGGACCACTGAAATCAGTGCCCCAATATTACCAACTTCCACCTCTCTTCTTCAATCCCTTGATTGGGATCACCATCCCCGAATACAAAGGAAAAAACCTGAAAAGTAGAGAAGGTGAATAATTTATCTATCAATAAGAGTGGGGAAAAAAATTATAGAACTGAGAATTAGGAGGTCAAATCTTACAGATTCAATGAAGTTCATTCCACCATCAGCATCTTTAACTCTTCGTCTTCGATAATAATAAGGATCCCAATACCTGGATACAGAAAATAGAGAGGTAAGTTGTCTGAAGCTTTCTCCAGGTTTGTGAAGATCATACAAAAGGTCATTAACATTCAGAGCTCATTTGGTACTTATAGACTCTCCACTCCAAAGGTCTGCACGCTATATCAAGGGAGAAATTTTTAAATTGTTTTGTAGAACTGACTATACACAACTTTCCATCATCTTTTTCACTCATTTCAGACACTTAAGAAACAACTATGACGATACAACTAGATCTTCTGAATTTAATACAATCAGGGATTAAAACCTAAAATATCTTAGAAATGCCTGTTCCTTCTCAACCCTTCCTGTCCCTTCATACCAAACTACAGGCAAGGATTGACACTGTCCATTGATTCTTCCCATTCAAGGAACCCCGATGCCAAATTAGTAGGTCCTAAGCTCTAGAAATTAGGAAAAAACTTAAAATGAACCGGATATATGATAGGACATTTGTATTTTATATAATGAGTCGGATATACTACCAGAACAAATCAGTTGGACTGAAGTAAAAGTTAAAGCCACTGTCATAAGATCTTCCTCGTCTGCCACGACTGTCGGACTCACTGTTGGAAACCACGAAGAGGAAGTAGTTATAACATGCTGTAATCTTCAAAACTAAGAAGCAGACATGCAAAAAATCAAGACTTTTACCGGCTGCTGGAGGCAATAGCAATTATGGTGGTATATACAATGACGATGGATGCAATCAAAGCTGTCCCAAAGGAAACTCTCACTAAATACTCGGCGGCCATCTGTAATTAAAAATATTTCATTTCACCCAAAAATGTAACAAGGCTAAACCAATGATAACCCACAAACAAAACGTCCATACCTTTCCCTTTTCCAACAATGGTTCAAATTTTATCCTAAATGATTTGGCAGCAAGGTTTGTTCGATAATCCTTGGGAAAAACATACAAAACATCACCTTCATCCGACACCTATCAAAGGGCAAGAACAACACAAACATAATCAATTAATTGCAATTTAGGCATATAAAAAAAATGCCTGCTCCATGTAAACCCTATCCGAAAAAGGATGAAAATGACCTCTAAGAAGCCACCGGTATCAGCTGCCAGTGCCTGGAGTGCCTTTTGTGCTTCATTCAACTTGAGCCCAGCCTTGCTAGCCACGTCTCCAATGGTTACTCTCCTCCCACTGGAATCAATGGCGTCCATCGCTCGATTCCGTACGTCGGACGGTAATTTATCGCTCTCCACAGCACCGCCGGGCCTAACTGTCGACGCCGTCGCGACATCTTCGACACTACTGCTAGCCCTAATCAAAGATATAGAGGTGTTGGGACAGCGAAATTTTGTGCGTTCAGGAACAATCCGGGATGGCAAGGGGGAAAAGTAGTGGAATTGATAGGGATTATAGGGCTTAGAAGAGATGCCCAGAGAGCGAGGCTTGGGGGCAACAGCGAAGTAGGCCGACATGGAAGCCATTTACGGCTTTGCACATGAAGGCTTTCCTATTGGTTTCTGGTTAGGTTTTCAGCCATGGAAAATAAAAAGATATTTGTGCGACTTTTCTGCTACAAAATATACCGCTGTAGCGTGGAGATAGGCAGATAGATCGAAGGGAACGTAATATATTTTCTTGGCAGGGATGAAGCCAACTCTGTAGTTGATTGGGGAGCGGGAGGATGATAGCTGTAGATTGACACTTTTACCCTCGACAAGTGTCGAGTGTAGCCACTTAATTTTCTCAAAGCCAAAGGAAGAATGAAAGAACCATCCATTTATTTATATGTCCCCGTAGGGATGAGCCAGTGATGTAATGGTTGGATTTGTAACTGTGAGGTCATGGATTCAAACCCCCAATGCTTCAGGTCCATCTGCCACACATGGTTTGCCTAGTGTTTTTTTCCGTCGAGTTGTTTAACCCCCGGCAGTTCTGATTTAGAATTTAAGTCTTGATTCAAGTCTTTAGACCAGCAATGGTGTTATAAGAGGACAAGAAACAAAGATTTGCACTAAAAAAATATACATCAATTTGGAATATTGATTCTATAGTTGCAGCATCTGTTGATGAATCAGCGACTGAATACTTCCATAATGCAATACTGCCTATGCGGCTTGGATTGGGTACAGGCCTTGGAATGCTCGTCATATATAGGCTGTTTCATCGATGAGGCCTGGCTCGGCCTGCTCGTGTGAACTCGGTATCTCCCTCTTCTTTAGAAGGTTTGCCATCGGGATTCCAGTGCTGAGTTGCCTGCATCTTTGATGTGTCTGTGTTGGAGAAAGACTCTTGCTACTGCCGTAGCCCTTCGTATCTTCTGTCACAAGATGTGGTGGAAGTCATTGATCCTGGATGCAGAAAGTTTCAGCGATTATACCATGAATAAGAATAACATCCATTCACGGTAGCCCTTTCGATGCAGCAAGATCATACATAAATTTATTGTAAGTTGCAATATCAGGAATAAACCCTCCATCCAACATCTCATTCACCAGAACTTCCCCCTCCCTCTTCCTGCCTTCACTGATGCAGCCTGAAATTAAAATCCGGTACATCATACCATCAGAATCCAGGCCCTTCCTAGAAGCCAACAACCTCAATTTATTGGCTTCCAATGTTTCTCCCACACGACACATGTAGCCAAGCAAACAAGTGAACGTCACGCCATCCGGGATGATGCCCTCATTCAGCATTTTATCCATCAACTTAACAGACTTCTTAATCTGTGCAATTTTACATAAACTTTCAATCAAAGTTGTGCAAGAAACCAAGCTAGGAGCATAACCTTTGTCCCAGAGCTCATCCACCAATTCAAGTGCCTTCTCCGGCTTCCCATGGATGCAAAGTGTCTCTGTTAAAACAAATGAATCAAACCCTTTTGGCAAAACCCCTTTTCTCAAAAACTCAATCATGAAAGCAGCTGCCTCCATGGCCTTCCCTTTTCTGCATAGCCCGTCGATCAGAATATCACATGTAGCACTTGAAAACCCACACCTCAATTCAATCATTTCATTAGCCATCCCAACTGCCTGCTCAACCTTTTCATCCCTAAAGAATGCCTTGATCAAGGTATTGAAGGTAACCACATTAGGAACACACCCTTTCTGTTTCATCTCCTCAAAAACTTCCATTGCCAAACTATATTTGTTATCCCTACAATACCCACTGATCAAAATATTGAAGGTGACGACATCAGGTTTCACCCTCTCCTGAATCATCTTTCTATAAAATTCAAGCGCCTTATCGAATTTCCCAAACTTAACATAACCATGGATCACAATATTATACAATGCAACACTCGGCTTACCATCAATTGACCTTTTCATAACATCAAACGCATAGAGTGCATCATCAAATCGACCAGTCCTACAAAACGAATCGATGGAAACGCGGAATATTGATTCAGTTTTAGAACAAGAAAAGATACCGTCCGAGCACGGGCAAGGATTGGAAGCGATGAACTCCAAAAGCGTGGTGAGAGAATCCAGGCGGTTCGTGCTCACAAGAGAGCGCACCATATACTCGAATGTGGTGTGATCATGGCGGAACGAGTCGAGTGTGGCGGCGTAACGGAAGAGATAGAAATCGAGATGGCTCAGCCTGGGGTGGTGGCGAAGTCGAGATTTGAAGAAGAGAAGGAGGTCCTTCGGCGTGATGGTGATCGAGCTCTTCTTGAGGTGCGCTTTGAGGAGAGTGGTGAGCTGTGTTAATTGCGATTTCGCGGATAAGGCATCTACTGGGGTGAGAGCAGAAAGCGCCGGGGAGAGGTCCGGAAGAGGAAGAGGGAGAGGAGGAGGCGGTGGCGGCGCCGGAGGCTGTGGACGGGGCTCTAATAACTTATACAAGGCTCTCTTCCGAGACATTCCGCCGTGGCTGCTGGTTGCTCCGCCGTCGTCTTCCCAAGAACATTCCCAAATTTATTTCGTTTTTTGGTAAAGAGTCGCTTTTCTGAATTCGAAGCTGTCAAATACCAAAGTCGCGTTTCTTAAACTCAGTAAAGAAAAAAGATTAGATTTTTCAAGACGACAAATTTAGTAAACGATACTATTTGAGTATCAATCTATTAGTTAATAAGAAGTATCATTGTACATCTCTGATCCAAAACTAAACTGACTCTATGCACCTTGACATTGTCTATCATCTAATCTAAAGCTTTGTGTTTTTTTTTTTGTTTGATAACAACTAGTTCGATTCAGGGATGGTTTCCAGGGCACCTGGTAGGCATCCTCTGGGAGAGATGCCGCCATCTCTGGAAATGCTTTGAATCTTATATGCAGCAGGGCCTGTCTGCACCTGAGAGACCACATCTCCATCTGAAATGATCCCCTCGCTTCCCAACATCTCCTGCAGCTCTTTCTTGCTTATTACAAGCTTAATTCTCACAACCTTCCCGGGCTCCTCCATTTCCACAACATCGTCAGAAAACCGGACCACCTTGTTGCTGTTCTTCTTTTTCTTCATCGGCGTCCAGGGCAGAGGAAGGAGGTAATACAAGCGGCCCTGAAGCATTTCAGTGTTTGGATGGAGGTGCTTCCCTAAAGGGAGCTGATTATCAGACAGTGCATGGTGAGAGAATTCTGACAGAACTTGATGGACTTTAATGGGGGCTTTGTATTCAATGATTTTGCCATCAGTTTTCATCACCCTCACAGGCTTTCCCTGATGAACTATGCAGTTTCCCATGGCAAGGCAAGGCAAGGCAACGTAAATTGGCTGTAAACCTGTGTGGGACTGACCTGAAGATGTGTATATATAGAAGCAGGTAAGAATGACTTTCTTGTAAAAATTTCCAAGGGCCCATTTTGATTATATTTTTTTTTCTTCCTTGTGATCTTTACTGTGGATTTGTTTTTGAGATTAAAATTTTTTGGGGGACCAATTATATTTGGAGATAGTGGTTGACTGCTGCTTGCCCATTAATTGACTCCACTCTTAGTTGCCATAATACTTGCTTATTTGGATACAGCCTCTTTTTTCTGTATGTGTTTTTTTATTGAACCTTTATTGCTTGCCACCATGATGAAGGAGAGTGGATCTTGCAAGAAGTATTCAATTTAGATAGTGGGTTTGGGATAAAAATATTCAAAAGAACGTTAAAAAGAATTACTAGCAATTTGTAAATAGGGCCTACTTGAAGATGGAGTAGGCATTCATTAGGACATCACTACAATGCATTAGTGGTGTGTGATGTTATGAAGACGTATGGTTGATATAAACTAGCCTTCTTCCCCACTGTGTTCTTGCAATTTGGCACTAAAGATCAGAGGAAGGTTTGTGGCAACTTCAAGTCACAATCAAGCCCCCACCAACAGAAAGTGCTAAGATATGAAATCTAGTAAATGATATGAATACTTTCTGGATTCGTTTGCATAAGAAAATAATTACTAATTGATAATGAATGGATGTAAGATATTTCTGTGGTGATCGACACAAATGAAACATGCTTGCTTCATCAAGACAGCCATTTTTAATTACCATATGTGCATTCATTGATCATCAAGATTTTGTTTTATATAAAAAAAAATAATAATAAATATATGTGCCCCTTTGTGTTTTGCTCTCTCTTAGTAGAGGCAGATGAGGGTCGAGTCTGAAAAGGGACAAAAGACAAATATTCCCTACGCATTCACTTCCCCCACTCAAGATCAATCACTGTCAGCTTTTGGCACACCCAAAGAAAAAAATGACAATGGCTAGGCATGCATATCTATTCTTCTAACTTTATGTAGATCATTAAACTATTGTTACTTTGCAGACATGTATATTAGGCGCTTAATCTTTTGGACCAAGTCTGAGGATTTGGGGTGGGGCGGTGGCCGCCAAACGGCTGCTAGCTGTAATAATTCCTTGATCGATTGGATTTGTATTCAAATCATACAAAACTATGATATCAATCCATATGGGAAATGGACGAACAAAGTTGGATTCTATTATTAGCTTTTGAGGATGTTAAAACTCTGAGAATGTGATGTTTGGTTTCTCTAATAATTTGAAAACTTTAATCTATGTTAATCTGAACCCGTTTAATTCCAAGCTGCTTGAACCAGCATTGTTGTCGTCTATGTTAAGGTCTAGTCTAGTCGAAAACAAAGGGAGCTTTGGTTCTGATGTTGTTATCGAATTTTTCTCCTCCAATGCTGTTAAGGCATTGCTGCTAATGTCCTGATTCAAAGCTCTGCCATTGCATTTACCAGGGCTGCTCTCAAGTCCAATGCTCATTGATAAGCAACTGGATTTGGTTACATATAAACCTCTGTTCCCTTTCGTATTTTCATGCCATCTCAGTTCAGTTTTCTGTGGCCTGTTCACGTCGTTATGGCACCATGGCTCCTCTGGAGATGCTGTAAAATTGAGGGGCTTCAAATCCATCAGACTATTGCATAGCTCTTGGTCTTTGCAGAGGGAGCCTTCGAATGAGGTTAAGCAGCTGTCTATGGAACAGTCTGTTGGCTGATGGGGTTGTCTCGGCAGAGACAGATCATTGATTCCTGGGAACGTTGAATTCAGACATTGGGAGGATACTCGGCACGCCAAGTCTGATAATTGGATCCTGGCAGCCTCTACGCCTTTCTGCCCCTCGAGTGTTTCCTGTGCTTTTTCTAGCACAGACTGCAGGTACTTACCTTGAGCCTCTATCTGAAGTTGCAAATGCCGCTGTACCTACATAAAAAAGTAACCTTAATTATCACAACAAATGTGGTCTGAACTAGCTTCTCTGTAACCTCTCAAATTCGAAAGCCATCAAAAAACACAATACATGGACCGTTTGTTTCTTACCTCAAGCTGTTTGTGTAGCTGCTGTTGGACTTCAATTTGCATCTGTATGGCTTCTCCCAATGGCATGTTCCTGATAGCAGACACCAAAATTAGTCGAGAGAATCTTTGTAACCTATGTGACTACAAGAAATTAAGGGATTTCATTACGTACTTGGTTGTTTGAGTTGCTGAGTTTGGCATGCTACTGTGTGCGCCATTTGCCCCCGGTACTCGATCCACTGCTGCTGCACAAGTTTGTATAGTCTTCATAACAATATATAAGAGGTCTAATACATACTCAAAACAGTGTTGCAAGTTGAGATTTCTTACCAGTTTTGCTGCTGCCAGTGTTCGCCTGTCCGTGGACATTTTTGCTCAGCCTGTATTTCTGGAAGCAAAAATATTCTTGTAAGAAATGATACCGGAGGCTAGTAATTTCCTATTTGTTGCTGCTTGAATTTTACCTGAAGATGACTTTTTAAATGGTACAAGGTTAGTCCTTGGATTCCCATGAGCTTCAACACTGATTTTGGAGTAGCTTCTGCAACATAACATATATATATATATATATTATAAGGGACTGTATGGTTTATCCGAATGCAGCTGAGTGCTATTTTATTGCTTTTGGATTGATAACGGCTCATATACTTACTCTGCGCTCCGCCCAACTGATTCACTGCTTCTGTGAACCGTTCATGGAGGTCCGGTGTCCATTTCAGGCGTGGCTTGGCATCCGTGGAGAGCACGAGCCCTGAATCTCCACAGCCATCAAGGAACAAGGGCCTTTCAGAAAGGACGTGCATTCTTGTGGGAGTTTGCATGTTCTTCCCGCGTTGGTGATTCTGATGATACATTCTGCTAACTTGCAATCATCAATGTCATCCAAATTAAGATCAATGATGGTCAAGATGGACGGAAACTAAACTGAAACACTGTTATACCTGAAAAGGGATCTGAATTCTTGATTACTCAATTAGTATAGTAGCATTGCAAGGCTAGGCTAAGCTAAGAAAAGCTGTGTAGTGTTGTTGGGATTATTCTGTTTGGTGAAAAGACTTGAATGGTGTGGGCATTGTGTAGAGGGATGTCTTATAAGCAGTGGAAAGAACATAAAGGAAAAGTGGGGAAAGGCATCATATCATGCAATGCAAGTGAAGGCATAGAGAATCTTGAACAGGGCTTGCAGAAGAACATCAGATCCAATCCCATTTTCCTAGCTGCATATAAGAGGGATATTGTTCTTCCATTCCCACTCATTTGTGGGTCCATTCTAGCAACATCGATTTCCATTCTAAGACAGGTGCACCAGCAATGTAAAAGTTCCTCATTCACTATGGCTTTCTTGGAGAGTTTTAAACCTTCCAATAGGTACAAGAACAGAGATCTTCTTTGCAGTGCACTCATATTTTGTCATCTGTGCAAAGATATTGGAACCTCATTCCTGGAATGAATTGTGGGATTGGAATCCCTATCTACTGAAACAAGTCGTCGCTTTCGCCTCCAAGATTCTGTTGACTAAAGCATCCATTGATAAGGGGTGCTATCAAAACTGGTGCAGCAATGATCAATTAATACAAAAATTTTATCTGCATGCTCTACATTACTTTTAACATTTGATCACATCACTCATCATCTCATGTAGGCCGTGCCGTGCTTCCGATGCTACGCGTAACTGAAATGACCAGAGAATGTTATTCCATGTAAGAAAGTGAGATTCTGCAGAATAGAATACAAGTTTGAGAATCTTTTAACTCAAACAAAAGTCAAGAATGTTTGTTTTTTCACTTATTCTTCCCCACTCAAAGCCACAGAAGATGGATTCCCATACTTTCCCCCTTTCATGCTTTATCCTCATTCATGGCTTGGCTCGACAGAGTTTCAGATGCCTGCAATCAGACACAATCAATGATTTGTCCTAGTAAGTACTGCCCTCGAAACAATATCATCTATTCCTTTCTTCATGTCTGTCCTTTTCTGTATTATTGCTGCTGCCCTGTTTTGCTTTCTCTGTTGATCAAATTGCCATGCTGTTTAATCACACTCATATTCTCCTCATCTCATCTGCATTAGTGCCTAATTTAAGCTAAGCTAGAATAGCCAGCCATTCCCACTGATTGTTGTTCCAGAAAGAAATACTAATAAAGCTGTGAACTTTAATGGAGGAAGCATTTGTTCCAGTTCAAATTGATCAGAGCAGCTCAGTTCCAGTAAAGGGGTTGAAGAGAATATGCTCATTAATCGCAGTCGGAAGCAGTAAATGCTTTCATGATCAATGGAAAGTTAAATTGTCTTATCAAGAAAATGGCAACTAGATATTAAAAACGTGCAGCTTTGGGGTGTTTCTTTTTTCAATTTAATTTCAAACAAAAACCAGAGTTGCATTTTTTTTGTGGGAAATTATTACATGATACCAACAAGATCTTGTGCAAATCTACCATGATTTCCTATTTATCTGGAAAAACTATCAAATCATTGCTGTACAATAAAGTATAATAGTTGTATCGAAATTTCAAACTGGACGTCGTTGATTGATGACAACAGAATAAATAATCAAAGATGAATGTCGAACGTTTAATAAAATAAAGGTGTAAGGAGAAAAGCAACAAAGAGTGATGATTCACACTTCTGAGGATTGATATAGATAAAGTCGAGAGCATGTGTTCGACGAAAGTGGGAAGTGGGCACTACAGACAGTCCCATCCCACCTAATCCAAAACACCAACTTGCTGCTAGATATGCATATTATATTATTAATCAGACAATATATGTTGGAAGAATGTAGGATCAATCATCCATCCACCTCAATCATCAATAATCGAAGTAAAGAACAAGAGCAAGAACAAGAACAAGAAGAACCTCCATGGCTGCTGCTGCTGCTTTTGCTCTGACAACAACGCTGTTGATTGTCGGCTCGTATGCTGTAACAACTCTTAGTACGATTCTTTGTCTCCATCCTTGTTTGAATCATTTATTCATGGATTTATAACAAAGATGGAGATGAATTTTTCAGAGGTGGACGACGACAAACCCCTTCAGTTCACTTACTCAGGAGACATGGGTCCGGACAGGTGGGCGGCTCTGAACCCAAACTTCTCTCTCTGTGCTAAGGGCAAATCACAGTCCCCAATCGACATTGTTACAGCTCAGGCTGTGGTTAACCCCAAGCTGAAGCCACTCGTCAGGGAATACAACTCTGTCGATGTCACTTTAGTCGACTACAAGTTCACTGTCGGGGTTAGGGTTTCTAATTTCCTGTCGTCTCCGTTCTTACCTTCCCTGTCGTAAAAAGTTTAAGCAATTAATTACTTAACTGCAGATAGAGTACCCTAATCACACAGGAGGTATAATTTTCGATGGCAAGAAATACAGTTTCAAGCAAATGCACTGGCATTCGCCCTCCGAGCACCGAATCAATGGCCGACGGTAAGCTTCGATCATCGATGTTTAACAGTTAACGTTGTTGAATCGTCGATGGATAAATATATATACATATATATGAGTGTGTGTGTGTGTGCAGATTTGCTGCGGAGCTTCACATGGTGCACGTTGCCGACGACGGCCAAATTGCAGTGGTGGCTACGCTGTACAAATACGGGCGCCCGGATCCGCTTCTTGCCAGTGTACGTAATGTAGACGATGACATTATATTAATTAATAGATGGGAAGATGAAGGGCTGAGATGATTTGAGGGTTTTGCAGATTTACAGCAAACTGAATGAAATGGCGGTGCGGGTTGGAAGTGAGGAGAAAAGCCCGGCGATCCCATTCGGGCCCTTCCACCCGCCGGAAATAAGACGAACTCCGAAGAAGTATTACAGATACGTGGGGTCTTTCAGTGCCCCTCCTTGCACTGAGAATATTCCCTACATAGTCCTGGCCGAGGTCAAGACATAGATTGGATTGGATAAATGTAATTAATTATGTATATTTGATGATATATATCTGTTTTGGGTGTGTAGGAGCTATCGATATCGGAAGAACAAGTGCAGGCTCTGAAGGGGCCTCTGGACATGAGGTGCAAGAACAATGCCCGGCCTTCCCAGCCCACCAATGGCCGACCTGTCGAGGCGTACGAGGATCACCACTGAACAGATTACCTTGGATTGGATTCGGACATACATACGTATTTCTGTTCTGTTCTTATGAATTAATTAAGGAACATCGATCAATCAATATGTGCGTGCGTGTGGGTATGTATTAATTTCTGGTTGGACTTGAGAACTAGACAGTTGTTGCAAATGTCGTAGCTACACTAGTGACTGAAAATAATAAAGAAGCATACATACATACATATATGTGTGTGTGCATATTTCATATTTGTTTGTGTAATTTGTCCAACTGCTCCCGAACGAACCTAACTTGGACGAAACTATATATGGCTGAGTATCTTTTCTTTCCAAGATAAGTTTTTTTCATACATTTTTTTTTTTATATTAAAACATAAATAAAAATATGCTATTTTGTTAATTTGTTGTAACTGGAAAATATGTTTACTAAGGTGGACAGATGGATGGATCAATTAGTTATTTAAATTCTCTATATTTCAAAAGCCTTTATTTAAAATATTATAGTTTATGTATAATTTTATTGAAAATTTTACTAAAATAAGATTGGAACATTAAAGAGCTAGTCTAAAATATATCTTGGTAACTACTACTTGTAGAGAGGATTACCTCTTCATGGTTTACTCATTCATTTATGAGTTGAATAAGTCAACTCTTCTTAGTCAACAAATGCCACGCCATGCCTGATGCCCCTATTTCTAGTCTAATCATTGGAAGCAATCCTGCTGGAGCTCAGCACCCGGGCCCTCCCGAGCATTGTTCGGTGGATGATTCTGGGTCATGTTACCCTGCATGCTTATGCCTGTCCAATACAGGAAACTCTCTCTACCTTATTATTGTTTAATCACCGCCGTCGATTACAATCTATATTAAAATAATCCTAAATATCTACCAGTAATGAATTCATAATTTGTGCTTGATTAAACCTTCTATTATTAAAATAATTACAAATAAAACATTAAAAATCCTCACACCCATAAACACAGCATGAATATTTACAGTATTATGTGAATCAGTGACGGTACTTTTTTTTTTTCCCCCTCAAAATTATAGTATTAATGTAAAAAGTAACAGTAACAATTAACAGGGAAAACAGTTTACCAACATGGCATTTGAATCAAACGACGCCGTTTTAAACCCGCGACGAAGACTTCCCACCCGCCTTTCAACCCCTACACACGCGCCGATCTAGGTCGCCGGAAGCCGCCTGATTGAAGTCGTCGGAGGTCCACGATCCAGACCGCCGGCCCGAAGCGAACCGTTTCATCCCTCCAAGAGCCGGCGCCTCGGCAGTTGTCGGAATTTCTAGCACTCTCACACTCACGCTCTTCCGCTGCGGTTCGACGGCCGCCGGTTCTTCCATCCGGTCCGCCACTCTTCTGCTGCCCGATCGGCTTGGTTTTTTGTGCTGCTTTCTGGACCGGAACATGTTTGCTAGTTTGGAATAAAACCCGGTCTTTTTCTTCTCCCCGCCGGCTATGGATTTCTCCGCCGGTTTATCGGCTCGTCTGGCGGAATTGGACCTCCGGCGGCCTCTTTTAGATCTGACCCGACCCATGCAAGAGACCTTCGGAGAGCCTGGTTCCGCCACAGGCGCCGCGGATTTTCCGGCGGAGGACTGGGTCCGTTTAGGAAACAGCCTTATGTTCACCGATTTGCAGGTCCGCCGCCTCGAATCGACGTAAGTGGTTTTCTGAGTCTTGGGCAATCCGATGATGGAGGGCTTCTTCAAGTGCGCCGGTAACCGCTGAGAATTAGGATTTGAGTTCGGATTTGGATTCGGATTCGGATTCGGATTGGGATTCGAATTCGGATTCGAGTTGGGTTTGGTGGATTCTTTCCGCTCGTAGAAGGCGTTGCGGTCGAACCAATCGTACTCTGCGTCCTTGGACAGCCAGAATGATTCCGGCGGCAATTCGGCGGATCCACCGTCGTGATTCTTCGGCGGCTGGTCGTCGTCCGCCGCTGGCACTGTTTCGCAAGCAATTTTAAGGTCGACGCCTCCTCCGGCGCAAGACGCAACAAGCGTTTCAAGATCGACCTGAGGCATTGTCGATGAGCGCAGATCTTATTGATGATTGGAAGAAGAAGAATAGAATAGAAGGAGAAGGTGAGAAATGAATGGGAATGGAAGAATTTTCAATACGTAATATCAAACCAGAAAAGACATTAGGAAGGAAGACTCAAAAGTGTGTTTGGAAGCGATTTCTTCCAATCGTATTATAAATTATAATTTTTAAATTATATACTCCGTCTCTTTATTATTTTTGTCCGTCCCAAAATAATGATCTCATTTCTATAAAAAATATATCATTATAAAATTATTTTACCTTTTCATTATTATTACATAATTGTCAGTATTTTTTATACAAGGACAAAAAATCTTTTAACTGTACCTTTTACCTACTATCAATATAATATCAATATTCCTTATATCTCATGTCGAATACACAGACTATAGTTTTGGGACAAAGGGGGTATAATAGTGATTTTTCTTTTATTATTTTAAATTAAAAATAAAATTATTTATTCTATAGAAATATTATACAATTTTCCATTAAGAATATACTCACTTCGTTTCGTTCTGATGCAAGGTTCTCGTTTACTTTTTTACACATATATTTTTTAATATTAGTATTATAATAAGTTGTAGTAAAAAAGGCGAAAATACTTATATTAGTATTGTCTAATATAAAAGTAATAGCATTTGTGTAATATAGTGTAAGTTGAAAAGATATTTATTACTCCATCCGTCCCGCATATTATGTCCACGTTGTCGTTTCTGTCCGTCTCACGTACCATGTCACTTTTCTTTTTTAAAAAATAATTACACACTTTAATCTCGTTTTAAACTTTTTAATTTATTTTTTTTAAATTAATTAAACTAATTAGTTATCTCAATTTTAATTTATAATTATTTATATTATAGAATAATTATTTTCACTGATACATTCTTAATTATCTACTAATTAGTAATTACACCCCTTCTAAAATACTGTGTCTACAGTGTAACAGACACGGTATGCGGGATGGAGATAGTATGTTAGTTACCTACTACAATTACTAAATTAATAAATGACAACCTTTCAATGTGACGGAAGAAGTATTATTATTTTGATAAATTAAGAAATGATAACATTTCAACGTGACAGAAGAAGTATTATTATTTTGATAAAGTATTACATCAAATACTATTTAAACAAAATATTTTTATCAATATTAAATCATAATCAAACAAATTATGGGTGTTTTTGTTTGAATTTTTGAATTTAGATTTTAAATAATAAAATCTTAAATTAATACTAATATAAATAAATATTATATACTCTCTATTCCAAATATTGTGCAACCTTATTAATTATTTCTAAATTTCAAAATGTTGCAATGAGTTTGAGGACAAATAAAATAGGAAATGTTGCAGGTGTTTGGGACGGAGAAGTATATTTTTATAAAAATAAATATTTATTTTTTTAATATTAAATTAAATTTAAATTTAATATAAAGAAGTAAAATTTAATATGTAATTTGATTTGGTAATAAAATTAAAAAAGCTTCCAAAATCCTCGAACAGTATTATTTTAAAATGGAATAAATTCGACTAATATGGGAAGTTTTAAAAATTTGACAATAATAGAATATCATATATTTGATACTACATAATATATATTTTGATATTTAAGTGTATTTCTTCTGTCTATATTTTTTTTCATTGTTTATTATAAATAATATAAAAAATTATAAAAGTTTCTATATAAATATAGCTTGAATTATTAATATTAGACACCACAAAAATGTCCCGAATTGCCAACAAACAAAACTTTATTAGCTGATGGTTTTATTTATTTATTTACTCTTGCTTTTTCTAGAAATGAAAGACTGGAAAAGAAAGATGGTTCGAATTTTCTTCAAACTTGAATAAAGTTTTTTATTTTAATAATTTTTTTAATGTAAAGTATTTGAAATATAATATAAAAATTAATATTTTAAATTAAATTTTAATTTTTTATGGAAGAATAATATATATATTGAGAATAGTATTTTTTTTAAAAAAAAAAAAAAACTTGCCCTAACAAACTTAAATGTGTTTGATTGTAATTTTAAATTTAAATAATTTACTTTTAAAGGTATAAGGAGATCTCATACAATTTCTAAGATATTATATTAAAATTTGAAATCAGAGCAATTTTACCAAATTATATATACTCACATAATATATTATGTAGAATTTTTTATTTAAAATAATTAATAGTTTGATATAATTTTTTTTATATTAATGATTTTTTTTTCTACTTAACATATAAAAAAATAAATAAATTAAAAATATAAAACAAAGACCATTTTTTTTTATTGGATTATATGTATCAAATGATGGAAAATTTTTACAGTTGATATTTTTTTAATACATTAAATAAAAAATAAAAATCTAAAATACGTCTTGTTTTTTTGGCATTGTTTCAATATTGTCTTATAAGGAATCAATTACCTATTTTGTCCACATTTGTTTTTCGAGTGTGTCGGAATCATAAGCTGCATGTTTATTTTATTCATTTTAAGGGTGTGTTTGTTTGAAGGATTTTGGAGGATTTCCACTATTCATCCAATTTTTTTCCCCTAAAAATATCAAATCAAACACCTATTTTTCATTTTTTATATTATACTAAAAATCAATTTTACATTTAAAACATCACATCAAACCCTATTTATATCACATCATACAACTATTCAAATTCAAAATTTTTACTATTCAAATCCCAATCCAAAATCCAAACCCCCAAACAAACACACCCTTAATTGTTTCTTATGGTTTGTCATCAAGGATTGATTTTAGATACTTGGCCTAATCATAATAATATTATTATTATTATTATTATTATTATTTGATAGCAATTGCGATTTTCACGTCATTACAAAAATAAAAAAAAAATAAAAAATAAAAAAAATGTACAATTAATTGAACAGTGCTAATTTGTTTTAGCTGTGCTGAAATTCAGAAAATGTCTTGTGGACAATTAATGATTCATTACTTTAAATTGATTCGGACACGTCATTAAAATCATTCAAGATATTTTTTTTTCCTCTACCACTGTTGCCAAAAATATCTCCCCCTGAGTCAATAGTCAATCAATATTAGCATAGAAAAAAAAGTTTATATTGAGTTCATTAAATTAAATATATATATTTATATATATCAATTTTATCATATCATTTTCTAATGGTTCGCAATTTTGATTCCATATCAGTCAAATAATAATTTTGGCAGTTCACTACCCAATATTATGCACCAACATAATAATTATAATTTAATTCAAATTTTCATCAATTCAACGAACTAAAGTTGATGTGGAAAGATAGTTCATTTTCCAAAATTTAATGGCCCATTGTTTGTGTGACATGAACCTTTGAACCACCCATATATAATGTACCAAAATTAATATGAAATGGCTAAGGGTCCATTATCCATTTTAAAAAAAATTAAAAGTTCATACCATCAATACATGAAAGTAATATATTTACATAAAAAAGAGTAATTAAAAAGGAATTCCCAATTAATTGTGTGACATTGAAAGGACCCATTAATTTTATTAGCAAATACAAAAACGTGGCCACGAAATCGATATCCATCATTGAAGATTTGAAGTCAACTAATAAAATTGAAAAAAAAAATAAATTGGTTTTACTTTATACAAAATTGTATCTTCGTTTGTTTCGTCTCTTGTATTTGCAACTCCCCACGCCCTCGAATTAGTACAGTTTTTGGTATTTTCTTTTTGACCCCATATACTTGTCCGGGCCCAACCGACAAATTGTGGAATGTTTATGGGGCCATTGCGATAATAGCCAAAGGCAGAGGGGCTTCCTCGCGAAATTTACCTATCTATTCGAAAATTTCCGACCGTTGGCCAAATTGCACACGGGCACACCAGGTAACGGTTTTTCTTACATCTTCAAAACCCAAAGCACATTTCGAAAACGCACAACCCCACATGAAACTCTCTCTCCCCACCACTCGCGAAGAAGAAGAAGAAATCAAATGGGTTGCGTCTCGTCGAAATTGGTAGCTAAAGAAGTTCGAGTAATCCAAACCCCCCGCAGAAACCTCGAAGCAGACCACCCCGCCGCCGCCGCCGCCGCCGACCACGTCGTGTCTCTCACTTCAAGCACCTATGGAGTTCTCAATCTGGACAAGGAGAAGGAGAAGGAAAATGATGATGAACCAGAGCAGCCTGCAGAAGTGACAAAGCAGCAGATCATTAATGAAGATGTGTTAGAAACGAAGCAGCAGCAGCCTTCCCCGCCACGAGAGGAGCCTTCTGAGATAATCAATGCGTGGGAGCTAATGGAGGGTCTTGAAGAGGAAGTTTCAGCTGTCAGAAGGAGCCCAAAATCAAGGCTTTTCGACGCCAGAAGCCCCCTCAAGTTCATGAACCAAATAGGTTCACCAAGAAAAGTGAAGAAAGTTGTGGGGAAGGAGAATAAGGTGAGAGGAAATGGCGGAATTAGGTCACTGGAAAATAGCCCTAAATTGGTACTGAAGGAATGCAGCAGCAATAGTGTCAAGAAGCCGTCGCCGAGGCTGTGGGCGTCAATAAAGGGAAGTCCCACAGTCAAGAGATGTAATAGTTTAAGGATTGATACTTCAGGTGTTGTTCTGTCCAGGAAGAGTTTAGGCCCCTTGTTGGATCCATCACTTCAGAAGGAGGAAGAGCTCAAGAAAGTTGTCTCGGTTTCGTCCTCACCGACTTCTTGGAAAGACAAACACTCCCAAGAGGCGGAGGCCATGCTCGATTCTTACAAGAGGAAGTGCCCCCCGGGAGGCATAAATGCAGTGGTGATATACACTACCACATTGAGGGGTATAAGGAAGACATTCGAGGACTGCAACATCGCCAGATCGATCATCGAATCCCAGAATGTCCAGATGATCGAGCGCGACGTGTCGATGCACTCGGGGTACAGGGAAGAGTTGAGAGCACTGATGAACAGCAAGGATGTGAAAGTCCCACTGGTGTTTGTGAAAGGAAGGTTGATTGGTGGAGCAGAAGAAATGGTGAAGTTGGATGAGGGTGGCAAATTGGGAATCCTTTTCGACGGGATCCCGAAGGCGGCCGCCGCCTGCTCCGGCTGCGGCGGCTTCCGGTTCGTGATGTGTACGGTCTGCAATGGAAGCTGCAAGCTTCTGGGCAAGGATGGGAAGAAGAGTGTCAGGTGCAACAAGTGTAATGAGAATGGGTTGATCCAGTGCCCATTCTGCAGTAGTTAACTATTCAAGTTACCACTTTTATTACCACCTGTGGATTCGTTTTCTTTTTTTTCCTTTGCCAATCTCACGGGGAGATTGAATGAATTCTCGATGGGTTTTGATTGATAGTTGAAAATTGTTCCAACAAAGTTGAATCTGGAAGTTTTTAGTGTATTGTTTGATTCCTGTGTCACTTGGTTGTAGGAGGGTCTAGTTCTAGTTTTAATGCAGATTTCCAATTCAATGGTATTATTGTCTTGCTCACCATTCAGTTTCTTGGAATATAGAGACAGTGACAGGACAAGAATTGGCTGGACCAGAGCAATGGCAGTAATTATTTGCATTCTTGTTGATGAGAAAGCGACGTTGTGTCGGATATACCCTACAAATCAAGCACACCACACTTCCAGCTGTGTTTTCACATATCTTCTTCAGATTAGTATGAATTCTTATAATTTTATTATACTATCAACCGCGGCGGGGAGGAGCGGTGCTGACCATTCTTAGGTAGGTCGGAATGGCTCAGCTGCTGCAGCTTCCCATCGTTTAGCAGGAAGATTCTTTCTGCCATCAGAATTGTCTCAAGTCTATGAGCAATAACCAACACCTGTGTGTGTTTATGAATCAAAAAAAAAAAAAAAAACATCAGGGATGTGTCCAATTGATTAATTCCAAGACAGATTAGTTTGTGTCTAAGCTTACAGTTCGATTCTGCATCAGGCGTTGAAGGGCTTGTCTCACCAGGAGCTCGGATCGGCTGTCTAAAGCAGAAGTTGCTTCGTCTAGAATAAGAATTGATGGATTCTGATAAAGTGCCCTGGCAATAGCTAATCTGAAATGCAAAATTCAGGTAAGAAAAGTGTCAAGATTCGGGGCCGGTAAACCGAGCAAATAGGTTGGGACAAAATCCATGCCTTTGCCGTTGGCCTCCGCTGAAATTTGAACCCCTGGGTCCGACATTGGCTTGGTACTGATCAGGGAGGCTTTTGATGAACTCATCAGCATTTGCAGTTTGAGCTGCAAGTTCGACTTTTTCCATGTCGATGCCAGTTATTAAATCCCTGTATCCAATGTTCTCAGCTATGGTCCCTGAAAAGAGTACCTGAAATTTGGCAAAATAATGCAATCTCTTACAAATATATCAACACAGGCATTGAAGGTATCAGATCAGTTTTTGCTAATATGCATACTGAATCTTGAGAAACCAAACCGATGTGGCGCCTTAAGCTCTCTAACCGAATGTTTTGGATGTCGTAGCCGTCTATTGTGATTGAACCTGCATGAACAAAGACAGTAAATTTCAATAAAATGAAAGATTTAGGGACAGAGAATCAGGACTATGAACAATGCCCACCAGAAAGAGGTTTGTATAGGCGTAGCAGAAGCTTCACAAGAGTTGTTTTGCCTCCTCCAGATGGCCCAACAAGAGCAATTGTTTCTCCAGCTTTAACATTAAGATTTACCTCGCTTAGGACGGGAGCCATGCTGTCGGTATAGGAAAATGCGAGCCCACAAACATTCACTTCTCCTTTAACAGAGGCTAAATCAACTGCGCCGGGTTTCTCAACCACCTGCACAATTCATGTATGCAGTAAACTATACGGGTTTCCATATACCACGGCTAGATCGATAAAGACTTACCTGAGATTCAAATAAGGTTAAATTAAACAACCGCTCGATAGCTGGTTCTCCTTGTTTCAATTCATTGTATGCTTTTCCCACACCCTGCGCAATTCTTTATTTTCAGATTGATATTTAAGACAGCTGCAAAGAAGAAATACAGTAATAAAAGTAGCCGCGCATTAGAAAATTTTGTATCAAGAATTCAGGTTGGACCATCAATTTCCCAAGTAAACATATAACCAAACATATGATCCATCCCTTCACTCCCAATCTTATACAAAGGCAAAAAACTTAGAGCTTTGGAAAGACAAACTCAGTGCATTGGAGTACCTGAATTGGATCGATCAACATTATCAGTGACGTGATGAAAGAAACAACAGCAGCACAGTCGAACAAACCTCTGGAAAGTGCAAGTGATGCCGCCGCAAACAGGAATAAAACCCCAAAAAACATTATTTGCACTATCTGAGGGATTAAAACCTTCATTTGCTTCTTTTTCAAACAAGCGTGGAGGTCAGCAGAAGCAAGCGCCTGGAATTTGATGCGTTCGTTGAATTCTGCATTGTTTGCCTTCACAAAGAGAGCAAAAGGAAAGACCTGAAACCAAAAAAAACGCAAGAAAATGGTTTTATCCTTCTGTCGAAAATCAGTAATCAACTTCTCCAGTGGCAAGAGATGCTTTATCATATGAATGCAGAAATATAATTCATCTTCACCATGATCACACCTCATTCAGGTATGCTGAGAGAGCAGCTGTACTGAGATGTGCCGTGTTGGATATCACTCGAAGCCTTTCTCCTAGGCATCCAATTGCAAGAGCAATTACAGGAATCACCTGCAAAGAGCACCAATTTTTTTAAAAAACTCAACAAAGTCAGCCTGAAGGTGGAGCATCAAACGAGATATTTAGATTTCTTACCAAGGCAGAAATCATTGACAAAGAGGGGCTTATGATCAGCATCTGAGTTGCCATGGCTGATAACTGCAGAGTGCTGGGTACAATCGTCTGCGTAGCAAAATAGATGAATCAGAAGCAAGCGATTGAACAGCTGATGCGATCGCAATGATAATGCAGAACAAGTGATCATCACATTCAGAAGAGAGTACACAGTGTCTCCGATGTCCTCTGCCTCGGCCGTGATTCGGTAAGATATGTCCCCTGGTGAGATTCCATTTTCACCCTCGAAGAACCCTAAATCCCTCTGCAAAACCCTAGCGAACACATGAAACCTTATTCGGTATACGCAATTCAGAGCCGCGTCCCATAAGAACGCCTGTTGCGAATAATTAGCCACAATTCGAATCAAAACGAGAATCCCCAATGTCAAACCCTCGTTCACGAGGCTGTTTAATTTCGCAGCGCCCATAACGGAGGAGACTTTCCCAGCCAATGGCACGATTTTGGACAGCGAATATACGGAAATTGCACTGCAGAGCCATCCACAGAGAATCGACCGCCACTCGGATTGAAGATACGGTTTTAGCTCCGTAAGTGAAGCCAATTTGACAGGCGGAGAGGAGCTGTTCCTGGAGACGGCGCATGTGGAAGATACTTTTGGAGAAGCCAGGACCGGGAAACGTTGCGCGATCCGAGACTTCCCAACCCCACCATGGATGGAAACCTTCAACTTTACCTGGAGGAATGACAAGGAACCACACGAAGAGCACGGCGGCGGAAATTGGAGAAGTCGAGCCATTGATCACTTCTGAGAATGAATTAATGAGACGCCTTTGAATGTCATTTTCCTTTACATGAACAAAGCCAGAATTGCCTGTTGGAGTTACAGAATCTTGGAGAAACATTAATAATAATCATCAAATCAGACATTCTTTTTTTTTTTTTTTTTTTTTTGAGATCCTCCATTGTTGAAATTTCTAGTATACTTCAAGAGTTATTTTTATGTCAATAACTGCTATAACAAAAATTGCCCAGGAGACACACAAACACAAAAAAAAATTGCTGCAGGGCACACCGTTGTCTTCCCCTGTCATCACATCAAAGCCTGACGATCACTTTTCTCTGAGCTTTTTTGCTATGGCAAAGACTGCACCAACCACAGCCACGATGATCCCTGAGACGATGATGGAACTTTTTAAGTTCTGCAGGGCCTTGTCCTTCTTCTCACGATCTTTCCTTTCTGTCTCTTCCTTTCGTTCTTCATTTTGTTTCTGGACAAGTATTGGACTGATAGCGTTAGCTATCAATCTGAGTTCACTAACAAGCCTTTAAACACGCTGAAAATGTTCTTGCAGGTTGTTACCTGGACATCCTGAGAAGTTGCAACAGCTGAAGATACAGAGTCAACCTTGAAGTCCCGATTCATGCCGGGATTCAACTCATTTGGTGCATCGGCAGCTGGAAATGCTTCAGAGATGGACATGTTTGAATTAGCTTGGGGTTGTTTTGCTCCCTGTTCAGTTGTTTTGTGTTATTTTCCATCTGTTCCATTTCCTATAATTGTGTTTTTGGACATACAATGCATCACCCAACACCTGTCTGGTAAATCCCAGCAATGAGGATCTCTACTAATTTTAAATCTCCATGTTTTGTTTTCCAGCTTGCTCCTGGACAATAGCAAGCCTATGGATGAATTTATCCAGTTTGGATCTTTATAGCTGATTTTCAAAGTATTTTATGCATACATCATTTGAAAAAAAAAAAACAACATTCAATATTTTTAACTAAGCAAAACCTCAGGGTCATAAAATTTAGTACAACCGGGGATTTGAGGATACTTCAAAAAGCAAGAATTGTCCAATTCAATACAACTAAGCCCTACAAATCTGATAGCATCGAATCACAGTACAGTATTTTTATTGAGCTCTGTTAACAGGCTCAAGGGCTTCAACAGTTACCACGCTGTTTCCTCTGATGACCTGCAACACAATTTTATTGACTATGAGAAACTGTTTACATTCTTGCAACAATTTGGGACTGAAGACCAAATGACTCACCACCATGCCTATGTCAGTTTTGTCAGTTCCATTAACTTCAACAGTGTTGTCCACCACCAGGTTCATAAACTGATCGAAACCGCGAAGAGTTCCAACCACCATACGATTTGCATTAAGCTTTACTGAAACACAGTGACCGTCAATGAAAAGTAAAAGATACATACATCAGAAAAATAAACAACTGAACCCTACGTAGGAACAAAAGAATAGCACAGTAGAATAAGCAAGTGTCTTAGTATGTGTTCTTTGGCAGATTTTTCAAGATTTTTTACTATTCAATAAATTAGTGACATTTGAGAGCCTCAGCAGCATGGACCCTGAAACTATCATTGACAATCACTGCTTTTATCCAAGAAAAAAAGAGGTAGAATGAATCAAAATCAAGACTTTTTCTTCAGTTCCACCATATTATCACATCTCCATTCTCTGCTCACTCAAGCTTGAAAACACAAGTTGTACGGAATTTATCAATCTAGAGCAAACAAGACTAAATAACAAACTGCAAAATTTACATTCACGCGTTCAACTCTAGAGAAAATAGCAATCCAAATTAAGCTCCGAGAGACTATGCTTAGATCATAACCCAGCGAGCACTATATTTCAGCATTTCCCCCACATATTTCATAAATTTCAACACACAAGTTAATAAATGTAAAAGAACCAGGAAACCCAAAAAAAAAAAGGATTACAAACTGCAGATAGCCAAAAAAAAAATTGCCATTTTTTAGGGGAACTCGAAACACTTTTTCAACTAAATAATCATAAGGTACAATTGAGAACTTACTTTGTAGCTTCTTGTCCATGTACCTGTCAGTAGAACAGTAGCAAGTTTTAGCAATATGCTCCAAAATAAAAGGAAACAAATAAACCACTGCAATGGCTTGAAAGGCTTACTTCTTGAGATCCGGAGGTTGCCCCGATCTGCTCATGGCGAAATCCTACAGCAGAAGGAACAACAATAATCTTTAAAACCCTAAAGGTAGTAGCGAAAGCAGAGATCGAGAACACAAAAGCCCTAGCGCGAAGATTACGAAACATGGCCATCTGTTGCACTTGTTTTATATACCTTCCATGGGCCAATTGGGCTTTATAATGGGCCAGACATTAGATTAGATGGCCCACAGATTTGAGTTGAAGTATTACATACTATGTACAAACCCAAGGCACCGTGAGGGTATATCCGTCATTTTGCATAAATCCAAACGGTCAGATCCGATTGCCCTACTGGTTGCTCAAATTTTGAAATTTCAGGGTTCCCCGCTCCCCTTCCCCTTCATTTCTCCCTTTTCATTCTCAAAATTCTCACTCACCAGTCACCGCCACACGCAATTTTCCGGGACGGATCCGGCAAGAACACCGTCTAAGTTAAGGCTTGGCATGCGCACATCCATGTCGGGTCGGCACGAGAAGGATAAGGGGGTTAACGTGCAGGTTCTCCTTCGCTGCAGGTACTTTGTTACTTGCTACTCTGACTAGGGTTTGGTTATCTTCTCGACTTGTAGGATTTTCGTTTCATTCTTAATTTTTGAGATTTTGTAGGCCGTTCAGCGATGATGAGGTGCGGAACAATGCACCGCAGGTGGTGACTTGCAACGATTACCACAGAGAGGTCTCAGTTTCGCAGAACATTGCCGGGAAGCATATTGACAGAGTCTTTACATTTGATAAGGTGCTATTTTCCTTATATTTTGGGGATCTAAGTTGATCTTTTATATTACTGTTTCGGCTGATGTTTGCTTTGGTTGGTGTTACATAATTAATGAGAGCGAGCTAACATAATATCATGGAATCGTTTTTAATTTTGATACTCGTACGGGAAGATAAAGCTGTTGGATGGGTTCGTGCATTTCTATTATTATTGGAAAAAAGGAAAATGTGGGAGGGTAGGATACTGTAGGCTTATGAAATTGAAACTCAGTGATCTGAAATTTGCCTATCAACCAGGAGTGCGAATTCTCTGTTCTATCATCTTTGGATACTTGTTGCCTCCTTTTTTTATTAGGAGAATTTAACTCTCTTTATATGTTTAGGTGTTTGGACCTAATGCTAAGCAGAAGGATCTTTATGACCAAGCAATTGTTCCAATAGTGAATGAGGTTTTGGAAGGGTTCAACTGTACTATATTTGCTTATGGACAAACAGGCACTGGAAAGACATATACCATGGAGGGTGAATGTAAAAGGTCAAAGGTATGGATTCGTCATATGTCTTTTCCCAGATGTTCCTTTTTATCGTGTTTTTTTATTTGTCATGTTTTTTAACATATTTGTGTAATTGTCTATGTTGAAGGCTGGACCAAAGGGAGAGTTGCCGCCAGAAGCTGGAGTGATACCCAGAGCTATAAAGCAAATTTTTGATACTCTAGAGAGCCAAAATGCAGAATACAGTGTCAAAGTCACTTTCTTGGAGCTTTACAATGAAGAGATTACCGACCTACTGGCCCCTGAAGATTTGTCCAGAGTAGCTGCAGAAGACAAGCAGAAAAAGCAGTTGCCACTCATGGAAGATGGTAAAGGTGGTGTTCTTGTCCGAGGACTAGAGGAGGAAATTGTGACATGTGCAAGTGAGATCTTCACTTTACTTGAACGTGGATCTGCTAAACGAAGAACAGCAGAAACTTTACTTAACAAGCAATCAAGGTTCTTATTACACATTGGATGTCAATGTCTTACACAGTTCTTTGGATTTTCTGAAATTTAATCTGGACATGTTTTTCATCAGTCGATCACATTCTCTCTTCTCAATAACAATTCATATAAAGGAAGCAACACCTGAAGGGGAGGAGCTAATAAAATGTGGCAAATTGAATTTGGTTGACTTGGCTGGTTCAGAAAACATCTCTCGATCTGGTGCAAGGGAGGTAACTTCATGGAAAATATAAGGATTTTGTTTCAGTAATTTCTTTTATTACTTTTTTACAATGTTAAAATCCATCAATCAGCTTTATGCTGCTCCAAACCTGCTTCCAAATCCACCTTCGTATTTTTTTCTTCTCACTGGACATATTTTTACATGCTTCCAGGGAAGGGCAAGAGAAGCGGGAGAAATTAATAAAAGTCTTTTGACATTAGGAAGGGTGATTAATGCACTTGTAGAGCATCTTGGACATATCCCTTATAGGTCTGATCTCCCAAGATTTTACATATTCCTTCTTTTTAATTTCTAAATTATTAAAATATGACATCATGCCCTCTTCTCTTAAACAGGGATAGCAAGCTGACACGCTTACTCCGTGACTCATTAGGTGGAAGAACCAAGACCTGTATTATTGCCACAGTATCTCCAGCCGTTCACTGTCTTGAGGAAACACTTAGCACATTAGATTATGCTCATAGGGCCAAACATATCAAGAATAAACCTGAGGTTTGTTGCTTGTGATGTGTTGCTTTATATTAAGATCAGATTTTTTATGTTTTCTTGTTCTCATCCCTCTTTTTGATGCATAGATTTCTGCATATCTATTGCTGCTAATTCTAGGAGGTTATGTTGATGCTCTGTGGTAAAACTTATCATTTGCATTGTGATGATATTTTATAATTTTGAAGTTCTCATGGTTCTGCAAAGTTCAATTGAGATTAATCTACTAATTTATTTTTTAAAAATGTATCAGTTCTAATTGGGATTAGATAAAATGGCTGTTCAGAAATGGTGTTTTCTGCAATGATTAGATCATTAGAAACCAAATGAGTGGCTAATTTGGGGCATTGTTTTTGTTGAGGATTTGTACTTGATACCACCATTCTTTGAAATATATCCTTAAGATCTTCTTTTCCAACTTGTAGGTTAATCAAAAGATGATGAAATCAACTTTGATTAAGGATCTCTATGGTGAAATAGAACGGCTTAAAGCAGGTAAAATTTTCGCCAGTGATCTGCTGCAGGCCTATTCAGGTTTCTATTAAGAGCTGCACTATATTATATGGTGTTTACCCTCTCTATCTCTCTCCCAGAGGTCTATGCTGCACGGGAAAAGAATGGGGTCTATATCCCCAAGGAGCGGTACTATCAAGAGGAGAGTGAAAGAAAGGTGCTATGCACTTTAGACTCTATGACCCTTCAGCATGGGCTATCTTGTTCTTTTTATTGGTCCTTTTTATTTTGTTGAATGTATCTTGTTCTCATTTTATAATTGTTATTCAGGCAATGTCAGAGCAAATTGAGCAAATGGGAGTGACCATCGAAAATCATGAGAAGGTTAGTAAGCATGATGTTGTTTGCACTAGATGTAAATACGTCATTAAATTGCTCTGAAGATTAAATGTTTTTGAACAGAAAATAGAGGAGTTGCAAGCTAAATATGATAGTAAGGTTGAACAATGTACTGATTTGAGCAGCAAACTTGATGCTACCCAAGTAAGTTAAACTCACCATGGCAAGCAATGATGCAATGTTTTGAAGTTTATGTGTGCCTTACAAGCAGTTTTTTGCAGAAAAACTTGAACCAAACTAGTAAGTTGTTGGCTAGTTCAGAGGAAGAGCTAAAACGATGCCGATATTCGATCAAAGAGCGGGACTTTATCATATCCGAACAGAAAAAATCAGGTGAGTTATATCCTTTTACCAGTCAAATAATTGTTATATCCCTTTTACCAGTCAAATTATGGTTGTTCATGTGGTACCTAATATATATTCTTTGATTAAATGGTCAGAAAATGCACTGACTCATCAAGCTTGTGTGTTGAGAGCGGATTTAGAAAAACTGCAGAAGGATAATGCTGCTCTGTTTCATAAAATTGGTAAATCTTTCTGCTGTTAATTGTCTTCCTAATTGTTTGGATGGCAAAATGTTTGTTCCTACTAATTGTAATTTATCTCAGTGAGGGAAGATGTTTTATGCTGATAAAATATTATTGCATTTGCAGCCAGGGAAGACAGGCTTAATGCTGATAATAGGTTAACTGTGAACAACTTTCAAGCTGATCTTACCCAACAGCTTGATGTTCTTTGCAACCTGGTGTCTGGGTCGATTTCTCGACAAAATGAACATCTGCATTGTGTTGAGAATCTCTGTAATTCTTTCCTTGTCGAGCATGATAAGGTAGTATTATTGTTGTAATACTTTTCCTCTTCTATTTTCATTCGATGCAATGTGTTATGCTTTGCAGCAGTATTGGCTAGTTCTAAAAGTGCTATAAAATTATTGTTTCTTGAAGCTTATAATCCCTTGTTATTTTTTGTGTAGGCCTCCTTAGATTTGAAGAAGAAAATGCGTGCTTCAAGGACTTTGTATATGTCACATCTTGAAGCTATTCAAAATGTTGTTCGGCTGCACAAGACAGGCAGTAATGCTGCTTTGGATGAACTGTCAGCTCTGGCTTCTTCTAATTCACACTCTATTGAAGATGTAAGAAATACATAGCTGTCCATATTATTAGTCCCATTTGAGCAGTTTTGCCCATCAATCTTACACTTTTTAACACTATGTGGCAGCTATTAGCTGTGAGGGGTGCTGAAGTGAATTCAGTTTTTGATGATCTCCAGCAAGCTCTATCAAGCCATCAAGGAGAAATGGCTCACTTTGCAAGTGAGCTTCGAGAGGTTTGGATTGACCCTCTCTGTACATCTTCTGTCTTTTTGTACTCAGCATATTGACTTATAGACTTTTCTAGAGGTTCAACACTAGCATAGAGCACTTGGAAAATACGTCAGAATCACTTCTTGGATATGTTGATAAGCTACTGGAAGAATCCAAGAGGCTTGGAAGTCATGCAACTCAAGCTGATGAAGTCCAATCAAAATGCATTTCTGAATTGCAGAAAGTCTATGAGGTTGGTCTATTTTGGGGTTAGTTGTCAAGCTTAATGACGTATTTTCCAAGTTCTATAAATTTGATTGATATCTTTAGGAGCAGTCAAGGTCAGATGCAGAGAAGCTTATTGCAGATATGACAACCCTTGTCACTGACTGCATGCGTCGTCAGAAAGAGATGGTCTGCTTCAATGTGTTCCATTTTTTGTTGTTTTCCGTATATTTTCTGTTTTGTCCTAGTCTCTAATTTTATATGGTGACAGGTGGATGCTAGGCTTGGTGACCTCAAGGACACTGTAATTGGAAACAAGATGTTTTTGGATGGACATGTATCAACAATGGATGGAATTACAACAGATTTGAAAAGGAAATGGCAGGATAGTTTTATGCAAGCAGAAAGTAATGTTAAGGATAATGTTGACTTCTCAGCAGCTAAGCATTGTCGAATGGAATTACTTATGCATAAATGGTGAGAATCTGCTAGTTTGGTAAAGTTGTGTTGATTTTCTTCTCTTCCTGGGTTGCTTATTTGTCATATTTTGATGCATTTGAATTCTTGCGTACAGTTTCCTTAATATTTTCTTGATATCACTCTCTTTTGTTTTTTTTGTTTTTTTCCTTTCATTTTTGTACCAGTGTCAATGCTTCTGATGCAGCTTTGATGCATTGGAAAACAACACAGCAATCTGTGAATGACACAGAGAGTCAGCATGCATCAAATATTACTTCATCTGTTAGGTTTGGCTTCCTTTATTACATGTTAAATTTGAGATTATATCTGAGAATTCCTTTTCCATGGATGTTATTAAGTTAGTTTGCTCTCTAAAGAACTGACAATATCTATAAGCATCCAGCCTTTATGTGCAAAGTGCATTATGAAGCTTCATTTACTTGTTGATTTCTTATATTCAGAAACATGATGGAGATCAACGAGCAACATGACACTGAGATTGATTCTATGAGAGTTACTGTTGAGGAAGACACTGCAAAGAACTGTGAAGATCTCATTCACTGCTTTGATGGTTAGTTCGACATCATTATTCATATTTCAGTATCTGTTTTCTTTCTCTTTTATATATGCCATCCATATTAGTGGGAATGATATGAATTCTAGTTTTCTACTCCTATAAACTGCATTATAACTTGTGAAATCCTACCCCTATAGGCTATACCTTAGGAAAATTACATGGAGATTTATCAAATTTTTGTACTTTTGAAGACCTTGTTTTGTTTGTTCATATAAGTTCAATTGCACTGCTACTGCTATAATGTGCTCCTCGAATTTGTGTTTAGCTTCTCTTGATAAGCCTTGTTTTTGAAGCGAGACTGAGCCTTCCCTTGTGATTTTTTCTTCAATTTGGTATGTTTTGGGTTTGGCTTAAAGCTAAATCTAGCAACAGAACTTTACCATCTATTGTCTGGCAAGAAATTAATCTGTGTTTACTGGTGTTTATTGTACTTTAGAACTTTCATTTCTTATGCCATTTTAAATGGGATGTTTGCTAATGAATGCAATGCACTCATCATTTAATACTAGACTTGTTTATATTTTCAGCCTTGTCGGAGCGGGAGAGACTATCTGTTTCTGAAATTCGGACAGCATCCAGAGCTCATTCAGAAACAATTGACAACCTCAAGAGAGACCATACTCAGCAGGCAGCGTGTATTGAACAGCATTCCGTCAGAACATTTGGGCAAACATATATGGTATGCCCTATTTTAAATTTTCAGAACTATTATGTTTAGGACAATGCCGAAAATAATAGAACTACTTTGTGACTTAGCATTATATTCCCTGTTTAAAGGAAATCATATATAAGTTCAGCAAACATTTTATTCATTTACCCTAGGGCAATATCTTATTTACTCTAGTTCTACAATCCTCATTTAATTGCAATTATGCGGAAATATCTATGATAATATGACCATATCTCTTTCTTACTGTCGACCATTTTTTTGACAATGCAGGACTATGAGCCAACTGGCGACACCCCGACTAGACAAGAGGTAGATATCCCGAGCAAGAGCAGCATTGAATCGCTCCGTGCCTTGCCCATGGAGACCCTTCAAGAAGAATTTCAGGAAAATCATTCATTTGATTCACCTCAGGTGAAGGAGCTAAAGCCCTCCCTTATTCCTACTCCTCGGGCACCATTTTCACAAATCAACAGGCAACCTTGAATAGTCACACATATATATATATATATATTCTCCATACAATTTATCTCATCCTGTTCTTTTGTTGTCTCCCCAACCTGAAGAACTTCAATGATTGTGGTCAAGAGGAATGTTAATTTTCAGTCATGTTGTAGGCCATCAAGTTTGCAATAAACCCCCCCTCAGGGTTTACCAAGCTGTAAACTTCTCTTGCTGTTTTAATCTGTACCAGTAATGTAACGTCGTGCGTGCCCTTTTTTCAAGCCCTATATATACGGAAAGATATTATTACACCCTTGAAATCATTGAAACTACAGCTTCCAGAATCTTCTGTGTGCTGAAAATTGAAGTAGGGTCCAATTCTGGGCATTGAATACAAACAGTACTTCCAATTGCTAATAATCCTTAAACAACCTGGCCAGCTACCTAACTTACTTATATAAGTCATTGTACATGCACTTTACTGGTTCATCTCCTGAGGCTTGTTCATGCTCCAAGCTTTCAGATTATCAATTCTGACAGGTTGAGTTCCATTGTTGAATGCAAATAAATGGGCTTTGTCATGTAGTGCAAGAGATGGATAAACCCTTGATGTAATGACAGTCTTCCCTTCTTCCCCAAAGCTCTCCACAACAGAATGATCAATCTACACCACCATTACCCCCATCATAATTAAACACAATAATAACAACAATAACAGCATACCTGAAAACAGAGCAACTGTACCAAAGCCCTGAGAGAAAGAGTAGTTTCACTCAAGTCGACCCTTACGAACCCCCCAAATGAAGGTCTGTATGCATCCTTCCCATCCACCATTGAGGATCTCCCATCTTCCAATGTAGACCTGCTGACAAAACATCATCAAGACAAGATAAATACATATATCTGTCATCTGGAAAACAAACAAACTGTAAGAAGAGACCTAGATGCATCAGAGCACATAAGAACTATATGCTTGTCCTGATCTCTGAAAACTCTGTAAAAGACAGCAGTGTATTCTTCAAGCTTTGCTGAAGCCAATGTCAAGATCCCAAATGGTCCTAAACCCCCCGCAACAATCGACCCCTTTTGCGTACACAACTTTTCCGCATCATTTCTATCCCAACTTGGATCGAACACCTCAGCCTTTTCCAAACTCTCAAATGAGAAACTCACCTCAACATCAGCCTGCCATCAAATGGCACACAATCAATAACACGAAACAAATATACATCCATACACACATATATATATATGCAGCAGTACCTGTGCAGCTGTTATTCCTCTGATGTCCACAGATTCTCCCTTGCTAAGCATCTGGTTGTTCATTTCCACCTTATCCCCTCTCAATGTCTTCACTTCCTCAACTGGCCACAGCCTCAACTGTCTCCCATTCGGATCGAGCACAATTGTACGGGGGATCAGCTGAATACCTGCCCACCCCTTCTTGACATCATTCTCTGTGGTGTCTGATTCATTTGCCCAACCCCACAGAACCCTTCTCTTCTTTTTGGGATCAAAAAAGGATTTTGAGGCATAAAAGTTGCCGTAGTCGTACCTCAATCCATTCCGGCCGTCTACCATATCTGGATCAGGCACATATCTATCCCTCTCATTGTCATATGTACCTATGGTGTAATAATCATACCTGGTTTCATCCAGGCTTACTTTTAGGACATGCTTCACATCCGGACCTGTTGCAGATGTCTCCATCCCTGTCTCGCCATTAACCAATACAGGGAAGAAATCAGGGCACTCCCAATTCCCTGTCCATGGAGTAGAATGAAATGGACGTTTGGCCTTGGTCCAGTGCATGAAGTCCTTGCTCCTGTACAAATTCGAAATCCCCCGATCTTTCATCCCACTGCCTACTATCAACCTCCAGCATCCATCTCCGCCCAACCAAGCTGTTGTCGGGTCCCGGAAAGATGTCTTGTTGATAGATTCATCAGCAACAATCAAAGGGTTGTTGTCAGGTTTGATCCACACTTGAAGATATGGGTCTGAGAGGTTAGCAGGAATGGCATAGTTCTGAACCCCTGTGAAATTCTTGTCGACAATCCCTGTGTAGAGGATAATAGGCCTGTTTCCTGGGAGGATCGTGGCTGAACCAGACCAGCATCCGTATTTGTCAAAGGGCTTCGATGGATACATTGCATGCTCTACTCTTTCCCAGTTGATCAAATCCTTCGACACCGAATGAGCCCATACTATGTTGCCCCATACAGCCCCTTTGGGGTTGTACTGATAAAACAGGTGATAGATTCCATTGTAGTACATTGGCCCTGTTTCGAAGAAGATCAAGAACTTGAGATGCGAATGGATGCCTAAATTTCTTCAAAATGACAATTTTGAAAAGCAATACTCAGATGCTCACCATTTGGATCTGTTTTCAGTTTATTCATTGTGTGACGAATCCAGGCACATGAAAAGAAAACATACAAATCCGTCAGGGAAACTAATTCTGATTCCAATCAAATCAAGAACCAAAATTTTGTTGATATTGAAAACTAACTGCAAACATTAATCTGCAGTTATCCAAATAACATAAAATAACTCTACACAGTCCAAACTGTTGATTGAAGTTCATGGAAGAAGACACAAGACTAATTAAAGTGATACAGAATTACCATTGATCCAGTTTCGAGTGGGTTGAAAATGGTATCCAGTTCTGTGTTCTTGCTCGACATCATCGGCAGACACAGATTGCAGGCACTTGAAAACTGTGTGCGAGGCTTCGACTCCATCTCTGAACAATGCTGCACTGCAAAGAAGTAAGACGAACAAAATACAGGGAGTACTATTTTTTGAAAACTCCATCTTTTGATCTCTCTAAGAAAAATGAAAACTGTTTATGTGCCAGTTACGTACGTTATGATATATCCGAGGTTGCATGTAGAAATGAACACATGTATTATTTATAGGACAGAAAACTGAGTGTTAGTTCCAAAAGTGGGGGAAGTTAGAACCTTCCCCAGTTTTTCAAAAAATAAAAATAAAAATAAAATATGTTTGTTTTAGGGTTTAGATTTTGAATTTGAATATTAGATTTGAATTGTACTAGATGTTAGAAAATATAAAAATAAAAGTTTCATTTTGATATTTAAAAAAAGATCTCCAAATTATTGTTGTTATTAATTTTGTTAATAATTTGTCGAGATTGTGCATGAAATTGAAAGATCACATGAAGAAAAAGTGAGTTTCAGATAAAGTGGATCAGCTCATACACATAGGGATTTTGTTGAAGAATTCATTAATCTGAAGAAAGAATAATGCAGCAACAATTAATAATTAATATATATAGCTGTGATCAGTATGTTATGCATGGCGTATCCAACTCAAAATAGAAAAAATTTCTCTGACAAAATTTAAGCCCAAAGAGAATTATTACAGTGCAAGTCAATTTGCCAACATTTATATATATATATATATATATATCTTCTTTGATCACTGGTTCATGTTCAGTGGGCTGTTCATGGTCCAGGCTTTGAGCTTGTCAATTTTGACAGCAGCAGTGCCATTGTTGAAAGCAAACAAATGGGCTTTTCCATTTACTGCAAGAGTGGGATAAACCCTAGATGTGATCACTGTCTTCCCCTTGGCACCAAAGCTCTCCACCACTGAATTATCAATCTGCCAATAAAACCCACACATTATTAATGATGAATGATCATATGATCAGACAGTTTATATATGTAATAACTTTTAAACAGATGTGCAGGCCTACCAAGCTTCTTAAAGAAAGCTTCTTATCCTTCAAATCTACACGAACAAATCCCCCAAATGAGGGTCTGTATGCATCACTCCCACCCTCCATTGAAGACTTACCATCCATCAATGTCGACCTGGCAAAGAAAAACCAAATTAGAACAAATCTTCAGGACAGAATTAGGGCAGAAAATGTGGATTTTATGAAACCTGGATGCATCAGAACACATAAGAACAATATGCTTGTCATCATCTTCATCCTTGAAAATTCTGAAGAACACTGGAGTGTATTCCTCCAGGTGTTTAGAAGCCAAAGTCACAAGCCCAAATGGTCCTAATCCTCCAGGAACATTCGACTTCTTGCGGCTGCAAAGCTTCTGTCCATTGTGTTTATCCCAACTCGGATCGAAAGGCTCCGCCATGTCCAAATCTTCAAATGAAAACACCACTTCAACGTCGGCCTACAATCGATTTAATTAAGTTGAGTGAAAATGGAGTAGATAAAAGTGCAGAAATTAAAAGACAAAAGAAATAAAAAGACAAAAACCTGATTAGCAGTCACTCCCTTGATTTCAACCATATCTCCACTTTTGAGACTTGTTCTCTTCATTTCCACCTTCTTCTTCCTTAAACTCTCGATTTCCTTAATTGGCCATTGCAGCAGTTGTTTCCCATTGCTTTCAAGCACAATAGTCCGAGGAATAAGCTTAGAACAACATCGGAAAAACAAGAAAGCACAATCAGCACAACATCAAATGAAAACAAATTAAACTAATTGCATCAACACTACCTGAATTCCAGCCCACCCCTTCTTAATATCATGCTCCGTCGTATCCGATTCATTCGCCCAACCCCACAATATCCTCCTCTTCATCTTCGGATCGAAGAACGATTTCGAGGCATAAAAGTTGCCATAGTCATACCTCAAGCCTCTCCATCCATCGATAAGTCCAGGATCAGGAACATACCTATCCAAATCAGTGTTGTACGTGCCAATTGTATAATACTCATATCTTGTGACGTCCAAGCTCACCTTGTGCACGTGCTTCACATGCCGGCCGTCGGCGGAGACATCCAATCCATCCTTACCTTTAACGGACACGGGATAGAAATCAGGACACTCCCAATTCCCTGTCCCGGCAACCGAATGCAGCGGATGCTTGGCCTTAACCCAGTGGATAAAATCACGACTTCTGTACAAATGCGTAATCCCTCTGTGCTTCCTCCGGCTGCCGACGGCGAGCCTCCAGTGGCCGTCGCGGCCGAACCAGGCGGTCGTCGGGTCACGGAAGGATGTCTTGTTGATGGAAACGTCGGCGACGATCAAAGGATTATTGTCAGGTTTTATCCACTCGCGAAGATAGGGGTCCGACAGGTTCGCCGGAATCGCGTAATTTTGAACCTGGGTTTTGTCCTCGTCGACAATTCCGGTGTACATTATAATCGGTTTGTTTTCCGGCAGGACGGTGGCGGAACCCGACCAGCAGCCGTACTTGTCGAAAGGCTTCGACGGGTAAATCGCGGGGTCGAGTCTCACCCAATTGATCAAATCCTTGGAAACGGAATGAGCCCAAACTATGTTCCCCCAGACAGCGCCTTTGGGGTTGTACTGATAGAAGAGATGATAATAGCCGTTGTAGTACATTGGACCTGTCGGAGAAATCAATGACAGGAAATTAGGTTTAAGAAGTTCTTGTGAAAACGACGATGAGGCAAGAAAACTCACCATTGGGGTCTGATAATTGATTTCCATTGCATCATCCAGCAGGTTGACATGTAAAAGAAATTAAACACGTCGTTAAGAAGTCGATCCACAATCGAAAGTGTCTCGATAAGAACACAGAAGTCAACTTCAAAAACACATTCTTAATCATTGTAAATTTTCAGATTATAATTAAGTGTACTAATACACATACAATCATATGATACATCTGAGTTTAAACAGTTAACATTTTTTATATGTCAGTTCAATTCTTTACTTTTAATAAAAACTGGGTTTCTAATTTCTATCAGCAACCCTAAATCCCAATAGAGTAGAAAAAATTTGAAGAAAATGACGTATCACTGTCAACACAACACGTATATACCCCTAGAAAATTCATCATTAAGTTTTCATTTTCATCATCATATTGTGTACTTTTTGTTAGAATATGTAAAATGAAACTAAACTAATTGTCACACGTTGAAATTAGTTTCCAGAAATTAATCAGTTTGGCAGGCCTGCGATGGTAAAGCTCTTTACCAAATCACCAAAAATGAACACTCCAATTAAGATTACCAAAAAAAAAACATTTCTAAAACATTTCAATTATGCAATCTCACGAATTAATTGGGTTTCTTTGCAGATATTCATCATTTTTTTGAGAGATCACACATTTTGTGACAAACAAATAATCAAGTTCAAGTTCTTACCGTTGATCCAATGTTGTGGGGGCTGAAAGTGATATCCAGTTCTGTGCATCGTCTTCACGTCGTCGTCTTCGTCGATGGACATGGACATGGACATGGACTGGAAGTCTGAGAAAACACGATGGGATGCCTGGACGAGTCCCCCACCGCTGAACAATGCCAAACAAAACAGCAGCAAATACAACACGATCGCCATTGAAAGCACCTGCAACTTACCTTGGTTTTTACCAGAATGAATGAAAAAGAAGACAGAATAGAGTCTGGTATTTATAGACAAATGATGAATGAGATTATGGGCGATGAAAACTCCATATGAAATCTGTGCTTTTTTTCTTTTTTTTTTTTTTTGTTTCTGCATTCACTTTTTCTAATAAAACATGGGATTAATATATCTATATCTATATATATATGTATGTATATGTATGTAGAGATCGGATATTTTGGATTACTGGATAAAATTATATATTTTGAAAACTTGTAATTGTTATCGGGATTGAACTTTCACATTTTATCGTGGTAATTATTGATATATGTCATGGTGATATGCTGATAATTTACTGACTATACACGTAATCATGGAAACTTTGAAATTTGTATTGACTAAATCAAGTAACTAATTAACTGGAATCTTGGCATTTACCATATCCGATATTTCTCATAATTGTTTTTGCAATTTTACAAAATTGATTAATTTTAATAATTTTCATTAGCTTTGTAAATAACTCTCTCTCTCTATATATCTCTTTTTTATTGCCATAATATTTAGACAATATTTCATTTTTTTATATTATTACATAACACATGGATACTTTTTTGTTACTATTTATTTTAATAAAATGATTATAAATATAATATTGTCGCGTTTATATTTTTATTGAGAAGCATGCAAAATTATATAGCAAACAAATTGAAAAAAAAAAAAAACATAATAACAAGGCTAGTATGTATAGTTATAGTTATTAATGTGTATATATTTGTATTCTTTTAATGCTCTCTCCCCGTCTCAAATACCATGTCTGCTAGTAGATAATTATAAATATATTAGTGAAAATAATTATTCTATAATATAAATAATTACAAATTAATATTAAGATAACTAATTAGTTTAATTAAAATTTAAAAAAATTAAAAAAATTAATATGAGATTTAAAATTTCATCGAGAAATGATGACTGAACAGACTGAATATATAATTTATATAGGTATATATAATATCACAATTAATTTTGCACTTATATAAAACTATATGTCCATTCTAATATATAGTAGAGATTAAACATATTTGGTTTTCATTTCAAAAATAATTTTTTACTATTCAATTTGTTCTCGATAAAAAATATGTTTCATCCGTCTCACTTACTATGTCTATATTTTTTATTTTGGCATGTTTCACTTATTTTATTACTCTTTTTTTTAAAAATAAATTATATACTTTAATTTTGTTTAAATTTTTTAATTTTAATTAGACTAATTAATTAAGTAAATCTTAATCTTATTATTAATCTATAATAATTTTTATTATACGATAATTATTTTTACTAAGATATTTTTAATTATTTACTAATTATACCCCTCTTAAATTTATGTGTCTACAATAAAGTAAATCTATAGTCGAGATAGAGGAGTAATATATTCTTTCATAAAATATTAAATTGTAATAAGTATTGATCAATTCACATGCCATATTTACTTAAATTTTTCTTTTCATTTTTCTTTTAATACGAAATATTATGTTCAATAATTATTCTATTTTTAAAAAAATGCAAAATAAATTAATAATAGTGTTTCCCATTTTTTGACACACAAGAGTGAGTGACTAAAGCCATCTAATTACTGTAGTACATGAAATTTAATTATGCATGATTCAAATGAATAGTTTTATTTTATTATTAAAATATAGATATAAACATCCAAAATAATTATGCTACTTTCTTTGTGCATAATTGTATATATATATATATATATATTTTAAAAAAAAAAAAAAATTACAAAGGAAGTAGCATAATTATACTGAAAGAAAAAAAATAACAAGTACGACTTAGACTCTATATTTAGAAATTAAAATTGAATGTCACGTATATATATATATATATATATTATTGAAGTTACTTATTAAACTATGCCCACCCTTGCAGGTACCTATCCACATTGACAAGTATGTCAAACTGTAAGATATGACAAATAATATTCCACATATAAGTTTTATAAAAAGAACAAACTAAAAGAGATTAGTTTCAAAATATTCCAAAACAATAAATAAATAAATAAAGAGGATAGAAGAATATGGCAAAATAATATTCATGTACGTTACTTACACATAAATTTAAAATTGAATTATTTATCATTACAAACCAACAATCAAATTTTAGTAAACATTTAGCAAACCAATATTGTCAATCAGTAAAATCAGAGCACAATTTTTGAAATTTGCATATAAATTAGGGTTAGCGGTTGGCAGCCATTAATTCAGCCGAATTCAATTAATTAGCAGTATGATTTCGTGATAATTACTGATTAGTAGACCACTTCAAAAAGGAAATAATACTTGACATATATTCAACAGAATATTTACTATATAAAACCTCTCTTAAGAGGAAGCTTTTTAGCATTCATTATTTTAAATCAAACCATTGACTAGTCGAAATATGGCAACAAAATCTCTTCAGATCTTTAACATAAAAAAAGGAAACAAATAAAATGATCATTAACCCATGATGAATCACCACCATTAACCTTAATTGTTATGTAAGAAAAGACAACGTGTTTATCTCTTACATTATGTGCCCATTTTTAGAAGAAATTATTATTACATTATTTAATAATATTTGAATATGTTTGAAGATGAATGTAAATAGAATTGTTGGCATCAGCTTTTTGATGCCACTATGCAAAATTTTCTGATCAAGGTAAGGCAGGACAAGACAAGAAGCCCCTGCCCACCCACAAACAAAGACAACACAAAAAATTGAGACAAAATGGCAATCCATCATTTCTTGTGAAAGAGAACTCCACAAGTATCTCCATCTTGTAATTTGCCCCACCTTCCACTGTAATGAACTTTTTTCATACTGGGAATTAGTTGGACAAAAGATGGAACATCCAAAGATCTAAATAGATTGAGCCATAGGACACATATATGTGTATGTGTGTGTATATATGTCATCCCATTATAGTTTCTTTTCTCTCCATTATATTTAATGGCTTCTTTTTTTCTTGTTTGTTATATACCTACCTACCTGTAGTTTCTAGGCCATCCCTCCCTGATGAAGGCTTTTTTACAGAGGGGTGTGGAAGCAAGATAAAATATGGGCTCTCAGAATCTATGGCATATCACAACACTCCAAGAATAAAACTGCAAAATTTAATGAGGACCATTGGTAGTGGAATCATTAATCATGCTCCTACACAGAAACACATGTACACTTCTTAGTATGAAAGAGACATGGCAGAGAATACCTCATCCATAATGTATAACTATATATCTTCTTTGTAATAATTCTAGCAGGAAATCCCATCATTGCACACTTCTTAATTCATCCTTACATCATACTGTATGTCATCTACTTGGAAGGCCTACATCAAACTAATTCACAATTATGTATGTAGTTTCATTAGTTAATTGCATATATGTAGGAGCATGGTTATAATATGAAAGCCTCAGCAAAAGCATTATGACAGATTAGCCCAGAAGATGACTTGAAAAACAAAAATCTCAACTTAAAGAGTTGTCTAAAACATTAATCCATATCATTCCACTCATTGTGTCTTCAAAATAGATGTTCTTCAAGCAAAAGCATCATAATCATTGAGGTTTAACCAAAACATGTGAAAAACAAAACTTGCAACTTCAGAACAGCAATCCAACCATAACTGTGAACGGAGAACAGCAAAATGATAAATTAGAGCCTCCTTCCCCTTCTGCCACCCTTTCTGCGAGTGCTATCTGTTGGAATTGGTGTGACATCCTCTGAAAGGAAGTAAACAAAAAAGATTAATTCTATATTATATGTCTGAGAACAGGGGATTATATGGGGAAATTCAAACATAGAAGATGAATTTGCAAGCTACCTATGCGACCAATCTTCATGCCTGAACGTGCAAGGGCTCTGAGTGCAGACTGAGCACCAGGTCCTGGGGTCTTGGTTTTGTTGCCTCCGGTGGCACGCAGCTTGATATGAAGGGCATTAATACCCAATTCCTGCAAATACCATGGACTGGTTAAAACTCATAATCAAAATATAGAGAGCAATTTTGGTGGATCATATAGTAAACCTTGCATCGTTGTGAAACATCTTGAGCAGCAAGCATAGCAGCATAAGGGGATGACTCATCCCTATCAGCTTTGACCTTCATGCCACCTAAATCATAACAGAGGGCAGAATCAATTTTCTGAGGAGGAAATTATTAAACAAATGGTTGATCTCTTTAAGAATTGTAGGGAACTGGAAATCTGGTTGTCACTGAACAAGATTGACAAATGCATCCAACAAAACAAATGCCTCCCCTAGAGGAACAGGCAAGGATCTGTCTAATAAAATACTGCTTGCTCTAAAAAATTGTACTAGTAATTTCAAGAAATTAGAAGGTGCAGATGCCACAGAAACCATCAAACAAATTAGATGTTGACTACCATTTCATGTGAGTGAATGATTTGCTCTGCAGTCAAGAGAGTGGATAGACAACTTAAGGTTTGAAAGTGATTATAGGGTTTAGGGTGCAGTTATTCATGGATTTCATTGCATATTACAAAATTGATTCGATACATTAAACATGGTTGCATGCATAGTAAGAAGTATACATGCTTATCTAAGTAAATGTCAAGTAAAGTTTTTCGGAAACACTAGAAATCAGGAAATTCACAAAGAAAGTATGTTCCATTAAAAATAAATAAATAAATCAATTACTCATACCTGTAATGCGGACCATGGTTTCCCTTCCAGACAAGTCAGTCACATGCTGCGAGTAAAATGTCGGAGCAAGTCACCAATTTTTTTCAATTTGATAATATAATATATATATATATATATATGTGTGTGTGTTATTTTTATCACTTAACACTCACAATGAACGTATCATTGAAGGATGCAAATATGTGGGCCACACCAAACACAAGTTCACCATCCCTGGTGGCAGGTCCAAGAGTAACGTTCTCTTCCTTAGGCTCCCTGGTCTTTCTCCTCGACTATTCGAACAAAATGTATATAGAGTTAATACAAACTGCTAGAACTACCAATTGAACTATTACAAATAAGTTGGAAAACAATTGCTCAACGCTCCGCGTAAAATAATTGGTGGTAATCATGCAATACATTGTGACACTAAACAAGAATGTATAACCCTCATTTCCCTGAGATCAGCTAATGACAAACTACTAACGAAATTACCAAAAGTGCAGGATCAAGCTTACACACTGTACATAATATACCGCTACACCTCATTTCAAGAAATCCAAATAAAAATCCACCAATAATTTCCGTCCAAAAGACCATCTAAAGTTAACATTAAATCAGGTATGAATGTGGTGAACAACATAGCATCCATTCGAAGCAGGTGTAATTGAAGACCCAGAAAAGAAAAAGTGACGAAAACGGAATATCCAAACAAATCTAAAAATTAAAATACATACACGAATCCATCCGAACGAATACACATATAAGCAACTACAAAGCACAGCGTCATACAGATACAGAAACCGCACGAAAGAAGAATGTGCTTGAAAATGAAAATTACCATGACTTCGGATGCCGCTGCGCGTGCTCGAGACAATGCGGTGCTGCGTTCCCAAAACCCTAATTGCCGAGGCCTTGGAAAGAGTTGAATTCTTGGATATATATATATATATACGCACACACCTAGGTTTTCTAAGCTGAAGCCCAATACGAAGACATAAACTCTAAGATAATGGGCCTTTCCTAATAGTGGGCCTAATGGGCCTCAACCCTAAGAACCGTAATGGAAGTAAAAAAATAAAAATTTGACAGCTGTGGGATTTGAACCCACGCCCTTTCGGACCAGAGCCTAAATCTGGCGCCTTAGACCACTCGGCCAAACTGTCATGTTTGAGATGTAATTAATGTTTACTTTACTTATAATAATTTATAATTATGCATTATTTATTTGGATATTGCCTGAAACATAACATACTACTCCATATACTATAATGTAAGACATAGGGCAATAATTTCAATTCTCCCTGAACAATAAAATAGATTTCGAAGACGACATTGATTGAATTAAGCATAGGATGACGATGCTATTGCAACACACTTCTTTAAGGCAGCTAAGAGGCTTCTCATGATCCTTGGCTCTCCTGGAGGTACCTGGTTGTTCTTGGGGCCCTTCCTTACAGCCCGAAACATGGGACCTGAACCATCCCTGGCTGGAAACACCAAGCAGTCTATGTAAACCAGCACTTCTGGCTTGTCTTCTTCGTTCATGCTGATGAACCCAAGTCTTGCTCCTCCTCGGATTTTATCCACCTGCAATTATACATACATACATTATATATATATATATATATATGAGTGTGTGGGTGGAAGTTAGTGATGACTGATGAGTCGTCAGTTGATCAACGTACGTAATTACCTTTAATGGTGCTGGAAGTGGCAGATTAGCACCTTGGCATAGGCTGTTTCCCCACTGCAATTAGACCACCACTCACTCACACTTGGTTAGTTAGTTAGTTATAATCATACATTAATAAGCCCTAATTATATATATGTAATTGATAGTTTAGATTATACCTGAAAGAGGAGGGTTTCGAATCTAGCAAGATCGGTGTTGGAGGGCAATTTCAGGGTTCCTAAAGAAACCCCTTTTTCTGCTTCTTCTTCGTTTTCAGCAGATGGAGGAATGCCATCTGGTGATGCTGCTGCTGCTGCAGGTTTCGACAACGACACATGAAGTTTGCTGCTATTTGGAATCATTAGCAGACGACGAGTATTAGTAGTAGGGAATGGAACTACGCTACTGCGGGTTGTGAATGGTGACGATGATGATGATGATATTGAGGGCTTCTTGCATACTGTTTCTGCTGGGCGTGAATAACGTAATTTAGCATAATTGGACAGTACTTGTCCGCCGCTGCCCATGGAAGAAGAAGAAGAAGAAGAAGCCATGGGTGAATGTTAGATTGGGTGAGTAGCAGTGGCAGTAGGTGTGCATCGAATCGATTGATCGGATTATAATTTGTGTGGTGCTGCTGAGCCTGCCTGAGACTGGACAGGGAGGAGGAATTCTTGATCTTGGATGTGGATAGAGTTGTCCAAACAACTCTTGCCTCTGTGGCCCCACCTCACCTCTCCTCCTTCGATTTCAACTGTAATTTTAATTTTAATTTTAATAATATGTTTGTTTGTATGTATGTACGGGGTTTGAGCATTGACTCGCTGTCCTTTGGCTTTGATTTCGTGAAGTCGCGTTTACGAAAAAAATTAATTAATGTCTGTGGCGACAACACGCTTTCCACTGCTCATTTCTATGCGTACCTCTCTCTCTCTCTCTTAACACAATATACATACAATACAAACACGCATATTGAATCGTTTTCTTTACCAACACCAAAAAAGGAATGTTTTAATGGTTGCCTTGGCTCTCGTATTTTCAATTCATATAAGTATTTTTTTTTAAAAAAAGTTAGAGTTTCAATGACAATCTTTTACTTTTTATGTTAGATATTATATTAAATTAATATTTTACTAGTATTTTTTCTAAATTGAACTCCAGTTTTTTTTCTATGGATTTATTTGGTTTGTACTTAAATTTTTTAAAAAATAATAATAAATTTAATTGATATTTAATTATAACTTTACAAAAATGTATATACAATAGTTATCGAAATTTGTGTGAATTAAACAGAAAAAAAAATAATAATAATAAAAAAATTGAGTATAAACCAACCAAACCCTAATAGGTGTTTTCATATTACAACATGGGAATTCTAATTCTTCATCAACTTCTATATGACAGACAGCCATCGCTAGTCACTACCACTGTCTTTTGTTTTACATGGACATCCTGGGATTTGTTTGTTCAGTGTCTTGATTTAAAATTTTTATTTTGCAATTCATATTTTAATTATAATATTTATTTTTTCATTTATGAAGTAGTGCTGGATTTAAATCTAAGCATAGTGTCGGTAGGAATGGATTAAGTAATAAATTCATCAACTTTGAAGATAAGCGAGGGACGTCACGACGTATTAGGGATTTAAAATATTCATTTTATGAAATGGAATGCATTTTTATTTCAATAATTGTTACCTATCTGAATAGGAGCAAATTAAAATTTTAAATAAATAGACCTAGTTTGGGAAATAATATATATTATTTCAATAAATACATCTCACATAAATTGATTTCGAAGCAAAGTAAGTTTGTTAGTAAAATAAAATATTAAAATTTATTGCTATTACTGGAAAGTATTAGAACGACAGTAATAGAAGTGGAAATAATTAAATAGAAAAAATAATAATAATAATAATTTAATAGAAAGGCTGGAAGAAGAGAGGCGGAAGTATAGTACTAATATTATTAATTCAGACTTTTCCATTCTTCTTCTCCTTCCCCAAAAGGCAGTGGCAATTCTGCAATTGAGGTGAAACCGAGGGGCAACAATCGAGGCGTCCTGACAACATATGGCGCCGTTGTAGCAAAGAGACGGAGCACCAGGGGCTCAGTATTTGGGAGACACCAAACCTCGCTGTCGCCGCCCCTAGCCCGCCTGCCTGAATCCTTCCACTGCGTCACAGACAAGTGCCACAGGCATAGGCGCCGTCATGTGTTGCAGGTTGTAGGTGGGTGCAGCGGGGAGCATTGAGATCAATTCATAGTAAGTGGTTGTTGTTTCTAATCGGTGCTTCTTTCGTTTCTCTCTAGATTGTTTTGGGGATTTTGTGGTTTTGATATGATAGGTTTGCAGTTTCTTGAGTTGCAAGAACTGAAATTTGTTTACTGAAAGGCACTTTTGTGGGGGATATTCTGGAATTGCGGTCGCGTTACGTATTTCAGTGAATATTGCTAGGGTTTTTGGTTTTAGTTACTGGGGAATGATTAGTTGGGAAATTTATTTTGACGTCAGTTCAGGACAGATGAAGGTTTTTTTAGGTGTTTAAGCAGGTTATTCTTAAATGTTTCAAATCGATAGGTGGGCACCTGAAATCGTCATGAATAGCTAAACTTCTAATATGCCTCACAGGTTTAGAGCTGTGATAGCTTATTTCATTAGATTTTGCGTACTTCTCCTATTGTATGTTGGTATTTATTTTTGTTTAGGGGGCATCCTAAAAGTCTCCTTTTGAAATCATATTTTTTGTTTACTGTTTGGCGCGCATTCATCTTGGTACCGGATTATCTTCCCGTACTTTATGTGTTAAAATTCGAATTTATGACTCTGGTTTTCCTTTTAGAGTCCTCCCTAGTATTTTTATCTCTACAAGATGAATTTCATGAGCTTCAAGAGTTAATTTTTTTTTGGGTTGTGTTTTGTTGATATGGCAAGAATGATGCCCTCAGTTCTTAACAGTTTTAAATTTGTTACATTCCCTTATTCTGAATCAATTGGACTTAATACTGTGAGTTTTATGGGTTTATGTTTCTTATTCTTTATCACTTGATTTCAGAAACCTACTCTCTTTGTCTAATTAGATGGGTTCAGCAGAAAAGGATAGTGACAGTGAGAAAGTGGGGACCTCACAAGATGTTAATGCTTTGCTAAAAGGACCGCCGACAGCTGGAATTAGTCCCTCGGGCGAGAGCTCCCCAAAAACGAGTATTGAAGGGATTGATGCGTTATCATATGCCAACATTTTGCGCTCTAGGAACAAGTTTGTGGATGCCCTTGCGGTCTATGGGAGTGTCTTGGAGAAGGATAATGAAAATGTTGAAGCTCTAATTGGTAAAGGGATATGCTTGCAGATGCAGAACTTGGGAAGGCTTGCGTATGAGAGTTTTGCCGAAGCCATCAAACTCCAGCCTGAAAATGCATGTGCTCTGACACACTGTGGTATCCTATATAAAGATGAGGGTCGATTGGTGGAGGCAGCTGAGGTATGCTTGCACTCATTCATCCAATTTGCATATCTAACTTAATAAATGCTGTGAAAACGATTTTTCTGATTTTGTAGAAAATTTATGCATGTCTACCTTGAAATTGAACGCCTCTGAGATTGAAAACTTTAATATGGGCTGTAACGTTTTATGATGAGCCTTGTCTGCACTTATAACATCAAATACAAACTCATATGTGCCAGTTTTTTTATTTTGTTTTTTTGCTCCCGTTCGAATGCATATATTTTCACTTCTGTCTTTGAGCTGAATAAACAATATTTTTAAGTCTTATTTAGCTAAATTAAGGGAATCTAGAAAATGCATGGATTCAATAATTATTTGTATTCCATCTGAACTTATTTTTTTTGTCATACAAATATATATGTATATAATTTTCATCTCCCCCCCCCCCCCAAATAAACGTTGCTTCTATTTTCATTATTTACTTAATATGCATGAAAGTGTGAACATACATCATATGTTGGAGTTACAACTGCGTTCTGTATTTTATCCATTTGTATATCCCCATTTTGGTTGGTTGATAAAAACGGAAGCTTTGGTGTGCTGGTGTAGCTGTTCTAATTGATGATTTGTCGAGATATGTCCTACAAGCTTCATGTCATTTTATTGAGTTTGCTTTTGTGCAGATGTATCAGAAAGCTCTAAAGGCTGATCCTTCCTACAAGCTAGCATCAGAATGCTTGGCAATTGTTTTGACAGATCTGGGGACAGGCTTAAAGCTTGCTGGTAATACTCAAGACGGAATTCAGAAGTATTATGAGGCTATCAAAATAGATCCACGTTATGCTGTAATCCCATATTACCCACTTTCCAGAATTGCATATCCTGTTTAGTTCGATATGGTCAAGGTATTTGGATTTTGATGTGTCAGCATAATTTGTGCAGCCTGCTTATTATAATCTCGGCGTTGTCTATTCGGAAATGATGCAATATGACACAGCCCTTAGTTGCTACGAGAAAGCTGCAATAGAGAGGCCTATGTATGCTGAGGCATATTGCAACATGGGTGTCATCTACAAAAACCGTGGGGATTTGGAGTCTGCAATCGCTTGTTATGAAAGGTGTTTGGTCAATTATTGATATCTCATAACTCACTGCTTTGGCATATTTTCAGCCATCTGATGCATTGTGACCTGCTCACATGCAGGTGTCTAACTGTCTCTCCAAATTTTGAGATAGCCAAAAATAACATGGCTATTGCCTTGACTGACTTAGGCACAAAGGTTGGTCTTCAATTATATTTTTTTGTGGTAACTTGCCTTTACACCTTACCTTACTGCGCGCACACACACACTCATATATAGTGGAAAGTATCACATATCACAATTTGTTTCCTTACAGGTTAAATTGGAGGGCGACATAAACCAGGGCATTGCATATTATAAAAAGGCTCTCTGTTATAATTGGCACTATGCTGATGCCATGTACAACCTTGGTGTTGCTTATGGGGAAATGCTGAAGTTTGACATGGTATTTAATATAAAGACAAAATTCCTATTTGATTCTTTTATCTGAAACAACCACATAGTAGAATATTTTCTTGTGAGTGGTTCAAAGTGGATTCACTCATCTTTAATCAGTTCTTTTATTTTGCAGAGCATGTTTACCTTTTAAGTAATATTCTTCCATTTGCTACTGCTTCTTTTGCGCACTGGAATTGTCAGAGATAATTTTGTCTTTAGTGATCTCGTGGAGGAATTTTCCTGTTTCACACGCACTTTTTTACAATATTTTTTCTGTGACACCCTACTTGTGCAGGCACTTGGATTTTATTAACTTGCATTCCATTTCTATACCCATGGCTACATGTTTATTTTTCCACCTTATGACATATTTCCTTGTGCAGGCAATTGTGTTTTATGAACTCGCATTCCACTTTAATCCCCATTGTGCAGAGGCTTGCAACAATTTAGGGGTTATTTATAAGGATCGAGACAACCTTGATAAAGCAGTAGAGTGTTACCAGGTAATTTTGTAGCTTATTATATATAAATGAATTGTATTCACCATTTTTTTGCTGATAAGTTTTTTATGTATTGACAGTTAGCATTATCAATTAAGCCTAACTTTTCCCAATCGCTAAACAATCTTGGAGTGGTTTACACTGTTCAGGTGCTTATCTGTTGCTAGGCATTTAGTTTTTGCACTTACGATCTTTACAGATGTGTTTATCTTTATTTATGTACAGGGCAAAATGGATGCTGCTGCGAGCATGATAGAAAAAGCTATCGTCGCAAACCCGACGTATGCAGAAGCATATAATAACTTAGGTCTAGTCTTCTCTGTCTGTTCCCTATCTAACAAAATGTGCAATATCTTTTCGTTTCTCTAATGAATTTCTTAACTACTGCTATATGATCATTGGAGGACTTAGTATATGACATAATGCATCTTTTTGTCATCTAGGTTTTAACTTCCAGTTGATTGGGTAAAAAATCGGGAGTCCTGTGTTATAATTGCTGCTGTCAATGATTTCTGAAAAATAATTTTGTGTAGAACTTGATGAAAGGATCTTGCCTGCATATGAATGGGTGGCAGAGTTGAAGGAGTCAATATATAAATAAATTCATCTCCCTAACTTTTTTGGCATGATGGACATATCAATTGTTTATGGCTTCACGCCCATCCTTTGTGATTTAGGTGTGAAGAAAAATATGAAAAAAGAAAAAAAAAAAAAAAAAAAAAAAGAATTTCATGCCAATATAAGTATTTCCAAAGGAGGGTACCAAAGGAGTGGAACGGGGAAGGGTTGAATAACACTAGAATTGTTGAGATTGTTTTCCTCTTTAGTAACTTAAGTAAATAAATTATCTTTAAGAAGTATTATTATGAAGATTGTGTCCTTATCAAATGGTAACATAATAATGTATTCGAATCAATGGGTAGGAGTTCTGTACAGAGACGCTGGAAACATTTCTCTAGCAGTGGAAGCTTATGAGCAGTGCCTCAAAATAGATCCAGATTCTCGCAATGCAGGCCAGGTATGACATCCTTTGTGATACTTGATCTCAGTTCATCCTTTGCACTTTGAATATATTTCTACCATTGGTTAGGTAAGTGACAACTTATCTTTATAAACTTTGATTATAGAGTCACTTTCAATGTTTAGCAATTTATAGCACAGACAATTTATCTTTAGAAACTTTGATTAGAGTCACCATCAATGTTTATCTCTTTATAGCACATCTTTATAGCTCACTCTCTTCTCTCTGTTCAAACCTCAGGTTCTCATTACCCTGAATACTTTTATCTTCAGTCACTGTATTCATCAAGTACTATGCGTTTTATTGTGTGAATTGGCTGTGTGAAATATAATTCAGGTGCTATTATTACATTTGTTGCCTCAAATCATTTGTGGTAATCTAACAGTTCTCCTGGTGTTTTACACCCTTATTGCTATTATCCTCCAGTCCAATACCAGGACAGGGGATACCTGAGGTAGCAAATAAAAGTAAAATAATTGCCGCATTGTTCTTGCCCTTCATTGCTTAGTTGAGGTTTAAGTACCCAATAGTATCATTTTCTAATTGCAACACAAGGATTTTTTATTTTTATTTTTATTATTATTTTTTTATAATAATAATGATAAAACAATTATATTATTATCATTTTTGTGGGATTAGTGTGGAAAATAAGCATTTGGCTGCTTCAATTTTATATTGTACTAATATATTAAATTGGCTTGACACTTTTTTGGGTAATCCGCTCAAGTCCTGCTCTTATTTCCTTTTTGATTGAATTAAAGTGGATTCTTATGTTTACAATTTGCAGAACCGGTTGCTTGCAATGAACTACATAAATGAAGGCAATGATGATAGATTATATGAGGCTCACAGGTCAAGCTTTTGACAGTTTATACTTTTTACTTTCACCATGAACCTGGATTCTGAAGTACTTGCTTTTCAACTTTATAGTTTGTATAAAAAGTTGATATCATGCAACCAACACTGGCATGTATGTTATTTTTGTTAAGTTTAGTGTTTATGCCTTCAAGCATGCACATGTCTATCCGTTGCAGGTGGGAGTGAATCTTCTGATTTAGTTTTAAGTCGGAAAGAATTGTATATTCCGCTTTGTATTGCTGATATATAGTTTGTTATATGATAGAAGCTTGTGCATTGGATGCAATGTTGCTTAATGTTTTTAATGTATGTGTCCGTGCCTCTTCCACTCCATTGGTTCTATTTTTTTGTGTTTTTAATGCATTCACGTTATTTATAGAATAATATAGGAATAATTTATGTTTCACTGATCAATTTCATATAAGCACCTGACAAAACAAATTATATACCAGTGCCATTTTGTTTATTTATATATTTAAAGGACTGATTAGTATTAACTATTATCTTGCTTATATAGCTTCACAATTTTATTTTATTTTTTTAATTGATTACTTGACTTGGATTTCTGATTACAGGGACTGGGGCAGGCGCTTTATGAGGTTATTTCCACAATATACTTCCTGGGATAACATTAAAGATCCAGAAAGGCCACTTGTTATCGGATATGTGTCTCCTGATTATTTCATTCATTCCGTGTCATATTTCGTCGAAGCACCACTTATATATCATGACTATGCAAAGTATAAAGTGGTTGCTTACTCAGGAGTTGTGAAGGTAGAACAACAACTCAATTTATTTGTTTACTCACCATCTTGGTTTCTACCCTTATGCCAATTATATAGAAAGTGCAACCACTAATTTTACTGGAAAACATTGATGTTCGAGATTAGTTATAATCTAGTAATCTTCCTTGTGTGGCATGACAGGCAGATGCAAAAACTAATAGATTTAGAGATAGAGTCTTGAAGAGTGGTGGAATTTGGAGGGACATTTATGGTATTGACGAGAAAAAAGTGGCAAGTATGGTAAGGGAAGATAAAATTGATATCTTGGTGGAACTTACCGGTCATACTGCAAACAACAAATTGGGAATGATGGCTTGTCGGCCTGCTCCTGTCCAGGTATTTCTTACATAAAAATACGCTTTCTAAATGTGTTAAATGCATTTCTTCTAGCAGTACCATATGCATTTACAAAAATGTGTGGGTGTGTGTTTGTGTGTATTTATGTATGTATGTTAGAGGGAAGACCTCCTATTCTTTAGAGTTGGAGTTTTAAATGCTTAGCCAAATTGAATTAGGTTCTTTACATTGGCGAGGCCCTATTTTGTGGTTGCTTGAAAGTTTTTTCGTATTACAATTTGTATAGAGTGGAACCTGTTGAGCAGGTGATCTTTTTAAATGTACCTGTATGTAAATATTTCTAGGCCTACAGAATACTTATATTTTCAGGTTTGCCTTTACCATAAAATTTAACTGAACAATCAAGGACGGAAGAGCTCACCACTTTTGATAGTTTTTGGACCATCCATGATGACAAGCAACATGTACTTATGTTTTTACGGGTTGATGTTTAATGTATTGGCTTTGTAGGTGACATGGATTGGTTATCCAAATACAACTGGTTTACCTACCATTGATTATAGGATATCTGATGCATTGGCAGACCCCTCTGATTCAAAACAGAAGTAACCATTTTTTGGTTCTTCATTTTATTTATTTCTTTCTATCTTCATAATAAATGTTTGATCCTGCTTTAGATGAAGTTAAGCTTATATAATACTTTCTGTTGTTAAACAGGCACGTCGAGGAGTTGATTCGTTTACCGGATTCATTTCTGTGCTACAGTCCTTCACCAGAAGCAGGGTCAGTGTCTCCAGCACCTGCCCTAACTAATGGCTTCATCACATTTGGTAGCTTCAACAATCTGGCCAAGGTATTTAGAATATTAAATGTAGTTAATTGTTGGCTGAGGCAAAGATTCTTTGTGCATGCCCAAATTATCTAAGTTTTAGCTCTGTATTTTGGCGTCATAAGTCTTGTTATCTAATTGTTTTCATGGTAAAATTTTCAACCAATCAGATAACGCAGAAAGTGTTGCGGGTCTGGGCAAAGATTTTATGTGCAGTTCCAAATTCACGGCTTATTGTCAAGTGTAAGCCTTTTTGCTGTGATAGTGTGAGGCAACAATTCCTCTCGACACTTGAGAAATTAGGATTGGAACCACTTCGTGTTGATCTTCTGCCTCTGATTCTTCTCAATCATGATCATATGCAAGCATATTCTCTGATGGACATAAGGTAAATTGATTTTATGTTTCAATATGATTCTTGGATGATTCTTCCCTTAACTTTTAGTGTGGTTGAAAATTTTGATAAATAGTAACTTTGTGCTGATTTGCCTCTAAGCATCAAATATGCCATCTGTAGTTAGTTCTGAGAAAGGTGGTGATACAAGTCTTTTTCATTTTCATGGCATCATGAAAAAACTTATCTGATTAGCTCTAGCTTCTACACCTGACACTGGACTTATCTTTTATAAATATTATTGTCATACTTCATCTTTTAACTGCAAAAAACCATTCTGGAAGAAGCTTGATCATACTAGCCAAATCTACAACTCTTGTGACAGTAATTATTCTCAATCACTAGATTTTTGAACATGCTTTACAAGGCTGCTCTTTGTATTTGTAGCTTGGATACTTTTCCTTATGCTGGGACAACTACCACTTGTGAATCTCTATACATGGGAGTCCCATGTGTCACAATGGGAGGTTCGGTACATGCTCACAATGTTGGTGTCAGTCTCCTCAAAACAGTTGGTATGTAGTTTCTATCTTTTCCATCTGGGAGAGTGAATTCTGATCACTGTTCAATGACATTTCAAATAGGTTAAATTTCTGAAAATCCAAATAATTGCATTATTGCATACTATTAAAATTTTCGGCCTACAGTAGTATCTGCTTAGAGAGAAAAAACCTATGCATATGCAGACAAGTTTGAACTTTGATTGTAAGATACGTGAATATGTTATCCATGCATCAAAGGCAGGAACCAAGAATGTAGAACTATGTTGTACCCTACAAGATGTGATTGAAAATGTGGCCACAATTTGCTTAAGTGATCACAAGATCAACTAAACCTAGACATATAGGATAGCAGAATGCACTCTAAGTCTGTAACGTAGGTATATTGGTCACCTAGCTGATGAAGTGGTGGTTGATGTTTGAGTGGAAGATACTATAATTTACTTGGGTGGCTTGATCCCTTTGTCCCATGTCCGCGCAACTATCATGCCACAGAGACTGGATATATTGATGATATGTGGTAGCTCCATCAGGATAACCGTAGACTTGCAGCTGCAAGAAACAAGAGTGTCAGAAGACCTTGCCCTGCAGGGTTAGTGAATACTTTGTTCTGTAGAGAGATATAACTTAAAAAAGGAAGAGTAAGGTCATAGAAGCAGATAGAGACCTCTTAAATGCAACTAAAGAACACCATGAATAGGATATAGCTCAGAGAGAAAACAAATAGCTCATAATGACAGTAGAAGTTCAATCTGATATGGAGTGCTAGAAGCAGTTAAGTAACCAGAATGGTCTCATCTCTTATTCCATTACATCTTTTGGCCAGAAGAACCAAGGAGGACCATTGCCAATTCCACCTTCTTAGGTAGGAGCAATGTCAATATTTTCTATGTTGACATTTTTGCCAACATCTTTTGTGGATGCAAAAATGTTGAATATTTTATATTTCTCTTATAAGATACTTGGCAATCCTTTTTTCTGTGTTAAAGTTACTAGCATGTATGTACGTTGTTCACACATAATTTTGCCGAAGATTTTTTGGTGTTAGGACAAGTAGAGACCGTCTATAATACTTCTTTCTTTTTCTTTTTCTTTCTTTTTTTCAATATTTTTTTCAATATACTGTGTTGCATGGCTGGATTTTGACCACATCTGAAATCTGTTTATGGCGAATGTACATACAGGATTGAACAATTTGGTTGCCAACAACGAAGAAGAATATGTGGAGCTAGCCCTGAAGTTGGCCTCTGATGTGAATGCCCTCTCAGACTTAAGAATGAAACTGCGAGATCTCATGCTCAAATCTCCCCTGTGTGATGGATCTAAATTCACTCGCAATCTGGAATCAACATACAGGAGTATGTGGCGGCGGTATTGTAATGGTGATGTGCCATCCTCGAGGACCATGGATCAACTACAGCAGCAGCAGGGCACAGCAGAATTGGTTGTGAGAGTTGCTGAACCCAGTATGATAACTACTACTAGAGATGGCTCCAACGGAGGACCAATCATTGCCAATGGATTTAACCCCGGGCAATCATCCTCGTCAAATACTTTTCAAGGAGAAGAAAATGGATCCCTGTCGAATCAAACTGCTAGCAGCTCAGGCAAGTTGAGTTGAGGTTCCTTCACTGCTTAAGTTAACGCCTATTAACCGTTGTACCATACCGCATATTTGAAAGGCTCTAAATGCTAGATTGCAAACCACTAGGGGTTTGGTGGCATTATTGGCATATTTGGGGTGATATTATTATGTATTGGATGATCCTATATATACCATTTAGGGAGCATGCAAATATGCAATATGTATTTTGATGAAGATATCAAATCTAGCTCAGAAACATGGGATGGTAGCAGTATGGGCTTGTATTAGTACACTTTTTTATTTTTTTTTTAGCAACATTACCCCCCTTTGGCTGGGGTGTATTGGGTTTTGGCAACATAAAGGTTGAATGAAAGTCTATTAATAGTGGAAACATGAAACAGTTGTGGACTTTCATCATCATCGTCCAATCATTCCTCTGTATTTCTTCTTTCAGCTTAAATATGGTGAAATGGGGCGAAGGAAGATTTGCATCTGGTGTGGATTAGGTCTTTCATCAGCCAAGTGGCCACTTCTTAATTTTCTCATCCATGCAAGATTATTTATGTTACCTGAATGGATTAGGTTCTTAAGGATTCTTGTTTGACTTCTGCAATGTCATCAACCTCTCTATCACACAGAGAGTTCCATCATATTCAAATCCAACAAGACTTGCACTGCATTACCCATCTGCCCCAACATGATCTAAAATACAAATGACAACTAACTCTTCTTGCTCCACCATCTCAACTTTTTATTGTTCATAATCCCAAACTATATATATATCAATCATATATGTATTGAATGCTTTCGCTATTCAAAATCCCACCTCCAACACAAACGCCCAATCCAGCAAAAATGCTTACCCAAATTGATTAGCTTTTGTATGTTTCTTTATCCTAACATGGAAAGAAGCCATTCGGATTTGGATTTGGGCAATGTTGAAGTTGCAGAAACCAGCAGAGATAGGAACGGCAAAGCGCCCCTTCTGGGCGGAGTCGAGAATAGTCCGGCGGCAGAGGCCGGCGTAGGGTGCAAAAGGCGCGTCGCCATATCCGACCTCATCTTCAGGATCAGCGCCGCCGCTGCAGCCTTAACCGCCACCATCATCATGGGATCGGCACAGCAAACTCTCCCCTTCTTCACTCAACTCCTCCAGTTCGTAGCCAGTTATGACGATCTCCCTACTTCCTCGTCCGTCTTAATTCCACACCATCTCTGTTTAATCTTTCCTATGCTCCTGAATTACCCCCTGCTATCTTTCTTCAATTCCGCAGGTACTTCGTCATAGCTCTGTCGTTAGTTACAGGCTACCTTGTGCTCTCCGTCCCTTTCTCCGTTGTCTGCATAGCTCGACCTCAGGTGGCAGGGCCGAGGTTTCTTCTAATCGTCTTCGACACTGTAAGATACTGAATAATTGCTTCCCCTACCCGGAATGTGCATCCATAATTGATTAATTAGGGTTGCGTTCGTTGCAGGTGTCACTGGCATTTGCTGCTTCGGCAGCCGCTTCGTCGGCGGCGATAGTTTACCTGGCTCACAACGGGAACTCGGCAGCCAATTGGCTGACGATATGCCGACAATTCTCCGATTTCTGCCAGAAGATCAGCGGGGGTGTGGTGGCGTCGCTCATCGCGGTGGCTCTGCTCGTTCTCCTACTGGCCTCCTCCGCCATCGCCTTAAAGATACATAGTTGAACGACGTCGTATACCTCTATAACAGAATATTATTATTATTATTATTATTATTATTATTTTCTAAAATTACGTTTCAATTAACATATAGATTAGCAATTTATTTTTGTAGTTAACCTTGTTAATTTGTAATATTCAGTATTTACAAAATTATCACATGAGTATTACTTATTTATATAAGACTGAATGAGCAATTAACCTTTTAATATACGCGTAGTTAACAATTCCCCAATAGCGTCTTCATCGCTCTGTAGTTCACAAAATAACAATGGCGGCCATGAGAGAACTGTCGAGGTCCATCTCCAAATTGCGGCCGTTTCCATCCATAATTCCGGCACTCTTCATTTCTTACAGAGGAATGGCTTCGAAGCTCTTCCTTGGAGGTATAGCCACAAAATTTTAATTTTTTTAAAATAAAATTGGACGTTTCTCAATTTGCTACCGTCTCCCTCGATTGTCTGCGCAGTTTTGATGTTGTCTGGGTTATGCGGAGAGTTTATGATATATTTTTCTGATAATTTGTTGTTAACTTGAGTGAGGGACGTATCTTTATGCGATTCTGGAATTCGTTAGGGTTTTAGCAATTACATACTTATCGAAACTATGAAGTGGTTTCTGTATTATCTTCAAACAGCCCTCACGCCACTAATGGTAGCGATGGAATGATACCTAACAAAGCACCCATTTTCGCGATCACCTGTTCGTCTGGAAACTTAACTGCTGAGTGCACCTCCAAGTAGATTGCAATTTTTTTTAACTTGGTTTATAATGAAAACCTAATTCAGCAGGAAAGGTGCCATCATATCCTGCTTATAGTTTTTGGATGTTGCTGCTAGTAGCCTAGTACTACTTACAGATAATATTGGTATTCACCAATGTGTTTGGCTACATGATTCAGCCAGAGGAATGTTCTTACTACCATTTCAGGTTGTGCTGACGATTAGTTTCTTGTTTGAAAACAATTCGGGTCTTCGGTGTTGTAGTCGTGGTAGGGAGTGGGAATGATTGGTGAGGTGAGGGCTAGCGATTTATGGCCGTGAGCTGATTGATACCTCTCTTTCTATGCAAATTAAGATCCAACTTTTGCAGGGCTTTCATGTTATACTACAGAACAGGGTTTATCGGAAGCATTTTCCCGGTATGGCGAAGTGACAGAAGGTGTGTGTATCTTCTTTCTTTCATTTGTCGATGTTACTAATTCGGCATTAGTTTGGCTGCCTATGGGGATCATCAGTCTCTGTTCATTTCTGCAGTATCAGTTGTGATGGATCGGGTCTCTGATCGATCAAAGGGTTTCGGATTTCTTAGTTATGCAACCGAAGAGGAAGCTGAGAAAGCAATTGCAGAAATGAATGGGAAGGTTTGCTCTGTGCTTCTTCCTTTCCTCATTGCCCCATCCATAGATCTCCATCTCCTGACTGTACCTTATTTTGTTGCACTGCATTTTGCAGCAACTCAATGGACGCACCATTTTTGTGGATTATGCAAAGCCCAGATCGCGTCGAGGTGCTGCCCAGCAACAATAATTCACTTGTTGATTTATAATGTAAGAATAACTATATGGATTTTTTTAATTTCAGTTTTAGAATAGAAAAAATGTCTAGTGCTTCATTCCTAATTGAAGTGAAAATGACACTTCTCTGTAAAATGCAGCACTTTAGTAGAATTAAATTCACACCAACCTGTCTTTAATTATTTATGAGCAAAAAGGATCACCCCATAGCATGGCAATATTTCCTATTATGTAATGAATATTTTATTATTAAGAATCAAGAAACCAATCACACAGAATCTCTCACATGTCTTGCATTTTATTTAGAAAGCCCGCCAAAATGCGTGTAACCACGTTTTGTGGTAATAATTTTTAAATAGTTTATGTATATACATATATATATATATATATATACATGCCATTTCGTTGTATCATTAATTACAATACTGAATTCTAACACGTTTAATTAATTAATTGTTTGTCTTGCTTGATGCTTGCTATGTGCACAAAAGAAAACACCAAATTGCGACAAAAGTGGATAGCCCAAATGCCACGCAAAACATGTCTAATGCCTCTTCCGTTCTAACCATCCTTTCTTTCCTTTGTCTCTTAGTTTCAAGGAACTGGTTGTACCTGCGCTTCGCTAGTTGTACCTTGTTCTTTCCAGTGCCCCTTTTGCCCTCCAATGCCCTATGTAAAAAGACAAGACTGTCCTTGCCGTTCAACCGCGTTCCATCCATCTCCTCCATTTCTAAGTTGACTTCCCTCACCTGCATCTCCCCGCCCTCAGACCCTCCGCACGTGACCACCGCCGCGCACTGCACGTGACGGGAGATGATCGCGGCGTAGCGCACCTGCACATCGCCGGTGAGCCAGTGGCGGTGCACGGCGACGGGACTGTGGGACGAGAGGTTCACCGCCCGCCGTCCGATGGGATCGATTAGAATCCAGCTCAGCGTCATGCAATCCATCATCTCCTTGCAGGATTGGTCTCCCTGGGGGTGCTTCATCGGCGTGAGCACCAGGTCCTTGGGGTCCAGAAGGTCGATCCTGAAGGGGGAGCACCGGAACCACCCGGTGACGGTTTCCGTCTCCTGAACCTTCGAGAAAATCAGCTTATCCCCGTGGAAAATATCGACGGCTGAGATTAATTCTGGCGGCGGTGGAGACGAACACTGGTTTCCGACGTCTTCGTCGTCCGCCGGAATCCTGAAGGCGTGAGAAAAGAAGGCGCGAGCTCCGCCGTTGGGGAATGCAGAGACGAATTCGGAAAGTCGCCGCAAACTCGTGGATGGCCACGTGGCGCGGCAGACGGTGGCCCAAAGGTCTTCCTCCGACGAAAGCCGCCGGAGATCGGTTGAGCAGCAGGCGGCGGACGCTAGGGCTGTACCGTCCAATCGAGTGAGTACGTGAGACTTGACAATGTCTGGATGTAAGGCGGACAGGTCGGTGGCGGTGGCTCCGCCGTCGTCCGCCGTCTCCGTCGCAGACGTCATGATCCTATCGAGTTTGTTACTGTAAATTAAGAAATTGTTGTGATAGCGTCGATCATCGTCATCGTCGTTTCGTAGTGATTGGGTTTATATAGGCAGCGCAGGATTAATTAAATGAACATCATCTGAATTTACATAAATACCCTCTTATGGATGTTCATAGGCAAGGGTAATTTGGTAGTTTTCCATGGCATTGTAAGAATAGGAAGGTCTCGTGATACAATCATTCATTCGAGATGACGTGCGGCATGGTAATGGGATAATATATAGAGTGTATAATTTATTACAAATCTTTTGTTAATTATTTTTTTTGAAATAATATTTATTTTTCGATTAAGCACTCCGATCCATCTTATGCTTGTTATTTATTTTTCATTCAATTTCAATATTTAAAAAGAATTATTGCTCATCACCCGTGTACCTTATCTTATCCCATAATTTTACATTATTAAAAAGATAAGGATTAATAAATTAATTAGAATAGACAAGTGACACAACCATTTACATCTTAGTTACGTTTGAACTAATTTGTGTCCGGACATTATAATCAATTCGATGCTTTATTTTGTTTCCTTATGCCTCAATATTATATATATATATATATATATTTATATAGACATGATTGTATTAATTCGTAAAGAAATTCAAATGTAGGATTAAAATTAGCTTTGAAAGTCTAGTGCTACTGGTTATGAATTTTCATAAAGTAACAATAATGTAAAAAGTTACTGTAACGAAAACCTGATGATTAAACAAACCGCTCATGATACGTTGACTTTAATAAGTCAACAGTGAATATTATGTCAGGACATTTCTAGTGTGAAAAATAGGATGTTAGGCAATAACTACGACCAAAAGTGAAATGACCAGGCCAACCCAAACCAACCCACTCACGCCGATTTTATTTTATTTTATTTTATTTATAATTACATTATTTTATTTCCAATATTATTATTATTAGTTGTTATGCATCCTATTATTCAATAATTCTGTTAACATTCAGTAGACACTTTTTTACTTTTTTATTTTTTGGGTGATGGCATTCTAAAGTTTTAAGGTATTGGTTGTTGAATGTTCAATGATTCGGCATATATTAAATTAATAATGTGAGCGGCCGATAACGTATTGTCTTGGTCATGTTCATGAAATCATAGTATATTATACTTTATGAAATATATATTATATTTATATTAACACATATGGTCGAATATGTATACTATTTTTTTATTTATAAATATATATTAATTTGATCCAATCAAGACAGTAGTGAAAATATAGTAATGCGTATTATTTTTTAACAAAAACAAGAGTTGATTTTTCTTAGTTATATTATAGGAAATGAAACCGGAGAGTTGAGATTCTACATAATCAAGAGATGATTGTATAGGTGATATATTATCTGGTAGAATTTATAAATAATTATTAGGCATAAGTAAAAATGAAATAAATTAATGGGTTGTACGAACAAACTATTAATTGCTTTGTAGGCCCAAATTAGAAGATTAATCTTCAATGGGCTGAACTGAACTAAACTAAACTCATCTGTTTTCAAGATTCAACCACCAATAAATTCATACTTTTTAGAATAACGAATAAAATGGACAAAATTAAAACCAACGGCATACATATAATTTATAAAGCATAAGTTTGGTGAGGGGCACTCACTTCAGTTCATTGTTCAATTTAGGGCGTGTCTGTTACAGTGCCCCACCCCACCCCACCCCACCCCACCATCAAAGGTTCCATTCCCATCTTTTCAACACACACATATATATATATATATATATCATACATAGGTACTATAGTGGTGGTGGTGGTGGTGGTGATGTTGGTGACAGTGACGGTGAGAATGGTGATGAAAAGGACCCTGGAAAGCAAAAATAAAATGGAAAAAAAAAAAAAAAAAAAAATCTATCTGGAGGAAGATCACTACAGTTGCAAAATTCAAAATGATTTTGTACAATGTTGAGATTCTTGACTGCAACTAATAATTAAAAATAAAAATAATAATCCATATATATATATATATATATATATGTTCTTGCAGCATCCACTCTCATCATCTCATCTCATCTGGGACTGGGACTGGGACCTCACCTCATCTCACCATCATTTCATTTCGTCTCTCAATTTCAATTTCACCAACAAATTAAATAAATTTATTCTTACCCATGCATATTTCTGTAGGAGTGAGCAGTAGTAGGACCCAATTAATTTCTTCACTTCCCATCCACCTATTGCTCGATCTCTTTCTATAACCTAACTTTCCAGTTTTTCTTCTTCAATAATTCCCTGTGCTGTCTGTCATTGCTTTTTCCAAGTGAGAGAAGAAGCTTGCCCAGAAAATTCTGGTATTTTCCATATCTCTTTTTCACTTTTTTATTTTTTCCTGCAAGAAATAAGGTCAAAGCATGAACGTCACATCCCTGAGATCTTATCCTTGATGAGGATATGCATCTTCTGCTCCTGAGAAAGTAGTGTCCTGCAGTGGCAACCATACACCTTAGTTAATAATTGTAGCACACAGATAAATATATATATATGTATGTATATGTATAGAGGAGAGGGTAAGAGATAAAATAGATAGATAGATAGATAGCACTGCTCTGACATGATAGTGTTTGAGATAAGCATGAGCAATAATCACATTAATTTTATGGCCATCCCTATGGTAGGCCCTTTCCCTTCCCTTCCCTTGATGATATATATACGCATACTTTCATAATCACAGCTCTATCCAGGGTTTTGTAGAAGACAAGTGTCACCTTTCTAATTAATTCACCATCACAACTAGGTTTTGAAGGTCATCATTGAATTAATATTTATATATACCTGCAATTCAATCCCTCACAAAAAGGTAATCACTTGGCCTTTTCTGATTCTAAAAATTTAACTAATAATTAATACAGCTGCCTGCCAAACTCAAGTTGAACCAAGATTTATGATGAGCTGTGGGTAATATGTTTAAACTATGGATAGGGACCCTCTTGGAAGCCAACTATATCTGGTGGGATTTGAAAATCAGGACCTAATTTTCCACTATTTTCTACTCAGGACCACTGACCAAACAGGCAGCTAGTCTAAATTTTCTGCAGGAAAAAAGAAAAAAAAATTGATGTGATGATGATAATGATGATGATGATGCATTCACACACACGAACACTACTTCAAACCCTGCCACATTTAGCAAACCACATGTAGATGCATTCCCACAAACCCCTGCCTGCTTTCACACACAGACTCATGTGCAAACACTTTTGCTGTTTCTAAAGACAAGATAGGGAAAGGGAAAGAGAAAGACCAGTGTAAAAAAGGCCCAGATATTTTTATCTTAAAATAGCAAGCAAGCATGCATGTCTATCACTACTTGATTGATTGCCTCCAATCCAATAATTATGTGAACACCTCTTCTTCAATTTACAAGATTATTCTAAGATGAATTAATATAAATTAATTGACCACCAATCCAGGTGTTGGCCAGGCAGCAATTCAGATTCAGATTCAGGCTTATCTGTTAGCTAGACAGACAGTCATTATAATAAATTCAATAATGATAATGGATGTGTTCAGAGATTACTGTTGTTCATGCTCATGTACCTGTTTCAACTGGGGAAACAGCAAAATAAAACTTGGAAATTGGACCAGTCACATCTTCTCTACACTATTCTATTCTGCTAATTTTCTTATTATTATTTAATGTGAATTCTTAGCAGCTAATTATGGATGATCAACTCATAAAATATTTGGGATTACCATGAGATGGGAGTGATGATATTCATGGCAGGGGTAGTGCTGAGTCTGACTCGACTCGGATTGAGACTCGCATTCCATGTTCACTCCGAATAATCTGAGCGTCTTGGAATTCCCACCGACTGTTGCTGCTGTTGTTTGGCTCTGTAGAAGTGATCCTGCAAATTCAACACACGTGTGGACATTCAGATACTGCTCCATCCAGCAGAAGCAGCAGCAGCTCACTTTTGTGGTGGTCGCTTTGAAACGACTCACTCACAGTGCTTGAACAGATAGATAGATATACTAATTAATGCAATTTTTTAAACGGAAATGGCAACAGCAGTTGTTGGATTCTGGTTCCACAGGCGAGAGGACAAGATATACGCGCATCGGTAGCGCGTGTAGTAGACGCGTCTTCTTCAGGTGTACGGGAGGAAATTGCAGATTTTATTTATTTAAATCAGGTTACCTGCGGTGTGGTGATGGAAATCGTGTGGTTGAGGAAGAGATGACTGCATTTGGTGTTGTCTCCGGTAAGCAGGACTGCCTGAATAGAATGCTCTGTTCCATCCGTCGCCGTTGGCTGGAGTTAGGTTAGAACCGTCTTCTCCTCCTCCGCCGCCGCCGCCGCCGCCTGAGTTCCGCCTCCTCCATCCAATAAAAAACCGTCCGGCGTCGGCGCGGTGGCGCGCGAAGACCACAACATCGCCGGCGTCGAGGCGCTTCTCCTTGACGAATCGGCTCCAGCCTTTGGTGAGCACGTAGCTCTGGCTGCTGTTCCAGTACGAGTACCGAAACCTCCACGATTTTCCGAGCTCATCTTCGAAGCTGAGGAGCATGCCGCTCTCGCCGGCGGAATCGGCGCCGCCGTTCAAGGGGAAATACTTCTCGGCGTGCTGCTTGGGTATGACGAGACGGTTGAGCTTCCCGACGTCGCTGGGCGTCAAGGGCTTCTCGAAGAGGGGCAATTTGGGGATTTCCCCATCCCCGCCATTACTGTCGTCGTTGTAAATTAAATCTTGCTCATTATTATCTACGGCGTTGAGGTTGAATGTGAAGGCGGTGGCCTGCGGGCAGAACATCGGACGTCCTCCGGCGTGCGGCGGTGCGATCCAACAGCTAGCGGTGGAGCTGGGGAGTAAATGGGCGGTAGAGATAAAGGCGTTGTGATCAGAAGATGAGGTTTTTGCAGATGACTCCATCATCAAGTGTGACCACCGCTCCCTCCCTCCCTCCTCCTGCATTTCTCTCTCTCTCATTCAATTAATTTAATAATGTCAATTTTGCTAAAATCAGATTTTCAGACTTATAAAATATTTCCAAAATAAGATTAATATAATAATACTTCAATCCCACAAATATCATTAAATAAAAAATAATAAATAAATAAAAAAAAGACCATCTACGTGTGCATAATGAAATGCAAGGTCCCGGGGCCACGAGGTTCACGACTTCACAGATCGTCCATTTCATGGGCCCCACGCAATCGAACGCCGATCTATTCAGGAGGACCAGTGGACCACGTACCCATGCTCCAACTATGTACTTAATGACGAAAGAAATTAATCCAATAATTGGTCACACTAATAAGATAGTATTTTTTTTTTTTTAATTTAGGACACGAAAGGAAGATGGAAAGAACATAGGCATATGGGAATTGAATAATTCGTGGGAGTTAATGGTGATTAAGTGTTGTGTGTGTGGTGGTCATGTTATGGAACAGTAGTAAGAGAGGGTATTGTTTTTTTTTTGCTTTTAAAGTGATTGAACTATCAAACCCACAGAAATTAATAATTATAAATGCATGACAACCTGTAACACACACTGCTAGACATGCATTGATGTTCACGTACACACATATATACATACATACATACATTAATTTATTTTATATGAACAGACTAGGCAGAGAAATTGCAAGTATTAATTAGTTTATTGTACATGTTGATTATGATGAGGAATATGTTATTGAGAGAGCACACGTGAATCCATTAGGACCATGCATTTGCTGCTTGCTTGCTATAAGGCGATCGAGATCTAATAATTAATCAGCACATATATATATATATTGATTATTGAAATAGAGATAGGAAATGGAGGGCAGGGCAGGGCAGTGCATTGTAACTAACATAGGTTTCCAAACATAGGCAAGACCAAGAACAATGCACAATCCCAAGGCTGCAATGCCTATTGATAGATAGGTATCTACATCTACTACACATCTACATCTTGTTTGTTTGATGGGAAATTGTACTTGTCAGATCCAATCAATACATAATAATGATAATGATGATAACAATGCACTGGTACAGGTGTATGTATCTCACAAATACACTAATATATCCATTTCATTTAATTCTTTTTTTTTTTTTTTTTTTTTTTTTTTTTTTTTTATTATTTGAGTGACAGACAGCCCTAAGTGTTTGTGGGCTACATTATGTGTTTGTGGGCTACATGGGTTGGGCTTTGAAACTATTAATAGTTTAGTTTCTTCTGTCGACCAAACACTGGAACTGTATTATTTGAAAGAAAGACAGAGATGGGGTATCTAATTAAGAGTGATGGTGATGATGAGAGAGAGCATGATAATATTGAGTGAGCCAATTAGATATGAGGTGGACTTCCCTTTTCCTGACATCTTGAAGCCACTTTGGATCTTCATTTGTTGAGTATCTCAGGTCAACATGGTGTGCCCCTGCACCATCACCATCACCATCACCATCACCATTACCAATTTACCATCAACAAATTAAATTAATTCTGGACTTACCTTGTTCTGCAACAATGGCTACTACACTTTTGGATATGTCTTTCAGAACACTGCCAACCAAACAACCATTACCATTCAAATTAGATATGTTATTTGATCATTTACTTCAATTTAATTCAAAGAACTGACCCTCCACCACTCCATGGATCCCTCAGCCCATTGAAGAAGATAATATTGCTCCCAAAGTGCTTCAGCACTCTTTCAATATGCTGTCATCACTCAACAGAATGAAAATCAGCTCATATAAATATATATATATATATAATAATAATTAAATAAAAATAGATTCTTGATACCAAGGATGGATCACTCACATGGGCTCCAAACTCAGTGGGAATCCAGGTTGGCCTGGGAACAACATTGTACTGCTCTTTGCAATACTCTAACCTATCAAGGTACGTGTAATTAGAGGGAGGAAACATGCTCTCCTCTGTGGTACCACCTGTAAGTAAAACCATCTCTGTGCACGCCTGCAAGAATCACAAACAACACCAACTACTTAATGTAATGACTGTATGTGTCTTTGCTTCACATTTTCTTAGTAATGTACTAATGTTACCTGCCATGACCATCCGCCGAGGTCGTGAGGATCCGAATCATCCAACAAATCGAAGCACTTAGTTTCTCCAGTGTAGTTGTAGTAAATGTTGGCAGCTTGGTATATTTTCTCGAATGTGTTGTTCCCAGTCTTAGGATCATCAATGGCCTTGCACATCTGCAGTAATTCCAAGTTCTCATCTTTGTAACAATGTCGAGACAACTTTAACTTTGTTTGATCCGAGGATGGAGGAAGGGATACCTACCTGTTTGACAGGGTAGGCAGGCAAGGGGTTGAGGAAATTGGAGGGAGTTGGATAATCTGTCATTGCAGTGTAAGTAAAAGCTGTAGAAATCCAGCCTTCAAGAAACCCTACATTTATGAAATCCCTGTAGAGATGAGATTTACAGACAGTCAAGAAAATGCGCACTTAATTAAATTAAATTAATCCCAGATTGACATGTAATAATCCTCACTTGCATATCCTGAAAGATTTTCTGAGAATCTCCATCCCACCTGCTCTTGCTGCTGTGTCTTCGATTTCTTTCCATGATTTTTTGATCACTCTGTAACAGTTCTCACTCTCACCCTATTTTGGGAACAAACAAATGTAAACCAATAGATTGTGATTAAAGTTTTTATCATGGACATGACACTTTCCATGTTTGGACAAGCACTGCACAGTGCACAGGTAACTTTAGGAAAACCCTATTCTATTTCTATCAGCAGAAATTAAAAACTGGCAGGAAGAAAGAAATACTGACTCTAAAATCTTGTGTGATGATGTTGGAGAAACTGTATGGAGAAGTAATGTTGTCCAAATTGAGGATTGGTGCAGAAGATGACAAAGCTCCCAGTGCAATGTGGGGATACTTCAATCGGAACCACGCTGCCAACACTGCAACAACCACCACACATTGTCCAATTAATTAATATACATATAAAACTGTCTGATTCTCAATCTCGAAAATCATAGAGTCAATGGTGAGTATTAAATTAATGGCAGCCATACTTCCGCCATAGGAACCTCCAAACACCACAACAGGGGAATCCATGGAAGTCAAGTTCTTTTTCAGATCAAGAATCAGAGTTGCATAGTCAGCCAAAGCTTGTGTTGAGCTCAAATAGCCAAGTGTGGATGAGTTTGAATATGCAATCTCTTTGCTTCCTCCAAAAGGGATCGATTTCCCATAGTACCTATGCTGCAGAATGCAAAGAATTCTCAATAAAAGTGAAGAGATCAAGGCCTTACAACATAGACATCTGACAACTGACCTCAATGAAAACAAGAAGGGCTTTGAAATGAGGTGCAGTCTCGAACATGAAGCCGGTGTTTTCGGCGAACCATTCGATGTTACCTTCATTGCCAGTGTAGACAAAGATCGGAGCATTATCATTAGCGCCGCCCCAGTGTTTGTCGTTGATCAGGTACCTTTGCTGGAAGGTGTGGTAGCTTTGTGGATTGTAGTTGAAGTGATCAAGAATTTGGGTATAGAACTTCTCTTTGTAGTGATGATCACTACTTTTGGTGGTAATCAATAGCTGCTGATCAGGCCTAACGATCGATGGAGGGAAGGCCGGCGCAATCTTGGCAGATGATGAATAACAGTGTGTGAAAAATGTAGATGAAAGCAGCAGGAGCCATGTTGCCATGGAAGCACAGAGTCTGTGCTCTGGTGATTTGTGGAGCGAGAAAGTGGAGAGTGTACAAGTTATGATATAGTCTTAGGAAAGGTTAGGAATTTGGGATTTTAGCCAAAGTTGGAGAGGCTTGGTGGTGCCCAATGGAGATTATAAAATAAGGCTTTTGCAAGAAAAGGGGTGTGACAAATATGGCCATATTCTAACATTAAGTGATAAAATATTTGTTGAAATGAGCTGTCCAAACATGGATTGTTCTTGTTTGTTTGTCCAAAGCTCTATAAAGAATATGGGCTTCTGAGCTACAGTACAATGAAGAAGTAATGCTCAAGAAAACCGGCAATTTTTTGTCCACAATTTGGGCATCTTCTACATAGGTTTTGTCGAATCATTTCAAGGGATATTCATCAAAGATTCATCCCTGCAAGGGCTTCAGTTCATGATAAACATTTCATTTAAAATATGAACAAGAACTGCTTTCTGCACAAACTTGCTCTGAGAAAGCAGTAATACTCAAAAAACACAGGTGTTTTCTGGCGAGTACTCGGGAATGTGAAGAACCCAAATCAACAAGATGTTAAATCCGGAGATTTCTAGGTTAAAGTTGCCTGCACGAATTAAATTCACCATTTAGATCTTCTACTATGGCTTTCAGCTGCTGTTCTTGACTTGGAACTATAGCCTTGTATTGCACCAGGCCTCTCCTCAAGCATATTGAATGGATCTCTGGAAGGCCACGACTGCTCGTTTTTCTGGGATATCGACAACCTTGAGCTAGACAATTTGTGATCCTTAACAAGGCTCTTAACAGATTTATTCCTCTGTGTCCCGTCGTAATGACTTCTTCTTGGAGCTTCCCTCTCAAGCTCATAAACTCCATCCCTGTCAAAAACCTCTACCCCGTCAGACGCACTTCTTTGAAGGGGAGAATTTCGCAGCGAAACAATGGAGCTTCTTGGTTTGATCTCATTAGTAACAGAGGTATACGACGCCCATTTCGGCCCTTTACTATTATCCATGTTCAGTTCAAGAAGATCACTTTCTTCAGATCCATCTTTCCTGTCTACACTGTCATCAATCTTTTCGTCGTCTTCTTGTACATTGTGATGGCCGCCTCTCTCTTCTTCTTTCTCCCCTTTCGTTCTCAGAAAAACCTCCAGCTGTTTCCGTAGCTTGCCAATGGCAGAAGTGCTCTCCTCAAACTGATGCTTAGCCTCTGGTGGCTTCATCTGAACTCGCTCCCCGTCAGCATTCCGAGCTAATTCTTCGCACATCTGCTCGGTTATCTCCCTCGCTCTTTTCTCACTGTCCAGTTCCTTAACAACCTTAACAAGTGACAACTTCATTTCAGACAATTCTTTCCCGAGTTTCTTGTTCAAGCTCTCGAGTCTTTGCCTCAGCTTTCGCTCTACCTCTAGTTCGCCAACAACAGACGCCACTGCAGCCTCGACTACTTGGCTCTCTTTGCTCTTCCACGACGCCTTTTCCTCAGCAAAACACTTCATCATATAGCTTATCTCACTTTTATCCGCCCGTTGCTCGTGAATGAACTGATTGACCTGCAAACGAGCTCTCTCCAGCTCGGCATGCAGGGCTGAAATCAGAGACATGCTCGATGAATTCTGATCCGAATGACCCGAGATTCGAGTGATTATCTTCAGCAGCTCTTTGGAGGTAGTCAGTGCATTGCTTACATCCTTCAGACGGCTCCTGCAGCCGTTTACCGATCCACTGGAAGTCGGAGGGCGCGATCGGCTCTCGATCTGAAATCGTGCATTATGATTATCATTAGCCATGAAATCTGAAGAAGACAACAAAATTTTAGAATGTTGTTATGATGAACCTCCATGAAACTTGCACGGCTGATGGAATCAAAAGCTCCAGCAATCTGTTCAGCTGATGTGATCCTCTGAGAAGGTGTCCTTCTCCGCTCCAATTTCTGCATAATTTCAAGAACAGTGAGTGATTTTTTAAGCACACCAAAAAAATCAATCGTTGCAGAAAGTTTCGCTCATCGGCGACCTCTGAAACGGAAGGACTGTACGAGGGATCGGATAAGTGCGGTGGGAGATGACCGGAGCCGGAGCCGGAGCTGATGTGCAGTCCCCATCCGGGCTGAAGTTTTTCCTTCTTCGAAACCATCTTATGATTCCCGTTCTTCTTCTTCTGCAGGTGCTTCATCAGCTCCAAGTTGCTCTCGCTCATCTTCGCCGGCGACGGCATCTCGTTCATCTCCCATAGCGTGGCGGCGAGCCGCCGAGCAGACACCGGTCTGGTGGATTTGCCGCTCTGAGAGTGTTTGGGGGAGTCGACGGCGCTCCTCAAAGGGGTAGTCCTCCACGCCGGCGCAGGGGTGCCGGATCTGGATCTTCCCAGAGCGATCCCGAGCCCGGCCCGATTCTTGCCCCGCAAAATGGCCCGTTTGTTGTGGATTCTCGACGACGAAGACGAGGAGGAGGAGCAACCCCTTTTCCGGATCTTGGTGGGTCCCATCAGACTCTCCATCATCGCCCGCCCTTGCCTCGACATTGTAATTTGTTCGACCTAATTTCCTCCTCCTGCAATTCCAGCTTTGGGTTCCACTGATGAAAATAAGCAGAGCATTAAGGAGAGTTTAAGAGGATGCGATCTTACAAAATTTGTTGCGAAATCCTGCTTCCTAACAGCATTGATTGCTGGTTCGATCAATGATTCTCATTTGCCTATCTATAAAAAAAAAAAAAGGACAGATTGAAATCATGAGACTTAAATATAGCAAGAAGCCATCAGTGGGAGGGGAGTGGGATTCTTCCCAGCATCTTTACAGATGGAATTGAAAACGTAGTTTCCATGAAAGAATAGTTTAACACCAAATCTAAATCTGCCGATCAAATTTAAATGGAAGAAGAATTCCAAGAGGGTAGAATGATTGGGAGGAGGTTTCTTGATTTCTTTTGATTTGAAATGATTTGCTCCATAAAAAAGAAGAGCCAGCCAGTGTAACTTGACTTCGCTTTTTGCATTCAAAGCTCGATTCTCTGTACAGCAAGGTACTCCAGACACTGCGCGGCGTACATGCAAATTAAGCAAGAGGGATCAAAAGCAGCTCAAAACGTGGTTGGCAATTAATTGGTAGTGCCAGAATGTCTTTTTTTGTATTGAACTTTTGTTGGATTTGTTTAAATCTTATTGTCTGCCAAATAATTAAAGGTGTTATCTTTGTCATGTTCTTGGTTACCTCGTAAACCCTACCATTAGATCAGGTAACAATAATTCTTGAAATTTCCAAGAACCAAATGCCATTCCTACACTGAGTAGTATAGAAGTTTATGTTCTGTTCTGTATCCTCCTACAGATCCAAATTCAGCATTCAAAAGTGAAAAAAAAAGGATTGGCTAAAAACGCTACAAGAAAGGGACATTCATTTGCACACCATACTTGAATATTTCTTTCATGCCTGAGGAGTGCTGTGGGGTAATAATCATCTTTCTATTAACAACCAAAGTATCATGACATTCTGCTTTGCTCAATCATTCAACTAAACAATCATTGAGGTTTAAATTTGATACTTTTTACCGATGTCTTGCACAGGCAGGTAAAATGTAGCCATTTAAATGTTTCAAATCATCAGCAGCTTACTCAGTGTGGCAGAAAGCAAACTTTTCTTGCAATGCATCTGAATCTTTCGAAGAAGATTTGACTGGTTCTGGATGATATTCATGAGACTAGGACTAATTGGTTCCCAAATACCTCTAGCCATTGCACAGAAGTGGCTGTTTTATTCGAAAATGCTTCAATAACGCTTGAATGAGATCCCTATCCACACCCACCTCCAATTTCAAGTGAAGATATACATGAGGTGGGGGTACAGCGTATACCTGGCAGATAAAGAGGGATCAACTCGATGCATGCTCTGTAGATTTAAAGTAGTTAGCAATAAGATTGGAACAAGATTGTCCCCAATCATTGAAAGTGTGTCCTGAAACACATTCATGGCCCAGTTGAATGTCTCAACAATGGAGGTTCCTCAATGGCAGCCATTTTTGTCAGAAGAGAGACCTCAATTCACAATCACAAGGCCATATCCATGATAGAGGCTTAACACTCAAACTGGCGTTGGCATTGTGATATTAGCAGACTTCTATGAGGATGTGACCTGCAGAGTAAAGATTCCACATGAAGAACTAAATAAAGTGGAAGATGCAATGTGATACAAGGAAAGCAAAAGGCAAATCAACTACCCGGAATGATTTGCCTCCAAGAATGAGGGCGAACACCAAATGAAATAGCTGATATCCCAAATAAAAAAAATGGGAGTGAAACATTGCAAATGCTTAGATCTACAAGAACCCTCTCAACCAACATATCATAAATTTTCTCTCCAATTACCATAACAGATGACAGCAACTGATTTTTACAAGATGAACTAAGCAATAATTTTCAATACCCAATGATTTTGTTATAAAATCACCCCTCTATGAGATTGCCTGTATAAGAGTGTTTGAGAAGCAAATTAGCACCACACCTACAGTTAATATTAAGTTTCATGATATAACCCTCAATTTGTGCCCATTAAAAGAAGTAAACTGGCGTCCAAAGAATTAAATAATGATATTCCCAGCATCAGAGATAGAAGAACATATACTTGGCATCAGCAAAGAAATTGTCAACTTCCCAGACACTTGCAGTCAAGAATTGATTTAAGTTACCCTGGAAAATTTTGGGAACTTCAGCGATTGCACAGTTCTAAGACCATTCAGAAATTTGAGTAGGTTGCCCGAATCTGAATGGGCAATGACTGGGGAAACAGTAGAATCTTGATTGATAATCTTGGTGTTATTTTGTGATTGTCAGAGCCTAATCCTTCTAATATATATATATATATATATATGTTCTCAAAGAAAGCATAGATATAGCCATATAGAGCTTGAAATGCATATATTTCAAATGCATTTGTTGGTATGCATGAGTGTCCCTGACAAGAAATTTGCCGCATGGATTATAGGATTCTTGGGAAGAAAGAAAGTGACTGGGTTGGTGGGAATCTTCTGATTTAAACATCAACCCATAGATCTATATTTGTACTGTATTGGTGGGCTTTTGTTGACGATACTAATGTTAGACACATTAAAAGGAACTGTCCTCAAGCAGTCAAAGGCTTGTCTACCATCAAACCATATAACAAATCCATAAAAAAGATAAATACCAAAACATATCAATGTAGTGTTTACGATGTGCCATTAATTGGACATTGGAGCATGAAACAATGAGATGGTATAAACTGACCTCTGACGATGTAAACCTGAGATGAAATTTACACGAAGGGAATAAACCACTTCTCTTCTGTATCATTTGATTCGCACACAATGAAATGAATGTTCACTGCAAAGTAAAAAGACTTATTAGCTAAACATGCAACCTGAAAATTCAAGAAACTCAGCTCCCTGATTTAATGCTCACGACCTCACTAAATAATCTACATATAAATTTTAACATGCCTTTGATGCTAGGGAACATCTCCAAACCACACCAGCATAGATCAGGAAGGTCAATAAAAAGTAGAAAATATGTGCATGCAGTCAATTGAAATGTGGCCAGGTAATTTTCCAAACATATAGCTTACTTAGCATTGGATATCGAACTTGATTATGATACTTGTATTTGTTGAAGAAGTTGTGTACGGCCCCGGTTGATTGTAGCAAGACATAGGCATAAAGACTCCTCAAGCTCTACAAGCTGTAGAGAAAAACTATGACTATTTTTTCTAAGTTGCTTCAATACTTCCTCAAGCACGTATCTATCCATAACCCTCTCCAATCCCAATCTACTAAGAAGTTTGTCAAGTTCAAATGCTTCATGCAGACGGGACATCATGCGATCAATAGTGGCTAGATTCATACAAAGGACATAAACATTCCTTGCTGCAGTAGTATCGATTACAGCTTGATGGCTCATTTCTTTAAAGCAGTGGCGTGTGAGATTGAGTTTGAACCGTGACTTTCTGAAATGCTGATTTAGCTGCTGCTTGAGCTGGGAGAAGTGGTTCAGCATATCACCAAAGCTCTGAGCGTCAGGGGAGTGAAAGGGGTTTTCAAAACGGCCAAACTCAAGAATTGCACCCTCCAAATTGAATCTAGAATAGGAGAGACTGTCGGACTCCAGGGGAAGGTCATCAAGAAGTTTATGTAGGGTTGTATACATAAGGCGAGCACGGTGGATGCTATGTATGAGGAGGACGCACAGGCGCGATGCATGTGCACTATATTCAAAGTAGGTAGCAATAAGATTCGACAGAGAGTTGTGCCCAAGCAGGGGAAGCACCTCTCGAACATGCTCATAGCTTGGTTGAACAACATGCTCCAGCAGTCGAGGCTCCTCAATGACATCAGGAAGCCTTACATCAACCATTTTGTCAGAGGAGTTGTCTCGGCTGAATGTTCGCCAAAGCTTCCAATTGCAAAAAGGCATGTCTCCTGGGAGAGGCAACAATCGTGTTGAAGTATAGTCAGCAGAAAAACCTGGATAAGTAGCATACTGTTAATTCTGCAACATTGCATGTCTCCACAAGAAGGAAGTGAAATAGTAGTGCCCATCTTCTCCCTAACTAACAGCAGCTCAGTTACAAGATGAACATAATTATCAAAGGCTAGGTCATATAATTATAAAACTTCTACGGACATTTGTGAAGATCAGCAGCACAACATTTATGGAATTATACATCGAATCCACATGTAAAAAAAACAGTCACCGTTTTTTCATGAATGCCAGTATACACGTATTGAGATAACAAAAAAGATTCTTACTTTTGATAAGAATCGAATCAGGTTACCTTAGAAAAATAGTGGAAATTCAACGAATGCACAGTTTCGAGATCACCCAGAAATCGAAGTGGGTCAACGAAATCAAGATTGGGTAGTAAGGAATCAGCAGAACCTTGATCAATAATCTTCCAGGAATACAACTGTAGATCAGAAGCAAGAAACATTAGAGCCGAGCTATTCTTCGTCTAGCGAATCGAATCACGGAGAGACTTCAACTGTGTGTTTGAGTATGGCCTCGAGCGGAAAACAGGTGACCTGGCAAGAAAGTAGGACAGGAAGACGAAGTCAGAAAGTTGCCCCATTTATTATTATTAATTTATTTCAAACTCTATTCCGAAATTTATACTTCAATGTTTGATAGAATACGAAGTTATAATCAAACAAACCTTTCCATCCTCTTGCAAGATCCTCCCTTAAACCAGTTAAGCATTGCCATTGCGTTAACATTTTTTTAAATACAAGAATTTGGAAGCAGAAGAACCCCAGTAGTTAGAATGTCTACATTATAATATCTCTACACATGGAAAAAGAAATGGACTAACTACCTCCAATGGCTATGATCTCAAAAAGCATGCTTCAAATCTCCTGCATTCTGATATTACTCAGAGCACTCTTTCGTTTTCTTGCAAATGAAATTTGTTTGCTCTACTTTTTCTCAAATAAATATTATCTTATAAAAAAGAACCCAGGCCAAGTGATTCATCTCAACCTTAGTATGCTTTAACATCCCCAGTGTTACATGAATCTAGTGTGTTTCTACATGGTCATCCAAGTAAGCCAGTGCGACCGCAGCATGCAGTGACGCTCCTACCGGAAGAATATCTTCATCGATAATGAAGTGGGGGTTGTGCAAACCTTTGACAGGATGCATCGTTTCGTTTGCTACTCCAATCATATAGAATGACACGGGCATCCTTTGTGAGTAGAAGCTGAAGTCTTCAGCTCCCATGGTTACTGAATGCAGCTTCACACGGCTCTTCCCGAGCAAGCTTTCTCCAACTCCTTTAGTATATTCATACAGGGTAGGATCATTGTAGGTTGGAGGATATGGGATTAATGTGTCCTCCAAGAAGTCAACTGTTGCAGTACACTGAAGCACTTGAGCTTGAGTTTCTATCACCTGTAAATAGTGTGCCAGAATTAACAGAATGAAACACATCTGAATGTCTAAATTGACTGCTTCAAAATGATGGCATGCAAGCAATTAAGAAATAGATATGATGAACTAATTATGGTTCCATTGGGTTTCTTGCAGCATATCTTTTTACATGACATTTTATTCAACTGCAGCACAATCTTGGGAGAGGAAACATGAGAATACTTGTTTAAAGACTAAGCAAATCATTACAAGAAAAACCGGAGTTTACTTAAGTCTACAAGAGCTTAAAATTGGTCGACAGTACTTATTTCTCAAATCGGTGCCACTATGTCCAAATTGGATGAGCAGCATGAATGCAAATGGAATGCATACCTCTTTAATCCTTTGTTTAAGGTAGTTAAAACTTTCAGAGTCCATGAACCGGAAAGTGCCACCAAACTTGACACTCTCAGGGATTACATTGAATGCTTCACCAGCTTCAATATATCCAATGGAGACAACCTATGCGCCATTTCACACCGAAAAGTAAAACAAAAAGATTGTTATTAGCATTTAGTTTTATTAATCAAAAGATCGAAGTTTATAAACACACTGGCTTAACATTATATCATTACTATGCCTCAGATAGAGAAGAAAAGAAGAGCAAGTGCAGTAAATACCCTGGCTTCCTGAGGATCAGTTTCTCGTGAAACAATATGTTGAAGTGCAAGGATCGTCATAGAAAGTGCCAGAACAGGATCCTTGGTTTTATGTGGGGATGCTGCATGTCCACCTTTTCCTTGAATGATTGCAATAAACCTGCCTGATCCAGCAAGCATCGGACCAGGTCTGGAACTGATGGTACCAGTAGGCAATGACGGATCTACATGTAAAGCGAAAATGCCTTGGAGTCCATCAACAGCCCCAGCCTTGATCATATGGTAGGCACCCGCATGACCTTCTTCCGCAGGTTGGAAAACAAGTTTAACAGTGCCCTTCCATATACGAATACAAGTCAGGAAATTCAGATCAACTCAAGCAAGCATTATAACACGGTGACCTCACAGACATGGATATACATATAACATATCATTTCTTTACCTTTAGTTTATCAGAGTTGTTCTTTAACAATTTGGCTGCTCCAAGCAACATTGTCACATGAGCATCGTGACCGCAGGCGTGCATTTTGCCATCAACTTTGCTCTTGTGCTCCCATTCCACTAATTCCTACAAATTACAGTTGGTGTGAGCTGAGACGATCTCACAGCTTCCACGCTGCACTCTGCTAAATTAGTACTATTCAATTGGACAGACTCCTGCTCTTGCGGAGGTTAGTGATAACTTGTTCTTGTAACATTTTAGTGGCCAACAAACTATCAAAACCTAAGTCCAAATAATGCTCAACTTGAAGCCAGAAAGAAATCACCAAACTATACTAACAAAAGTTCCTTGTACCAACAAACACTTTTTCATGGTTAATATTAATCATTAAAACGAAATAAACAGTAGTTGAATGAATCAAGCCCTCATATAGAGCAAGAAAGCCAAATTCCTCTACTTTTCCATGGAAGTGATTCATAAAGCTAAAATTTCTGGAGAGAAGAAGAACAAAAAGTCGCACCTGCATAGGGAGGGCATCCATGTCCGCCCTAAGCCCAAAAGATGGCTGAGCCCCCGACCCTATCGTGGCCACCACCCCTGTCTCTGCAACTGGCCACTCATACTCAATCCCCAGCGAATCGAGCTCACTTCTAATGAGCTGACTCGTTCGCTGCTCTTCAAATGATAATTCTGGAAGCTCATGGATTCTCCTCCGAACCCCTTTCAACCAGTCAACGAACCCCCGATCCCTCGCCGACTCCAACAGCCTCTCCGGTTTGAAATCCCATGCTCTTGGGCAGGTTGCCGAAGACAAAATAGCGACAAGAGAGAAGCACAACATTGGAGTAATTGTAAAACGCTCCATTCGGGAACAAGAACAACGATTAATTCCTGTCCCTGGTAGACCAATTTGTATTTCTAGCAAATAATTGAAATCCAATTGGCAGGTTGGGAATCGGTACAAGGGTTTTTGGCGTCATCTACTAATTTATCAATATACACATAGATACCTCCAATCAGCTTTACTTTTCAAGAAATTGAATTTTTAGCATGAATTAAAATAATGACTGACTGATGGTCCCAAAATATCTGATCAGAGTCCAACTCCAATAAAATTTACATAAAATATGATCTCAAATTAGCAAACGGGCAAGTGATTCAGCAAAAACCAATCTTTTTCGCTTTGACAGTCTCAATGTAGAATGAATCTTCTAATGTTTTTCTACATGGTCATCCATCCCATCAAAATCCAAGTAAGCCAGTGCGACTGCAGTATGGAGTGAAGCTCCCACTGGAAGAACATCTTCATCGATGACGAAGTGGGGGGAGTGGGACCCCTTGACAGGTGTCATCGTTTCATTTGCTACTCCAATAACAAAGAATGACCCGGGTATCCTCTGTGAGTAGAAACTGAAGTCTTCAGCTACAGTGGTTCCTAAATGCAGCTTCACTCTGCTCTTCCCCAGCAACTTTTCTGCAACTCTTTTAGCATGTTCATACAGTGTGGGATCGTTGTGGGTTGCAGGATATGATATTAGTTTATCCTCGAGGAAGTCAACAGCTGCTGTACAGTGATGCACTTTAGCTTCAGCTTCTATTACCTGTAAATAGTAGTGTCCCAGAATTAACTAAATACTTAATTCATTAATCTTCATATCTTTGAATTCAAATGCAATGCTTATACCTCTTTAATCCTGTGCTTAAGGTAGTTAAAACTTTCAGAGTCCATGAACCTGAAAGTACCACCAAACTGGACACTCTCAGGGATTACATTAAATGCTTCTCCACCTTGCACGTATCCAATGGAGACCACCTAGTTATATATGAATCAAAGCTTGTAAGCAAAGTGGCCTAAGAATAAGTCAAAGGAAAGAAAAGCTAGTGAGAAAAGTACCCTAGCTTCCTGAGGATCAGTTTCTCGTGAAACAATATGTTGAAGTGCAAGAATGGTCATAGAAAGAGCCAGAACAGGATCTTTAGCTTTATGCGGGGCTGCTGCATGTCCTCCTTTTCCTTGAATGATTGCAGTGAACCTGCCTGATCCAGCGAGCATCGGACCAGGTCTGGAACTGATGGTACCTGTAGGCATTGATGGGTCAACATGTAAGGCGAAAATGCCTTGGAGTCCATCGACAGCCCCAGCCTTGATCATATGGTAGGCACCCCCATGACCTTCTTCCCCAGGTTGGAAAATAAGTTTAACAGTGCCCTTGAATGTAAGGATACAATTTAGAATATTCAGATAAACTCAAACAAGCACTGTAACAAGTAATTAGTTGTTTCTTTACCTTTAGTTTATTAGAGTTGTTCTTTAACAATTTGGCTGCTCCCAGCAACATTGCCACATGAGCATCGTGACCACAGGCGTGCATTTTTCCATCAAGTTTGCTCTTGTGTTCCCATTCAACTAATTCCTGCAAATTACAGTTGGTTTGAGTTTATGCAATCTCGGAAATTAAGCCCTATTGTCTGCTAAATTAGTGTTATTCAACTGGGCTGCTAAACTGCTGTTGTGGAGGATTATGAACTTTTAGAAAAAAGTGCCATTCTATGATGCTAATCATATAAAATAATACCAGAAAGTATCAAAAACCCTAGCCCAAATAACGACCAAATTGGACACAGAAAGAAATGAAACAAAGCTGTACTAACTGCAGTTCCTTTCACCAATCAATTCTTGTTCATTGTCTATGCAAATCATTAGCTCCTAAAAAAAAAAGAAGCACCAGAAAATCACAAAATTATATTACCACAAAACTATCAGAACCCTAGTCCAAACGATGATCAAATTGAAACCAGACAGACACCTTATGGTTTATACTAATCGTTAACACAAAGAAGATATGGTAATCAAATAAACAAACCCCCCGTACAAAGCCAATTCGTTTTCTTCTCCATGAAAGTAATACTTAAGAGAGAGAGAGAGAGAGAGAGAGAGAGAGAGAGAGAGAGAGAGAGAGAGAGAGAGAGAGAGAGAGAAGTTGCACCTGTATCGGGAGGGCGTCCATGTCCGCCCTAAGACCAAACAATGGCTGATCCCCCGACCCTATCGTAGCCACCACCCCTGTCTCTGCAACAGGCCATTCATACTCGATCCCCAGCGAATCGAGTTCACTTCTAATGATCCGACTCGTTCGCTGCTCTTCAAATGCCAATTCTGGAAACTCATGGATTCTCCTCCGAATCCCTTTCAACCAGTCAACAAACTCATGTTCCCTCGCCGACTCCAAAAGTCTCTCCGCTTCGAGAGCCAATGATGCCGCTGGGCAGGAAACAGCAACAATGGAGAAGAACAACAACAATTGAAAAATTGTAAAACGCTGCATTTCGGAAACAGAGATCCATTTCGACCCTTCGTATGCCGATATGTATTCGCAGTAAGCCAGTAACGTACTGAAATCCAATTGGCAGATTCCGAATTCGCATTAGGGTTTTGGCGCTATCCACAAATTCTGCAAGTCTTTTTGAAGTGCTGCAGTTGATAGTTACCATTTTTATACATACGCGTAATCAATTTGATTCTATTTATTTATTTAGTTAGAATTTTGTAACAATGAAAATCGTAAGTGGTGGTCCCCGTACAATATAATTTAGTATAACATTTACTAATGTAGAAACATTTAGGAAAATAATTTTGAGTTTATACCTTTATACCTTTTCAAAATATTGTTGTCTTATACCATCTTTAATCCATAACTCCATCTACAATACATTTTTTCATTTTTGCAGGTCTGCGGTGTGGAGTAATCCCATCTCCAAATTATATTTAAAATATTAATGTTTTATCTGTTAGTTTGATTAATTAATTAATTAATTATATTTGAATTTTGATTATTTTGAATTATCTTATATAATTAAATTAACCTAAAATTGTGGCTCATTTTTTTTTTTTTTTATTATAAATACTCTTACATACTGGTTACTAAACCTATTCTCAGAAAATTAGAATACACTATTGTTATTTGAGAACCAGAGTTTGGCAACATCGTTCTAGGGTCCACGATCTGGCACTGTCTTCGGAAGTAATGGCGGAAGGTTTGTTTAAATTTCGCTTCCGCTAATATATTTGATTATATGCTTATTTTCTAACATTATCATACAGTATTTGTATATTATCATTGTTCGATAAATGATTGAGCGTTGAATTAAGATCACATTACAGTCCATCTGAAATTTTCCAACGTTTATAACAATGAAAACGACAGACGGATGGATAATGGATGAGGAGGGTCAACGTCAATCATATTGGTAAACATTAGGGGGGCCGGGGGCGAATCGTCTTTTAAGTTTTTAGCACAAACATTTAAATAAAGAATTACCCCATCCGTCTCGTATAATTGGACATGATTTTAAACAAAGTATTCGCCACTTAGCGGATAGTTGTTACCCGATTCAATTAGCTGATATTTATTAATTGATTCAATTAACTGATTTGACTAGCTGATTTGATTAACAGTTTGTATTAAAATATTTGTAAAACAACCATTCAATATTAGTTGTTTATACATAACATAACAGTTGACGACATTTCAATTATATTTTTTTTTCTAACGTATTCAATTGTGTTTGAAAATTTTTGTAATTAGTTATTGAAATTTGTAAAAGTGTTATAAAATAATATTTATTTTTATTATAGTTAGATTTAAAACGTAATATATTTTTATCGAAAATATAAATAGTTTTTCTATTGAAAATGATGTAAAATATAAAATAATAAATTTTTCGTGAATATATTTATTATATTAATTATCGATTAGTTCATTATATTTATAATTTTTAATAAATTTAATTTATTTTTAATAGAAAATTTATATAATATAATTTTAATATAAAAATAAATTATTAATATTTGTATTTTCTATTTTGTATTGATTTTATTAAATTTATATATTTTTCAATTAAAATAATTTATATATAAAAATTAATTATTTTAAATTTGTAAAAGTAAAACTATAATATAATAAAATATCTAATATAATTAATAAATAATCAAAATATATTTATTGATATAAAATGTATAATAAATTTTTAAGGACAAACAAGGAATAAATATATTTATTGATATATTATTTCCGTTGGGTAAATTAGCTTTTCAAAAATTAGTTTTTGTTCCAAAAAATTATTCCAAAAAGTTAATTTAACAAACACTTAAATTAGTTGTTTGATTCATCAAACAACTAAAAACTATTCAATTAGCTAAATACTCTCTAAAAAGCTCCTAGTCAAACACCCTAAAATGAGTAAAAAATAATTTTTTTAGTAAAAAAATTATAAAAATGATATTTTTTTTCATTTAAAAATAAAAACAAAAATATCTTTGAATAAAAACCTTTAAAAAAATAAACCTAAATTTAAATGACATATGAAATATTAACACAATATGTCTCCATATACAGCTATTTTTACAAATGACATTATTATTCTTTTATTTCAATATAAAAAATAAATAACTTATTTTTCCTTAGGGTAGACTAAATAACGATAAAAATATATATATATATTTTTAAAACTATTATATTCGTAATATGAAAATTATTTAATTTAAATTGGATAAAATAATTCGCTCTCCCTCGTTAAAAAGAAAAATGTTCAAATTTTTAGATACAAATTGTAATACTTATTTCGTCTCACATGATTTATTTATTATTTTTATTCTTGTTTCTCCCACATAATTTGTTATTTTAATTTTTGAAAATATAATTATATATTTTAATTACATTTCAAAAATTATAGTTTATTATTTTTTATTTTAATTAAATAATTAAGTCATCTTAATCTTAATTTATAATTATTTTTATTAATATACTTTTTAATTACCTACTAATTATTCAATGCCTAAAAGTCTGACATAAAGTGGACAATGTGAGATGGAGGAGATATGAAATACTCCCTCCGTCCCCAATCTAATTTTAGGAATATTAATATTATATTGAGATAAAGTAGAAATAAAAAAGTAAGAAAACTAAATTAACCCTATTAGTATTGTATGATATAAACGTAATGACATTTGTGTAATATATTGTAAATTAGAAGGGTATTTGTAATGTTAGGTAGATAGTACAATTACTGAAAAAAAGAAACGGATACTTTGTTATGGGATGGACCAAAATGAAAAAATGGATAGATTGTTAAGGGACGGAGGGAGTATATTTTTATCTTTTATACTCTCTCCGTCTGATAACTAGGTATCCATTTACTTTTTACACGTAATTTTAGAAATATAGTATTATATTGAGATGTGGTATAAATAAAATAGAAATGAATAAAATAATCTTATTAGTATGGTGTGATATCCATTTACTTTTTACACGTAATTTTAGAAATATAGTATTATATTGAGATGTGGTATAAATAAAATAGAAATGAATAAAATAATCTTATTAGTATGGTGTGATATCCATTTACTTTTTACACGTAATTTTAGAAATATAGTATTATATTGAGATGTGGTATAAATAAAATAGAAATGAATAAAATAATCTTATTAGTATGGTGTGATATAAAGACAATGGTATTTGTATAATATATTGTAAGGGTATTTGTAATGTTAGGTAGATAATACAATTATTAAAAAAAATTGATATTTTATTATGGGACGAACTAAAATAAAAAAAAATAGATATTTTGTTATAGAATGGAGTAAGTACTATAAATAAAAAATAAGGATGTTATAAATAAAAAAAAAAAAAAAAAAGCAAGAATTTATTGTCAAGAGAAAGTTTGTCATTTGTTTCGATTGGATTTTTTACTTATTTGAGATTTTTCCATTTTATTTGATTTTTTCTAAAAATCAAATATAAAATTTTTATTTAATACTTTCTCTATTCCTCAATTTTAGCTCATTTTAGGAAAGCATGAAAATTAAAATAATATGAATATTTTATGAAAAAAATTAAAATATATTTTACAATATATAATTATATAATTTGTTATTAAAATATATATTTTATATTATTTTAATATTTATTACTTTCTTCATGAATATTTCGCTACAAACAAACAACATAGTAACCAGTAACCGGGACGGGATGTAGGTACTACTCCATGAGTCTCAATTTTACTATTTTTATGTCCATTTAAAAATATTTATTTTATATTATAGTAAAAATAATTAAATAATTATGTTAAAATATTTTTGATTTTTATATTTCCTTCTAATTCAAAGTAATTTGTTTATTATTTTCTTTATATATTATTTCAAAATTTTATATTTTTTATTTTTTATAGCCCATTCAATTGAAATGAATTGAGCATAAATTATAAATATATTTTTTATTTTCTATATTTTAAAAAAATCGCATTCTTGCAGCTATATATAGTGAAAATATAAAAAGTAATATCAAAATCATTTTATATTATATATTTATCTTAATAAATAAAATATAAATACTATTATTTTAAAATTTATTATAAAATTAAAAATAGATTGTTTGAATGAGTATTATAAAAATGGAATCGCGTCTAGTCTAAGCACGTGGGCTAGTTGGCCCTCATTTATTGGTGGTTGGTCGTGGGCAGCCAAATTAATGGCTATTTTTCTTTTTTCCTTAAATTTCGTTTTCTCATATATTTTGACTTGCGGCACCTCCTTCCCTTCAAATACGCAATCTTCAACCCATTGTCGTCACATTTGCCTCTTTTTTTCCACAATATGGATATGCATCCTCTATTACATTATATTACACCCAAATATCAATATCTTTTTTATTACAAATGTTTTTTATTTTTTGGACTCAAACTTACACGTAAGTTGTAACTGTTAAGACCATTTCTCCCTCATTTATTAGGATAAGGAAAAATAAGAAAAAATAGATTGAAATATATGCACAAATTTAATACCGTGGAGCCCTTAATACCCACCATCTGCACCTATAAATTTCTTACATAATCATTTGCATTTCCTCAATATTTTTCTGCACCAAATATGAAGGGCCAATCCAATGGAGTCTCCACTTCCTCAAGAAGGTTTTTATTTATTTTTTTTAATGATTTTTGCATTTTGAATACTAATTTTTTTTATATTTTTATTTTTGTTATTTTGTTTTGAAATAATTGCAGATTGGAAGGTAAGGTTGCCGTCATCACCGGCGGCGCCAGCGGGTTCGGCGAGGCCACGGCGAGGCTGTACCTCCGGCACGGCGCGAGAGTGGTGGTCGCCGACGTGCGCGACGACATCGGTCAGTCCCTCTGCGAAGAGCTCGGACTTCCCGATCAAGTCTCCTACTTCCACTGCGACGTCGCTAACGACGCCGACGTGAAAGCTCTGGTGGAGTTCGCCGTCGACAAGTACGGCGGACTGGACATCATGTTCAACAACGCCGGGATCACCGGAAACCACGATTTCTCCATCGCCGACGCCGACAACGACAACTTCAAGCGCGTGTTCGAGGTGAACGTCTACGGCGCGTTCCTCGGCGCGAAGCACGCCGCCAGAGTGATGATTCCGGCGAGGAAGGGCGTCATACTTTTCACGGCGAGTATCGCCTCCGTCGCCTCCGGCGAGTCGCCGCACTCTTACACGACGTCGAAGCACGCGGTGGTGGGGCTGATGAAGAACCTCTGCGTCGAGCTGGGGCAGTACGGCGTACGGACGAACTGCATATCGCCGTGCGCGGTGGCGACGCCGCTGCTGACGGCGGCGATGGGCGTGGACAAGTCGGTGATTGACGACATCATCTCCGCTTCCGCCACTCTGAAGGGGGTGGTTCCGACGGCGGATGACGTGGCGGAGGCGGCGGTGTATCTCGGCAGCGACGAAGCCAAATTCATCAGCGGATTAAATCTGGTGGTCGACGGCGGCTACAGCACGACGAATCAGAAATACATTAGAGAAATGAAACGTGTTCTCGGACCTCCGGCGCCGTCGTCGTCGTCGTCCTGACTCGGCGCCGCCATTTTTAGTCTGAAGCTATTTTAATTTACAGGCAATTATTGAAACAGTTGGGATTTGGCGGTGTAATTGCAAATCTGGTTTGTACTTAAGACATCTTTAAGCTATATATAGATTACAATTTAAATATAGTTTTTCTGTCCCGACAATTATATTAATAGATAATAATAATAATAATAGACAAAACTAATTATGAAAATAATTTAAAAAAAAAACCAAATAAATGAAAATGCAATGAATGATATGCACGCGCCTTTTATGCTAAATTGAATACCTTATACACATCACATTAAATTCGCCAATAAATAGCAATGCCTTGACCATGAATTTAAATATTCATCCGTAACTTTACCTAATTCTCAAATCCTTGTAAATCAAGCAGTGAGATATTCCTCGCTTGAGGGTTGGGTTCAGGTTCGATCCTGGGCGTGGCTGCGTCATGAACAATGTACATAGTTTTCTTCATGAGAAAAAAATGAAATTGCTGAGCAAGAACTCTGCTATGACTAATCACATATATTAGAAAGTATATTTATATTTAGGAAGTGGGAGAGGTTGTGGAAAGGCCTAAATATATATATATATATATATATTTATATATACAGGAACAGGAGGAATTGGTTGATAGAATGTGAGGAAAAGTAAATACAACTAGTGTCGGCAGCCCGGCAAGGCTAAGTGGGAATGGAAGTGGCCTGCTCTGAATAATTCAGTGATCCAACTCACCAATCCTAACACATCCACTAGGGGTGTGTTTGTTTCAGGTTTTTCATTTTGAGGTTGGATTTAAATAGTAAATTTGAATTGAAATAATTGTATAATGTGATATAAATAAGTGTTGATGTGATATTTTGAATATAAAAAATATTGATGTGATTTGATATTTTTGAGAATTTTTTTCCTTTAATTGCATAATAGAATTTGGTGAGAATCCCAAACAAACACACCCTAGTGCGTTTTTTTTAGACAGGTTTGGTAGTTTTTTATTGTATAAACGCTGTTTGGTTTCAAATTACCCAGAAACCTACCCTACGGCTTTAAACTCTGCCGTATAGGTTTAGCTTCTGAAAAAAATAACGATGGGTTTGATTTTATTTTCAATTTTTTGTTATTATTGTTTTTATTATTATAATTTTTTTTTTCTTAGAAAAAACAAATATTTCGTCTGTTCTACTGTACTAGTAAAAATAATTATAAATCCAAGAGAAATAAATAATTTAATTAAAATTTAAAAAATTGTAAAATTTAAAATTAATAATATGATTAAAGTGGATAATTCAGATTTCAAAAAAAGAAACGATAAGTTACGTGGACAAACAAAAATAAAAAATAGAGACAAATGATGTGGGACGGAGAGACTAATAACTTGGAATAGTATGGACAATATTTTATCAAACTAATTATTTAATTATTTAATTATTATAATTTAATAAAATACTCCGTCCCTTAACAATCTATCTATTTTTTTCATTTTGGTCCGTCCCATAACAAAATATCTATTTCTTTTTCTAGTAATTGTACTATCTACATAATATTATAAATACCATTCCCATTTTCAATATATACACAAATATCATTACCTTTATATCATACAATACTAACATGGTTAATTTAGTCTTTTTATCTTTATTTCTACTTTATTCAAATATAATATTAATATTTTTAAAACTCCGTGCAAAATACAAATGAATATATAAATATGGAACAGAGGGAGTATATACAATATAAATATCATTTTCTAAAAAATAAAATTTTATATAATATAAATAAAAAAATTAAATATTTATTTATGTACATGATAAATCTCAAATTATTATTAATTTATAATTTAATATAACACACATTTATATTATTATATTTATTATTCCTTAAATAAATTAATGTACATCGAAATTTTAAAAACTCAAAACTAAATTTACAAATTCAAAAAAACAAAAAAATCCTAAAATTTAAACTCAAACCAAATTTTTTCAAATTACACCTACCCTAATACATATACACCTTCTCCTTCTCCTTCTGTTCAAATAGTATTTATTATTGTTATTATTATTATTATTAAAGCTATTACAAAATTTTTTGAAAAAGTGTGGGATGTAAAGAGTACAAATCACGTTGCTCTGTTAAAAGAAATCATAAAAAAGAAAATGGCACTAAAATCAAAGCAGGATTCCTGACATGGAAATTAGTTATTAATTGTAATTCCTTCATTCATTGCATTATTATTAGGATTAGTTTAATGACTAGTTTGTTTAAATAGGAGTTTTTTTTTTTTTTTAGTATTTTAAAAATTTGAAAGTTTGAAAAAGTAAAAAATTAATATTTAATTTGATAAAAAAATATATTTGATATGATATTTTTTTAAAAATTAACATATAGCCTGATTAATTTCTCTTTCCATTTGCGTGTTATAAATTTGATGCAAAAAGTCAAATACAATTTGGTAAACCCAACACAAAGTCAAATACTCACCCCTGCTACATTTCTCCTGATCTATCTGGCTTCGAATTCTAAAACTCATCTCCAATGGCGAAAAGGTCAGCTTCAAATAAATAATTTCGAAATTTAATGAAATATACATTCAAATTGACATGGATGTCTTTGTTGCAGGCTAGAGGGTAAGGTCGCCGTCGTCACCGGCGGCGCCAGCGGCATCGGCGAATGCACGGCGAGGCTATTCGTGCAGCACGGCGCAAAGGTCATAATCGCCGACGTACAAGACGAACTCGGCCAAGCAGCCTGCCGAAGCATAGGCCCACCGGAGGTCATCTCCTACGTCCACTGCGACGTCGCCGACGAAGCCCAAGTCGAAAACGCCGTCGACGCAGCCGTCTCGAGGTTCGGAAAGCTCGACGTAATGTTCGCCAACGCCGGCGTCCCAGGGAACAACGACCCCCAAATCCTCGCCACCGATTACCAGGACTTCCGGCGGGTTTTCGACGTCAACGTCTTCGGCGCATTCCTCTGCGCCAAACACGCCGCCAGAGTGATGACGGCGCGGAGGAGAGGGAGCATTATTTTCACGTCCAGCGTCGGATCGGTGACTTACGGCGACGTACCTCACGCTTATATAGCGTCGAAGCAGGCGGTTGTGGGGCTGACGAAGAATCTGTGCATCGAAATGGGGAAGTATGGGATCAGGGCAAATTGCGTTTCTCCGTTCGGCGTGGCGACGCCGATGCTGGTGAAGGCTCTTAGGGTCGACGGCAAGGAGAAGGCTGAGGAGTTTGTTTCGCAGATTGCGAATCTGAAAGGGGAGAAGGTGGAGGAGAATGATGTGGCTGAGGCTGTGGTGTTCTTGGCTAGTGATGAATCGAAGTATGTCAGCGGGCAGAATTTGGTCATCGATGGAGGTTATAGCCTCACCAACGTAGCTCTTCGAGAAGAGATCAAGAAACTCGCCTCTTTGGATTGAGAACTACGAGGGTCTCTTTCATCTTTGTTTGTTTGTTTGTAATGACAGAGACATTAATGTCATGTTATGTTGTGTTGTGTTTCTTCCTCGTTCAGTTCTGTGATTTCCAGTGGAAATGAATACAAATAAACAGTTGGGCTACGGAGAGAATTTGAAAACGTTTATGGGCTGAATTGCAATTATGAAGCCCAAGCTGATACGTGTGTAATAATGGTTGTTGGATGAACGCCAGGCCCAAATCTAAGCCCTAGCTAGGAGGATTCGGGATTGATTCCTTCCGCTGCCGCCGCCGCCGCAGTTGCCGGGAATGGGTTGTGTTTGGACGAAGACGGTGAAGAAATCTTTCCGTCAGGTAATAGAGAAGCACTAATCGAAGATGACTTTTGACTTCCACACCACCAAGAAGATCCTGGAAGAGGTTGCGCAACTAGATAGCTGGTTTTTCGACTCATTGATGAAGCGAATTTAGAAGAAGCCAGTCAATGGCATCTCGCTGAAGATGCAGGAGAAGGAGCGCGAGCGCCGCATGGATTTCGTGCCCGATGAATCGGCCATCAAGGTTGACCAGGAGATAGTCATTAAGGATCAGCGAGGAATTTGCTCAGAGAGGACCAGGGTCCAGTTGGCATTGCGCCGCCTATGAACTAAGGCCACGGTGGTGGCCGGCGATACTGAGGTATGGGATTTTTCAGGTTAGACGATTCGCTGGATGCTGTTTTATTATAGATTGTTGCTTCTTGTGATGAACATTTTCTATGCAAAATTCTATTCGTTCTGCAATACCTCTGAAATTTAAGACAATTGGAGGTTGAATAACTTTACACAATTTTTGTTGTTAAACCCAAATCTTGTTCTGATTGCCTATTGCTAATAATTGAGTCCTCAGGTATTATATGTCTCTCATTATCTTGTCATCCTCGTGCAAATGTTACCTGCCTACTTGTCTTCTGGAGACTTTTGTGTTGGCTGCTGTGGTGAATTTTGTTTGCTTAAAGGTTACTCTTTTTTCCCACTTGTTGCTGATCAAATCAACACAATTGGATATATCCCACAATAAATTTCTATTGCTCAAGTACACCTAAAACACTTATGAGGTTCTGTCATGTTTCCTAACAAATCCACGGGAATAAGTTCTTAGAATACATACATGGGCATTCATGTTATTCCAAACTAGCTTAAGAACCATCCCTTCCCTTCTTCATTAGATATACAATTGAAGTTATGTAGGCCCAAATCCAAGCGAGTAGTTTCTGAATGTAAACTAATGGGCTTTTGCATGTAGAAAATTTCAAGTTTTCAAGACTTGTCCCAAGACAGGCATTACCAGTCATAGTAGCAGCAGGATGATAAATTAAATAAACATGGAATTTGATCAGTTTGTGGGCATGAATACACGTCTTTTAGAGGTAAAATGGCCCAAACTTACTGCATGTTTGTTAATAGTGTTAGTACTGAAAGGCCCTAATAGAACAAATAGTGCAAACCAGGAAATTAATTTCAGATGGGGTGGCTTAAAGAGCTAACATTTATTCATGAATTCAATGTACGTAGCAGAGTCATAGATGACAACTGTAGGAACTTGAATGTTCTTCCTTTCTTTCATTCCAATTTCTCATAATTACAGAAGTGCAGTACAGATTTATCTTGCAGTTTTAATGCTATCATCTCACATGACATCTATATGCTACTATAACTACAAAGTAAGGATCAAGAAATTAAAATTGTATATATATGGTTGGACAAGAAAAAGACATGATAAATAATGGAAATTAAGAGGAGTAAGAGGAGGGGCATTGTGGGGGGTGGGGTGGTGTGGTGTAGTCAAGATCTGTAATTAAAAAGGGGAGGGGGTGCCAGCAAGCAAATGATCATATGTGATGTTAATGCTGCTGTGCAATGACTCCCAATTCAATGAGGGGAAGTTGAGGTTTTTAATTCATCCCATCATCAATTAAATTGAATTGAATTGAATTGGATACGCCACTTGTGATGATTGTTGATGATCATGCCTATCATGTTTCTGTTTTAATTGAGATATTTGTGATTATCATTTGGAATTTTAATTGTGATTGCGCATGCAGTGCCCACTTCTTTCAGCAACAACCTAATCCACTTATAGTGTTGATTAGTCAGACATTGAAGATATTAATATTTGGAGGAATTATTGGAACACAACTCCAAATAACTTCATTTGAATCAGTTGCTTTGGTGGTTTTGAAATTTATTATTGAATTATTTCTTCATTACAAGTTCCAAATATTTGATATATTTGTTCCTCAATCTTCTTCATTCTTGATGAGTGAGTAATTCATAGCAGCTAGCTAAAAAGGGCTTTCTTTGCTGTTAGTTATACGATGTTTTCATCATCAATTTAATTTTTATAATATGAAGTTCTGTGCGACCTTCTTTCTCCTACTCTTATTACATTTCCCAAATTGAGGATATAATAAATTCACAAAAGATGAAAAGGATGCATGGGCCTACACTGTTCTCATATTACATTGACTGAAAAACAGTATATATATATATATATATATATTTTCTACTGCTATATAAAAATGTGTCAAATTTAACAAGCCCAAGATTGTGTTCTTTTTTGCCTTATTGAGCTTTTTACCGGCCGTTTTTCACGCAATACTTTCATTTCATACGGGTTTTCTTTTCCAAAGTTTCTTACTTTCTTTCATCCTTGTTGGTATGGATAATACATAGGTTGGGAAACTCAAATAAGTGCTAAATAAATGTAATAGATATGTGTTTTTTTGCATCCTTTCATCTTTGCTGGTGTAGATGATATATATGTTAGGGAGATTCAAATAAATTGTGTAAAGAGAATTCGAAAGGTAGATAAATGAAGTGGACATGTTTTTTTAAGTGTCCTTTTTAAAAAAATAAATAAAAAAATATTAGAATATATAGCCGTTATTATTCAAGTGGGTAAATTTCCAGCCTGAGTGTAATTGCATGCAAACTATGCTAGTAAAAAAAAATAAAAAAATCACACCATGCATAGGCCAATAAAGAAGAATCAAAGAGCTAGATAAATAAAATGGCTATAAATTGCTCTTGTTTTGATTATCTAGCTCTTTGATTCTCTTTATTGGCAAAGAATCCTCAGCTCCCATTAATCAAGATGTCAAAATCTTTTCTTTTTCTGTATATTATTATTATTATTACACAAAATCATAATGAAATAGAGAAGTGGCTTTTGGGAATGGATATGTATTATTTTATTTGAATTTCTGCATACCAAGATAGGCATTCTAGTAACACGAATTCCTTGTGAGCCGTACATTTAACTTATATGGCTTATCCTATTACATTTAGATGCATTTAATATTTTTTGATAACTATGTATATAGCAAATGAATTTTAGAGACATGAAATGTTTGAATTTGTGATTTTATAATCATAACTTCACCCCATACCAATACAATAGATTATTGTCAACATGAAAATTGGGAGGGTAGCAAGTGAGTGATTTGTGTTTACCATAGATAGTCTTTGTCCTAATATGTGATGGAAATAGAAAAATTACAGTAAGAATAGATATGTTCCTGGGCTGTCAGTCATTTGACATTATTAGTTCCATAACCATTATATATATATATATATATGCTGCTAAAAAAAAGGATTATTATTGTTTATTTAATTACTTGCCTAAAATGGATTGCACAAGTACTTAAGAAAACATATTTGGCAAATTATAGGCAGTCCGTGCAAGAATTTGATCGCAAACAAACACTATTTATATACATGCATAATACGATTGGATTGATGATGGGTGACAGTACATAATAATAATAATAATAATAATAATGAACTCAAAGATAAATAGTACTAATAAAACTTTATTATTTCATTAATTCTGACTCGACATTTTGCAGACGACACAGACCATCATACTAAAGATATTTTCAACACCTCCCATTTTGTTTGGACCAGTATATATTTTTTCTGATTTGTTTTCAATTTAAAATCATTTTTTTATAAAAATTTATTTTTAATGAATTCTTGTGAATAAAAACCATAATATTCAATTTACATATAACTAATTCGTGTTGGGTTGTATTTTCAATCTGTTTTAGATATCACATCTTACACATTATTTTTATTTAATATCATATATATTTTCTATTTTTTTTTTTTAAAAAATAAATTTAGAATATATATATCATATTATCACTGTCACGATTCGAAAGTTATTATAAATAATGAATCAAATTTCTTCTTTTTCTCTAAGCAGACAGTACTTGATCAATTTGTGTATATATGGATATGGTATGAGAGATAATGGTAAGAATGGAAGCACCTTCATAGCCGCTTTCTAATTTGGGTACGTTAATAAGTTTGTTGAACTACTTGATTAGGACCTAATTTATTATTAATTAAGTTATGCCCAACTTTGTACTATTTAGGTCATTTATAGCATTTGAATTCTCACCTAAATTTAGCAGTCCAAATAAATTTCCAGTCCCCATTTCCTTTACATATTCTTCTTTCAACATAGAGAGTTTTATTTGGGAAAATTTTCTTTTAATTTTTAGCATGGAAATGACATATGGGGTTTGTTTGTTTAGTGTTTTGATTCAAAGAAATATATATATATATATATTTTATGTGAGGTATAAAGAATCTTGTTGGTAATAGAAAATTAATAATTTATATTAAATATTGCTTTTTGTGAAATGATAAAATATATATATATATTGAGAATTGTGTTGAGAAAAAATAATTTGCTGTATTTTCAAATTACGTTGTTAACCCATGTATTTTCATGATGAAAATTTGATATAGAGTTTAATGGGATTTTTTTTTTTTTTAAAAAAATAATAATAATAAAGAACAGCGCCTTTACTTTTAAATAAGATTTAAAATAAATTCTCATAGGTGATGAAATTAATATAAACAAAAACAACGTTGATTTTGGACTGTCAATACATTATTATGATCTATAACAATTTGTAGGGATGATAAAATGGGTTTTCTAGTCCTACAAATTTTTAATTAATAATATTGCATGAAATTATTCCAAATTTATAGCTGCTATATATGAATGTGTGTTATATCATTATCATAAAATAAATGAAAAGAACTATAGGTGTACATCACATACACACATATGCATATAATATAGTAACATATATCAGGAAATTTTGTTAGATGTATTTAGAATATAGTATTTATTAATATTAAACTTTAAAACTATTTTGATCTTAAAGTATACTATTTTAAATTGATATAGTATTGAAAAATATTTAAATTTAAAAGAGATGATTTAAAATTACAGTTAACTTTGTAAATATAAAATTTATTGCACCAAGTTTAAATTTAAAATGAATTTAATAAGAGTTGTAAATTTTCCTTAGCCCATTTTACCCAAAGGACTAAAATTATTAACGAGTCACGTGCCAAAAAATAAATTGTATTTATCTAGCTCCTTTAATAATTTTGCCTCTGCGGTAATAAATCGATGTAATGGATTTGGCTGTCAACTTTTTATTATTATTATTATTATTATTATTATTCATGTAATGAATGGGTTGGAGTGCTTTTGATTTCATTTGATATAATATTATAAATATATTATAATATTTTTCATGCACACATATACATACAAGAATGCATGATGAAAAATGAAAATTAAGCAAAATGTTTTAGACTTTTAAATTTACCCAAAAATTTGTTGTCAACATCCATTAATTAAGTAGTGTGTTACTTTTCTATATCATAAATATTAAATAATTTTTAGCATTCAATACGTGATTAAGAGTGTTAGGTGGTGGTGTAGGATTAAAGTGATTATTTATTTATTTATTTATTTATTTATTATTATTATTATTATTATTATTATTATTTAAAAAAAAATTTGATCTTGGCTAATGCCTAATGTAGGTAGACATACATATATTGCATTTGCAACTATGCATAAAGACAAACTATATATGAATTTTGTATATCTTTTTTTTTTTTTTTCTATAATCACATCATACCAATAAAAGTTCATATACAGCTTTGTCAAGAAATCTTTCATTTTAATTTAATTTCCTTCTAATATGTACAACAAATCACTATTCCAATAGTAGTGGCTATATATATATATATATTCATAAATAGATATATACAAATCATAATCCATAAAAATGAGTGAAATATATATTCTCAATATAGCAAAACATCAAAGACATAGGGAAGCTGTTATTTTCTCGCCATCCAATTGTGCTGAAATAATACTAAGTATGTCTTGTGAACTATTATTCATATATTGTATTTGTATTACATTATTAATTTATATTTCCTGTTATGTATATCATTAATTGAATAAAATTATTCAATGATATATTAAAATTATATATTTGTGATGGGTTTTATAATATAAGAAATAAAATGGAGTGTGGTTACCTCACAAAGTTGTTGAGAGGGTGTAAAGATTTTGACATCATATCAAGCTTTTTGATAACTACACATTAATTTCTTGGTGTCCAAAGTTGACATATCTATCTTATATTACATACCATTAATTAATTAATTTATTCTCCATCCATATCTACGTATATTTATATTTAATTATTTATTTATATACCTATATTTTAAAGGTACTGTAAAATGAATAATATATATATATATCATTGTAACCAATAAAAAACTGAACTCCATAAATTGTAGTAATTTATAATTGTTGGTATCCATAGTGATAAATCTCGAGTTGTTGTACTTGTAGTTTTAAATTATTTTGTTAAATTTTTAATACATAGTTGGGAAAGGTAGCATTGACAATTATGACATTAAATTAGACGTTGGAATTCAGAGGTTGCATTGTATATAATGTCACCTTATTTAATTATTAATGGAGTCAGTATAATAATTAGTTAACAAGGTGTAACACAACACTCCCCTCACTAATTAACATATAACGGATTTAATTAATTAATTGATTTATATGAGTTTGGTTTTACTTTTTTTCTCAATAATTCTGGTATTTAATTAAATATATAGGTGGCGAATACATTAATATATATATATGAAGCTAATTAATGTCTGTCACGCTCTTAGTACAAATTTTAAAATTCAACTTGCTTTGCACCATGTATAATTAATCAAATAAAATAAATTTCCATACTCTAAAAAATAAAAGAAAAATACAGTAATGGTGCAGTTGGATTTGTTAGACATTTAGTTGGGGTTTAATTAATATAATAATAATAATAATAATAATGGGGTGTTACAATTTTGATACTCATCAAATACGTAGGGTGAGTCGGTGGGCAATGAGTTATGCCCATCAGTAGTAATTATTGTAATTTACTTTACTACGATTCATTCTTACCATTCCCAACAAATTCCATTCAATTTAATTTAATTTACCTCTTTCCTTCCACCTCTCACCTTAATTTAATTAGCCTCTCTCTCTCTCTCTCTCTACGATTCAACGATTGTTGTTTGAGAGAGAGAGTGTGTGTATATATATATGTATGTCTGTATGTATATGGCGGCCAAAGAGGGTCCTCCGGGTCCAAAGCCAACAACCTCTGCTCAAATCAAGGTTCAAGGTGAGTCCTGTCTGTCGCAGCCATCGCCGTCGTCCTGCTCCAAATTTCAAACATACTTCCGGCGGCGGTCTTCTTCTTCGGTATATATATACATATATATATTCGGCAATTGTTTTTTTTTTTTTTTTTTTTTAATTTTCCAGCTTAATTTTGTCTGTAATAGTAATCGGTGTTTCTTAAATTAACTGCAGGTAATAGATTGATAGATAGATAGGTATTTGAGTGCGATGAGTCGTCGGAGTGGTGGATCGAAGCCTGAATTGAAGCTGAATGTAACCCCGGCGGCGCAGCAGGGGGAGTCGCCGTCGCCGTCGCCGTCGCCGACGAGGTCGTGCGTGTCGTCGGAGGGGGAGAGCAGCCCGGAGGCGACGTCAATGATGCTGGTGGGTTGTCCCAGGTGTCTTATGTACGTGATGCTGTCGGAACAGGATCCTCGTTGCCCTAAGTGTAAGAGCACTGTTTTGCTCGATGTCGTCCACCAGCAAAACAACCCCAACCCCAACCCCGCCGCCAAAAAGAGGAGTTAGCTTAACAGCTCCGCCGATCCTAAAACTTTAGAAATATTTAAAGAAGTCAATCGAATCGATAATAATATTATATATATATATATATAAAAATCTATATGGTAGTGTTGATTTCCTGCAATTAGCAGCACTATTGGTGCTCCATTTTTCAGATTCACAGTTATGGGAATGGAGCCTTAATAGTGCTGCTGCTGCTTCGATGGATCTTTGATCTTTGTTCTTTCCTTGTTTAATTTCGTAGCTAGCTTAGCTTCTTTGATTTGGGATTTAGCAGTGGTGGGATGGATCGATTTATGAATGAATCAATTAATTAATTATGACGATGATGGTTGTTTTGTTGGGCTGAGTGATTCCCTCCTTCATCTCCCCTGTTTTCTGCAGGGTGATTCGATCGATTCACTTTCTTCAGACATCATCGTTCCAATTAATCCATGAACCAGTGAAAAAAAAACACATATGATGTGAATATGAGGTGTAATTAATAGTAAGACGTGTATTGTATTGTAGTTGAACGTCGATGTTGCAATTAACCAAAAGCAAATCAAAGATACTACTGTACAATAATGATATTGGTGTGTGTGTGTGTGTGCGCGCGCATGTGACGTAATAATGAGGTAGCAGTAGCAGTAGCAGTAGCAAGCACCATCAAGGGAGGAGGGGCAATTATGTAAATTCATTTCATTTCAGTACCAGCAGCGTTGAAAAACAAAACCGATTGGGCGGGCGAGAGAGGTACGACGAGCATCTCTGTCTTCTGTTTACATCTGTCTATCTATCTATGCAAATGTCAAATATAGATGACATATAGATTGAAACCACCCATTTAAATCAAATTAAATTAAATGTAATTGAGTAATTCTTACGGTTGAAATTCTTCTTGGATCTGATCTGATCTGATTTTTGGGTTTGCAAATTGCAATTGCAATGCAATCTCAGTCACACTCACTGTAAAGCATCGTCGATATGACTGACTGACTGACTGACTGATTAGACCCATCAACAAAAGTGAAACTGGGGCATTAATTTTGTGCTAACTTGATTGATTAATTAATTAATTGATTGGGTGGGTGGGTTGGAATTGGACCGGATCGGGTCCTTGTTGTTGCCAAACTACCTACGTTGGTTGCATCCACAGTGGAAATGACAAGTGAGAGAGAGAGAGAGAGAGAGAGAGAGAGAGAGAGAGAGAATCCATCAAACATTTGACGTGACCAACTTCAACTTTCACTTCTTCTTTCTACTAAGGCAGTTGACTTTGATCTGTACTGAGATGTCGTATGGGCTACCATTTGGGTCATTGTCTTTATGGAGCCCAAATTGCATAGGCCCACTTTTATATATTATTATTATGAATAACACAATTCACAATTCAGTAGCACTCCAATTTCTTGAATCTCAACCCCCCCACCCATTACATTACATATGTCTCTCTCTCCAATTTGCATGTGTCTGATCCTTCAATTCACCTTCTTAGATCATGCATTTGGCTCCGGACAATCCAGGTGAAATTATTTTCGATTTCTTTAATTCATTGTTGTTTATTGTAGATAGTGGTTTTAGTACGGTTGATTGTCACTTGTCAGAAATATTATTTGGATCGTTGTGTCTGAAGGAATTATGGAGTGAACCTAAATAGGATGCAATCTTATCCTAAAATCGGCTGCAAATTGTAGAGTGTGGTTTTGTTTGTATAAAATTGGTTTAATTATAATGAGTGAATAGTAAAATTTGTAATATATAGTTTGGTTTTTCTTTTTTACCTTTATCTTAAGTAGATTGTGTTACCTTTTGGAAACATGGAAGCATCTCGCGATTCTGTTTTATTTGTAGTTTCACGTTGCAAATTCGAATGTTGTAGTTTCACTGCAACCTGTAATTACCCTTCAATGTGATATTCCTCTGTTTTGTTCACTGTGCCTTCGAGAAGATCAGGGCATTCTATTTCACCAAGAATGACGACGATTTGCTGGACCAGAATAGGCAGGTGTTCTTTGTGGTCTTGAAGATCCTTGATTGTGTGATTAGCTTCTTCTACTAGCCTAGTGTTGGCACAGTATCTCAAATTTAAGTGTGCCAGAGATCTCTATACGCTAGAGATCCTTGGTTTTTTTATTGCCTTTACTATGTCGACAAATTTTACTTCATAATACTAGTAATGTCAATCTAAGTACCCTGTGATATCATTACCATTTTTTCTTTCCACTGTGCCGGCTACATCTTCTTTTGTTTTTGAGTAGACAGGAATGCTTTTTAAGTATTGCGGCATGACTTCCATGAAAGATATAAATTACTGGCAAGTTGGGCGTTTCTTTAAAAGAGCAAGTTGTGTTATTTGAGAATTTGCCACTGAAAACTGCAAAGATGGTTTTGAAGAACTTGTGGTTTGATTGTTTAATGGCAAAGAAAGACATTGGGGATTGTTACTCTTTCATGAGATGGTTGGAGGTTGGTTTGTATGGCAATTTCAGGTAATTCCGGCCTTCGCTAACAGCCCAACTTTTCGATTTGCTAGATGTTAAGTTTGTGTTTGATGTGTTTGTTAAACATGATATTGATCAGAAGGTTGCTTTCTAAATCCCTGCTGTGCTCTGATCTTTTTGGAATCGTGAAAGGACGAGTTTGATTTCCTTAATCTTTAAAAATGTGTACTTACGGCAGGTGTAATCAACACATTGCTAGCTACAACTCTGTTGATAATATAACTGATTCTCTCCACCATCATATTGGTAGAACTCTGTTGAGGTATGTTTTTTGAACGGATGAAAGTGCTTTTAACAGTGCATGGTAGGAGAACATATTGGTATTAGATGAAGTGTTATTGATGAAGTAAGTAAAATACTTTTAGGAGGTGATATTTGAGAAAATTTGACTAAATTTATCAATAAAAAGTTGTCACTGCTTGGTCTATGATGCGCCCCAAATGAGTGTTGATTGGCTATTATTGCTTGTAGCCCTTATTTAACCCTGATGAACCGTATGTTGTTTTCCTCTGATTTTGGCAGTAAAATTTATTAGTTGAACTTAAGTCTACGCCGAGAGCAATTTCTGAATATTATCATATACTAGCTTGATATTTTTCTTTTGAAAATTGAATGTTATAAATGTTGCAATGAGTTAGCTTACAGGGCATTATTATATTATGTGCTTAATATTTGGATATGTACATAATATTATTATGCCCGTTCTTTGTTCCCCCAAGAGCTTTTACAATGTATATCTTTGAAATTATGTCAATGTTTCAACTGATGTTTTACCCCTTTGCCTGTTTGGTATTGGTTGAGGGTGACCTTTAAGGGCATCTTAAAATGATCACTGGTTATTTGCCCTGCAGCTTTCAGATGAAGTTGATCTTGAAAGGCAGAAGTTGAAAAGAGTCACGATCTTAATAAAAAATGGGATGCCCAGATGCAATGCTGCTCCTTTTGCTGGAATAGAACATATGTCTCTTAATATGATGCTTTTCTGTGGTGAATTGTGGATAAGAAACTGATTATGCTTAGACAAGTTTTGATCTCCCTGCTGCAGAAGGTTAACTATCCTTAACAAGAAGTAATTAATGTTTATCCATAACTGTTTCAATATTAATATGCATTTAGAGTTTATGGATAATACTAATTGTATTTGTGCTTGCATTTCATGATCCATCAAATCTACAGTGAATTGTTGGCGAGCACTGTTGGGGTTATCCCTAAGTGCCGGAGGCTAATAATGCAGGATTGGCTTGGCTGGGGAAGGATCGCTATCTTTTGTAGGATGGCCACTTGTTATTTGGTCTGTAAGCATGTAATGAACGGTCCCCCATGCCTACTCAACATCCAAGAATGACAGAAAGGTCAGCCTTGAGTGTATTTAGGATAAAGTTCGTGTTTTGAGATTGTTGTTAGGGATTTGGGTGATTGAATGTTGAATTTGGGTTGTGCCCATATTAAAAGGCACATGGCATTTGTTTATCTGGATTTGAATTGATTTAGTAGCACTCTGTTGCTATTCATTTAAGGAGGTATGAAAGGATGATAAATATTCATGTTTCATTACAATCTCAATTGCCACATAGGTTTCCATTATTTTAATGACTTTCACATGATGTTTCCGCCACTTAGATCAGATCCCCTTTTTGTGCTTTCAAGATTCTCAAATGAAACCCTTTTCTGTGGTTGCTCTTTATCTCTCTCTTTTTAAACACCCTTTGTTTTTTTTTTAATGATCTACTATCAACTGTAATGAAGTAAACGAAGTTTTGTCTGAGATTCATTGAATTCAAAACCCCTGTGGAGGGCAGTGATGAAATAAAAGTTTCCAACTGCCTCCTCTTTATTACCTCCTGCATGGATGGGACATGAATTTTGCTTCCATCCCTTCAAGTTTTCACACATTCAAACAAATTTAGCATTTGCATTTATTCTTCACAACTTCAAACTGCAGAAAATCTTCCCTTAAATGTTCAATCAATTGCTTACACACTCTCTAATGCAGTAACTTCATCACCTGTCTTGTATTCAATGGATTTCTGCAATCCCTTTGGCTGGAAGTTGAATGTCCTTATCTTTAACACACTGCCACAATTTTCTTGAAAGTATTATTGTTAATTCAAAAACAATGTAATATGATCATCACCACAAATGTTATGGGCTGGTTTCTATTGTGTTATCCTGAATATTGTTTGCTTGATTTTTCGTTCAGTACAGACAAAAAAAAAAGAAAAACTTGAAGGTTTCCATGTGGCAAGTTTGATTGTCTGGTTTGTTTTATTGCTTGATAAATCTATGAAATGAGTTAACTATATTTAGTATTTTTTATATATATATTTCAAATTGTGTCCCTACAGATTCACAAGCTGTCTTCGAACCTGAAATCGAATCAAATGGGGAGCAAGAAGAAAATGAAGAAACTCCCATTTCTGTGTCAAGCTTCAGAAACCACTTGGCCATGGCCGACCTGCGTCAATGATCCGGCGACCCACTCTTTCCGTGGCGACAACATCATCTCCGGCAGCAGAAACGCGGCGGCGGACGATCAATTAGCGGAAACTTCTGCCTCATCAAACCTGCAGGACGAGATGGCTGTGATTGGAGGGGTGATGTCCGAACGCCTGTTCTTCGAACCTGAAAAGACAAATTCTATCCTGGAAGAAGGGAATAAAGGGCAGGACGAGTTCGCCGGCGCGGTGGCGTTGGTGGAAATGGAGTCCATGGAACCAGTTCTGGATTTCAGGACTTCCATGGAGGAAATGGTGGAAGCTTACTGCGGATTGAAGGATTGGGATTGGGAGTGCCTGGAAGAGCTGCTGGCCTGCTACCTCAAAGTCAATGGCAGACACAATCACCACTATATTGTGGGAGCATTCGTGGAATTGTTGCTGCTGCATCTTGACGTGGCAGTGGCCAAGAATGGCGGTGCATCCGCCATTGATGATGAGCACTGCCCCTGCGAGTCTTCTTCCTCCAGCACTGTTCACTGTTCCTTCACATGTTCTTCTTCGACATACTCCTCCACCACACCATACTGTTTGTCTGCCCTCGAAATTGAAGACGACGACGACGAAGAAGATTTAGAGTAATTGCACCAACGAATTTAAGTACTGTGCAATCTCTATATATAAATATGTATGTATATATATATACAGATATAATATGTCTGGTTTTGAAATATTTGAATACAATTTGCCTGATGTACTCCATTGCTTTGATTGATTCAAGTTTTTATTTCATTAAATGAATCCACGTAATTACTGCTAGAAAATTTTATAGTGAAAGTATATAATTGAATTCAATTCTGCAGAATTCCGATCCATTCCATGTCCGGCTGTGAATTTCAGCCAAAACATTGCTCGTCTGTGAATTCATCTTTAAAGATGGACTTCCATTATGCATACAGGAGACAGTGACAATCACTTCAAAGTTGAAAGCAACAATACCACTTGAATAATATGTATATTAATATATATATTCATATTTATTTAGAGAGAGAGAGAGAGAGAGAGAGAGAGAGAGAGGGAGTGGTCCAATCCCAGTGTGTCAACTGTGTTAGTACCACTTTCTGAAGGTTTGCAGTGATATGAAGATGGCGATCCAGAAATATATGAGAAAAAACAAGTCTGTATGTTTACTGGAACATAAGCTGAAGAAAGTTCGAAACTTTTATCTATGAATATATTAAGTATTATGAATTTGAGGGAATGAAAAACATAAGTGCTTTTATCCTGATTATTATTATTATTTTTTTTTTAAAAAAAAGGGTTTTTCTTTCTATAGATTCTCAAGCATTTCTTGTCCAGATAAAAGACACAGAACAAATTCCCTCACTTGGTCTTGCTAAGGCATCTTATCTTGTTCTTAATTTCTTGTCCTTTTGGACCAAGAGTTGCAGAATGAAACAAAAAGCTTAAATATTCTCTCATGGGCATGGCCTGCTGATGAGCAGAATGTTGCTGGAGGAAAGATTGATTATCTAACAAGTGAATGCAGTGGTCCTTCCTTTATTCAAATTCATATTATTGTGATTCAGAAATATCCACATTCAAAATAAATAAATAAAATACTGGATATATATATATATATATATCTGAATAGGCTTTCAAATGAAGATACATTTGAACATATCTAAATATAGAATACGAAATTGAAAGAATTCATGGAGACAGCCTACCACAAAATGCTCCAAATTTTGCGTAGTTTCAGTTGTGGATCCAAAGCTAATTAAAAAAAAACCAGATATTATCATTATTTATTTTTTTTTATAACATTTTAAAAATCATAATTTGCTTGTATATATACCATTGATGGATTACATGCATGCATAAATCTCAGAGCTTAGATTCTTATCTGTCCCCGAAACTTCTAAACCCTATCCTGTCTGCACCAGAATCCTCAAAGTCAAAGATTCCACTAATAACACATGACAAAATTAATCATATATTTATATACAACATTAGCAGTCATACAAATTAAATTTTTATAAATCCCAAAGCATATCATATAAACATATCTATCCCAATTCAACCTCTTCCATCACTACTTACGTAGCAGTCAATAAATTGCCAGTTGGATCACCATTAAAATATATAGTCCACTAATGAATTAATTATCTGCTTTCCACTAATAGACTTTTGGCTTAGACATTTTCAGTAAAGAATTTTCATTCATTTCCAAGAAGATTTTTAAATATTACTAGTATTTAATATTATTATCATTATTATTGTAGGAGAAATGAATATCACAACTACTACTGAACACTGCTTTTATTTCTTCCATATTTTTGTATTATTATTATGACATCCACTGGTACACAGTCACCTTCCTGCAATTAATAAATGATGGGCCGAGGCCCATTTCACTATTCCCTTATGAAAAAAATTAAAAAAAAAAAAAGAAATATTCATTTCATATTGATACATATATATATATATGCATACTATTGCCAGAAAATGTTTAATAGTCTATGGTACTTCAATATAGTGTACTTTATTTAACTGTATTAACTCCTCATTGATTTCAATTAAATTTATGGCATTGCATTGCTAATGAATTCCCGATTGCAGAAAAGTAGTAGTAATATTTTGGTGTAAGAAAATTAAGATTAAATAAACAAATAGGGGCGTAATTGTGAAGGGCAGACAGGGTTTCAGGTCGATCACGACAGCATATCATTATATATGATTCAGTTGTCAGTGAAAAGTTTTCATCTTCCACGCATTAACTAATTCAATTTACTGAATGGGAGTTTACTGTTGAAAATGACCCAACAAGCTTGCCCAAATTTCCATGCAATTATAGTGTACAGAAAATGACTTTTCTTAAAAATAAAAAATAAACATAAAAATAAAACAAGAAAGGAAACATGGGCAAGACTGTGTGTGTACTAACCTTTTAGGGATTGGAAGTGTAGTTTGTGGAGGAACAAGATTGAAGAAAATGGGTTTCAGATGTCCCTATTTGTATCATGATTCTGATGTAAGAAAAAGAAACAAAACACTGGAGATCATATTACATATATCATCTGTGAGAAACAAGAAAGCTGCTTTTGTTTCTATCTCCTCAGCATAACCTTTTCACCACTCCTTGTATTTTATTTTATTTCTTCTTTTTTGGTTTCTCCTTTTAGTATATTATCTGGTTTCATTGTTCATGTCGAATGAATGGACAACAAGACAACCCCATCAGATATATATGCCATTTTAATAATCTAATCTAGTTTTAGATATAAAGTGAAATGACATGATAAGATATGGGAACTATCCTTTCAATAAATTTCAAGCCCAGTGTCACACTTTCTCTGTGTGTGTGTCCACTTAAAAGTCCATTGTTATTAAAATTATTATGGATTTAATTTCAATTTTAATCACACAGGGAACAATCACATATAGGCAAACCAATCACTTGCCGACACGTGTCGAAAGATACCAAATTTATTAAGCTTTGGTGGCCTCTGCAACTATTTAATTAATTGCCTTTCATTCAATTCAGTCACTGCCCAGTGCAGAAGACTACTTACAGTTTTGTTTTGTATTTTTCAAATTAAATTTTCGAATCCCAACGTCTATCTTTTCACACCCACACCACGAATTCACCAGAAAATAAAGAAATTATTATGGTGCATTATTTGGTTTCAACCAAACATGTCCTTAAGACAAAACCCCAAGCCATTGCCAAGAACAATTATTAATTGCCCCAAATTAACAATTTTTACAGGCTGGCCTGGATTTGATTGGATTTAACACTATGCTTTGAATAAGCTTTTGATAATTCTTCAAGCCCTTCTGACTACTGACTCACTCACTCAGTCGTATGATCAAATCTTACCATATCGTCTCTAACTTTTTAACCATTTCTTGTACTGTTCTTACCCACCCACTGCTCGGTCGTCTGACAGATGTACCTGGTTATATTATTGTGATATGGCCAAGATTTCGATCTCTACCAAAAGCTGCTGCTGGGATGAAACAAAAACCAAGCCAAGAATTAATCTTTAATTGGGACTAGTGCATTAATCACTAACATTGACGATTAATAGTAGAGAAGGTTACAAGATTACAATTTTCACAGAATTTTTGAGGAGCACTCGATCTCCAAAAATGCTGTGAAAATCTAATCTACAACTAGGAAATTCAAAGCAACATGAAAAATTAATTAAGGATGGAGTTAAATAAAAAGAAACCCATTTTGTACATTTGGGTTTCTCTATCAGAGTCTCTAATTAACACTGTTGTCAACGGAGATAAGATGGGATGCACGTGGCGGCCGGCGAGGTGGGCTAGAAGTCACGTGAGCGGCACATGGCATGCAGGTTGGGTGACCTGGCGGAGTAGACGCCGTTCCAGATCTCGGTAAAGGCGCGGACGATGGTGCCATGGTAGTAGGGCGAGTTGAGCTGGAGGAAGCAGTTGAGGAGCTCTTTGAGGTCGTCCTTGGAGTAAATCTCCCTCTCCAGAATCATCTGCAGCATCGACTGCCGGAAATCCAGGTACGGATCGTCGGAGTCCTTCTCCACCGCCACGCTCGCGCCGCCCACGCGCCCGAAACCCTGAACGGCTCTCAGGCTCCGGACGTCCGATTCCGTGTCGGAGGAGTAGCACGCCGTCGGGGTCTCCACCGCCGACGAGAACGTCGTCGTCGTCGTGTCCCACGAGCTTGCCGACGAGCATTGCCGCCGCCCCTGCAAGTGCGACGACCTCTGGCGCGGCCGCGGGTTGAACACGGCGGAAAGCTTCGGCCGCCGGCAGCTGCTGCTGCACCCCAAGCTCACAGTCAGGCTGCTCAGAATGTACTTCTTCTTGCCGCTCGACATTGTCGAAATTAGGGAAAGATTAAATCTTTTTTTAATTTTCTCCTCCTCCCTCCTCTATCGATTTTTTTCTCAATTTCAGGGCAGCAAGAGCGGTGAGCATTGGAATTGGGAAAGTTATAGGCGAGGTGTCTGATATAAATTAAGCATGTGAGGCTTTCCAGGGACCCCACTCAGGTTCTATTTGATTTGACACTTTCTTGATGTGGATCACTGTGATACTCATACATATATACAATTTTGGATTTTGGGGGCATTTTGATTGGTTGGTGACGGGGTGGGGATGACGGGCAGGTTACCCTAGCCCTGCGGAGAAACTCAGAAACGTTGATTAGAATAGAAAATTGACGAAGCTGACACCATCGATTTTTTATTACCCACAATCATGTTTAGGGTTTTAGACTAATTAATTATATTTATCGAATTTGCAGGATCACAAGAAGCTTCTATCTGTCTGTCTGTCTGTCAGGAATATCGCTACACTAAAATAATGCTTCTTTCTGATTGGAATTTTTCGGCCCAATATTTGATCCAGGTACTGTTTGGGCCGTATAAATATATTTAATTAATAGTTGGGCCGGCCCAGTTTTCTCTTAAATTTCACTGGTACAATTCAATTTTTTTTTAAAAAAAATTATGTAATATTTTGACTGTGTAAGTTTTTTGAACAAGAATGGTATTCAGGGATGATGCCACGGATGACACATAGTAAGAAGTGTCATATAGTGAAGTATAATAGTAAATTAATAAAAAAGGTAGAAATATTTTATGCATTTCTAATCCCTAAATTTACCTAATGTCATTATAATAATAATTTGGTTGTGTATTGACTTAAACATTTGATTCCCAACTGATTGGTGCTGTAATTTGGTTCAAAGTTGACCTCTAACGCGGGAACTGTTTTGAGGCATAATAGACTTTGGATTTTGTCAACTTGCATTTTTTTTTTTTTAGGAAAATTATCTTAGTTAAATTGGTGATTTAATTTCCTTTGCTTTAATTAATAGTATTAAGCAAGCCTCGTTGTTATGCCTTTTAAATTTTGCAAAACGTGCACTCAATAAAATTTAAAAGTGGGATGAGAAAAAATGTGACCTAAGTTCTGGCCAAATTTGATATCCAAATCTAAACTCAATAATTAGTGCAGAATGTCCAAACACTAATGCAAACAATTAAAACATCCTTAAACCGAACCAAGGAAATAAAATGTTATCTGTTCCTGATCCAAATTTCCTGACCAATTCCAGAATTTGACCATTCTCTAATTCTCCCAGTTTTGGCCTCTTTCTTCTGGAACAGTTGGCAGTGTTGTGTTACTTGTACTTGTGCCCCTGTCTTGACCCATTCTTGTTCTTACACACAACTCAAATGAGTATGACAAGAATGCCCCTGGCCCACTAGAATAAAATGACCAAATTGTCCCTAGGAAAGGACATGAACTTCCAGTCGTCAAATGGAAGAGTCTAAAACCTCAAGAAATCATCGTGAGTAAAGAGTTGTTTGTTATATATATATATTCGGGAGACGTCCATGCCAAGAAATCTCCTCATTTCCTCTCTCTTACAAGCCTCAGCCTCAACCTTCCTATACGTATAAATATATATGTGTGTGTCTGTATGTTCATAAATACCATTTGTGCATACAAACACACCGCTCAGATCCTTACATATATATAAATATATATTTACGTACTCTCGCCCACGTTCATCATATCACTTGTAACCAACTCCCATTTCAGTATTTGCCGTCTCTGAATTCAAACTAGTTGTTTTACAACCCCAGAATTCGAAGATCCTTCCTTTACGCATAGGTAAGCAATAAAAATATATAATTTTTTGTATCTATTCTTCTTTTTGATTCTGTTCCTTGTTATCTCAATTACGACGGGTATAATTTCAACCATCTTTTTTGGGAACTTTCTTTTTCCCCCAATACTTCAAAATTTAGCGGCAGTTGCTTCCAGAATTGAATTGATGATTAATAGATCATATTTCTAGAATCAACCTTCTTCTCCTTTCTTTAGTTGTTGCAGGAATATTGAAGGATGATTGGGGAATTCATCACAAGAAGTTTGCTGTAAGCCACCGCTTGATTTAAATCTTTATTTCTTTAACCCACTTTAATTCGTTGAAAAGATTCCTTGTGTTACCTCCTTTTTTGGCTTTAAAGAAATGTGATTTTGATTGTATTGGTGGGTTGAACATGAACAGATTGGTTTTTGGATATGGATATCCTGCCTTTCAGTGCTTCAAAACTGTAGAGAAGAACAGAGTAGACATTCAAGAACTCAGATTTTGGTGTCAATATTGGTAAGCATCTAATGAATTACATTACAGAAGCAGATCAACATTTAATAGTATTATTATTTATGCTTTTGGTCATTGTTAATCTGATTTGAACCAATCAAAGCTTTGGTTATATGTATTGGGTCTGGTCAACTAATGATTATTAACATGATGAACATGAAAGGTGCGTGCAAGACAATCTTGAAAATGACCTGGTTCATAGAATTGGTTTTCTGATTGTTTCTTGTATTTTTGTAGGATAATTGTTGCAGTGATTACAATTCTTGAGAAGGTTGGAGATGTATTCATCTCATGGTATGGATTTCCATTTCCAGACCCAAACTTTATCCAATCTTTACACTTTGATGTGTACAATAGCTTATATATAACTTCGATTCTCCCACAGGTTGCCAATGTATGGAGAGCTAAAACTGGCATTGTTCATCTACTTGTGGCACCCAAAAACAATGGTAAGAAATAAATAAATATAAAACCCAATTTGATCCTCTGTATGTTCCTCAAGAACATGATCCATTTTAATGGGGTTGGAATTGCAATTTCAGGGAACAGGATACATATACGAGGCACTGCTGCAGCCATATGTGTCGAGGCACGAGACAGACATTGACAGAAGCTTAATTGAATTCAGAGAGAGGGCTTGGAAATTAGCCATTTACTACTGGCAAAACTGCACAGAGCTTGGCTCTACTAAAATCCTACAGTTCTTCCAATTTGCTGCTTCTCAATCTGCTAAGATCACAAATCGTTCCACCAGCACCAAATCCCGCGAGGTATGGAAATTGGCAATCGTCAATGGCAGCACGATTTTAGTTTGAGCTCAAACACGCTTTTATGAATTGAGTTTTGATTGCTTGGGTCGATTGGCAGATTCAACTCCCCGACGGAGCTCCGCCGCCGGCAAAATCGTCTGGATTCTTCTTCAGGAGAAACAAACCTGACAAACGGCGGCCGCCTCCGCCAGTTACGCCGTCGGCGCCGCCCTTGAATTTGTACCGCAACGAAACGCCCAAGTCGGAGTCCATTCAAGTCCAGCTGCAGAACCAAACGCAGTACATTCGCCCTGAAGATGTACTTATTCCAGATTCGGATCCTGATGCTGGGTCGGGCAGGAAGACGGGTTTGGATCACGATGTACAGGCAGCTAGGCTTAGACTTAGACGCTTCATAGATAATGACTAGGGTTTTCAGTTTGAGAGAAACTTCAAACCTTACACAAGATCAACCCCAGACCAGTTTGTAAATTGGCCTTGTGCCACAATTCGAAATTTATTCATTTTTTTTTTTTTTTTTTTTCTACTTTTCAGTTTCCATAGAAATTTAAAAGATAGACATCCTCTGGATAATTCGTATGTAGTAATGAATCCACTATTTTATTTATTAAAAATGTGTCTTATTATACAGCTAGTGAGTGATGGAACTAGAAAAAAAAAACAGACTAGGAATAAAAACATAATATGTTTATTCAAACAACGCAAAATAAGCTGAAGCTGCTGCTGTTTGAGCTTCCATTTCTAGAAGTTTCCGTTGCCGCCGCGGAGGCGAAGAACAAGGTGAAGGGTCGACTCTTTCTGGATGTTATAATCGGCAAGAGTACGACCATCTTCAAGCTGCTTCCCTGCAAAGATGAGACGCTGCTGATCAGGTGGGATCCCTTCTTTGTCTTGGATCTTCGCCTTCACATTATCAATTGTATCAGAGCTTTCGACCTCCAAAGTGATAGTTTTTCCAGTCAAAGTTTTGACGAATATTTGCATTCCTCCCCTCAACCGCAGAACCAAGTGAAGAGTCGACTCTTTTTGGATGTTGTAATCTGCCAAAGTCCTACCATCCTCGAGCTGTTTCCCAGCAAATATCAAACGCTGTTGATCCGGAGGAATGCCCTCCTTATCCTGAATCTTGGCCTTGACATTGTCGATTGTGTCAGAACTCTCAACCTCCAAGGTGATAGTCTTCCCTGTCAATGTCTTGACAAAAATCTGCATTCCACCCCTCAGTCGTAGAACGAGGTGGAGGGTTGATTCTTTCTGGATATTATAATCTGCCAGGGTTCTACCGTCTTCGAGCTGTTTACCAGCAAAGATCAATCTCTGCTGGTCTGGAGGGATGCCTTCCTTGTCCTGAATTTTTGCCTTGACATTATCAATTGTATCTGAACTTTCAACTTCCAAGGTAATCGTCTTTCCGGTAAGCGTCTTAACAAAGATTTGCATTCCTCCGCGCAGTCTGAGGACAAGATGGAGGGTGGACTCCTTCTGAATATTGTAATCAGCAAGGGTGCGGCCATCTTCGAGCTGTTTCCCCGCAAAGATCAACCTCTGCTGGTCAGGAGGAATTCCTTCCTTGTCCTGGATCTTTGCCTTCACATTGTCAATGGTATCTGAGCTCTCGACCTCAAGAGTGATTGTTTTTCCAGTAAGTGTTTTTACAAAGATCTGCATGCCACCGCGGAGGCGGAGGACAAGATGTAGTGTAGACTCTTTCTGGATATTGTAGTCTGCAAGGGTTCGCCCATCTTCCAGTTGCTTTCCAGCAAAAATCAGCCTCTGCTGATCTGGAGGAATTCCTTCCTTATCTTGAATCTTGGCCTTAACATTGTCAATGGTATCAGAGCTCTCAACCTCGAGAGTGATGGTCTTGCCAGTGAGGGTCTTAACAAAGATTTGCATCTGCTCTCATAACAGAAAACAATACTAATCAATAACTACAGATTTAAAGCAATGCACAGCCCAAACAAGCTTCAGATTAAGAAAAATTAACCATAAAGTAACCAACACTTGTTCCAGCCTTACTAAGCGAAATGATCGGTCCCCTCCCCAACACAGACTTAGATGCAGGCAGGCAGAGCAGGGGAGGGGAGGGGAGGGGGGTTCAATTAAAAAACTATAAACACAAACCCTAAGACTCTTCGATGGACCGTAAATTAAATACAACACATTCCTGGAATTGCCTCCTTTAGAAAGGATACAACAAGTTCTCAAATCCTATGTCTATACGACAAAATTTCCCAAAATTAAAAGTAAACACAAAAAATGAGAAACATATCCACACAACCCGTACAATCCACACCAAACCAACAAGATCCAAACAAGCACGATAATCCACAGAATATAATCAACGCGACTCGTTAAATCAGACGGGAGATATTTACGTACCTTGAGGACGACAAATACGGAAAACGATGAGAGTATGTAGTTTGGAGGGCTACTGAGATTGAATTTCTGAAAGCGCCGGAGTGAAGAATGGTTTTGCAAGGATGGGTCGCGCGCTTTATATAGGACTGAGACTGGTGGTAACGCGACTTTTGCTTCCGATCTTCAATAGCGACGAAGAATTGGTCGCGTTTAAATGCGTGAGAAGCGGCACCAAACAGCTTCTATACCACCTGCTTTCTTCGGCTCCAAGTCGTTGTGACTTGTGTGTGTTTATCTCTTATCCTCTAAATTTTTTTTTAAAAAAAATGATCTGAAATTTATATTAAATACTATTTTATAAAAACATTATTTTTCTTTCATTTTAGTAATAAATTAATGAAATAGTTTTGTATAAATTCAATTAAATTGAAATGAAAATATATAGTCCCTTCGGTCCATATTTCACGGAAATTTTTTAGAATTTTACATAAATTAAAAAATAATAATATTTTATTAATTAATATAAATATCTAATAGTTTTTAAAATTTTGTAAAGATTAAAAAATATTGATATTTTATTAATAAATGAAAAATATAATTTTTTTTTTTTTTGATATTTTTTGTCAATAATATTTTATTATTAATGTATATTTTTTGTAAAATAAAAAAACAATATTTTAAAATATGAGACTGATCAAAACGATAAAATGGATAATTTGATGAAAAGAGAGTATAAATTTTATTTTAAAATTGTCTATATTATTAATTATTAAAAAGAAAAGAGAAATAATATGGTCAACCTAAACAGGGACTTGTTGATATTTATCCTTATGACGAAAGATCAAAGAAAATATACAAATGGCGGGAACTTGACGAACCCTTGTCAACATCTGCATCTGCACTTCCCGTACCGGCCAGTCTGGAATCACACTCATTTGTGTGAATCTACAGTCACGCTACTTTCGACCTCTGGAAGGCTTTTGATATGGAAACAGAGCCAAGGCTTTGGGAACGCGGCCTTCTTCGGCGGCGGTTTCATGCCTTCTCAAGCTACCCAAACTGCCGATCCAGCATTTTGTCGGCCAAGGTTTGTGTGCGTTTGACTTATTAAAAGTTTATTCTCTCCATCACCTTGAACTTCGGACAATTGCTTGATTTCTTGGTTTTGTGAAAACCCTTAACTGAAATTCTAGTATGGGGTTTATGACGTATTTGCATTCTATAGATTTCAAAGCGGCCCGAGAGATGAGAAGATTTTGCATTCGCCATTTCCCTCCCAAAATTGCGTTGTTCAACCAAAGTAGCTTGAATATGAGGAACACTTTGTTTTCGCCGTTGTTTCTTTGTGTGTTGTGCGTTTCAGTGTAAAAGAAGCTATACCGTTGTGTTTGATATTCCAACTTGTTCTAACTTGCTTTTCATGTGTTCCAGCCTTAGAAATGGCATGTGTAAAAGTTCATGGGCATTTAGATGGGCTTCAAGGCAAAAATAATATGATGGCAGGATGTGTTTTGTTCCCTTTAAAAGATTAGCATGCGCCTTTTCAATGCAGGATGGCAGTGAGGGTGTGCAGATTCGTAGATGTAGACTGTTTGAATCGGTCGAAAGATTGAATTGGGAACTTAAAGAAGGAATAGATAGATACAATCGGTGTGGTTTTCATTTACAAGTTTTGTCTGTACTTATGGTGTTTGGTTCATATTAAGTAGAAGCAACTAATGAAAAGTAAATATATGATTCAGATGCTGGCACTTCATGACCTATTGATTATAAGGCTATCGCGCCAAATCAATTCATTAAAGTTGTACCTTCCTAATCCTACCAATCAGCATACAAATTGTATTACTACACAATGTTTGTCATCCTCTTTGACACTCCAACATCTTTCTAAGTAACTGTAATAATATAGATTGATATCAAGAACTAAGGATGATTTGCATGTTTTTCCAATATTTGGTTTCTTTAAATATACTCCCTTGACTTTGTCCTACCTCTAATGATTTGAAATAACCTGACTAGCTTGTTAAGCCAAAACCAGTGCATACTTTTTTTCTGTATTTGATTGATTCCATCATTGAATAAGAGGAAGATTTAACCTGCATGCTATATACCAACATGCATGTCACATACTATAATGAGATTTCAAACTTTTTTGCTGATTGTATAATGTTCACTCTACAATACCAGGCCACTGGATATGATATAAACCAAGTAAGGTTATCATGGTGCATTGGTGTGAACAGATGTTTTATGTTCTGTTTCTCCATCCTGTTCATATAACCTGGAGTATGCTGGTCAAATTCCTGACCATTAACAATTTCAGCAATTATCACTCCTTCAAAATGTTTTCAACCAAAGCCATCAAATCAGGTGATTTTTAAGGATATTCTGCTATGAAGTTTCAATATGCTTTCGAATCACATTTGTTAATGGCTAGCTATATTGTTAAATTTTCAGTTTTCTGTACAGTATAGCATGAGTGAAGCCAAGAGCATTGGTTAAATGATTCTAAACTGTTTGCAGCAGCTGTCATGCATGTAAATTCTACAGGCAAACACCAATCTATATCCATAACTTATCTTTTATTTCTACTTTATTTTCAGTCAATTTTGAAAAGGCAAGCAATGCTTTCAAAATATCTTAGTTTGCATACCTAGTTATGCAAAGTTGCGTGTGTTATGGGAAATAACTAAGCAAAAGAACTTGAAGTTAGTTGCACATGGGGGAGAAAGTGATATGAAATTTTTAACAAATTGGACTTCCATCACTATACCTTTCAGCTAAAATTTCTGCTGATAATGCCTTAAAGCTATTACAAAAAGTTTGAGGTGATCTTTCATATCCTTTTTTCTTTTTATTTGTAAAAATTGTAAAAGATCATTTCTCTTCCATGACCTCTTGGCTTTATTTCCCTCTGAAGAAACCTTGAAAAAGTAAAAAAATAAAAATTATTCCATAATCTCTAATTTATTTGCCTAGCGTGAAGTGAATATGAATTGCTTTGCCAAGAAGATGTTATACCTGATGGCTATCACACACCATAGCAGAATTTTTTAGTATGATTGGTTTAGTTGGTTTTTATTTTTTATATTTGGTTGATTCAACTCTATACCAATCTCTGCAGGCTGTTCCTCAATGTAATCAACTTCATAGTATGCTTTTGTATGATAGCATGCAATCAGCTGTCTCATGTGGCAAACGTTTCATTTCTATAAAATAGCTTTTGTGATTGCTGCAGGTATACACACTAGCCTAGTGATGCAATGCATTATATTTTAACCTGTTCACACTTCACATTGTAGTAGAATAAGAAACTTGCATGTATGATCTTGCTCCTGTTATCTTTCTGTCATTTGATGGAATGGCCTGCCTGTATTCTTCGGTAGTTTGATTTATGATGAAAACCTTAACTAGTAATTCTGGTATGTTAGTGTTTATACTTTATAATATGAGCTTTAGACCTAATTAAAGTTGGATATGGCAGCATGATAAAAAGGAGTCCATCAGAATGAACTTGCTCAACAACTAATCTTCCAGATCAAAAGACCTTAGTTTGTTTCTTATTTTCCTTAACAGAGAAGCTACTGAGTCTGTAGAATCTGGTCTAATATATGCAACCATAGATGAAAACCAAAGGTCGAAATAAATGCACTCATATCCATTCAATTTGTGGTGATCAGTGAACAACTTTGTTGATTAACTAGGACTACTATATGTAGCTTCGAATAATTCTGCTGCTGTTACTTTTTCTTGAGATAATTATGCTGTATGTATGTATCTATATATATATATATATTAATTAATAATATGCACCCAACTTATAGGTTATCGATATTTCTAATGAATTAAACTGATGTTTATCTGACCCGCCACACTGGTAATGAGTAATGACACCAGTTTTGATGAATTTATTTATTAACGTGATCAAGAAGCAGCCACTCACTATTGCTGATGGTCTCTCCTCCATCAATGAAAAGGAATCTGATATTACCCAAGATTCCAATACAATTTATTTGATTTTCTTATTGCCACTACCCGACAAATAAATACAAAAAAAGAAGCTAGAGGACAATGCAAATCTACTCGTACCATTTAGTGGCCCATCAACGTTAACAGGTATATGCCTGTCTGACTCGTTTCAGTTCAATAGCACATACATGATACATAGACATATTTCCATCCACAGATATTATTATTGCTAGTGCTAATCATATTCTTGTTACTATTATTATTATTATTGTTGTTGTTAATATTCGGGATTCTTTCAGAGAACCCTACCTGGTCTTGGATGCCCAGATCTGAGGTGGAATTCGAACAATCAAGAAGCCACACAACATATAATACATGTATAAGGTATGGCATTGCTTTATATTGTTTTTAGTTGCAATTTTAAAAGCCAAGTTGCCGTTTGATATATGGAGTGGAGTTTGTATATTAATTATTATATCACTTTGTGGAGCACTGGGCCGCTGACACGTAGCCTCCTCCATTGACGTATCTACCCATAGCTTTACTTGTGCATATTCAACATGCAAACGGGCATAAATCTGGGTCCAGAAAAAGCTTAATAAAATCTGGATTGCACTCACACATGTATCTCAAAGTTTTGAGAGTGAGTGATGGAGGTGTTGGACCACCAAAAATTGCCTATTAGAAGAGGGCTTTTGGGACCCCCGATTCACTACAAAATAATCCCATTCTGGTGTGAATAATGGTGGGTGAGGAGTGATTATGCAACGATTTTTTACAACCCCCCACCCCCCGACGACTTTTGGCTCGGCACCACTTTATATTATTCAAAAGGCCTATAAAGGGCTTTTCTTTCTAAGGAAAGCTAATGCATGCATGGCTTAGTTAGTGCAGGAATGGGGAAAAATTAATAATAGCTTTGGTTACCTGTGATTATTCATTTTTAAAAGTGTTTTTGACGTGGAGTGGCTTTAATATCTCCTTAATTAAAGTGGCCACACAAGTGGATAATTCATATATATCTGAATGGAACTCACATTAATCACTACTCAGAAAATTATGCCATTAATTTAGTTGAAGTGTGTGTCTGTGAGAGAGAGTGAGAGAGTGGTTAGTGGATAATGGTGTGTATAGTATTTATCCAGATATCTGTCTTCTTGGTAGTCACTTGTTATAACTATCCATAATTATACTATTTAATCTCACCGTTACACATATTAAAGGATAAATATAGTTACTAAGATAACGCCTATTTAATTTATGTGTTATTTGAAAATACGTGCAGTTCATATTTATATAAATTATGTCATGGCTGCATTTATATTATATTAATATAAATTATATCATATTTTGTATGTTATTATAATTTATGTATGGTGCTGTCAACATTTTGCCGCCTAAATCATATATATTAATAAAGATAGTGAAAGAAAATAGAGGAAATTCATGAGTTTAAAAGATTAATTGCAATAAAAATAAGAAATCTACCTAAACAAAATTCAATGAACATATAATTTTAAATGACTCTTTCTATAGTGAAATTGAAGCATGTGTTGGTCTGCCTTTTAGTGAGGTGGATGATATTATTACAACACACAGCATATGTATATATGCATAGCTGCCTAGAATGTTCATTTATTAGGTAGAGTCACTTTTACACATTACCTTTAATCCTACCGCCACTGCAGCAAATTTGTTATGACAATAATATCATGGACAAAAAATTAAAAATAAAAAAATATCATCAACTATTATTAAATATTATATTTCAGTCCCAATATTGGATGTCGAAATTTTGTAAAGAAATAATTAACTCTTTGCATATACATACATTAATACATATATATACACGGTACTGGTTAGTGACAATCAATCTAATTACTCCCAATCAATACATAAAAAAAAAATACAGAGAAAGTATATGGTTTTAGATAAGATAACATATGTTGTGTTAGTTGAAATCATGTATTGAGTTTACAGTTTACAGGGTGTGTTATATACAAACATAATTTATTTGATGAGTTTAATTATAGTATTTTTTGTATCTTCCGTATTGTCAATTTATATATTATATTTGTATTATGTTAATAGTGTCTATTTATATTTTATATGTTGTGTATCAATACTTCATATGCCACCGTATGTGTATATATATATATAGTGTTGGGCAGATTTTACAGACAAAGAGGTTGGGTAGGTAGGTACTGTTTAGTACAGACAGCCTCTCCCAGAAACTGGGGAGTCAGTCTCTTTTACCACCTACTATGCATAGATAACCATTGTCACAGATAATATTGAAGCATGGATTAAGATCAAATTACTAAAAAGAATAAATTTTTGATGTATCACTACATGGGGGAATGTTAATAATAGTTAATCCCATTGGATTCCATTATATTGCAACACCTGTCCATTGTCTTTTTTTTTTTTTTGGTTTGTTTTTTAATGGTCTGGTTTCAGGAGAATTCCTTTCCCCTCTCCCCCTCGCATGCCTTTTTATATTGAGAATAGATTGGAAGAAAAAGCAGCAAATGCTCCAAACTTGCCCTTAAACAAATCCACATGTGGACAGATCAGAGCGACAGTTGATTTTTAAATATAATAGTCACAAAAAATAAAAATAAATTAAACTAGGTATGCATGAAAGACACATCTCATTGGTCATGCTTTGGTGTTCCCATTTTGTATATAAAGGAACCCCCTCTCCCTGTCTCTCTCCCTCTTTCGCTCTCCTCTCTCTCATTCTCCCTCTCTCTGTGTTTTCCACTTGTGGTTGCTGTTGCTACTTGCTGCCGACATCACTTGTCTTCTTTGTTCTTCAAGGGACTTCTGCTACTTTGAGGTTATAACTGGTATGTATGTATGTATGTATGTACGTTGTCTGTTACTGTACAGTCTCACCTGGGAGTTGGGGATCCCGGGACTTTTCAAGAAGCAACTGCCTTAACGTTGGATTTAGTTAGTTAAACTGTCTCTACCTTGAATTCATCTAATTTCCTTATTCATGGCTGAGAATAGATTCTATGACTTGGGTTTTTCTTTTGCTGAATCCTTAATAATTAAGAAAGATTGATTGCTGGCCTGGTTTTTGATTCGCTTTGGTGATGGCTTCTTCTGTGATGTTTTCTATGAAGATAACTTGTCTGTATGCATCATCAAGATTTTTAAAACAAAAGTTTTTGCGCCGGCTGTTTAATGGTAGCGTTGAATCATCATCATCTTTTTGTCTCTAAGTAATCAGATAAGGTTCCATTCCAGTTTTATATACTATTTAATTCATTAGTCTGTCTTAATTCGGACACTGTTTTTTTGCTTTATTCTATGTTCAATTATTGCCTCCCAATATCTCTTTTTAATCATATTCTATTTGAATATTAATATTCTCCAAAGACTTTTTCTGATTAATTTTTATCTTTATTTTCATGAAAAGATTGCAGCTTCTGTATCTTGCTAATTAATTCCTCGATTCAATTTATGACAAACGCCTTTGTTAATTCCCTAGGGTTTCTAGGTTGGAGAAATCGTGCCTGAAAAATGACTATGCACACTGTTTTCTTCAAGGAGCATCAAGAAAATGTTGCTCAGGACTCCGGCGCCGATGGATGTCTCTCGTCGGTGACGCCATGGTCTGAACTCAGATCTCAGCCGCAGCCGGCCGTGGCTTACACTGAGACTTTTGGCCAGTCAAAGATGGCGTCGTTGGAGCTTTTCGCCGGTGCTAAGCAGCCGGAAGAACATCAATTTGGGCTCGCCGCAAAAGGGAATACCACACCCTTTACCCTCTTCTCCGGTACACTAACATATTTCCGTACACAGCTTTTATTTACCATCTCTATATCTTTACAGTTTTCTGCACTTCCTTCTATCTGCTAATGGTTTTGATATAGTCTATGTTTATATAGCAGTCATGAGTTGGAAGTCTTATTATATTTACTAATTACCACAGCATTAAACTAACATCACCATGAAGTTATTAAGATCATGAGGTAATATATGTTCTATGCTTTGGAAGATATGAAAAAACCCTCCTAAATATTTTAAACTAATCAGTGGTTATTGATGTACATAAATAGTAAAGATATATACATACATATATATATGTATGCATGAATGCCTTATTTACAAGATTGACAACTCATGAGAACCTAATCGATCTTCTTGAGGTTTGAATTATGAGACACAGTACTCAGTTTAATGATGATGATATTTAGGTGACTACAAAGCTGCTGATCAGAAAGCTCAAATCCAGACAATCACCATGGATGGAGGGCATTTTGACATTGGATTCGGGCAGCCTTTGGTAGATCTAATTAATTTCTCAGCAATGTACGGGATTTACCTTTTAATTTTTCATGGATAAACACATGATCTTTTGCTCAAAACCGCTGGTGCAGATTTATGGGAAATATCCTTATGCAGAGCCCTTTTATGGCGTCAACTCCATCTACGGGGCTCAAGTTGCGGTACGTTAGCTCATATCCATCCATGTCGATTCATAGAACAAATTAATGAACAAAACATGAAAAGTTCATCTCCCTCACTCAAATATTCTGTTGTTTGAATGTACATCTCATTGCAGGGGCGCATCATGTTGCCGATGAGCATGAGCGCTGATGGAGGGCCGATCTTCGTCAATGCCAAGCAGCACAACGGCATCATGAGGCGACGAAGGAAGCGCGCCGAGGCCGAGCTGGAGAATAAAGTTCTGAGATATCGCAAGGTTGGATTATGACCCTATATTCTTTTAAGCTGCTGCTTCGATTAAAAAAATTTCTTGCAACATATTGATGAATATATATCGGCTTAGCCTTATCTGCACCTGTCCCGGCATCTCCACGCAATGCGGCGCCCTAGAGGCAACGGCGGGCGGTTCCTCAACACGAAGAACACTAGTGGCGGCAGCGAAAAGCCAGCCCTGAAGAGCAACACTACCACTGCTACAATTACTTCTGCTACTACTACAGGTGAGTGCAGGAAACAGAGTGGATCACAGGTATCAGAAGTGCTGCAAAACGATGGAGGAGGGATTAATTCGAAGGGAACGAATAGCTACAGCAGCAGGTCGATGAGTCCGAATTCGGAAGTGACGAGTCACCACCACATGTTTTTCTTGAGGGGCGGCAGCGGAGGTGGTGGTGGTGGCGGTGGCGGGGGCAGTGGTGCTCAGCATCACCATCAGTTTCAGATTAATCGGCTCCACCCTTCGTTTCAGCCGTTTCCGGATGTGGCGGATACCGATCTCGGCATCGCCATGGCAGCTTCCGGTGATTACTGATTGATGAGAGCGGGAATTGGTGTCCTGTTGAGGGAGCCATTCCCGTTTGGTGATGATGATTTGTCGCTTGGGCAACTCATTCTTGGCTACTCCATTCATTTGGAGAATTTGAACTATGTGTCTTGTCTGTGTCTGTGTCTGTGTAGCATAAATAATGGATGAAGCTTGTTGTTTGTTAATGGCGTCGTCTGCAACTTGTCTAAATTATGTGAGACTTTGCTTGTGGTCCTCCGTCCAGACCAGATAAGTATGTGTAGTGTGGTTTTGTTTGGTTTGGTTTGGTTTTGTTTTGTTTTGTGTGATCGTATTTTGGTTAAATCAAGAATCGAGTCTGTATTATAATCAGCATTTTCTTGATTTGACGTGCGAAGCGAAAACCATCTGTGTATTATATTTAGTGGTGAAAAAATATAAATGAATTGTAGCTTTTGTAAGATACCCAATCAATCACATATATAAACCCTAAATAAAATTAAATGTGAGGCCAACCCCAGATCAGTAACTTTTATCTGCAACAATTTCAGCCCAAGATTTATCCGACCTTATCCCCATCTCGTCTTCCTCAACCCGGAAGGACCCAATTATCCTTCGTTTTCTTGATTATTGATTTGATTCTCTACTGCGGAGGGAGGAGAGAATAATGTCGGCGTCTTCTGTCGCAGTGGCAGCCGCTGCTGTCAGAACTTCTTCTTTCTCTTTGCGTTCAATTTCAAGCGATCATCTTTCGCATCGTTTTTTCATCCCCGTCGGGACGACTCCGCCGAGAATTATCAAGTTTTGTGTAATAAACTCTCCTCCTTATTCCCTTCCCTGGTGCCCAGTAACTTGCTGCGCTTCGACTGCATTCGACAGCGTTGAGCTGAGTAATGAAGAAGAAGAAGAAGAAGAAGAAGCAGAAATTGAAGAAGCAGAATTTGAACAGAAGGAAGAAGAACGACCTGAGCCTCAACAAAGTGGTGTTGAAGATGCAGTGGTCTCTGAAATTGAGGAAGGAGAAAATGACGTGGCGCAATCTGCGGATGCTGGTAGGCTATACGTAGGGAATTTGCCATTTTCAATGACTTCTGCTCAATTGTCTGAGATCTTCGCTGAAGCTGGTCGCGTTATTTCTGTTGAGGTAAAGCTTTTCTGGACTTGGAAATTGGGCACTTTCCAATTTGACCTTCCTTGATTATGCGATTTGCACACTACCGAGTTTTGATAATTCTGCAAGAAACTGGATTCAAACTATGGTGTTGAAGCTTTTTACAATTGGCATAATTATGGTTTCTGATTTGAGTCTTGTGACACTATGAGATATGCAGTTTTCATGTCTGCTTCAAGATATGAATTAGGAAGGATTATGATTAGCAATTTTGGTTTATGTTTCTTGATGTGTTTGTGCTGATGCTCCTTTATATGCATTTGAAGATTGTCTATGATAGAGTTACCGATAGAAGTCGAGGATTCTCTTTTGTTACTATGGGAAGTGTTGACGAAGCTAGAGAGGCAATCCGATTGTTCGATGGAGCCGTAAGTTTCTCCTTGTTTAACAAATGCTCCATTGCCATGTTCTTAGTTCTTGCATCGAATTAGTTGAATCAGCATATGCTATTTCACATTTACAAAACCCTGTCATAGTATCATGTCATTTATGTTCTTTTTCATCATCCCTTTTTGTGTCCAGCAAATTGGGGGTCGGACTGCGAAGGTGAACTTCCCTGAGGTGCCAAGAGGCGGCGAAAGGGAAGTAATGGCCCCAAAAATAAGGAGCAGCTATCAGGGGTTCGTGGATAGTCCTCATAAAATATACGCCGGCAATCTCAGCTGGGGGCTAACATCTCAGGGCCTGAGGGAAGTCTTTTCCCAACAGCCGGGATTCCTCAGTGCCAAAGTCATCTACGACAGGGACTCTGGAAGATCACGAGGCTTCGGATTCATTACATTTTCATCGGCTGAAGATGTGGAGTCTGCGCTGAATGCCATGAATGGAGTGGTAAGAATATGGTGATTTTGAGCTGTTCCTACTCCACAATCAATTCGCCATTATCGATTAATGTTAAACCATTTTCGCTCGTTTAGGAGGTAGAAGGCCGGCCGCTAAGGCTGAATCTGGCGGAGCAGAGAGGTATTCCTTCTCCATCGCAGTCAGGAACCTCCGGCGAGCCACTGTCGAGCATCGCTACCTGATCGGAGGAATCCAATTGTGGTCAAGCCTAGTTTCTGATCACGGTAAGCATATATCCATGGGTGTTCATACACCGAATATCTATAGATTAGCTGCGGATCAATGGTTGGTGTAATTTTTGATAACATAGTTGAGATCAGATGTATTTATCATGCATGTATGTATGTATATTGTATAGGGTGTTGGTCTTTTGAACATCTTGTACCGAACCCAAAAGCGCTGAAACAATAAATAAATAAACTGAAATCGCATTTCTATGAACAGCGATTCGTCGGCCGTCTGAAATCTGCAGTTTCCCCAAAAACGCGTCGGGTAGAACATTCGTTAAAAAATTCCAACTTAAGCAATCCTTAAAAACCCGTCCAAACGAAAAACCCATTTCCAGACATCTTCGTCAGTTGACTTTTCTGGCAGGTATATTATTAGTCGTACACATTTTATTGCCTGTTGTTGAACCAGAACAGGACAGGGCAGAGGAACCTATTTGACCAGTCTGTGCTTACCCGTTCAACCAAATCCTTCTCCAAGTCCACCAATTCATCCTATAACATTACAACATATAATCCATTTTCCTTTTCTGTTATCTATCCCCATTTCATTTCTGTTCTTGTTTCTTCACCAAAACTCTCTAGATTGACGTTTTTTCCGATCAGGCAACCAATCAGATCCTTTGAAAAAAGATGAATGATCTATTCTCCGGGTCGTTCTCCCGTTTCCGGGACCAGGGGCAATCGCCGCCGCGGGACTCCCACAACATCGAGATGACCGGCGGTGGAAACGCCGGCGGCGTGAATCTCGACCGGTTCTTCGACGACGTGGAGGCGGTGAAAGACGAATTGAGAGAGTTGGAGTCGCTGTTCAGTCAGCTCCAGAATTGGCACGAGCAGAGCAAGACGTTACACAACGCGAAGGCGGTGAAGGAGCTCCGATCGCGGATGGACGGCGACATCGCCGCCGCTCTGAAGAAGGCGAAAATGATAAAGGTCCGGCTGGAGGCGCTGGACCGGTCGAACGCGGCGAACCGGAGCATGCCGGGGTGCGGGCCGGGGAGCTCGTCGGACCGGACCCGGACGTCGGTGGTGAACGGTCTGAGGAAGAAGCTGCAGGAGATGATGAACCGGTTCAACGAGCTGAGGCAGAAAATGAGCTCCGAGTACAGGGAGACGGTGCAGCGGCGGTACTACACGGTGACGGGGGAGAACCCGGAGGAGAAGGTCCTGGACCGGCTGATCGAGACGGGGGAGAGCGAGACGTTTTTGCAGAAGGCGATACAGCAGCAGGGGAGGGGGCAGGTGATGGAGACGATAATGGAGATCCAGGAGAGGCACGACGCGGTGAAGGAGATGGAGAGGAATCTGAGGGAGCTGCACCAGGTGTTCCTGGACATGGCGGTGCTGGTGCAGAGCCAGGGGGAGCAGCTGGACGACATCGAGAGCCAGGTGAACAGGGCCAATTCCTTCGTCAGGGGAGGGGCGCAGCAGCTCGAGGTCGCCCGGAAGCACCAGAAGAACACCAGGAAGTGGGCCTGCTTCGGGATCATCCTCCTGCTCATCGTCATCTTGATCATCGTCCTCTCTATTAGGCCTTGGCAGAAATAATTAATTTGTTGTTGCCTTCATTGTCTAATAAATTACCCCACTATTGTTTTTTTTTTTTTTTTTTGAGATTTCTCGATTTTGTGATTGTATTTACTACTACTTTCTTTGCCTCATTATTATCGTTATTTATTATTATTACTCTATTATTCTTTTTTTTTTTTTTTTTTTTTTTTTTTGCAGTTTTTTAAACTTGTACGTACAGTAGTGATGAGAAAATATTTTGTCTATTCATAATTAGATTGATTTTATTTTAACAAATAATATTTGTGATGACACACTAACGGCGTTTGTGATGTGCAGTCAGCAGCTACTCTACTCTCTCTACTGATTATTAGTGGGGATGGATAATTTTGTGTATAAGCTAAGCTGCCGTCCAAAGCCGGCCTCAATGAATATTGTCTGTTGCTACAATAATTAGTACAAGAAATCGACAAAAAACTTTACAAAATGCAAGCACGTACTCAAGAATTAATTCAAACAATATTCAGGTTCAGGAAGACATGTAATTTTGGGGCTAAATTCATTCTTTCTGCAGCACGGTGATATGATAAGAATGGCCCTGGCATGTCCCCGACGACAACGCTTTGGATCCAAGCTCATCTTCTCCATCGTTTGACGACACAAAATTCCAGTGCAACAAGTAGTTTGATAAGTCATATGTACCTGGGGCGAACACACAAATCTGAAGAGGAACTTGGACAGAAGATCTCAGCTCGAGGTTGAACCGGGTTGAACTTGTTCCAGACCAAATGAATGGTGGAACACTTTCGATTGAATGAGGCCTGCCGGCTCGAGCTCCCAATGCATCAGCTGCCACTCGAATCTCACTGGGATGGGATGTGTCATGCCATCCCACTTCACTTCCAGAGTTTGAAGTACCACTGGTCAATGAGCTTACAGCATTCGGGCCATCGAGGGTGATGATACGAACTGATATGAGGTCTTCCGAGGAGTTGGAGACGGTCATATTCAGGTTTATTTCGCATAAAGCCAAAGAGAAGTCATGTCGAATTGACTTGGGGCCATCCATTTTCCACCATATTGGGGTTTTGCTTGCGATGCTATATAAATATCAAAAAAGGAGAATGGAAACATAATCAGCTTTTCGTCAAAACGGAAACAAACATAATAAACCAAAAAAGGAATATGGCCAGCCATATTAAGTGTAGAGAATCAACAATTGTGAAAAAATGGCATAGATCAGATATATAACAATCCAAGAAGAACAGGATAACAGATGCACTTTTGCAGAACCTAGTTCTTTTCTAGTAAGAGTTGTCGAAAGGAACGTACCAGCAATGGCAGGTATGGTGAGAGAACAATTCTGCAGTCTTTGGAGGCCCTGAATCGCTGTCACTCTGTGATTCGTATATGAAGATGAAATCAACTGTGCCTTCATGATCCTGATGAAATTCCAGAAGCTATTACAAATTATTGAGGATAATGACATCAGTATAGGTGTACAATAGATCAGTTCGAATTGAATATGATCTATGATAAAGATTATGTAAGATTAAGACCTCCTCTCTTTCTTGATGCAATCTTTCATGATGGTGAAAAAGAACAAGGGGAGAAGAAGAGGCATCAAAGAACCCTCTTGAATCACCATCAAGTCTCACATCTGGCATCCCTGATTTAGAAAGTGATCTCTCATCTTCAATATGTCCTTGTGTTTTGCGATTCTGAAGACCACAGTAAAATTCAATAACAAAGCAAAGGAAATTACTTGATAAAGAGATATATTAGTGTATATCAGAAACAATAGCATTATATGTTTAGAGTGCTAGCACAAATAAATTTCAGGCCATAAATAGTCTTTATCCATTGGGCAGCTGTAATTTCAAGGCAGACTAATCAGCGAAAGAGTATCCATTCATGCAATACTAGAGATAAAATATGTGAGCACTAAAAAATTAGTACCAAATATTTTTGTTCTGGTCTGGAAAAGATCCAACAGATCAATTAAGAGAAGTTCTAAATTGAGAGACAAACCTTTAGCTTGAAGAAGTATGATAAAGCCTGACCAGCCACTAAAGGTTCCAAAGAAGAGGCAGAATCCATGGGTTGGAGCATTGAAAGTTCCCACTGATCTCCAACAGATGACAGTTGACGAAGCTGGAAACTTTCTGAAGTGGTTCTGTTTATAACATCCATCTGTACAAGGAATTCTTGCAATTTGGATGGACAAGGGCTGGTTTGGAATGACACCTCAAGTGATGGAAGCACCTAGTTCAAATGAATTAAAAAATGTGAACATTAGTGCAGATGTGTTTTTGATGCATATTTTCTATTACATTGTGATACAAAAAATACATATATAATGCGGAAGCATTATACACTTATGGAAGCATAAGAAAGGAGGAATCTAATGCGGCACATACACATTCAATGAATATTACCAGTGAATCAATAGAATAACTTATCATTCAACAATTAATACCATCATCATCCATTTCTGAAACATACCTCGAAGTTGTAGTGCATGCATAAAGTCCGATACGGTAAAACAGATGATCCATCTTCTATTTCATAGTAAATAATTATGTAAAGTGAAATGCTTCCAGCTGCTGCGGCCCTAAACCAAAGGGGCCACTTGAGTGGTGTTTCCCATGAAATTGCCCTTGTCTATTCAAAACAGAAACCACAAAAATCAAATCATCTTACAGGAAACAACCCAAATAGATTAAAACACATACGAAGCAACTTACCTCAGGGAACACAAATATGCTATTGGCTGCTTTAGCAACATCCACTTGTGTGCAAGTTTCTGACAAATTTTCCTGCTTCCTAAGGCAAGATGGAAATTCTGAGTTCATGACATCCTCATCAGCAACGTTAAGAAATCTAGGATGACTGATCCTCATCTTCAAATTCTGTCAAGACAGAAAATGGTTAAGGCAACGATGAGCTGATTTTTCCTCCATTTAGTGTTGCTAGGCATAGTCATATGGACAACATATAGCAACAAATAAAAATTTATCCTCCTGATTTTATCGATATTATGGGAATATTTAATGAATTTAACAGAAAATATAATATGATGGCAAAATATGGCTTAATATGGATACATGCTGACCTTCAGTACAATGAAACAAAACTAGCAATGATATATCTGTCAGTAAAAGAGATATTAGGGCATGGCTAGAATAAATAATACCTTCACAGATAGCTTGGATGGATTCTTCAACTCTAAAGTAAGCTGACGGAGATCTCCAGCATATACAGATTTAGGGAAGGTGTGAATAGCACCCTCAAGCCTGGGTAGACTCTGGATATTGAGCAAGTGGTAGTAGCATAGCCTTTATATTAATGTACAGTCACTCCAGATAAAGAAAATAGAAACAGAACAACACCAAGAAAAGCTCAGAAAGGCACCTTAATCACCAGGAACTGCAGCTTATCTTTACCCGACTGTTTTGCTTTCTTTTTCCCTTTAGGAAATTTCTTCTTCATAGCATCTGGGCTGAAGTTATGAATTCCAATCACTGAGTTAGAGAGTTTCCACCTAACACCAACCACTTCTAGAGTGCCTTCTGCCTTGGGAGTGACTGTTAGCTGAACCTGAAGAACAAGATAGAAGACATTAATTTTAAACTTCAAATTAATACCAAGTGCAGCAGGTCACAATGAAAATGCATCTTTGACTGAATTACCAGCTCATCCTTTTTCAGATTTTCAATTATAACCTGATATACAAATGATGTTAACAATTGCTTCAGTATAAACACTAGGGGCATTAAAACCCAGATATTGCTAGACTTCTATGAAAAAACTCTAAGGACATATGAGATTTATCATTTGCATCCTATATGGTAATATAAACTAATAGAAAATCATGAAAAAACTGAGGAAAATAATAATTTTAATCATAATCATAATAATAATAATTGAACTAAAATATATTCGTACTCCAAAGTGGAATAGCTTATTACATCGCATCTCCTTATATAAACTTCATACTCAAGTCCAAAAGCTTTGCAGAACCAAATGATATTTAAATATATATGCCTGCACTTCTAGTTTCTTATGGACTATGTTATGAAAATGAAAGCTTGCTTTGTTGGTTGACCTAGACTTTCACATGGAGTGACAAAGATCTTTCCCCCACAAATTAAATGATTCTACAGAAATAATTCATTAAATAAAAAGTTCATTCTTAGAAGATGGAAGTTCCTTCAAAAAAAAAAAAAAAACTCAAATAAGCTATCTTTGATGACTTATGTCAATCCACCTATTTAAAAGGGTCCCATTCGCCAGTCTCTTAACACTTCTATCCAATATACCCAAATATGATTCCAGTGCATCTATAGCAATGAACTCATAAGAGTACCAGAACAGAGGCAATGGACTCACAATAAGGATGTAGAGAGCTCACCAAAGTAGTTTCACCTCCTTTCATTGCAATGTCAACTTCTGATAAAGTAAATAAAGATCCTTCCGAGTGGGAGTCCCTGCAACCAGTGAGTAAACAATTGATGGGCCAAAATGGTCAAAGCATCAAGTACTTGGCAAAACATAGTTTTATTAACTTTTCTCAGAGACATACCCACTAGTTGATACAGTTCTCAACTCCTCATTCTGAAAATCATTTAAAGAGCCATTTGCACCTGGGTTGTTGAAAACAATTATAACAAGAAATAATGCTGGAAGTTGGTTTCAACTTTAACTTTCAGAGAACATAAAACCAAGATCAATCTTCTTTGAAATAAATCAAAACGATCGAGAACATGTACAACTCGAATGTTTGAGAAAGGCCATGGTCATGAAAATTATTGATGATAGACTGGGAGCACAAAATCTACCTGATTCAGTTTCATCATATGCAGCCGAATGTTTGCATATTAGAGAAACATTTGAGACAGAAATAGGAAACTGAAGAGGGTTTTTAAAGCTAATGTCAACCTTGATGGCCTCTGAAAAATCATGAAAAGCATACATTAGCAAGGAAAAAAACTTGGAATGCAAATATTTGACAATGAACAATACAATTACGTATCAATTTGTATACAACTGTAAGAGATAATAGATCGGTCGCAGTAGATAAGATTACGAATCAAACTGGGCAATAAATATCCAGAGTTCCAATTTGACAGTATAATATGTATACATCTTTCTTTAAGGCTTCTGAAATTCAGGTGCATGTATCCATAAGATCAAGCATCTCAATTCAGCTAAAATCTGAACAAACCAAGTGTGGCATCCATAGTGGTTGGGAAACAAATTGCACATTTTGAGCATCTAAGCTGCAATAATGCAGTATATTTAATTTTTCTTCTGAAAGAACTTAAGAGACATGGAGCATATAAATTTGGAATCTTCCACAACTATTTTATTTGTAAGCATATGACATAGTAATTTTTTTTATTTTTTTTTTAGGAAAATACTCCGAAGTATGAATGACTCTAACGTTGGACCGTGATTCGAAAAATGGCAGCAAAAAGTCCTGGATAAATTTTCAACTAGAACCCAAAACAACTTCCATACCTCCAGCAACACAAACATTTGATTCTTTGTACTTCTTTGGTAAAGTCTTTGATTGAGAGTCCAGCCAGTTAGTCTTCATAACTGACAATGATGGAATCAAATCCTCCTCCAACGATTGCCACATAGTTTCTTTAACACTGGCCTGAAACATGCAAAGAAGAGATTGGGAATAAATTTGAAACATACATATATAACATATTATGTCAAAATTTACATTTATTAAACGAAATTTGAATATTTTATTATAATAAATTGTGAATAAAATTATATTTATATAATTTATATATTAAAAATTATATAATACATAGATTAAGTCGAACTTGAGCTTGAGTTCAAGTATTGTGAGCCAAGCTCGAGCTTGATTGAACCTAATGAATCAAGCTCAAGCCACTATTTTACCTTGACTCTTAAACAAGCCGAGTCAATTTCGAGTCGAGCTCACTCGTTCAGCAGCTCTACATGTGAGTAGTTATCTCCACATCACAAATAGCAGGGAACTATTATATTATTAAAATAGATTAATTATGACACCAGATTCAGATCATCAATTCCAAGAATAAGACTGGAGAGAGACTTAATTTGAAAATCAACAACCATTATTGCAAGTAATGTTGATAAATAGAAAATAATGAATCAACTAATAGAGTTGTCAGAGAAGAACTCTGCATATTTATAAGCATCATTACATACATGTCAGATAATCAACAAATTATAAGCAATCTGCCATAACAAGGAACTTTATTGGAAAAAGAAATACCAACTTACAGCTGCAGGAGATGCATATGTCCGATGATCTTCGAAAACAACTTTATTCAGAGGAAAGTTAATTGCAGGTAATTGAAGCCTCAGCAACTCAAATGTTTTTCCTGTGTCCTACATAATCAAGGAAAAAAGCAATATTATTGACACCATACAAAATAAGATGCAACATTTAACACAGAAATTAAGCCTAAATCTAAGAGACGTATGTGATCATGCAAAAACTAAGACATGACACATCATGCACAAAGAACAAATAGATGTTACTCTTCAAAATTCCAATGCAATCCTTAAAGAAATAATGTGTAAAACTACCGGTAAGTTGTTTTATCAGTACAAATTGTCCTTCCATGTCAACAAACCTCTTAACTTAATATGAAACCTCAATTTCCAAATATCTATCTTAACAATGCATTAAGTATTCCCTGTTAAAATTTCAAACCAGATTTCATGTAGTCTGGATTCTTTTATTTTCTGGAAAAAAATATATATTAAGAAATAGTCCAATTGATAAATAAGTTATAAGTTGGCATGATCTCAACAAAATTTGAGCTCTTTTTCCTTTTGAATATGCTTGTAATTAATAAATTAAAGAACAAAGCAAAGGAATATATGGCTCGGTACAATCCAACAGCTCCTTATACACAAAAAATGGCTCAGGAATTGTGTTCTTGTTACAATCAATGTGCCATGGCACAGCATTTATAACTGGTTTCATAATTGGCATGGCGTGTCTGCCAGGGATGTCATCAAGGCCACAAAACTAAACAGCATTTTGAAGATTGGCACTAGCAGTTCTATACGCAATAAGGTAAATCAATGCTATTTGCACCTTTGTGACAAAAAATTGAAATGGAGATTTCAATTGTTATTGGATGAACAGATACTACAGAAGCCAAAATATAATGACAGTTATAGATAACTGAAACCAACTTTGTATCAAGCAACCTGAATGATCTGAAAAAAGTCTCTCAAAAACAACTCCTGAGTGGTCCTGGACTGATGGACGCACACCAGGACTTCTAGCATGTTTTTGATAGCCTCATCAAACATCCCCAAAAATCCATACCACCTGAAACATTTGAATGTGGTTTCATAAGTACTACACTCAGCGCCAAAAATCCCGGAAAAATTAAGTCTTGGAACTTTTTCAGAATTTACTTTCCAATGTGGAAATGAACATGGTCCCTGATATGGCTCCAAGCTGTGCCTTTGAAAACTAAAAGAGCTCCCCTGTAAGTTCTGATTGCATGTTTTAACTTACAAAAGGAAAGGGACAGATTCTCAGATTAGTCTTGTAAAATAAGTGTAGACTATGAAGACACCAGACTGATAAGAAACATTACCTGATCAGATTTCTTGTATAGGTCTCCAGAAAGAACAAGATGAAAGCCATACTTCCGTAGCATGGTTGGTTTGGATAACAAGTAACAGTATGAAGCTTGTTCAAGCATAACAGCAGAGTGAAGAGGATCCTAACACAAGAAGTTTTAGTAAATAGAAGGATAGCATCCCATCAGTTAATTTTCATAATTATGGGCATTACCTCACCAGAGATACGAAAATAGACACCTGCAGCATCATTAAATTGATTCCTAGCCTTCAACATTTCAGCCCACCAAATACCACATCGTGTAGCATTCCGCCATCCAAATTGCCCGATTTTCTGAAGTTAAACGACATCCATGGCCATCAATTTAAAAATTGAAAGATGAAAAACACCTATAAAAAGATAATCTTCTAAATCAACTTGTGGAAACAAAAACCTACCACAGTGCAAATACAGAACATCTTAAAGAAATCTACAAGCAATTCAGATATTATATTAAAAATGCAGGGCTACTGTTAAGAAAGTATTTTACAAGGTCCAAAACTATAATGCAAGTTAGTAAAGATGTTCATTACTGATCAAGTAGAAAAGGCTGATTAGTTTACTTCCAGGTCCCAGCTAGGTTTCTTCTCAAACAAAGGGCACCTGCATGTAACTTGATCTCATTCTTTTATAGCCCTTTTAGGCGTCAAAAACCAGATCAAAAATTTACTTCTCTAACTTTTCCAAATCTCATTCTTCTGCTAATGAGATTTTACAATACATACCCTCTAAAAGATAAACATAACAAAATGGCAGACAATTAATTCGAGAAAATACTAAATAGCAGCTTTTACAGCCATGCATTGGAGAGCTGTCTCCCAGGAAAAAATATTTGCCATATTTTTGCTGAAAAGCACAAGGCCATAACAAACAGAATCAACTATTATTCTGTTAGTGAATACCAAATATGTGCTAAATGCATTCTCCATGCAGTACTCAGCATCTTTTCTTGATTGATCCAACATAAAATAAGTCAGTCCCATAATTTCCTGCAGAAGCAGTCAATACCCCACGTCAAGTAAAGTATTGGAAGACAAGAAATGGCATAAATTACCAATGTCAGAAAAAGGAAATCATTGCTAAATCTAGCAGTCAAATATCATTGTAACATAACAGCATACAAGCAGACAGAAGGCAAACAGGAAAGTTACCTGAACACCAGCATAACGTTTCCACGCTTTATCAAGCTTGTAATCGGTAGATATAAGCCGATAGTTTGATAATGCAAGTTCATAGTCTTGTAACATGAAAGCATAGTCACCCAAAACTCTTATCTGAGATTCTATGGAGCTAAAAGTGTACCTTCAGTAAGCAAACCAAGTTAGACAGAGCTTGCCATGTTGCACAACTATATATATATATATATATATGAATATATATACATATATATCTTTATCAATAAGATCGCACACTTACGTAGATCCATTTGGATTCTCAGGCACATCATCTTTTCCTTTTCTCCACCATAAATTTTTTATCTGGTTTCTGAAACCCTTCCTAGTTGCAGAAACCTTGTTTGGAAGATAATCCAAGTTGAAGCAAAATAAGATAACAAATTTTGTGTTTGATCAAACAATTTTGAGAACAAAGTATCTGATAAATAGAATACTGACCTGCTGATTAAGCACACGAATTTTGAGCTCCATATGGGGAATGATGCGTTTAGATGAAAGATCATGTATTGTATTTCTCAACTGTGCAGTTTAGAAATAAAGGATTATCCAGATGAGGCAAAGCATTACAATTTCCCAAAAGCAATTAATTATAGCATGGGATAACATACCTCTTCTATATCATCCATATTGAGGAAACAGCCTACTTGCTTGTCCTTTGAGTTGATATTTTTCTGAAAGAAATACAAATAGAAATGAGAGACCATAAAAAAATGGAACAGAAATTAACTCACTTTTTCCTTACATAAGATGCCCATGGATTTTCATGATGTTCGTTCATGCCACCATCAGAAGAGTTTATACACAACAAATGGCAATCATTTGCACCATACTTATTCCTCATTTCTGTAAAAATTCCAGTAGCTCTGCACATAAAAGATGAAGACCAAGAAATGCATATGTAACAATAATACTTATAAAATGAAAGAAGCATTAATGCATACAATGGCAATTCCTTTACAAATGTTCTCAAGCAATACACCATTTACTGTCAATATCAAGAAAAAACAGTGAAGCATCAAGGGCATACAGCAATATAAGCTTCAGTTCTCACTAATGAATGATGATAAGCATGCATGGAACCAAGATTATATTTAGAAAGTCCAATTTACTCAGTGAAATGAAGATAGCATATGATATCTCAATATCTCATTAGATATTTAAGCCCGCTGCAAGATAAAAATTCAAGCCCACAGGAAGGAGAGAGCATTTACTTTTCTAACATGCCATCTTGATTATCATGAACCAACAAGAAATACTTCGGAATCTTTGGATCCATTGCACCATCATTGAGGAGAGAAGGCAACTGGCTCGGATTGAAGAGATCAATAAATTTGTCAATAGGATCTTTATCGTTTGAAGAAACAGCAACAAGACCTATCTTGCATGTGCATGAACAAAAGTAAGACAATCAATCTGAAAGACCTGCATCTCAACTTTCAAATGATGATTTTGAAACAGAAAGGAGAAGATGAAAAGATATGCAGGACAAAGAAGAAAAGATAAACCATCTACACACGTTATGTGTAAAAAGTATAAAGGCTTACAGGCAACTGGATGATCAAAAGCTTCATGTTCTGAAAAGGAGACAGCATCTACCAGCTCTTTGTTAAACTTTTGAAACCACGATGGCACAAACCCTTGCTCAGTGGCTGAACAAACACACTAATCACTCACTCAAATTTCATAATAATTGTTCTCAATGTTGAGAGTAAGGTCTTGTTTAAAGTATAAGCAATTAATAACATCACATAAGGCATCAAATATAGTTAATGAAGATGTTAAGCAAGGTGTGCATTAAGTGTTCATAATTTCCACTAAAATATTCAAGACATATCCAGAACATCCTGAAGGATTACTTCTAATTTATTTTTATCTGATTCCAGCACCTGGGCCTGAGGTTATAAGATGGAAGTTTGAAGCTTACATGCTATTAAAGACTCAATGTCTAGCGGACCTGAACCCAGCTCAGAAACATCTCCATCTCCTGCAAGGGTGATAACTTGTTTTAACCTCTCCTTGGTTGCCTGGATGATCAGTAATAAGATTAAGAGAAAAGGAAGGCAATGTCAAAATATTCTTTAACTCCTGTCCTGAAATTGACCGTAGCAAGAAAGAATATTTGATTATCTAATTAGCATGAACAGTTGATAAATCATGGAATATGTCTTCAAATGATCGCAGCAAAATTTATCTGACAATCTCAGTTGCATGACATTAGTATTTCCTATTATTTTTTTAACAGTAGTTTCCGCGTTAATCCAAATGGAGAACATATTTTAAAGAAGCATTCATTTATTGCACAAGCCCCCACACAGGCAAAAAAAATATAAAATAAAATAAAGAGCAGCAATATATGGTGGATACTGGACCGTTAAATCTTTGGATATCAAATGTTCTCAAACATTTTGGTTTCTAAAGAATCATACCTCACAAGCAATATGCCACATCTATTACGGCCAGTTCTTCTCCCAATTCCAAATTAGTTGATATATCAACTGTTTGAACAACTAAAGAAACTATTGAAATGCAAAATAACCAAGCTTTACTTGAGTGCAGTAAAAGCCACAGAATTTCAGGATTCCAACGGCAACCTAATTGTTCCACTTATATACATCATGGAGTTGGCTCTGAGATATTATACATGCTTACTACAATTCTATATGGCAACGAACAATCTTAGGGTTTCAATTTCGTATAGTTCTTCAAAACGAGGCTTGTCACTGAACCCCATTGGCACAATTTTTAATTGGTGCTTTTACAATAAATGATATCTGTGGCTTATACGATATGAAATGTTCAAGCACGCATGACACTCATATGCTTAACAAAATGTTCTTTCATGACTGCAATCACCATCAAGATATCTCAACCAAATGCAGAAACAAATAACTTAGAAAGTTACGTGCCTCAATGTTTGGCTGCCGAATTGCCGAATTATAAAAAAATCTCAACTTAAATCTCCTCAGTCTGTAAGGCTGGTCACTAGCAGTCCTCACTGGCACTAAAAATCAACAGAGGAATGAATTAGGAAAGTCGAACATAAGCAACCCTATTGCCAAGATTGTTGAGATGGCGTTAAAGTATTACCATCAATATTTTTGAATTCGCTGAAGGGCTCGAGCATTTCAACGAGAGATAATCCGTTTTTCTGGCAGGCCTCCTCGACAAGCGGCGTACGGAGTACCATGACCGCCGGAGTGATCTGGTCTAATAGCATCCTGCCAAGCTTTGTGCTCGCCGGATCCGCCATCCTCCTCGGATTCGACCCGGATCGCCGGACGAAAAATCTCCTTCAGATAAAACCACCGGAAAACACTTGCAGAGCCTCACTCGTCTGGGTTGACTCGTTTTGTATGGAGAAGAACAGAAGGCGCAAACTCAGATCTTGCGAAACGAGAACGGGAAGACGCAGGCGAGATCTCTACCAGTATTCATTTGGGCCGAACATGGCCCAATTATGACGTCATGCTCTGCCAATTTAATTGAATCTTTGGGCCCAAATAAGGCAAATTATAAATGGGCAAAACAAAAGCCCAATTATTATAATCTGAGTACATATCAATTAGGCATTCCATAAATTAAATTGTAGGCAGTATTGAATACAGAACTTACAGGATCCAAGAAGCCCACGATCCAAGACATTCGCTGTTACTAAAATAAATTAAATTTAGGACATGCAATAAACCCTAGTACAGCTCGTCACTCCCACACCCGGGACCAAATGAACCCACGCCATTTACACCGACATATCCAAACCACATCCACACGATATGGTGTCCAGGTCCATGGACCCGGGTCCAGTAGAGATACAGTTAAACGGCAATCCTCCAAAGCTTTCTGTCCGGGAAAGCAAGAACAAATTTGACTTTCCAAGGTAGTTGCCCTCCCCACCAATCCCGATTCGCCACGTGTCCCTCGTCAACGACGCCACCCATCATCATCCTCCGGGGCCGACCAGTTGCCGCAGCTCCATCGTACTTCACGGCCCCGGAACCCAACCCACACGTGCACACGGCACGTGCCCCCATGCACGTTTTTTATATAACCTCGTCGTCCGCGATGTTAATTACTAACAGGATTTTCATCCCATGAAATGAATAGATGGAAAGGGAATGGAAACCTAATGTCGCCGGAGCCGGCGCGGAGATGTCCCCGGCCTGCCCGCGCTGCGGCTCCGCCAACACCAAATTCTGCTACTACAATAATTACAGCCTCACCCAGCCCAGGTACTTCTGTAAAGCTTGCAGAAGGTATTGGACCAAAGGAGGCTCCCTCCGGAACGTCCCCGTCGGCGGTGGATGCCGGAAGAGCCGCCGTGGGAAGCCATCGATGCGCGTTAACGTTGCTGGTGGCGCCGCCGCCAGGGCGAATTACCACCGGGATGGACCTGAATCGAGTCGATCGAATCAACACCGCCCCGACGGTGGTGCTACCATCGATCTCGCCGCAGTTTACGCAAATTTCCTCAATCAAGCCCCGAATCGCATCGAATCGAATTCTGAAATTGTGATTCCGTCGTCTTCAACCGTTGGGTTTGCAGATTTCCAGGGTTTGGATATCAGCCATGGGAATTTGGGCAGTACTTGTTCTGGTTTTCTTGAATGTGAACAGTTGCCTGGAAATTTATCAGAAAACGCGATTTATAATTGTAATGGGTACGACGAATTTAATCATCAGCAGCAGCAGCAGCGACGGCCGGCGCCGATTACAGGAGATGCGACAGCGAGTGATAGTAATAATAATTTTGATACGATGAATAATCCTATAGAAAATGCAGCGCCGGCGGCGTTGCCTCCATTGCCGGGAGGAGCTGACGAGAGCGTTACTGATGGCCACCGGCTGCTGTGGCCACCGTCGGACCAAATCTTGCCGCCGCCGGGTAATAATGGTTTTCAGGGAATGGCAGTGGCGGTCGGTTCGTCCGAACCGGAAGGGCTGAATTCAGAAATACTGATCAATCCGTTTAGTCCATTAAATCTTGAAGCCATTTTCAGGTCATGATTTATGAATCTTGATCAGTTAAGTAGTATTCTGTAATTATTTACTACAATTTTTATTTTATAGTCTTTATATATATCGAGATAGAATAGTGTCTCATATTTAGTTTGGATTTTTATAGATGAAACGATATACTATATGCTGTATTTTACATACACACTTAAGCATATACAAATTTATATACCTGTGTACTCAGCTCTAAGAGGGATTCTACAAGCATTTGAAATTTGCAATAAATACACATACAACTACAATTAATAACATATACATAATGTATGGAAGTAAGTATTAAATTCAATGTGCATGGTTTTGCGTGCATCACATGATCCCAGATGATCGTGCTCATGATCCCAGAAATTATATATATTTATTTAAATAAATTATTAACCTCCACCTACGTGCTGTATCAACTACTACAACCACATATATATATATATATATTAAATTAATTAAGATGAATTAATTCGCCCAGTCTATATATATATATTAATATATACTCTCAAATTTCAGTCCTTCAATTTGAAATTTCCGAGGAAAATCAGACATACACTGGGGACTTTTCTGCTGCATGCATGGAAATATTCTTGCTTACAGTCCAAAATGATATCCTTAATTCTAACCAAATTTGGAACTTTCTATACTTTGGTATTATCTGTGCTCACAACTATTCAACAATACTGGTAATTATATCAATGCCTAGAAACAATTAGCCAGTACAGTTAGTTGACTGGACAAAATTGACTGTGAATAAAGAAAGCATTGATAGAAGCTTCTAGAAACGTACACTAGTCTAAATTTTTTTTTCAATATATTTAAGTTAGAAGAATCAGGTATTTAGTGCTTAAATCAACATATATGCATTAAATTGAATTGATCTAAGCTGCCTAGCTCAGTCATAGCACGAGCATGCATATATAATTTGGACAGGGCAAGCAATATTTGACAATTTTAGGTTATAATTAATTACTTATAATTTATAAATTGGCTGCTAGCTGCCTTGTTGATTTATCATATACATATATGAAAAAAGATTTTAAAATATACGTATATTGTTAGTTAGTTAGCAAAAAAAATGATTTCAAAATATCATAAATTACGAGTCTGCAATAATTAATGCAATGCCGTAGAACTAATTATACGAATTAGTTAACAGACTAATAATATGTTTGCCTCTAAATTCAACTCATTATTTCTATACAAAAATAAAATAAAATATAATGATTCGATCGATGTCCTTGGTGAGAAGATACCACAACCTTCTAGTAAAAATAAATTAAATGCAACATATAGATTGTTCAACAAAAACGGCTATATATAAGAAATATAGGCATATTCATGTATGTGGTTATTATTGCAGTCTCCATTAACTGTGAGTTCCAGCTAGTTTGTCTTATCTACGACAGTCTGGATTGGTGGATAGATGTATACACATATATGTGTACATTCATATACAGCTGCTATCAGCAATGGACTTTAATTAGGCCCAGCTGGGTAAGGACCAATATAATGTTGCAAAAGTGACTTGTCACAATGCATGTAATAATAAGTCATAAAAGAATGCCACTGTATTGAAAAATGAAAATAAGAGGAACAATTAATTTTAAATCAATTTCCTAAAAAAAATTAATCTTCCAACAATTTATGGAAGTCCAGAAATTAAATACACCTGGTGATCAGCTAATTCTTACAAAACACATATACTTTTAATTACATGTATCTCTGATTAATGTTTTCGTTAATTAATTCGAATTGGGATCTGAAAAAATCCTAGTGTTGGGTACGCAATGAGAATTCTTCCAGGCCCTGGCGTTCGATCGGAGAATCTCCCTGGCTCTCTCCTTCGTCTTCGATCCACAGTCTAACTGAAGAACTAAACACAGTTTTGCGACGACGCCGATCTGCAGCATCTCCAGCAACACCGCCGGCGTGGCTGAGTGCCGGGAAATGGCCTGAAGAATCCTGAGAGCTTTCTCGCTCGCCAATGGCGAAACCCTAAGGATCTTCTTGGAGACGACGGCCAATCCGGCGGCGTGATTGAGGAACTCGGCTCTCCCGTCGGGACACTGGCAGAGGAAATCCAATGCTGTCAGAAGCATTTCGCATGTTCTTCTGTCGGGAGAATCGAGCAGAAGATTGATCAGTACAGGCACTGCTCCAGCCTCCACTAATTTGATTCTGTTCCTCCCCAAAGGGCCCACATTGATCAGTACTTTCAGGGCAGCTTTCGTGATCGTCGGGCAGATTCGATCTTTCATGATTTTGATAAGCTCCACGAAAAATTCCAGGCTGGAATTGATGATTTGGGATGGATCCGCCACTTCCAGGGCGGATTTTAAGACGACGATGGCCTGTGCGCGTGACTCTAAATCCCCAAATTGCATAATTAGGGTTAAAGAATCGATGAATTTGGAATTAATAGTTAGGGTTTGCAGGGACGATTCTGATAACTGGAGGGTGTAGAGGACGGCGAGGGCTTCCTGACAGGCCTTTTTAAGGTCTGACAAATCTCCGGCGGCGTCCGGCGACGATGCCTGGCGGGTTTTTCCGACGATTAAAGAGGCCAAGAACTCGCCGGCGCCGGCGCTCTCCATGGATCTCTTGTTCGTCTGGCTCTGGGAGGCGATGGATCTGAGTCTCTGCAAGCATTTGATTTGCAGGTGTGGGGAATTGGCGTCTTCTAGAAGCTTCAAGATCTGGGGCTTAGTGACGGGGGCTTTCGGCGTGGGGAGGCGCTGGATGCCATGGGAGGCGTGGAGAGTGCACCAGGACTGGATAAGCCGCCGGAGAGTGATGTTGGGGGTGACGATTTCCGTGTCGGAAAGGGGCTGTTTCGTGACGGGGCAGGTGCTGTTCTTCTCGGAGAAAATCCATTTTTCGATGCTGTCCCTGTCGTAGGTAATGCCTGTGGAGATCGTGACGGGGTCTTTCATGATCTCCAGGGAAATCGGGCAGAGGAAGTATGGGGGGACCTCAATTTCTGCCATGGATGGAGCTTGATTCGATTTAGGGTTTCGCTTTGAGGTTTTTTTGGAAGGAGGAAGAAGATGATGATGATTTTGGGAATGGTTTGAATAATTGGGCAGTGATTTATATGTGAGGTTTCCTTATTTATATGTGTATTTGGTGTGACTTTCAAAGTCAAAACACGCACATTTAAATATAGTTGGAAATTTTCTTCTTTTTTTCTTTTTAAAAATAAAATTCGTGTGGGGCATATGGAGGAAACAGACAAGTAGCCGTAGATTCATTTGACTTGAGATTTATTTTACGAATTGTTAAATATGTGTTAAAAAACTGGGGATGATTTTGGACCCAAGACTTTTCTAACGTGTCGTGGGACCCATCTAGTCAAAAGAATCTTTTTGACTCTCTCTGTTGCCTTCGTGTAATAAGATGGTCAAAGCCTCTATTATTATTAATTTCAATATTGGGCTATTCAATATTGGGCTTGGCATTTTCTTATCGAGCCTTGAGCCATCTAGCACATTTTGCAAGTTACATATTATAATAGAGTTTTAACTATTCAAATATTTTCTTGTCTTGTATTGATCCAAAAAATAATAATAATAAAAAATAAATAAATGGATTATATAAAGATAAATCGTTTGTCGGCAATGGCTTCAAATTATATATATATATATATATACACACACCAAGATTGTGTTCAATTATTTGGTTAGACATTTTTTGTATTCAATCTTTATTTTATGTTTTACATACAATTTAACAAATTTAATTATGTGTTCAAGAGGATGTAGTTATTGTACTGATTATAATTACTCACCACAATAGTGACATCACACACGAAATATATACGGACATCACAAGGTATACATTAAAATAATGTACAAATAGTAAATGAATTGAAATATATGACACTTTGTCAACAAAAATATATAATTCAATTTATCTTAAAACATAAGATATTTTAATAAAATATACATATAAAATAGAACATACAACATATTCTAATAGTTTATACATTTGTATCATGTATTCTTTAACTATATTTTGTTTTTTAAGTATAACTAATCAGTACCCTAACTCTTCTCTTGTTTGAATTTATGTTTGATTAAATTTATTTTATACAATTTAATATATATATATATATATAATTTAGTAGCACAATTTATAAACAAATTAAAAATCATATAATCCCACATATCAAAACTCCCTTTGACAAAAACAATTGGTTATCATTTAAAATATATCAAAAAGCTATGCATCATCAGAATGTATTTCTATATTATTACAATCTCGATAAGAGTCATTATCTTGCTTTCTTGTGGACTTTTTTCCTAATAAAATATTACAATTAAACATCTATTTTATTTCAAATATTATATATAATATCGTGTATTCATACCTAATACTTATCTTGTATTAAAATTATTGTACCTAATTTTATTTTTTATTTTTACATTACTCTTACTAAATTTTAAAATAATTTAAAAGACCCCACAAATATTTGAAGACGAATAAATAAACCCTACGTACATACATCAAGGTATTATTACATTATTTCATTTAGTAGACTCTTGCAATTATAATTTTTTTTGTTTTTATTTTTATTTTTTATTTTTAGACAACTTTGACTTTTAAATTATATGTATATCAACAAATATACAATGAAGTTGTTTTTATGTGTGTGATTATTGCTAATAACTTTGCTAGTCATATATTATATGTTATGTAATTGTACACCAATATAATTCGGTACGTGATGACAAATCAATAGAAACATGGGAGGGTGGGAGTTGCAGAAGAAGACACGTGTTGATTACTGATTGGAGGGTATAGAGTAGAGGTATGGTGAAGTATGGGTGCTGGTAAATTTAACTATTAGAATACGATGAAAGGCAAAAATGAAAAAATGACTGCATATATATATATATATAATATTTATTTATAATTATATATAATGTAATTTTGTACACGTGATGAAATAATTAGTGAAATGATGTCTGTTAATATTAAAAATAATAACAATAATACTGTGCATTTGGGTGCTGTTCTGTCATCTCTTTCTGGTCCCTGACGGTGTCGAGAGTTGACCAATCCCACTCTCCTAACCAACCAAACTTTTATTTTTCCATATGCATATACTTTCCATATTTATTTTGTTAAAAAAAAATAAAAAATGTCAACTTTATTGTGAACTTTTGACCCTTGCAAAGTTAATAAAAATAAAAATAATAATAATAATAATAATAACAATAATAATAATAATAAGTGTTTATCTATATATATATATATATATGTATGAATTTACCTATACATGTGAATTTAAGGGTTCGTTTAATATATGCATAAATGTTTTATACATAGGCATTTTTATAAGTTTTGTCAATATTTATCAACTGTAATAAAAATATTACGTAAAATAATAATTTTTTTTAATAAAACATCATATAAAATACTTATTTTTATTATTAAAAAAATTCAAAGCTAAAAATATATCTCAATCCAAATTAAAGGAGATATTCTTTTGGAAAAAATAAAATTGAAAAATAAAAAATAAAAGTAAACAAATAAATAAGTATGAGTTATATTATTATTTTCTCCACCCATAAAATGATAAATGTCTATTTTTCCTTTTTATTTGTCTACAAAAATATGCACTTTATTTACAACAACAATACAATTATACACTTTTTTTTTAATTTATATTTAAAACCTCGTAGTTAGTTACTATTTCATTACTACTACTTAAAACACTGAATTCATCTAATTTTTTTCTCAACTTATTTATGTCATAATTAATTTATATTCAATCAATATAATAGTATATGTCAAACCCATATGAACATGAACCGAGGAAATGATCAGTACAATATATCATATAGTTATATGCAATACAACCCAAAAAAGAAGCATGTGATACAATTATCTGTATTTGAAGCATTTTGAATGTCTTGAGCACACGTCAATTATTTCTTAGCATATGTAATAAGTTAAATACTATTGTAAATATATATTTATTAAGACAAAAACTCTGGCAGAAGTAAAAGAAAATTTGAAGAATTTTATGAACTAATTAATAGTCCATTCGAATGAAGTGGCTTATATAATAACAAACAAAATTGTCACAAACACTAATTGATCCATGAAAGTTGACTGGAACAAAGGCAGATACATGTATTAATCTTATTCATGTATACCAACCAAAATAATAACTGGTTTCTCCATATTACAATATATCACAATCATCTATTATCTGCAAATACAAAATTAATATACATCCCCAAGCAAATCTTTCAAAAAAGAAAAACCTAAGACTATATTGTAAGAACCACAAATTGGCCCTCCTGAAATGTATACATACATACATACGTACGTACATATATATATATATATATATATGTATAGATGTCGTAGATGTAGATATACTATCTAAGCTTCTTTCCTTCTCTACACTATCATTCAATCCCCCTTTATCCTAGCAATAAGGGATAGGGAAAAAAAATAGTGAAGATCAAAGATTCTTAATTTCTGGCATTTGCAAATACCTCGTACTGAATCTGAATCTGCATCCAGCCTAGCTAATCTTCCATGGATTTTGTATCAAGCTACGAAGTCCGGCAGCAGCTGCGCGGCGAACCTCTTGCGGTTCTGAATGTTGATGTTTTCGTACACATTGGCTGAGTGTGTGTTTGCAGGTGCATTCATGGTATTGAAGTCGTTGGTTTCCCCGATTTCGACACCTCGTCCGAGCTGCATTGTCTGATTCGGGAGAAATGTCTGGTGGGCTCTCGACATCGACAAGTTTTCGCAGTGGGGAAGGCCTAATGTAAGAGAAACACCGTTGCCGGAATACGGCGCTGGAAACTGCTCTGCCCCGAATCTCCCGAGCTCTCCGATCGGATACGATCCAAATCCTCCGATGAAGTTTGTCGGCGCTCCCATTAATGTGAACCCGTCTCTGCCCTGCCTGTCGCCCCCGAACTTCATCGACATTTGATCGCCACTGCCGTCGGCGTCGCCGTGTTTCGATTCCATGGTCATTGTCGGGATGGCGGTCGGGGAGTGTAGCATTTCGCCGCGCAGCTTCTTCGGGCTCCCCTGCGCGATGCTGTCGATGTCGGATGAGCCTATGAGGTTGAATCCTGCGATGGTCCGCATTGCGGACGGCGACGTGGAATTAGCGGACATGGACATTCCGGGAGGAGTTGTGTGGGTGATGGGGTGGTTGTCGGAATGTTTCTTGGTCGGAATCTGAGTTGGCGGCGGGGGAGGAGCAGCTGCGGATTTGGAGGATGAATCTTCATTGTGGTCACTTTTGCTGATCGTCTTGACGTCTGATCCGTTCTTGTCGTTATCCTTCATCTCCTCCATGTACATCTCCTCCACCATCGGCTTCCACAGCCGAACTCGGGCGTTGATGAACCAGTTCGACACCTGGATCAATGTTTTACGACATTGCAATCAAGTTCAATGATGGAAGTTCAAATTTCATTACAACTTTAGTAAAAATATACCTGACTTCTAGTGAGCCCTGTCTGTTTAGCAAGCATGAGCTTGTCCGAATCTTTGGGATAGCTGAATTGAATTGAATTGCAGAGAAAATGAATTCATTCAATCGATGAATCGGAGAATCATAAATGATTTCAATTAAGACAAACGAACTTACGGGTGGAGGAAGTGTTCGAAGAGCCAGGCTCGAAGAACGGAAACAGAACGTTCCGGAAGGCCTCTCTGGGGTCTCCAAGCATTGTGCTGGATCATTCCCAATTGCTGCAATGCCCTCTGCTGCCTTATCTGGTTGTCGACGTATTTGAGCCGCGACCCCTCGATTTTGCCCTCCAACCCGTCTTCTTCGCCTAAGGTCTTGCTGGCAGCGCGGATTTGGCCGAGGATTGCGTCTTTCAGGCACCGGAATTGCTTTGAGATGGTTTGTAAGGCCAGGGCAGTGTAGGTTTTGGCAGAGCCAATTCCGGCAGCTTGTTCGAACCAGGAGATCACAATCTGCATTTGGTGATGGTATTGTCTGTACCTCTGCTCCACCTTCAACGTCATAGATTCAGACAAAGTGAGCAAGTTTAGAAACATCATTGATTCGTGTGAGTGTGTGTGATGGAGACATGACTAAGGCTTTTCAATTCAATTCAATTGCTCTTGGATCTATCTATCTATCTATGAGTTGCGACACGTCCAAGTTATAAATTTTTTGCTGGAGAGGCTGCTTTCGAAACTTTACGGTCAGAAAACGAAATGGAAATAAAATCGGAAAAAAGCTGTTTGAGTATGTCAGCAATATCATGAATACCTCATCAAGTTTGTTTTCCTTTTTGATACACATAATTTGGCACACCGACAGCCTTACCTCATCAAGCATGTTAACAAGCTTTGCTTTCTTCATCTGAATTTCCTGTCTGTCTGCTGTGGTCAGCTCCGCGCCGCGTTTTGCGCTCCCGCCGCCGTCTGCTCCGCTTTGCCCGTCTCCACTCACGGCGGCGCCGGCGGAATCTCCGGCGTTCTTGGCCTGGGACGCGTTGGTCCCCTTCGATGATTCCGTGGCGGCCTTGGCCCCCTTCCCGACGCTGACAACTTCATCTAGAAGCTCCTGTGCTGCTTTCAGGTATTTGGAGCTCAACAGCACACTCTGCACTCCATTGACGCCGTTGGAAACTCCGGAAGCTGAGGAAGGAGACCCACCGCACAGCCTGACATCCTCGCCGGCGCCGCGGGGGGGCGAGGAGACGGCGGTAACCAGTGGCTGCGACGGCAGCTCCCTTTCCGGCCGGAAAGTCCCGAATCCGGGGGGTTGGGGCTGCTGCGAGGAGAGGCTCAAGGAGAGACCCTGCTGGGCGCGTGTGATTTCACGCGCCGCCCCTACATCGACCGGAAGGTTGTAAAGATTGTAGTGGAGACGCGGGAGGAATCCATGGATGCCGGAGACATCCTGCGGCGGGGGATCTGGGGGCGACGCTGCGGATGACGGAGCGGCGCTTCCTTGGAGGGGTATGCCGACGAAGTGCTGCGTCTGGGACGGCGGCGCGTGGGAGAGGTGCTGAGCGTTGTTCCCCGGAGAATTGGAGTTTAGGAATACGAAATTGCTGCTGGGAGGCGGAGGCTGCGGCGCTTGGTTGTCGGAGTATCCAACGTAGGCAGGATTCATCAGAATCAGCGTCTGTAACCCATCGCCGCCGCCTTGAATTTCTGAATTCCCATGGAAATACGTCGCCATAGATCCTGGAAATTATACCCTAATTCTAAATTACTGTGCCTGCAATCAAATTGTGCAAACAACACACCAAAATTAATAAATAAATAAATAATTCAATCAACTTATATTTTATATACATATATTATTACAGCACAATCAAAATTCCAATTCGAAACACAAAATTAAAGATCAATTAATCATATCATACCTGATGGTGTGAAAACTTTATGTGACTGGAGAGTTCTCAAATCATTCGTAATTCAGTGAGAGAAAAAGAAACAAAGAAATTAAACTGCTGTTCTTGAGAAAGATTGGGAGAGAGAAATATCCTCCTAATAATTGTGATCACTGTTGGAGTCCTGCACAGCAAAATTCAAAAAATAATTATACTACGAATGATTACTGTCCTAAACCAGAAAGTCTAACAAACAGTACAATTATCTGCAAAACCTCAATCCTCTGTAGAAAAGAAGTCTAGACGACTTTCCATGGTGTATAGTATAAATCAAGAAACTGGTAGTATAATAAAAGCACACAATATATATGTATGACACAGTAATCTGAATCTGGTCGAAGCTGATCGATGATGATGGGGCACACAGAAAGGTGAAGAAACCATGTTCTTCCAAAAGAGATGGGGATCGTGGAGGGAGAGAAGAAACCAAAAGACAGATGTGAAGATGTATTAATAAGGAAAGGAGGATAGAGTGGAGAAGAAAGGGATTGGTTAAGTTAATACTAAGGGGGTACCTGCAGGTGTGATGGAAATTTCAGTTTGCACGTGTTGGATATCATCACCATCTGCAAATCAATGAACCAAAAAGGAGATCGAATTTAGTGTAGACTGAGACAGAAGAAAGAAGAAGAAGAAGAAGAAGAAGAAGATGATGATGAAGAAGAAGAAGAGAGAATTCAACTAAGGACACATACAACATACTAAGAAGCTAGAGACTTACAAGGGCTATACAGATATAGATAGGCTTTTTTTTATGTATGTATGTGTGTGTGTATGTACCACTTCTACTTTCTTCACTCAAAAATCCATGGCTGCGGTGTTGCTTCAGCAACCACTCTCAGATAAGGAAAAAAGACAACATAAACAAGTGAGAAGAGATGGAGCTTAAAAGGCTTGGAAAAAGATGCCCATCTTTATTCACTCATTTATCCGCACAAATTTAATTATGGCTCCATCTTTCTCTTTCTATTTTCCTTTTTCTTTTCCTTTTTTCTTAAATATATATTTCACCACAAAAAAAAAAAAGAAAAATTAGAAAATTAAAACAAGGAAAGGAAAGAAAACTGGTTCTTGAAGAAAAGTATTTGTAGTGAGGATTGATTTCATGCCTACATATTTATGATCATACTGTGTACTTCTTCTTTCTTTTTTTAATTTTTTCTTTTTCAATTAATATATATATATATATGTTTTTTCACATATGATTGGGTTTAGTGTAAATAATTTTATGGGCATAGCTTTTAGGGATGAAGTACCTGCGAGTAGATCAAACAAGGGAGCTCCACTGATTTGACTGACCCATTTCCTTTCCAAATCATTCGATGCAGCAGCAGAAGCAGCAGTCTTATATCAGTTCCAAAGAAAAATTAATAAACCCTTTCCCTTTAGTATTTCTCTTTTTCTTCCTTTTTTATTATGAGAAAAAGATGTGTGGGATTTGTGTGTTTGTCATGAAAATGCCATTTGATGATCTGATCGTGGCGTGGTGTCAGAAGATGGATAAATACACATACATACAGACACCTTCAAGAACGAGGAAACGTCAACATTATTAGCTAAGGCATAAATATAATATAATCACTACACCGTGAAGAATTAATAATATGAATATAAATAAATAATGATAATAATAAGAAGAAAGGGTAGAAAGATACAGTGGAGATTGTAATGATGATGATCTATATATTGCTTCACTTGGGTTTTTTTTTTTTTTTGTAAATAAATAAATAAATTTTAATTTAATTAAAGAAATCAAGAGAAGAGGGGTCCCCTAGTTCATTATTGATTTCTCTTTTGTCTTTTTGGTTTGATTTTTATTTATTTTCCCGGGGTTTAATCTCTATATTTATTTCATTTGTGTGGTGGATATTAGAGTTTAAAGATAAAGCAATTTAAATGCTAAGGAAAGAGGGACCAACTACTATAACACCTACTTAATGCCCTAAAAAGCTTTTCTTTTGTTATCTTCTTATATTTATATATATTGTTGTGTTCAACCAGCAAAAACAAAATAATATTTATATACACACATACATATAAAATAAATTTATGTACAATCTTTCTTGTAGATGAGAATTGGGACAAAAATTTCAAGCTGGCAAGTTTGAATAAAATAATATCAAGAAACCTAACTTGGATAAACAAATGGAGCCATATCGATCAATTAGCCCTTATGACTCACTGATTGCTTAACAAGTGTTGGTGATAATTTTTAATAAACAAGATTAGTCATTTTTATCTGAGAATATTATTAAATATTTATCACTTGCTATGACTCATTGGTTTTCACTAATACAATAAACCAAATGCAAGAAACTCCAATTGGTGAGAGTGCCTTTACTTTAATTAATTACATTTCTCACCACAATTATTAATTGGGTTTATTAAATTGCTACAAAATAAAAAATAAAAAAAAAGAACATATTTTTATAAGATCAATTATTTTTTTTATTTTTTACAAATTGGAATTAAAAAGACCAAACTTTTCCAGTTGATTAATTAAGGGACAACAGGTCAGGTACTCATTATAATGAAATTGGTTGTGGAGATTAAATATTAATTAAATTAAAAGAGATGATATGTCGCGGGATCAACTGTCATTCTCCCATCATATCAATATCATCCATAAGTTTTTGTTTTTTAATTCATTAATTTAATTTAATTTAATTTTCCTAAGATTTTTTATTTTTTGGTTTTTGAAATTGCCCACTTCCTAAGATTCTCCCTTAAAGGTCTACAGTGTCTGCCCAATCTTTTCGTGTTTTGTTTTGCCCACAGCTTGTGGGCTATACATTATATTATTGCATACATATATACACATGTAGATAGAGATGCATTCAGGTTATACATATTTTAATACAAATCACGTATACATCAATGAATAAATAAATAAATAAATAAATACAAACATATATAATAGTATATCTATATATATATATACACACACACACATTGAGTCTGTTTCCATACACATCATGCAGACATGATATATACCTGTTTTACTACACACTTTTGGAAACATAACTACCCAAGCACGAACCTACGTACGTGTCATAAATTATTTAATTCGAGCCGTCTAATGAATTGCAATTCATGTGTCACACACACATACACACATGTAAGGCTAAGCTGTGATATGACTTGCAATCTCAATGAAGGAAAATATAAAATTATTCATGAATTCATCCTCAACTTTTTTGAGATTTTGGTTTTAGATGTGATTTAATTAGTATTTTTTTATTTATGTTTTATAAGAAAATTAATTGTATATATTTTAATAAGAGTATGTAAAAGTTCAATGAGAATAAATAAATAAATAAATAGAATAAAGTAACATATTATTTGTATTTGTCTTTTTTTAATCTCCAAGAAAATAATGTCTCACCACTTAACCTGCAAAATCACGACATTAGGGGTTTTTTTTTATGATTAGATGTATTGTTAGAAGTATTTTGGGGTATGTATGGTTAAGGATTTAAATTATAGTTAGAAGTTAATTTTGATGTTTGGAATTAGATATTGTTTGATTATAATGTGGTTTGTTTTATTTTAAAAAAAAATATGTATATTATGAATATTTTGAAAACTACTATAGTATTATATTTCAATATATGATTGTCAATTTGTCATTTTAAAAACAAATTGAATTTTATATAATACAAATTAATACATATACTTAATTTTAAAATTAAAAAATGGTGTGATATTTTTAAGAAAAATATTGATTAATAATAAAGAAAATAAAGTTTAAAATAAAAGTAAACAATATAATTTTTTTTTTTATCATTTTTGTTTATTCAAATAAAAGTATCTATTTTCTATAAAAGTAAAATTAATAAGACATTAATATTTAAATAACTTTAATTTTTAAATAATTTACAAATATATTGTTATTGATATAATTTATTTATACATAAAGTACAAAAATATCAAAACATAAAAATTATCTTATGCACTTTTGTACTAATTAATAAAATACAAGTAATATTTTTTAAATTTATTACAAATATCAAAATGAGTGTTAAATAGGATATTATATATATATATATATAATTATTTTATGCTCTACCTAAATAGCCTAAGGTCCTTAATTAATAATTTATCTTTACTCTTATTTGTGTTTACGAAAATATTATGACACATTATACATAAAGTCATAAAAATTTTAGATATATTTTTTTTTTCATCTTGTATAAATCCATTCACTAATATAATGCTTTTCTTTAACATACTCCGAAATTGTTTTGAAACAGTTCATATGAGCCTAATGCATTATAAAAATTGCATCATCATAAAAAAAAATAAAAATAAATAAATAAATAATAGATATCAAAGAAACAGAACCATAATATTTAATACTAAAGCCCCTATCCAATGTGTAATAATCAATGAATGTGAAGTGTGGACTAAAAAGAAATACTAGTAGTTATTGATTTTGATGCCTCTTTTCCACCACTTTTAAAAAAAAAAAAAAAAACGAACTTGTTAAGTCCATTAATATATTATATTATCGAATATTGTAATTTGTAAATTAGAAGTGATCGCCATCTGACACTGATGCACGCATGTCTCTTGCAGACATATATAATAATTTTTTAAAAAAGAATCCCCAAACAAACATATGTGGGATCTAATATACAAACCAGAAAAAGATATGTGACATAACCAACCTGTACTAATGTGTAACAACACATGGTTGTCACCTACACATGTAACGATCATATGTATATCCACTGACAACCAAATCAACATTAACAATTCCAAGAATATATCCATGCAGCAAGAAAGGGGCCAATATCAAGATCTCTCTATTCTGGTAACTCTTTTTCGTTATAATTATTGATTTTTAAATTTTTTTAAGTCTACATAGTACTAAGCCGTACAATAATAATAATAATATATACATATGTATGTATGTGTCCCTTTAGTGGAGATTATATGATTAATTTTGAAGAATATAGGCAGCACACATCACATCTTAAAAATGTGTGTATGTGTGCCTGATCAGTGCACGTGCGACGCAGGCTCCTAAAGTCTATAAAATTAGAAACATGTAGTAATCCATTTGTGTCAGAAACTGAGAATAGGATATGTGGAAGTAAGGGCTACTACAAAGGAGTCAGGTCAAAATCACTAATTATTTAAATTACTATCAAACAGTTACTAAAGTAGGATATTAATTATTTTTAGGACATCAAAATCCTAAGATGCAATTTTTATTTATTATGTTATATTAGTGACCCCAACCCACATTTGTATTAGAGATTAATTAATTGATTAGTATGAGGATTAGGTGAACAATTTATTTGAATTGGGGCTAGGGTTGTCATACTTTTCAACATAATATATATATATATATATACGACATTGAAATGACTTGGTCTACGTGGACTTCAATTTCATATACTATTAATTTTTGCTTAATTTTCAACATGGAGTTGGTGGGAGGAGTTATGGCATTACAGACATGGACCTCTTATTAACAAAACCTAGCTAATTCATG